TTACTTTTAAGACTATTATAAGCTAATTAGTACTAAGTCTTTAAGGTATTACCCTTTAAAGGTATTATAGTAAGCCTTTTATAGTTATAAGTTATAAAGTTTTATAAGTCTTATAGCTATTAAGGCTTCTTTATAGCCTACTACTATTTTATTACTTTTAGGACTATTATAGGCTAATTAGTATTAAGCCTTTAAGGTATTACCCTTTAAAAATATTATAATAAGCCTTTTATAACTATAAGTTATAAGGCTTTATAGGTCTTATAGCTATTAAGGCTTCTTTATAGCTATAATCTTATAGAAGCCTAAGCCTTTATAAGTTTATTATTATTTTATTACTTTTAGGATTATTATAATTAATTAGTATACTTAGTACTAGTATAATACTAGTATAATATACTTAATATTAGTATAATATTAATATAGTACTAATATAGTATACTTAGTATTAGTATAGTATTATTATAGTATACTTAGTATTAGTATAGTGCCTAGTATACCTTAGCTAGTAGTCCTTTATATATTTTATAGCTTTTAGGATAAAGTACTTTTACTAAATATAGTTTATAGTATAACTTTTATTTTCTATAAAATTTATTTATATAGGTTTTTAAGTTAAATTACCTTATAAGTAAAAAGTAGAAAATATAGTAGTTATAAAGCCCTCTATATAATAATAAGGCCCCCTATATAGTAATAAGCTACCTTATATTTAATATAATTATAAACTACCTTATACTTAGTATAACTATAAGCTACCTTATACCTAGAAGAAAAAGGTAACTTAGGTATACTAATAGGTACTATTATACCTATTAGTAAGTAAGAGAATTAGGCTATTATTATAGTATATTATAGTAGCTATAGTAGTTACTACTTTTCTTTATAGTTATTATTTTATTCTTTATAGTTATTATTTTATTTTTTATAGTTATTTCTAGTTATTTTTCCTAGTTAATATAGATTAAATAAGAGTAATAATAGGTAGCTTTAAAGCTAGAAGAATAATCTCCTATTACCTAGTATATCTAGTATTTACTTATACTATATAACTAGATAGAAGTTATATAATATAATAACTTTACCTCTTACCCTATATATGCCCTATTGGTTATAATAACTATTAATAGTATTAATATACCTATAGAAGTAATATATATACTTCTAAAATATTATCTTTTTATAGAAATTATCCCTTTTTAGCTATTTAATAAAGGCCTAATAAAGCTTCTAATATACCTTAAGGTATTCCTTAATAATATTATAAATTACTAGTTAGCTTAGTAAAAAGAATATAGCTACTATTTATTATATTATTCTTTAGTTAATTACTATTAGGAATACTAATAGTTTTATTTTTACTATAAGCCTTTATAATACCCTTAATTTTATATTTATTAGTAACTATTTAAGTAAAGTAGAGAATATTTTCTTTAGTATTTAAAATAGGTATATAAATATAGTATTACTACTATTAAGATACTATTATCTTATTATATTTATAGTTATAGTTTTTTTATAGTTACCTAGATTAAGCTAATAATAGAATTTATATAGTATTACTATATAAATTAAATTATTAAGTAGTTTTTTAACTTCTACTTTATTACCCTCTTTAAAAATATTTATAACTACTTAATAAAAAGCCTTAAGGCTAGTAATATTTATTTCTATTACTATTTTTAATTAATAACTTAATAAGTTAACTTAAAGTTATAATTTATAAAATAAGAAAATATTAACCCCCTAGAATTAATATTCTATTATATAAAAAAGGGGGTTAGGGCTTTTAGCTAATGTTTTTAGGTATAAAGCTAAAAGGTATATTTAAAAATTTATATAACTTTTTTAAGTCTTAAAAAAATTAATATTCTTTTTTTTAATTTTTTAGAAAAGTCTAAATACTACCTTTTATAGGTAAGCGCTATATAAAGAGCTCTACTATAACTTTAACTCTTAATCGAAAAAAACTCGCTATTACACTCTAAGATAGCAGCGCAGCTAATACAGCTTATAGAAGAATAATAGAAAGCAAAGATAATAGGGAAAATCAGCCTTATATTAAATAAAGCTATAAGGAATAACTAGTTAATTTATATATCCTATTTCCTAGCCTTAGGCTATATAATTTAAGTTATAAGATAATACTATATTTTAAGATACTTAAGGTTATTACTTATCTATACTTATTATTAGTATAAATAAGATAAGCTCTCTTATTAGCTATAAGGGAAAAGAGAGACGGGAAAAAAAAAGACCCTTGTGAAGGAAGAAGAAAAGAGGGATAGGAAAAAGAAATAATAGTACAACATCAACTTTCTTACACGCACGTCCAAGTGTTGGGCTTACCATGGCCCCGTTCCGTACAAATCCGTCATGACGGACCACGGAATAGCGTCCCAGGCATCCAAGGAAACCCAATACCCAGCCAGCGGGCGGTGGTCCGTCGGGCTGCTCTTCGCTTCCTGTGTGTCCGGGGGCAGCGGCCGCCAGACGGTGTACGGACACTGCTCAAAGTCTGCATAGTCCTTGAAGTCAATCTGGAGACCCCTCTCGACCTGCAGCCAGGGAAAGTAGATGCTGCTGTCAAAGGCCACCTCGCAGTGCTGCAGGGTGCGGCGCCAGCACCGCATCAAGCCCTCGAGCTGCGCCAGCATGCCGGCGACGCGGGCGTGCAGCACGACGGACGGCGCGCAGTACGCCGACAGCTGGGTGGCGGGCCACATCTCGCCGGCCAGGACGAGGTGCAGGCGGGTGAGACACGGAAAGGCGTCGGGCAGCAGCGACAGGAGGTGGGGGAGGTGCTCGACGGCGTCGTGCGGGCGCGGGTAGACGACGCGGTCCGAGGCGACGCGGGGGCGGCCCATGGTGAGCGACAGCGAGAGGCGGGCGATGGCGGCGCGGCTGCTGGTTGCGGGCGCGATGCGGGCCATGTTCTCGAGCGCAAACGACTCGTTGAGGCGAAACGTGTTGCGGCGGTAGAGCACGTCGACGCCCTCGGCGTGCGCCTGGCGGCAGGCGAGAAGCCAGCCGAGCGCGCCGACGCGGCACGAGGCGAGCCCGGCCGCGGGGAGGCCGCACAGGGCCGCGCCGCCGGTGAAGCAGCGGTCGCGGTCGACGACGAAGAGCGGCGCGGGCAGCGCGGCGGGCGCGCGGCGGGCGTCGAAGCACCGCCGGTGGCAGAGGTGGCCCGTCGGCTTCCACGCGAGGTCGGTGCTGGCGAGGTCGACGAGGTCTGGCCGCGGCGGAACGAGGCCGTTGGGCGGTGTTTGCGGACGTGCGCGGCTGGTGGCGGGCGTGCTCACCAGGTCGAGATCGGCGTGGATGGTGCGGTCGCCAAAGGCGGCGACGAGGATGAGGATCCTGATCTCGGCAGGCAGCTGCAGGAGGGCGCTCGTCTGGACGATTGGTTTCTGGCCGTGTTGCGGGCGCGGCGAGGGCGGCGGTGATGCATAGTGGCTGCCACGGCGGGCGGGTCCGTGGATGAGATTGGATCGGAAGACGGGCGGCTCTGCGTCCCGGTTCATGGTCGTAGGGAACCAGCAAGGAGAGGCCCGAATGGAGGAGTTAGCCGGGTCGATGGGCGGGAGCTGGATAAAGCATGGAGGCTGATGGCATGGACACGAAGCTGCAAGGCGGCTGGCAGGACTTCTGGTTGGAGCAGAGAAAAGTATAAAATAGACAGCTTCCCCTCATCGGTTCGGGGAGGCGCATTGACCTCTTAAATGTTTACAAACGGACAGCCAAATGCTAAGAAAAAAGTGGTCGTGGTGCAGCAGAAAATTGATATACGATCCAATGTGAAGCCATCTTCACATCATGCATATCCCTTTTTTTCCTTGTCCATCTGGCGCCGTTGACGCATGTAAGAAGAGTGAGAGCCGGGCCGGCTTTAATAATAATTTATTAAAAGTAGTACATACTAGATTCCGATTAGTACCAGTAGCGTCGTTTTTGACAGGACATGATCTACAGATTACAGCGGGGTTTATTAGGCAGCTTCAGTACTGTACTGTCCTACTCGTGCGCAACATCTTGCCGACAGGAGATGGGACGTTGTCATGTACGAAAAAATAGTATGACGCCAGAAAAAAGAGAAATAAAATGCCGACGGAGATTGCTGGTAATAGTGCATGCGGTTCTCAATACTACGAAATGACCTACCGTGCGCTGCAGCTGTGGCGGCGGACCCTGGTGAAGACATCTCCCAACCAGGCACAAAATACAATTTGCAAGAAATTGGATAGTGATATAACGACATTATACCGATCATCCATAGAAGTGGTCTGGTTTACTTGGCATATGCACACAGCCGTCTCATCGTCGCGTGCCTCTTTGTTCTATAGCATCCCTGTTCGCTTAGGCAGAAGATCCTTCCACCAAGTACACTCTCTGCGTTCCAAGCACCTGGTTCGGATGGCAGGCCGAGCCACCCGGATCCCGCAGCTATTGTCTTTTATTATACTACTATAGTTATTACTAGTTACTATAGTTCATCCAAAGTATGGCGCCCCAGTCCCGCTTCAGTTCCACATGCCCACTCACCGCGCTCACCACCACGAGACCACGCACCGAACGTTCCCATGCCTGTCAATCCAGAAATATCACCGAGATGCACTCGGCTCGCGGAGTTAGCCACAGTCTAGACTCGTCTTTTCAGTGACTCTGTTCCCCACGAACCGCGCTGTGGGGTGCGAGTTCGTGGATCTTGCTTATGGAGGGAGAAGCGCTCTTAATGAGTGTGGAGAGCACGAAAAATGAGACGACGGCTTCTTTAGATCGTATCTGGTAGTCTAGCGTGTCTATTGGCTCTGTTTGCGTATTTCGGACGGATGGACACTGCCATCTTACACTCACCCCCAGCTGAGCAGCAACTTCTCACACCCATCCGCAATTACGGAACTCGGCGAGGACAATGGTACTGGTCCCTATTATAACTCTGAAACTATTATTAGACAAATAAGACTATCTACTATCTCTATTCGTGGATGAAATGAGAAAAACCTTGCAAGCCACGAGGCAATCCACCCGGTGTTAGACAATGTAATTGTATTGCCACGTGAGTAATACAAGCGCGATAAATCCCACATACACGGTAAAAATCGACTTGAAGAAGAAGAAAAAAAATAGCTGGAAAACTTGTACCTGTCCGCTGCCAAGGATGTCTCACGGCTCCTTGCCCCACGGCGCAAAAGGAGCATAGGAGCCATCGCACGCCTCCGTCGTGAGGAAGTGCTCACCCGACTGGTCGGCGCCGCTGACGTCCTCGCCGGCGGGCCCGTAGATGCGCAGCGACAAGTCGGAGGCGCCGCCGGTGTTGCCCCAGAGGACGCGGATGGGGTAGTAGGTGCCGGCCTCGAGGTCGCGGTAGATGTTGCGGGGGCGGTTGTCGCCGTAGAAGAACTGGATAATGTCGGCGTTGTCGCGCGTGTAGTTGCCGTACGCCTTGTCGCCGAACCACATGATGGTGATGTCGTCCGAGTACGGCGAGTTGAAGCGGTAGCGGCCCGCCTGGCACGCAAAGAGGAAGCCGCGGTAGCTGGCCGCCGCGTTTCGGAAGAGCGGGTCAAAGTCCTTGCCCGGCTTGCGGTCGTCGGTGATGTAAATGGCCGTCTGCAGCGTCGTGCTGTACACGGGCTGCGTCTTTTTGAAGTAGGCTGGCGAAAAGGTCTTGTAGGTCGGCGACATGTCGCGGCGGAACGGGTTGGTGTACAGGGCGTACTGGATGCCTTTGGAACAGGTGGGCGTCGGGCAGCTGGAGGGGATCACGCGGGATTTGGTCGTGGTGGGAGGCTTGGGGATGAGGCTCGTGATGGGCTTGACAATGGTGGGGGTGGTGGTAGTCTTTGTGGTGGTGACGACGCTGGGAGTGATGGTAGCCTTTTTGGTGGAGGCAGGAGAGGCAATCGTGGAACTGTGGGGGACGACGACGCTGGGAGTCATGGTAGTCTTTGTGCTGCTGGTGAGAGATGCAACGGTTGAGCTGTTGGTGGTGACGACGCCGCTGGGAGTGATGATAACCTTTGTGCTGGTGGGAGAAGTCGTGATGGAGTTGCTTGTTGTGACTGCGGTAGAGATGCTAGTGACTTTCGTTGTCATCTCCGTGGTGGTTGTGTTGGTGACGATAGATTGAATGCTAGTGACTGTCTGCTTCGATGAAGTGGTTGTGGAATTGGCGAGGATGGGCTGGGGGCTGATGACTGTCTCGTTGGACGTGATGGTCGCAGTAGATGTAACAGTAGAATTCTCCATCGTAATGACCTTGGTCGGGGTGACCTCGACGGGCGTTGCTAAAGCCGCCGAAACGGTGATGGTGGTGAAAACGGGGACAATGCTAGTGACGACCTCGTTGCACGTGGTGGTAACCAGAGATGTGAATGTAGACTTGTTTGCCGTGATGACTTCAGTGACGGTGACAACCACAGGAACTGTCAGAGTCTTGGTGGTGGAAATAGCAACGTTGGATGTGACTGTCTCGGTAATGACGACGATGGATGTGCTTGTCTCAACAATGGGCATGCCGCTCGATGTCGTGGTGTAAGTCACAACCTTGGGGACGGTGGTCGTGACGACGGCGGTCTCGCGAGACATCTGGGGCACTGTCACGACGGAAGTGGCAACATGATCCTCTGTGACGGTGCAGTCGTCGGCCACAGCCTCGACAGGAGTCTTGGTGATGGAGCCGGCGTCGGACGAGAGTACAGCAACGACAGAGCCACTGGTGACCAGCTTGGAGCTGCCACTGGTCAGAGAGCTCTGCGTTACGACGGAGCTGCCAGATAGGCTTTGGGAGCTGCTACCACTGGGAGAGTGCGTGGCCATGGTGATGGGAAGACGATCGGGGCCGACAGTTGCGCCATCGTGGCCCGTGTTGGTGCTGCCATCCTGGACACGGACACAGCACGACCCCGGCTGGCACGCTTCCTCAGGAAGCTGGCCCTGGCCGCCGAGCATAAAGTAGGCATAGCAAGGATGCTGCTCAAAAGGAAGGTACTTGGTGACGGTGACGACAGTGGGCTGCTGGTGCGCGGCCGCGAGCGAGGCCGAGGCCAGGAAAAGAGCGAGGAGCTGCATTGTGAAGCAGACAATCATGGATGAGGGTTGATGTGCTGCCTATCTACATTTTTACAGAAGAACAGCTCTACTTATACTCAAAGAAACGAACGGTACAAGTAACTATACCTACGGACATTGCTTTCTACCGTGTACTAGCTGGGCCCAGCAGGAACGGATGGGTCGATGCGCAAAGACATCAGGCCAGCAACGGCGAATATAGATTGCCATCCGGTAAGAGGCCTCGACGCTCGTCCGACGTGGAGTTTTGGTGGTTTTGCAGATTTTTTTTTCTTTCGTCATCTGCCAAGACGAACGGTGATGAGTGTGGAGTGAAATATGCGACTGGCGAGCTGGCGAGAGATGAGATGGAGGACGGCCGAGCGAGAGGCGCGTCGGCTTACAATGGAGGATTTTTAACGGAAAAAAACATAAAAAAAAACGGACGTAACAGTGTGAGATGTTCTCTCTACTTCATTTCGTTCTTTTGGTTTCTTATGCTGAATGTTTCGTTGGTCTGAAACTGCCATTGTCCCACGTTGAACTAGTGTCGTCGTTTCGAATCAAGAATCACAACCGTCGAAACGCCACTACTGCAATGATCCTGGGCTCCAAATTTCGGCACGCGAGCCGTGGATCCTGGGAGGGGGGCGTGTTGCTATTTTCTTGTTTTCTTGGACAGCCCTGGATTTGCTGTTATAATAAGCGAACGAGTATTACTCCGCTCTCACGCGACTCAGGGTGTGTGCGTGAAGGTTGGCCGACGATGGGGGCACTTTGTTCAGTCGTGGGCCCTGAGAGAAATTCGGTGACAGGCCGAGATGGAGCGAGTTGATAATTGGTGCAGAATGGAAATGAGAAGAGGTTCAAATAATAAGTAAAAAAGTACGAGAATATCGTCATGGCGGTCATGGCGCACAACATGCGGGTTCGAGACTAGCATCGTCTCAATCTCTTGTGACGACATGAGCGATTTCAGCCACATGCACCTTTCGTCCCCATACGGAAATGGGAAACTCGATTAAATTAGAGAAAATCATCGCCGGCGCACGCTCACCTGCTTCTCAGCCACAAGTCCGCCTCCCCGTCTCATGTTCGGCCACGGTGAAACCTGCCCTGTTCCGGGCCGCCGCCGCCAGTCCTGTCTATTGGTCCCGGGCTGTCCAACGACGGGCCGAACCAGTTGTCGCCTTGGTTTGGGTTCATCCTCCGTCCAACGGCTGAAACGACAAAAATCCCCGTCTCCGATCAACAAGGAAACGCCGTGCCGGATGGGCACACTTTGTCGATCCCCTTTTCATTTCAGCTGCTACAGAGTACTCGACAGGGACTCGTTCTTGGCCCGAGCAGCTCGTGCGTGTGTCACTCCGCGACCCGGCGCTTCGCGACACACTCCCTGTGTGACGGAGCAGTTGCGCGTGGCTAGTAGTTCCTATCGAGGGTTGAATGGCCTTCGATCCTACCGCTCTGTAATTTACCATGCGTTGTCGATGGTGTGGATATAAGGCACTGCTAGCCCGGCTGCTCTTTGGCTTGACGATACATGTCTAGCTGACCCATATCATGAGGTGAATCTTCTTGTCCGTTCCTTTCATACCTTTGTACTCTTTTTCCTTTTCGCTTTTGTAAAGCTTTCATTCTTTGGCCTGCCATCAGGTCAGTTCTGCTGTGCAGAGTTCAGACCTTGTTTTCTTCTTCTTTCCTCTTCTTCTCTTCTCGTCTTCTCTTTTCTTCTTCTTCTTTTTTCTTCTTCTCTTTTTGGTTCTGGCTTGACAGTCCCTGTCACTCCTTCATTCATCATCAACACATTCACCATGGTTCGCGCTTCCACGCTCTACACCACGCTGCTCACCGCGGCCCTCACCGCCAGCAGCCCCGTCCTCCCGCGCGCCGTCACCGAGCTCGACGACGCCGCCTTCCGCGAGGCGCAGCAGCGCGACGCCAGCGCGACGCGCGCCCTCTCCAACGTGCAGATCAAGGCCTTTGACGGCCGCTGCCTCTTCGTCGACGCCCTGTCGGGCGACTTCCGCGCCAACCTGACGCCGCTGCAGCTCGCCGCCTGCAGCAGCCGCGCCGGCACCGGCCAGGGCTTCGAAGTCATCACAAAGGGCACGCACAACGACCAGCCGGGCCGCGCGCTCGTCGTGAGCACCCTGACGCAGGCGTGTCTGAGCGTCGACCCCCGCAGGCCCGCCGACACGCAGGTCCATCTGTTCTCGTGCGGCGGACGCGCAGATGGCGGCGGCCAGGTGGCGGACTCGCAGCTGTTTGCCTTTGCGGCCGCGCAGGAGGGCCGTGCGATGGCGCTCACGCCGCAGAACAGCCCCGGCAAGTGCCTGGTGGTCGCTGGGGACAGGGTTGTCCTTGGGGACTGCAATGACAAGGACAACGCGCAAAAGTTTACCTTTGGTGGTGATGCTGGCAAAGACAACGACCGTGGCGCCAACAGCAGCCAGGGCAACAAGAGCACATCCAGCTCGGCTCCTGCTCGTGAGACACCCAGCGCTGTACTCAACATCCCTGCAAGACTGGTAAAGTCAGTCACGACGAGCACGCCGCTCTCTCTTCCGTTTTCCACTTCCAGCGATGCAGTGTGCAGCCAGAAAGTGGTCACCACGGTCGACACAGTCACCACCACCATGCCAACTGCCTACAGGACAGTCAGCGCTACTGAGACTCTCTCTTCGACCGTTAATCCCACCGGCACATCTGCACCCGGCAAAACGGCCGTAGCCAGCGACACTGGCGGGTGCGACAGCAGCAGCAGCGGCGGTAGTCAGAACACTGGCAGCACAGACAAGGACGGCATCAATGAACCAGCCGCAGTCACCGCGTGTGGCCGCAACATAGTCCGGCCCATGACGGCCGCGCGCCTCGCCGACGGCCAGCACACGGCCAACCCGACCGCCGAGGTGCCCGTCTCGCGCGGCTCCAGCGCAACGCTCAGCCCGACCGCTGCCGCCGCCGCCAACCAGTTCGACGCGACGGCGCGGCGCGTCCTCGAGAGCGTCAACGTGCGCGCCGCCGCCGACGGCCGCTGCCTCGCTATTGACCCGACCGCCGGCGACTTCCGCCAGAACCTGATCCCCGTCGGCCTCGCGGCGTGCAGCGAGGACCCGGCGCAAAAATTCGACGTGGTGACGCGCGGGAGGCACATTGACGGCGCGGACGGCAAGGCACTGCTGGTCAGCGTGCTGACGAATGGCTGTCTCAACTTTGACAGTCGCCGACCGCAGGGGGATACGGTGACGCTGTTTTCGTGCGGTGGTCGTGCGGATGGAGGTATGTTTTTTTCTTTTTTTCTTTTCCTTTTTTTCGGCATTTTTTCGAGCACATGCTGACCTGAGCAGAGGGCCAAACGACGATGTCTCAACTGTTCCCGTTTAGCGGCAACAAAACCATTGTTCTTCAGCCTGCTTCGGATGACGGCAAGTTTTGTCTCGTCGAGGACAAGGACAGGCTGGGATCAGCGGGCTGCGACAATCAAAAAGACCAAGTCTTTGAGCTGGTGGAAGTTCTCAAGTCCACAGCGGATAAGCTCCTGTAACAGGGGGTTCCACCAACCGTAGCCTCGGAAGAGGGTTCATTTTTCATGTTCGGTATTATATAACTTGATTGACTTGTACTTGATGCGTTGTAGATTATAGATTGAATATACGACTGTTTTTTCCGATGCTCGAATTATGCACGAAACAAATGTCCGACTTTCCTCCTAAGCAAACAGGAACAGTCGGGACTCGGTCGAGTGGGGCCGATCCACCAGTTCGTCAACAGCTCAACCAGATCTGCGTCACTTGCTGGTCATTGTTGGCTAGCTAGGTCTTTTCTCTCAACCTCTTCCGTTGACACCGTCCACCCCCCTGCGCATCTTCACCACCGTCCCTTCCCAGCAAACCAACCCAACAAACGCATCCCACCCGACCAACCAACCCCCAGCAAACGCACCGGACGCTGCCCAAGTCATGGCTACGCCCGTGGCCGTCGCCGTCCTGGCCGCGGTCGGCGTGCCGGTGCTCACCGCGGGCCTGATCCTCGTGCCCCGGCGGGGCTTCCTCAAGGCCACGGGCGCGGCGCACGCCGTGCTGCCCAAGCCCGTGTCGCGGCTCGACGGCCGCGACGTCGTCGCCATCCTGCTGCTCATCGTGGCCAAGCTGCTGCAGCGCGTGCTGGGGCTCGCCCCGCCGCTCGTGCCCTCGCCCGACCGCCTCGGCTTCGACCTGCCCGCGCTGTCCGTCACGAGCACGCTCGCCATCGACGACGGCGACCTGCAGCGCTTCGACGCCGCGACGTCGCCCGAGGCCCCGAAACCCGACCGCCCGCCCGCCGACGGCAACAACAGCAACAACCGCTCCCTCCTCATCGCCGCCCTCGCCAACCCCCTCATGTCCGTCCTGCTCGCCAACCGCCACCTGCCGATCCACCCGCTCGGCGCCGTCAACACCCGCAACACCTTTACCTTTGTCGACCCCGAGGCCTGCCGCGACCCGACGCGCGTGCTCGACCCGACGCGCGGCATCACCGTCTCCGCATCCCTCGGCGGGCCCGCCCACCCCGGCCGCCGGGTCAAGCGCGGCGTCGAGTTCGAGATTGCCTTTGAGGTCGCGGCCCTGCGCCGCGGCGACACCTCCCCGACCGTCATCTTCCGGCAGGTCGGCGCCGTGCTGGCCTACCTGCCGCGCGACACCCAGCCGCTCTACCGGAGCGCCCGCGACGACGACGACGACGACGACCTGGAGCCGGCGTGGATGTCGGCTGACGGCGAGATTGTCGAGCTCGGCATGCGTGCGCCCGCCAAGTGGGCGGCGCTGTGCCGCGACTACAACCCGATCCACATGTCGAGCGTGCTCGCCCGCGCGTTTGGCTTCCCGGGCCGGATCGCGCACGGCAACCACGCGCTGGCGCGCGCCGTGGAGCGTATCGCGCGCGACCCCGCGCGAGTCATGACGCCGGGCCTGAATACCGCCGACAAGGCCGTGCTGCTCCTGTCACGCGGCGACGGCGGCAAGGAGACGCCGAGCGCGCTCGAGGTGCGGTTTCAGCGGCCCATGGTCCTGCCGGCGAGGTTGGGACTCGAGGTGGCTGACGTCAAGGGCGGGTTCGCCCTGCGCGTGGTCAAGAATGAAAAGGAGCACCTGACAGCGAGGTGGACGAAGCTGTGAGGGTCATGTGCAGTGGAAATTGTGCACAGGTGAAAAGCTAGAGTGTATTGAAATTTACGTCATGAGTCACGGCCATTGAGGGTTGATGAACTGTCATTTGTATTATTTACTGTCATTTGTATCATTTTCGGCTCCGGTGAACGAGAGCTTGTAACTGTATAATTAAAATAAAAGAAGATGATTTTCAGTCCATTTTGGTTCAGGAAAAATGGGCGCCTTGCTGGAGCCAGACGTGAATGACCATCTAAGTGCGTACCGGACATTAAGCCGACGGTATGCGACCGACAACAGTGCCGGCCAGTATTCGCGACAGAGCACAAGGAGCGAGTGGGCACGTGAGTCGAAATCGATATGTGTTTGTTGATAATTGCACAGGCTCCGCTAAATATACATGTCACGCATTTCAACGTCCCCGAACCAGAATCTACTCTGTAGCTCCCCCCTCGGCCAATGTTGTTGTTTCCGGCTTGGGCGCCGAAGCTTTCGCCATGGCCACGTAGTGACTGGTGCGAAAGTCGCGCCAGAGGGCGGGCATGATGTACTGCAGGACCTGATCGGCGAGCTCCTCCGGCTGGCGGCCCTTGCCCTCCTTCCAGAGGTGGCGGACCAAGGCACCACGACAGCCATGCTCGGCGGCAGTCCACGGGGAGCCATTCGCCTCGGCGCAGGGCACGGCGCGGACATCGTCCGGGCGGGCGAAGCGGAAGTGGCGGACGAAGCTGACGAGGGCGGCCTGCTCGTGGGGCCAGTCGTAGGCGAAGCGGCGGCAGTCGGGGAACTCGTCGCCGGCGGGGCAGCGCAGCCAGGCGTCGATGAGGTCGTGGGTGCGGGAGCTGTTCTGGGCAATGATGAAGCCCGTGTTGAGGTAGCGCTGGCCGCGCGGGTCCGTGTTGAAGGGCTTGTCCGGGTCGGCGGCGAGCATGAGGCCCGTCGCGTTGGTGTGCTGCCAGTGGTTGAGCAGCCACTCGAGCGGCAGCGCCGGGTACCGGAACACGGCGTCTTGGTCCAGGAAGACGACAATGTCGTACTGCAGCAGCGCGTGCTTGATGGCGGGGATCTTGGACCACGTGTGCGACCAGTCGGCGACGCGTGTCACTTGGATGAGCCGGTAGTCGTAGCCGTGGATGCGCGCTGTATGGTGGGTGTTAAGAGTTTCTTCTTTTTGGGGGTTTGGACCAAACGTTTGCAGGTAGAAAAAGGGAAGAATACGTACAGTACAGGTAGTGGCTCAGCATGCCAGAGGATATGGCGTCTGGGTGCGGCCACTTGACGCCAGCGGCGCTGAGGAGCTCGCCGTCCTTGGTCATGGGCCGGGTGTCGGCGTCCATGATGAGGACGCGCTTCCCGAGCGGCTTTGTGTAAAAGGGCTCGCCCTCGGTGCGGAATACCTCGCCCGTCTCGTCGGTAAAGTTGTCGGCGGTGATGGGCGTAATCTGCGGCCGGTAGAGGGCTTCGATGAGGTTGCCTAGCAGTGAGACCTCTGTTGGCTGCTTGGCGGCGTCGGCGAGTTTGGCCGCGCGCCGCGCCGTCGCCTCTGGGTCAAAGTACGTCGCCAGTAGAAGCACGGAGCAGACGACGAACATGGCGAGCGGGATGAGACTGAACCGCTTTATCCGTTGCTGGCATAGCACGGAGCTGTTCATGGTGACTGACCATGCTGTGTAAGAGGTCTGCATCGCGGGAGGTGGACAAGAAGGATGAAGAGTGTCAGCCTCCCCTTCTAGGTTCAAAGAGCACAGTGAAGAACAGATTGAGGGCACATTTTAACTCAACGCGTGAAATCGCCGAGCGGGACTACATATTGGCGACAGGATAAGATAAAAGGCGGCAGGTCCAGAACCATTCCTCCGGATCGCTAGTCTTTGGAGGCGTCCCATATCGAAGGGCTGATTATGGGTTTCTCTAGCCCTGCAACGGCTTAGTGGGAGGAATAATGTACCGGCCAAGGTTAGATCGGTGTTCTAGCTCGGGCACTACCCATTTTGACAGGCCCGGGGTCGGGCTCTCTCCCTTGAATGAACAGGACGAGGCAGGATGGCAGCTTAAACCTGGGGTTGAGAAGCTGTTGGTTATGCAACTTATGCGACTTGCGGAGTCAACATGTCAGTGAAGCGCCACTCGGTACAATGGGACTTATTTCGTTGACGGACGGGATGGTTCCTGGGACGCTGGGGTTGAGATAGACGTTGTGGCTTTTCGTAAACGTTGCCCCTTGCGCCGTTGGGTTGCCGGATGAGGCTACTGTACTAGCAAGCGCGCCGGGTCCAACGCCGGGTCCGGCTATCAGGACGTTGGTTGGGGCAGGGACTGGGTGATGGGGTTTGCCTGAACTGAGTTGGTAGAGTTAGTAGGACTCAGGGTTAAGACAATTGCAATGGCATTTGTTTCTTGCTGGTGGTGCGGCATGCCAGGGAAGCGTGGGGACAATTGGAGGACGAAGCTACTCGCATTCCACCGCGGCGCCATTGTGTCCGTTGCAGGTGCGCTTAATACTAATGGACTGAGAAACTCTTCTTATGTCTTATCCAGCTGTCTTACATTCATGGTTCTGGACAATCAAATAAACGGTTTAATAAATGCAGTGGTCACGTTATAGACTTGATCAATAAAATAGGCCTTTTTGATAGAGAAAAAAAGGCATCATTTTAGTTCGTGACGATGTTGCCTAATAATTATGAAAGCGAACTGCGCTGCAATAATTTTACGCTGTATTGTGCAAGACTAATTTGTAGTAGCGCCGCACAACACGGGACGAAGGGAATAAAAGAAATAAAAGTGCATGAAGTTTTAGTCAAAGGATCGCCACACCAGCCACAAGGGCGTGGCTTGGCGGGCAATGCGCCACTGAAAAATGCATAAATCAATCTTGAAGTCATGTCTAGAAATAGACCGAGGCCTCAGTATATATAATTCGCGTCGGCGCTTTTCCGCATGAAATCCATCATTCGCTCTGTGTCGCTGTCCTCTCACTATCAGGTAATTTGTCCTGCCCTGCCCTGCCATATTATCCGTTATCCGTTATCCGTATCGATACCGTGTCTTGGACTCGATAGCATCGTATTCTGCCAGGGCCAGGGGATCCTTGTCGCCAGGGTTTCTCCATCAAGCCCCAGATGCCGCTTATTATCCTTGCACGAAACGTGAATACAGTGTACATGCGTATCCGTCATCCGTACGAATTACCTACATTATACACGCATCATGCACTTTGTTCCTCGCCAGCTGCGTATTCCCATTGGCAAATTGACCACAACAATCCCCAGTTTTCTACGGATGGCGCGTTTTTTAGTCAGGGCCGCTTCTGCACTAAGGTGCCCGATCATCGCCTAGAACCCCTGAGCGCGACTCCAACATGTTGATTTCTCTGCATTCCAGTCTTTGGTTCATTCGCTGGACAGGCGTTGGCATTGGGCGAGTGGACGCGTGATGATTTATTCAACCGAGACAAAGCACAATTCATTCTTGCGTACATACTGGTAGACGCACACGGAATCCGGTCCATCACACGTCCGTGCTATCAGAGCGCTGCGAGCTAGCTGCAGGAACCGGCATCCAATGCAGGGGTAATGGAAAACCTTCGCCTAACTTTACGCCACGCCGGCCTAGGCACTTTTGTTTCCTGTAATAACGAGAAAGTCTTTTCCGAGCCGGCTGCCTGTCTTTGTTTTTGCTTCTTCCAACACGACTTCTTCGCTGCTGCTCGGGTAGCCTGCTTCTCGGCCCATGCTGACTCGTTGATTCCGCGACTGCGCCAAACACTTCAACCGGCATCAATCAGCTGCTCAACATGTTCAAGACGGTCGCGCTGGCCATGCTGGCCATTGCCGGGCCCCAGGGCGGTGGCGCTTCTTCCTTCTGGTACTCGATGATGGACCATGCCGGCGCCCCGAGAGGCTATGCCCCGAACGTCGACAACGCTGGCAAATACAGTGTCTACGTCGCTGTCCGATCCGGCGACGGCGCTGCTCTCCAAGATGCCATCACATCTGCCCCCGGTGGCCAACGCAACAAGCAATGGCTGGCTTCCCAACCCCGGGTATGTCACACCCACTCGACGACAAGCTCGCTCGGCTTTGCAAAGCTAACAGGTGCGCACAGGTTGTCTATATTCCTCCTGGAACCTATGAAATCAGCAAGACTCTCTTCATGCAAACGGACACTGTTCTCATGGGAGACGCCACCGACGTAGGGTATTCGCGTCGGCCTTGTAAAGCCACATGCTAATCCGCCACAGCCTCCAGTCATCAAAGCCGCCAAAGGATTCAGCGACGGCGTTCTCGTCAACGGTATGGAGTTTCTTCCGAGATGGAATGGCGAACCGGCTAACACGACACAGGACAGGACCCCTCTACCAAGGAAAAGGGCGAAAACTCCTTCGCCATCAGCCTGAAGAATCTGATCCTCGACACGACGGCGCTTGACGGAGGCCGAAACTTTACGGCCCTGTACTGGGGCGTCGCACAGGTCTCGCAGCTTCAAAACGTCAAGATTCAAATGCCCAGTGCCAGCAATGGCGACGGCCACAGTGGCATCAGACTCGGCCGAGGCTCTACGCTCGCCCTCGCCGATGTCCGCATCGAAAACGGCCAGGTAATTTTGGCATATATCTCAAGATGCTGCTGTTGACTAACACGAAAAAACAGAACGGCATCTGGCACGACAGCCATCAACAAGCCCTGTACAAGAACATTTACTTTTACCAAAACGCTGTCGGCATGCTTATCTCCGGCGGCAACACCATCACCCTACTGGCACCCACCTTTGACAGCGTCAAGTCTGGCATCCAAAACACCGGCGGGAGCCCTTTTATCGGCATCCTCGACGGCAAGTCGACCAACTCGGGCGTCACCTTGACCTCAACCGTCCACCCCTCCGTCTTTATCCAGAACCTCGAGACGGACGGCAAGGCCGATATTGTCCAGCTGCCCGACGGCACCGCCCTCACCGCCGCCCGCCACGTCGACAACTACTCGCACGGCAACACCGTCGGCCGCGCCCCCGTGTACGGCGCCACGGCCGGTGCCCAGAAGCTGTCGAGCACCGCGGCCCCCGGCGGCCGCATCCCGTCCATCCCGGTGCCCAACTTTGCGAGCAACCCGGTCTCGGATTTCGTCAACGTCAAGGACGCCCGCCAGAACGGCGGATACACGGTCCGCGGCGACGGCACACTGGACGAGGCCGCCGTGCTCAACAAGGTGCTCGCGTACGCCGCGGACAAGAAGAAGATTGCGTACTTTCCCTACGGCGACTACCGCGTCGAGTCGACGCTGCTCGTCCCCATCGGCTCGCAAATCGTCGGCGAGGCATGGGCAACCATCTCGGGCGGCGGCAAGTTCTTCCAGGACGCCACCGACCCGAAGCCCGTCGTGCAGGTCGGCAACGAGGGCGACGTCGGCGTGGCGCAGATCCAGGATATGCGCTTTACAGTCTCTGAGGTGCTTCCTGGCGCCATCATCGTTCAGATTCAGGCGGCTGGCACCTCGCCCGGCGACGTCGCGCTCTTCAACTCGCTCATCACCGTCGGCGGCACCCGCGGCGCGCCCGGCCTGACCGACGGCTGCACGGACGCAAGCAACCCGTGCCAGGCCGCGTACCTGGGCCTGCACCTGACGGCGTCGTCCTCGGCGTACGTCGAGAACGTGTGGAACTGGGTCGCGGACCACATCACGGAAGACTTTTCCGGCGGATCGAGCATCGCCGGCAAGGGCGGGGCGCTCGTCGAGTCCACCAACGGCACGTGGCTGCACGCGCTCGGCAGCGAGCACTGGTGGCTGTACCAGCTGAACCTGCGCAGCGCCGCGCACGTCGTCGTCACGCTGCTGCAGAGCGAGACCAACTACGAGCAGGGCGACAACGCGCGGCGGCTGGCGCCGGCCCCGTGGCGGCCCGACGCCGCCGCCTGGGGCGATCCCAACTTTGCGTGGTGCCGGCCCGACGACGCCCGCTGCCGCATGGGCCTGGCCAACTACATCCAGGGCGGCGAGGACATATCGTACTATGGCGCCGCGTCGTGGGCGTTTTTCAGCGGCCCCGGCTACCAGCCGTGCGCGGGCCGCTTCAGGTGCCAGAAAGTGATGCACTGGATTCAGAAAACGCCGAGGAACTTGCAGATGTATGGCATGTGCACCAAGGATACGACGATTGCGCTGCGGCTTGGCGATGGCACGACGGTGGGCGCCGAAGGCAAGTTTGAGGGAGGCTGGAATCCGGGCGCCACGATTGGTCGCTACACGAGCTGAAGCAGGAATTTTCTTGCATAATGTTTTCTGGTATATACTTGCACTTGCGTCGATGTGGATTTTATAGTATATAATAATAATTTAAGTCGTGTCGATATGAACTTTCTGGTGTATTATTAACGTCCTGTTCATGTGACCCGAAGTCTTGCTGCAATACAGGACGAGAACAACTCGTGTTTTTATAAATATCCATCAACCCTTTTATTTTCCTCTAAAATACACTCCAAGTAATCCATCAGTACAGAATCCCAGCCAGTGTCAAGACGGCCAGCACGGAGACGGCGGTTTTGTAGTCGTTGAGCAAGCGCGGCGCAGCGCCCGATTTAGACGAGGACGTGGGCGTGGCGGCGCTCGTCTCGCTGCCGCTGCTGTCGGTCTCGTTGGCGGCCAGGATCGGCAGCGTAAACTGCGCCGTGCACACGGTGACTTGCGTGCCCTGGCCAAAGCCCGTCTGCGTGAGGACGGCGGTTGTGGACGAGTCGGCGGCGGCGGCCAGGCCGGCGAGTGCCGCGACGACGCAGGCGGGATGGGGGAAGCGCATGGTTTCTTCCACGGCACGGGATTTGGGAGTGAGAATGGTAAAAGAGTGCGGAAACAGAAGTATGCTGTGTTGAAGGAGTGATGAAAGAGTGGCTCGGTTGCTGGAGGAAAGGAAATGATCGCATACTTCATGTCGCGGCCAGCCGGCGAGCAGCAACAGCCCAACTTAACATGCGAACGACGGGTGGAGACCATCTCGCGATTCGCTGTGCCGGAGAAATTTAGAGTTGGCCATCGTAACGAGGGGGGCGGTGTTCTGGTTTCCGGACCGGTTTCTGTTCCTGGCTCCGAGCAGTGCCACGAGCTAACCATGAACTACGCCTACGAACCAACTAAATTAGTGGCGGGAAAGGCGAGTCAATGTTCGCTCTCCCCGGGCTTTTTCTACTGTAGCTTCTAGATGCTTGGAAGAAGAGCTTTGGTATGATGCAGAGCGGAAGGGCAGGTAATGGGCTGGACTCAATGACAACTTGAAACGAAGAGAGTGCAAAGTCATCGCAGCGTCTTTTCCATTTCCTCATCATAAATGGTCCTTGATGTATTACAAGGCGCGGATGAACCTGAAATCGCAAGTTCAGCCCTGCCACAATCTCCATCGCCGTCGTCCATCGAAACAAGGAACTTATGCCAAAGTTTATTTCGGTGGGGGTTTATTAGCGTATCCGACAAAGAGTCGGTAGTTGCTAGTTGACCATCTAGTCTGTATCTAGTTTCGCTGTAGTTTGAACGGACTTTTGCGTTGCGACTTATAACAGAACCTGTCCCGAAACAGCACGACAACCAGCATCCCGTTCTCAAACTCCCCAGCCTTTACCCCCCTCTCTCTCTCTTCACATTTCCATCGTCCACCATGAAGCCCAGCCTTCTTCTCCTAGCCAGCAGCCCTGCCCTGGCAGCCTACTTCCGGCCCGCCGAATGGGGCGCGCAGTCGAGCGTCATCATGGCCTGGCCGTCCGGCGACAACCCGGCGTACCACAACGCGCCGGACGACCTGAGCGCCGCCACCGAGGACATTTCCAACATTGCCGCGGCGGTGGCCAAGTTCGAGCCCGTCACGCTACTCGTTGTGCAGAGCCGGCTGGCGGACGCCCAGGCGCAGTTCGCCGACCGCAGCAACATCACGCTGCTGCCCATCGCGACGTACCCCACGCTCGACCTGTGGATGCGCGACATGGCGCCGACGTTTGTGCTTGACCGGAGCAACACGACGGGGCAGCTCGCGGGCGTCGACTACAACTTCAACGGCTGGGGCGGCAAGTTCCCCACCGGCTCGTGCCTCTCGCTCGCGTCGCTGCTGTCCTACCACATGAAGGTGCCGCGCGTCGACGGTGCGCTCGTGTCTGAGGGCGGCTCGCTCGAGGTCGACGGCGAGGGCACGCTGCTCGTCACGGAAAGCTCCGTGCTCATCGATAACCGCAACCCGGGCACGACCAAGGCGCAAGCCGAGGCCGCATTCGAAAAGACGCTCGGCGTCACCAAGACCATCTGGATCCCGGGGCGCCGCGGCTCAGACATCACCGACGGCCATATTGATGGGCTGGCGCGCTTCATCGCGCCCGGCAGGGTGCTGCTGAGCCGGCCGAGCTCGTTGGAGGGCGGCGGCCCGTTTGTCGACACGTACCGCGAGGCGCGCGCGATTCTGGCCAACACGACCGACGCGAGGGGCCGCGTGCTGCATGTGACGGAGATTGCCGAGGCGGAGCTGGAGAATATCGGGGCTGACAAGGAGCTGGTGCAGCAGGTGCAGGACGGGCAAAAGGACTACCCGTCGCTGACGTATGTGAATTATGTCATGGTCAACGGGGGGATTGTGTTTGCGGCGTTTGGCGACAAGGAGGCGGATGCGGCGGCGCTTAAGCTCATACAGGGCCTCTATCCGGACAGGACGGTCGAGGTGGTCAACACGCAGACGCTTGCGTTTCTGGGAGGCGGCATTCACTGCTCCACGCAAGAGGTGCCAGCGAGCGAGTAGGGCAAAGTGTATACAATAGTGTAAAATCGATATCTAGATTCTGGTCATGTACTGCTGCTCTCAAGACAGGCACCGTTGCTCGCAACACTTTCGCGCTCTGCAGGGACCGGAATGCTTCAAGAGCAGGTATGGCGCTGGCTTCGCGCTGGTTGTTGCCGTTATCTTGCATGCCATGTTGGCGCACGTCAATGGCGACGCTTATAATCTGGCACTCAATGCGCTGCGCTTATAATCTGGCGCCACCCCACGTTTCTCGAGCTTGGCACGCCCATCGTCCACCACTATGGATCACGACTTGGCTGGATTGACGCCGATCGGGGAGCATCGTTTCTAGAGTAGAGTTGCTAAGATCTAAAATTACATTCTACTTACTTGATATGCTTTTTAGTATCAGTCGTCTAGCTTAATATCGAGGATGGCAAGCCTCTTGACTGGATCAAACTCAAGCAGGCCCAGAATAATAGGCATATATCGATCCTTGACATCCTGAGGAAGTTCATTCATAATTTCCTTTTGGCCACTTCGTAATGCATCAAGACCGTAGACAACCTCCTCAAGCAAGCCCTCATCGTTACAGCCAATGGAACGCCGGAAGAGGAGGCCTCCGCCGGTCAATATAAAGTACATCTAATGTATTTGGTTAGGCACATGAGGAATACAGTGACGAGAGCTAGGGTAGCAGAGCATACCGTCTGGCCGAGATACCAGCTGTCAGCCTTGAACGGCTGGTTGGTGCTCTTGTCTCCAACGAGGAGCTCGGGCGGCGCCGGGTTCCCTGGGGGAAAGTCGTCGGATGTGTAGAGGGCACCAGGTTTTGAGATAAAGGAGAAACCAAAGTCAATAATTTTGATACCGCTGGGACTGAAGCCGATATCCTCGGGCTCAGTGGACCGGCACGGCATCCATGGCGGTGGGAGACTGTCGTCATGTAGGCGCACGTCGTCCTCCGCGGGAGGCGTGGCAAGGAGACGCGTCATGTCGTCTTTGCTAGGTGCATCGAGGGCGATATTTCCGGGGTGCAAATCTTGGACATTATCTAGTAAGGGAAAAGAAGAAGATATTATAAGCTGGAGGGGGGTGAGCCGCTGTACATACCAGCATGGACCACGCCAATGCGATGGAGTTCGGACATGCCCTGAACTATTTGGCCAATGTACTTTCGCCGGCGCTCCAATGTCAGCGGCAAATTTGGATTTTTGTCATGGTTTTCGAGTGCATCGTATACACGGCCCATGCAGATTCCTGTTGTCGGGTACACGATGGCTTGGAACGACACATTCTCGAAACGAGACTGCGAAGTGTTGTGCAGGTGGTGGGGAATCACGAAGTGATCGCGGATCGTCGACACAAAGGGGCTAGTGCAGTTCTTCTGGATATACTTGCACATGGCCAACTCATTATTTCCGTCGCGGGGGAGAAATTTGACGGTGAGGAAATCACTATAGAGGGCGTGTCAGCATAAATTCAGTTGGGTTCGCCGACGGAAGGCAGGTGGATCCTGAGGAGTTGGTGTACTTGGTGTGGGCATCTCTGGTCAACCAGCACCAGCTGCCCAGGCGGCGCAGAAGCTTGTAGCCATGGTACGTATTGTCTCGATAGATGACGGGTTGAATAAGCCGATCCCACTGCTCTAGCAGATACTCGTCGCGCCAGAAGTTGCCGCCGTGTGTGAACTGTTTGTAAGCCGTGAATAATGGATAGACCGTGTTGAGCGACCGGGATGTGACCCGCATGGCTTCAGCGCGGCAAGAGGGGTTTTGGAAATGCAGAGTTTTGTTGTCGCAGTCGAGGGAGAGTTGGTGCGAGTGCGAGGCTTAAATGGTAACGTGAGGATGCCTCTTTCCTAGATCTTGACACCTTGAAAGGCTGCCTCAGGGCCCAATCAACTGGTACATTAGTAGTTACCTAGGTACCTCACTAGTACTAACAGCTGACCTAGCCCCGATCTCTGCCCCAACTTTAGCCGTTCAGGGGATCAGGGTTTACCTAAGTAGGTACCTAATAAGGCAGGCACATGAACCAACACTCATTACGTAAGTAGAGACTCTTTCCCCCTTCCACCTCGTGGCCACCGCCAACTCGCGCAATTCCTGCAATGGCTGTCACTGCACCATGGAAAATATCGGTTCCACGAGTACCATTGAACCAGTCGGGCCTGGAGTTGTCCTCAAACAGCCAATTACCTTCCAGACCCCAGGACTTGCCGAAAAGGTCGATCTCTGCTTTTCCGTGGAACCACTCATTCTCCAAAAGCTCGGACAACATCCACGAATTGTAAAGTAAGTGCATTATATATGTGGCCGTTGGTGCTCACTTGTGACGTCGATTTGTTAGATATCTTGGTCAACAAGGCCGCGGCCTACTGCTCGGGCAAGCGAGCCACAGCAATCTTCAGGCCTATATCGACAGTGCTCCCTCGATTGACCTACGCCAACGGATAATATGGTGTCGACAATTAGCCGAAGCAATCTGCTATATACATAGTCGCGGTGTGGTCCACTCCGATCTTCGTCCTAGGAACGTGCTTGTACACGAAACCACAGCAGGATCTCGGGATCTACTGCTTTGCGACTTTGGCGGATCTACATGTGATGAACTAGGTCTAGATGGAGGCTGCCTCCCTGATGGCCCATTCTACCACCCTTCCTTTGGATCAAACTCGACGCCCGCTCTGGATATATTTGGACTCGGTTCTCTCTACTACACCATCATGACAGGGCATTGGCCTTACCGATCAACCTCAGGTGCCCCCGAAACAATCGATGAGAAAATTGCCTACGAAGAGGAAATTGCCAGGGCTTTCAATGACGGAAGATATCCTGATGTGACGAGAATATTAGGAGGCAGAGTGATCCTGGCATGTTGGACAAAGCAGTACTCGACGGCAGACGAGGTTCTGCGCGCTTTGGACAGAGAACTACGTATCCCTGTTACTGTTGAAAGCGCACAGGAAAACGGACACGTCTCCAAACTTTTTCTGGGCGGAATACTCATTACTGCCCTGGTATCCTCGATGTATATGCTTGTCCGCCGACAGTTTCGGTGAGCATCTGCCTATGTAGTTCATTGAGTGGCCTCCTTGTGGCGAATACATACAGATTTACGGGGTCAATTCGACTGCAAGTACTGTCTCTGGTTACAACGCGTCTGGAACGCTATGTGAGGGGTAGCAAACTGGCTCTGCCCGCCCACCGACGGCGATTTGTTAGGTCCTGCGCGGTGGATGGGAGCTGCGTAGCCGCTATGGCTTCGCCACTTACAGGTCTCTTTCACACGGGTGGCCTTTATGACTCGCAAAAGACCAGAATCAGTACCGGAAGTCGCAAATATGTGCTATCCTTCACAAAATATACTGGAACTTGACTATTGATCTTGTCTCGACACCATGCTGCGAACGTTGCAAATAGAGCTGAAGCGCGTCGCGAGACAACAAGTCGACGACATCAGGGCACATCGTGCCAGCGGCCCAATTAACCCACCACACTCAGCGTTCCTTGTCAGTCCAGTCCCTTCAGTCCAGTCTCATCAGTCCAGTTCCTTCAGTCCAGTCTCTTGATGAGGTTCTCCATGATGGCCACAGACAGGGCTCCGTCCGCAGAGAAGAGCTCGCGAAATTCCGAATCCGCCCACAGCTGCTTAAAATGGCAGGCGGCAAAGATGCTCACCATCTTCCGGAGCTGCGGTCGCTCGCCCTCCTCGTAGGTGTACCGCAGCAGAGCGACCACGTCGGAGATTCGCTCGCCGTGGAGGATGAACTTGCACAAGATCTTGTGGAGCTTGCGGAGCGCCAGCTCTGCGAGCGGCTGGATCTCGTAATGGACAGCCATGACATGCACCCGTGCGTGCGACAGGAAAACTTGCTTGTACTGGAGAAAGCTGCGTACCATCTTGCGGGGGCGGCTAGGCTTGACGGAACCAGAGTCGTCGGAAATACCACAGTCCTGGAGCAGCTCGACTTTGAAGGCATTCCAGGCGTCATTTCTTGTGAGTGGTGTCATCTCTGCCTCGGCATCCGGAACAGCCGCTGGCTCTACAGAGTACTCTTCCGTCATGAGCCGCTTCTTTTTCTTATCCTTCTTGCTAGATCGCCCCCAAGAATCTTCTTTGACTGCTTTCTCAGTGGCACCAAACGGCCAATCATCGTCGTCTGTCGGCTTTTCTTCTGTTTCGGTATACCCACAGGCACCACACTGGGTCTTCATTGATCTTGAAGTCGAGTACACTCCCCACGATCGACTAGGAACAGGTTCATAGGCAACGGCCTCATCAGAAGCACGCTCGTCGGCCACAGCCTCGTCAGCATCAGGCTCCGCCGGTGTAACTGGCTCAAGAACTTCTCCTGTCCCCGAATCTGCCGTGGCTTCCTCGGCCGGAGGTGGTTCCCGCGGAGGGCTGCCTTCATAGTCGCCCGTGTATACGTATTGGCCGAAGCGGACAAATGTATCCTCGTCCACTTCTTCCCACACTGTATAGCCGTCTGTTGCTTCGTCCTTTGACCCGTTGACCACCGCGCCGAGCACCGAAGACTTGCTCGCCGCTAGCGACGCGTGGATGTAGAACTCGCGTTTCTCTGGTCCGACGAGAAACGTGTAAGGCTTCGACGAGAGGAAACTATGAGCTCAAAAATTAGCCGTGCCTTTTGAACCAGCGCCGTTTTCCGCTCACCTGTCATACCCAAGTCCCGCCATGGTGATGCAGATGGCTTCCCTCACCGGTACTCCAGGTCTAGGATGAAGGGGGGAAGAAAATGGCCAGGAGTTTGCAGAAGGCTTCCTTTATCCGTGTTCCAACTCTAGGACGAAGGGAGGTAGATAATGGCCAGGAGTTTGCTGGCTGGGGCGGTTGGGCACGACGGCAGCGGCAGGGTTGTCTTGGCCCTGCCTGCAGAGACTGCCACATCACAACCGCATTTAGGCTGTAGGTGCCTGAACAGGATGTGCGATAACGGAGTAGCTGTCGACTGTGTCAGATGGTAGGCCTAATAGTTGTATACTTGTGTCGCTTTCGTGTAGCCTCAAAAACGAGGAGATGCGCTGTTCAGGCACCAACCAAGCAGAGGGAATAATTTGTGGAGCTTTATTCCCTTTGCATTGTACAATTGATCAAGGGATAGCTACAAAAATACCTCCCGAATTTACAAAGATGCTGTCAAATGCAGCATGGCGAATCAGAAGAGGCGGAACAATGAGATGTCATCGTGGGCGCTTCTGCCTACTCTAGGCAGAAGTATACAGCTCATAGGTTGAGGCGGAGTACAATGAAACTGTTGCGTGAGATAGAGTCGCACACTTGACTGTGACTGCTGTTGTTCCATAGAAGGTACACATGGCTTGCCAGTCTCTTTGTTGCCTGTCTGCCTATCATAGGTTGAGGCCGAGTACAATGAAACTGTTGCGTGAGATAGAGTCGCACACTTGACTGTGACTGCTGTTGTTCCATAGAAGATACACAGGGCTTGTCAGTCGCATTGTTGCCTGTCTGCCTAGTAGGACAAGGCGACAACCAACTGTGACAAACGAAACGCTCCAACTACGAGTATAAGTTGACCTGGTCCCCAAAGCAGAATGCGAATATTGGCCTTTGATGTTTGGCTATCCAACATACCTCCCCAGTCTGCGACTCCGTGGCCGGTTCTCCTCGCTTCACCATGGACAACGCACAACCATCTCCGAAAGCTGTTGACGATGGCCCGACCGGCCCCCAGCGCCTATTGCATCTCCCCATGGAGCTGTTGGTGAAGATTGCTAATCAAACGCTGCCAGACATTGAGAATTTTGCCCTTACATGCAGTCGACTTCGTGAGGCGGCCAGCCCAGCCCTGGAAGAACACCATCAACTTCGCAACAGATACCGAACATTCTCTTCCGAAACCAACCAGATGGCGACGGCTGTCGATTTGCTGGCAAGGATTGTACTGGTGCCCCCGATTGCATCCTACATTGTTCACCTAGACCTGCGCGACAGCGACAGCGACAGCGACAGGGACAGCGACAGGGACAGAGGCAGCGACAGAGGCAGCGACAGAGACAGAGACAGCGACAGCGACAGCGACAGCGACAGCGACAGGGACAGCGACTTCCCTGAGCCAACAACGGAGTATATCCAACGAAGAACCGACGTGCTTGGACCCTTGGTGCGTAGGTCGGCGCATCTCTCCCTGCTCAACCCTGGCGACAAAAATCTTCAGGCGAACTGGCTGTACCGAATTGTGCGAGGCGCGAAGCGGCACGTTTTCGAACCTGCCCGGAAAACCCATTCAATTTTATTTCTCGCCTCTCTTCTCATTAATGTTGAGACACTCATCCTGCCCGAGGACTGGTACTCTTCTGATTCCTTTCCCACGAGGGAAGGGGACCCCATCGCTGACCTGCTACCCCTTATGGTCAAGAACGCCAACGATGAGAGCTTAAAGAATCAGCCTCTGCAAAAATTGCGTATTGTCGAAAGACATCGTTCTCCGGAGAGTTCTCGTTACGCACCTGAGGCGAACATTGAATGTGTCTTTCCCTTCTTGGCTCTCGACTCCCTGCAGGAGCTCAACCTCAGCTACGGAGTCTGCCCGTCGCTTGATCTGGCCCAGAATACAGTTTCCCTTCCCCTCGGCCGCAATCTAAAGGTTTTGAAGTTGCAAAACTTGGCCGTGGCTCACACATCGGCCCTCTTCAATGCCGTAGTCCGGTATGACAGGGAGATCGAGCGCGTACCCCGAACTGAGCCCGACGATCGTATGCGGGCTGATGTAGTCCTTCGAACTTTGATCATGGGGTTCTCTAAAACTCTAGAGAAGCTGGTACTTACCGGGATCGGCGACGGCTTAGGGTTTGAGGTTCTGGACTGCCCACTTTGGGAGTTTTCGCACTTGAAGCACTTGGAGCTAAGCACCGAATTTATCGACAACCTTTATGAACTCAACGTCTCTGTGGAGGATGCGCCATGGCATGCAAGGACGGAGGAGAGGTATGGGCTGAAAAGAAACAAGAAAGATTTCGAGGACGCCAGGCAAGTCACCCACAATACGAAAACCTGGTGCCTGGTCGACGTGCTGCCTGAGTCGCTCGAGACACTCACCCTCCGCATGCCCATCACGCGCATCGACCCGGCCTCGGTCTGCCAATTCTTTGACGACTTCGAGAAGTTGAGGCGTCAGCGCCTGCCGAACCTCCACAGAATCGAGGTATGCATCGTCAGGGAGGCTCGCGGTTCAGAGGAAGCCGACGAGCGCCACTTCGCTGTGTACAAAGAGTACCTTGGCGACATTGGCGTGTCAGCATGTTTAAAATGGAGAGGTGATGATTAAGGCAGTGCAGTGCATAAGGTAAAACAGTACCAAAACGCATAGGGCTCTGGTTATCGTCTATAGTTTAGGTATAATACATCCGAATACTAGAAAATACACATTTTGCTGCTTACATCCTGTAAAATCTCTAGTATGGCTTGCCAAATGTCCTTCTTAGGGGAGTCTAACAACTATGAGACAGTGATTGATAGTGATCAGATGCGAAAGTCAGCACTTGCGGTCTCTGCATTTGACGTTCTGTACGGGACAATTACTTGGCCGGCCTGTACAATACGTGAGAAAAGACGATAGAATTCCGCGTTATCAACAGGATAAAGGTTAGCATAGAAGCTTGATTATAGAAATCTCCAAGCCAGTGGTTCCGCTTCATCTGTTCTATTCGACACTCATTTCCCACTCGATGACCGGGGGACTATCGCATGGCCTTCCGACCGTCAACTGCACGACTCCACGGCTCAACTCCATGATGATGGTGCTGACCGTCGTCACCCTGTCCAAACCGACGTCCTGGTGGGACGGCCCATCCAGGCAGATGGAGTACGGCGCGCCCTGCCGGTCGCACAGCCTCATTCGTATGCTGTCAAAGCTCGGCGGCACGCCATTCTCGCGATCCAGCATCGTCAGCTCGCGCAGCCTGGCCAGTCTAGTGAAGGAATTGTGCTCCGGGTAATCGACAACACCAAAGCGGCTATTGATGGCGTACAAGTGGTTCGTGTGCCCGACCGACGGAAACGGCTCGCCCTGCAGGGGGATGACGGCGTTGCCGCGCGGCGAGCACTCGACGCTCGCGGCGCGGCCCTGGGCGTCGGCCACGACAATGTTGCACGTGCTCGCCAGCCCGTACGCGTCCATGACGGCGAGCGCCTCGGCAAACGAGGCGGCGAACTGCAGCACGCGGCGCAGCAGCACGTGGATCGGCAGCCGGGCCGTACTCAGCGCGCCGGCCAGGATCCCGTTGAGCAGCGTGCCCACGCCGGCCGAGTTGAGCCCGATCTTGCCCACGAGCCCGGCCTCGGACATGAACTGGAGCTGCAGCGGCGACGTCGCGGGGACGATGTGCAGCACCACGAGGTGCACCGGCAGCCAGTCCCAGTTTTGCGCGAGGAAGATGCGCCCGTCCGGGCCCTGCTGGCTCAGACAGGTGCATCCGTCCGCGACGTTGGTGAGCCCGAGCTCGCTCCGCGTGTTGAGCGTGAGGATGTCGGGCATCGTGAGGCCCTGGCCGGCGCCGTCCGCGATGCCCCTCATTTCGTCGAGTATCTCGGGGTACTTGGCGGACAGGAGGGGCAGGTACGCCGATGCGCGCTCCCGGGCTTGCGCCCAGCTGATCTTGGCCCGGTCTTGGAAGAAGTCGGCATAGATGGCGATGTTGCCGTGGATCTCGGCTGCGGCGCCAGAGCCATGGGCAAGGCCAATCTCGTACGGCGTTCCCGCGCATGTGATGATTTTTGTTTCGCCTTGCATGATGGCGATTCGTAGAGGGCTGCTGCCGGCAATGTGCAGTTCCAGTGACTTGCGATTAATGCATAGCTGCGGAATATGGTCATTGGAGAGCTATATATATTGGACTGCGTTTCTTGTACCCGGCATCAGCTCGGGGAGCAAACAATCTGCGTATTTGAGTGGCGTTTTGGTCCGAGTTGGAGGCTGGCTACAAGGCTGTCAGCGCCAGCTGAGCCCATCGCTTAGATAAACAACCGACGTAGTAGTGGGATGGTGTTTACCACTTTCCCCGCGGGCGCCGCCGAAGTGTGGCCATTGTGGCGCTGCATGACCTCGCTGCATGACCACGATGCCAGGTGCGTGACGACAACAAGTGTGGCATGACAGCCTGGGTGAGGGTTGTGGGCTACAGGCTGCATGAGCTGCTGCTAGACTACGCGAGATACACAGCTCAGGTCTGAAATATATGGTCAGAACGAGCCTTGGTTTGCGCTGTGGGCTGAAGACGGCTGCAGAACACTGGGCCGAGGGCACTCTGTATTCGCACTGCCTATCTAGGTGAAGAAGTCCAATATGTTTGACACGACCGCATCCGGCGCACTCTCCGGGATAAAATGGTCCGCATCGAGCCTCTGCCCATCCACCGCCGTACCGTCCGCCGTCACCGCGCGCCACTCCCTCAGCGGATCGAAGCACGTCTCGATGACGCCCTGTCCGGCCCAGAGCACGCGCAGCGGACAGCAAACCAGCCTTCCCCTCGCAAGATCCTCGCGCGCCTCGTCCAGATCCAGCGTGGCGCTGGCGCGATAGTCCTGGCACATGGCGTGGACGGTCTCGGGGCTCTCCAGCATGGCGAGGTAGTACTCGAGGCAGCCGGCGCCGAACGCGGCGCGGTCCTGCTCGCGCTCGATGCCGAGGCAGAACTCGCCGAAGCGGCGGGCGCAGCCGCTTATCATGGCCTCGGGCAGCGGCTCGGGCTGGATGAGGAAGAACCAGTGGAAGTAGGCGGCGGCGAGCCGGTGGTCGGTGGACGCGTACATGGCCAGCGTCGGGCACACGTCGAGCAGCAGCGCGCGGCGCACGCGCCCGGCAAAGTCGACGCACAGCTTGTGCGCGACCCGCGCGCCGCGGTCGTGCCCGCACACGAAGAAGCCGCCGCCGAGGCCCAGCGCGTCCATGACGCGGATGCAGTCGCGCGCCATGGCGCTCTTGGCGTAGTGCTGCACCTTGCCCGGCTTGGACGAGGCCCCGTAGCCGCGCAGGTCCATGAGCACGACCGTGTAGGTCTGCACGAGCTGCGAGGAGACTTGCTCCCAGATGTGGTGGCTCTGCGGGAAGCCGTGCAGGAAGAGGATCGGCGGCAGGCGAGAGGTGGCATTTCGACGGAGACGCCCGAAGATGGTGACGGCGGGGACGGTCTCGGTGGTGATGCTGAAGGATTCGAAGCCGGCAAACATGATGATGTAGCGGGATGAAGCAGCGTATGGGTATATGCGATTACGTCGTGTTCAAAGGTGGGAAGGTGGTGCCAACTAAGTAGCCGTGGGACAGCGCTGGAAAACTGTTGGTCAACTGCACCTCGCCACGTCAGCGGCCGTCATGACCGGCCTCCCGTGGCGCAGGTTTGCGCTGTCAAAAGCGCCATCAAGACTGTCAACTGTCACATTGTTGTCGCCCTACCTGTTTGTGTGCGACCCCTCCAAGCACGGCCCGGCCGAGTGCAGCTCTACCATGGTCGATCCCATGACTGCATCTGAGGGGCCCATCAAGTTTGGGCTGTGTCTGATTACTAAAGCCAGCCCATACGGTCTCTACTGATCGAGTACCTTTTGCCCATGTTTACTGTTTAGTGATTGTTGAGGCAGTGGCTTGGCTATTCCCACCCCGCAGGCCGTGTAAGTCGGTGCCCGTGGCGGTTCTCGAGGTACAAGTCCAGTCCTGTGACGTCCTACGGTGAATAACAGCGCATCAAATCGTCCTCCCTGCGAATCATCAGTTCCAAGCTGTAGTACGCTTTTCTTCTGCCAATAGTTCATGCACAGATGTAGGGAATTCACTCAACCTCGAATGTCAGCACCGCTTCAGGAAGCTCCACGGCTGGCAGCCAATCACTAAATTATGTATCACCCTGGATAGGGTAAATTTTCGATCAATCTTTTTTATTTCTGTCCATACAGAGCATTATGCAGCGCTCTCTCATCAATACTGTAGCCTCGCGTTTCTGCTAGACGTCACTCGTGCCTGGTGCTTTTGGTCCGCCCAATTTCAAGATCTCCCGCTCCACCTCGTCGCCAAAACTGATCGTCGTGCCCTGTCCACCCATGTCCGGCGTCATGATTGTCGGATCCGAGCGCGCCAGAACATTCTCAATCGCGCGGAGGAGCGCCGCCGCCGCGTCCACATGGCCAAAGTGCTGGAGCATCATCTGGCCGGCCCAGATCATGCCGACCGGGTTTGCGATGCCCTTTCCGGCAATATCCGGGGCGCTGCCGTGCACGGGCTCAAACAGGCTGGGGAAGCGGCCTGTGGGGTTGATGTTGGCCGACGGGGCGATGCCGATGGTGCCGGTGCAGGCCGGGCCGAGGTCGGACAGGATGTCGCCAAACAGGTTGCTGGCGACAATGACGTCGAACATGTGCGGGCGCAGGACAAAGTGCGCCGTGAGGATGTCGATGTGGTACTTGTCGACGGCGACGGCGGGGAAGCGGGCGGCCATTTCGCGGACGCGCGCGTCCCAGTACGGCATGGTGGTGTTGATGCCGTTGCTCTTGGTGGCGCTGGTGAGCTTCTTGCGCGGGCGGCTCTGCGCGAGCTCAAACGCGTACTTGAGCACGCGGTCCACGCCGACGCGCGTCATGACCGTCTCCTGGATGACAATCTCGCGCTCCGTGCCCGCAAACATGGTGCCCCCGATGCTGCTGTACTCGCCCTCGGTGTTCTCCCGCACCACCCAGAAGTCAATGTCGCCCGGCGCCCGCCCGGCCAGCGGGCACCGGATCCCCGGCATCAGCCGGCACGGCCGCAGGTTGATGTACTGGTCGAACTCGCGCCGGAACTTGAGCAGGCTGCCCCACAGCGAGACGTCGTCGGGCACCACGTCGGGCAGGCCCACGGCGCCAAAGTAGATGGCGTCGAACCGCATGAGCGTCTCCTTCCAGTCCGCGGGGAGCATCGCCCCGTGCTTCTGGTAGTACTGGCAGCTGGAAAAGTCAAACGACTCAAATTCGAGAGGGATGCCGAAGAGCCGGCCGATGGCTTCGAGGCACCGCACGCCTTGCGGCATGACCTCGGTGCCAATGCCGTCGCCCGGGATGACGGCAATCTTGAGGGGTTTGGCAGCCATGATGGTAGGAATGGTAGGGATGTGTGAGGGTGTTTGCTTGTGGGAAGGATGATAGGTCGGTCGAAAGCCACTGGCTTGTGGCAGAACTGCGACTTATATGCACGAGGGGAGCCGGGTGGGGGTGCGGCAGAATGATGAGCCGATGAGCTGCATGATCCGGACGGTAGTCAATTGGTAAAGACAGCACATTGAACTGTAGAATGAGGTAGCTGGCAAGTCTAGTAAGGTAGTGGTATGAGTTTCATCTATCGTCTAATTGCTTTCAGAGAAAAATGCGATAACTTTAGAAGCTACGACTTCCGGAAGCTGCTCCGGGATGTAGTGCCCCGAGTCAACGCTGTGCCCCTCGACAAGTACGTCCTTTTCCGCAACTGCTTTCCATTCCTTGATCGCGTCAAAACACTTCTCAATCACGCCGCGCTCGCTCCAAAAAACCCGCAACGGGCACTTAATCAGCCTACCCTGGGCAAGGTCCTCGCGCGCCTCGTCCAGGTCCAGCGACGCGCTGGCCCTGTAATCCTGACACATGCCATGCACGGCAGCCTCGTCGCCGAGCGCCGCGACATACGATTCAAACGCGGGCTCGTCAAAGATGGTCACGCCCTCTGCCTGGCGCGCGCCCATAAACAGGCGCGCAAACTCGCGCGGGCGGGCGGCGATGAGCGTCTCCGGAAACGGCGCGTCCTGGATTAGGAAGAACCAGTGAAAGTACGCCGTGGCGAACTGGAGGTTGGTCTGGCCGTACATGGCCAGCGTGGGACAGATGTCGAGCAGGATAGTGCTGGCGATGCGCGCGGGGTGGTCGACGCAGAGCTTGTGGGCAACGCGGGCGCCGCGGTCGTGGGCGCAGACGAAGAAGCGGCGGCCGGCGTGGCCGAGGGCGTCCATGACGGCGATGCAGTCGCGCGCCATGGCGCTCTTGGCGTACGCGGCCACCGAGGCCGGCTTCGAGGAACCGCCGTAGCCACGCAGGTCGATGAGCACGAGGTGGAAGCGCCCGGCGAGCAGCGGCGCTACCCGGGACCAGATCCGGTGGTTCTGCGGGAAGCCGTGCAGAAGCAGCAGCGGCGGCAGTGGCGTGGGAGACGGCGCGCTCTGCAGACCAAAGATGGACACGGCCTCGGGCTGCGTCTCCGTCTGCACCGTGAAGGGCGTGAATCCGGGGAACATGGCGGAAGTGCGTCGTGGGGTTGCAGCAGAAGGATGTAAGACATGAGTTGGCTCTTTATGTCGTTACCCCACGGCTGCAAGTTAATGATCAAGTGGGGTTATTGGATTAGAGGTCTAGACCCGAATAGAGAAAGAATTAGTTGATTATTTGATCGTCCGTGCGAACAAACCGAGCTGGTGTATAAGCCGGCGGCTTAAAGTTTTAGCGAAGAGGTGGCAGGCCGAATCTACAGCGGATGGCATACGCTAAGTAGCCGAATATCGCTTAAAAGAGTAGCCTAATGCACCACTTGCGGTGTTTCCTTTTCGTGGAAAGTTCCTTTCCCAGAGAAGATAATACTCTTGCAGTCTAGCTTGGGAGTTGATTCATTTCTCATGGTACAAGGCAACTTGAAAAAAAGGGGCTGTGTAAGTAGATTCGAACTAAGTACTTCTTGACGTCGAGAAATATGAAGTTAACAGCTCCAAAGAAGTGGAGACCTTGGCATTTAGGGCCTCCAGCACTTGGAAAACATACATCAGCAATTGCCTACCGGTGACCACCACTCGTCGAACCTCACCCCCGGCCTCACACTTCTCGAGGAGCACGGCAGGCAATGTTGCCCAGCCCCATCTGTGCACCTTGCTGGCCGTCATAGTGGGAGCTGATGATGCTCGCTTAGGCATCACCGACATGCCACCGAACGTCCGCGGCCGAGCTGCGTGCAACGGCTGTCGCTCGCGGAAGCAAAAGGTAGCCCGAACCAAGCCAAGTGAGCTGATACAACGTGGCGTACTGACGTGTAATCTTTGCAGTGCGACGAAAAGAGGTAAAGATTTCTGATAGCTTCGAGTTTGGCGGCCTGGTCTGACAACCACTAGGCCAATCTGCTCCCGCTGCCGCGATCTAAACAAGCCCTGCCAATGGCCTGGGGTACGGAAACGGTAAGAAACCCAGCGCAGCGCAATGCACCATGAAACATGCTGAGCGGGAAGCAGCGGGCCGGCCAAGGGCTACACGGAAGCCCTGGAGCACAGGCTGCGAGAGACGGAGCGCGCTCTTCTGCACGTCGTCGCCGCGGTGGACGGCGCGACCCTGGCAGCGGCCTTGCCGGGCGGCGATGCTCAGGCCGGCCGCGCTGATGCCCTTTCGGACGTGAGAGCCGACAAGGCCGGCATGGCTGCCTACTGGGAGCGCTTTCCGCTGTCCACGCCAGAGGATATCCTGAGCTGGGCCGGTGCGCAGCCCGTCTTTCAGGAGCTGCGCGCGGGCGGTGCGGCACCCACGACGAGGCGAACAGCCGCCCGCTTCGCACAGCATTTATCTACGAGTGACACGGCAGTGGCCTCTGGTGCCTCCTTTCCAGAACGCGCTGCGAAATCCGCCCCAAGCTCCGCCAGCGTCACTGCTCCGCCTAGCTTCGTACCAGACGCATCGCCAGAGTCGGACTCGCAGGAGAATACATTCGACATGCCAGAGGAGTTCAAAGAGCAGTATCTTTGGTAGTCATGGATAAAGGGAGTATCAGGTCCCTTGATGCTCCCGAGTGTCTACTACAAAAGCCTGGCCCCGGGACTACTACATTCCGCAAGTCGCACAGTGACGAGTATCATACGAGGCAAAGTCTTCTAGCCCAAACGATCTCCAAAGGTCTTGACGTACGAGTCCCAGCCGGTATTGTCGTACAGAAGCCCCGACAACCCGGGGTTGAGCCCCTGTACCAGAAACTCTTGCCACGCATCCTGGCGACAAAACGGGTTCGCGTCAAACCCGAAATCAGGCCCGGTATACTCCAGCACTGGCTGCCACATGTAGGATGACTCCAGTGTAGGGTGCAAGGCAGGTTCTGCGCTTGGATAGAGGGGCGTGTGCGTTGCGTCGTGGCTGTCTTGCTTTCGGCGTTTGCTTGGGGCTTCTGATGTATCGAAAGGGGCCTCGGAATTTGCACCATCGTTGGGAGAATCTTCGCCGATTATATTCTGTGGTGTTTGGTGTGCACGCTTTGGCAAGTGGCAAGGCTCGGAAGACAGTTGGTCGAGCATCAACTTTAGAGTGTCGCGGCAGTGACTTGCACTAGGCCATGTACTACCCATACTGTCAAGGACAGATATGCTGTGCTGAATGTCCCTGAAGGCAACACGTTAGAATGTTGCTAGATTTTTGAATTTTAATCGTACTCACAAGATGCCCTTTGGAAGTGGATATATCTTGAGCAGACTTGCATAAGCCACTACAAGACCAGCCATCCAAATGGCAGAGAGAGCGCCCGGCCAAGCCAAGACTAGCGAGCCTTTTGAACTTGTGCGGAGCTGTCGAATAATGGAGCGGCTTGCATTCAATGCTACCTGCAAGGAAGACCGGAAATCTTCTCGGTCTGTGGGTAGTGAGAGGAAGGGCCGGTTCACGAAGAGGACAAGGTGGTGGTACAGGACGGCAAAGAAGGCACCGTAGGGTGACTGTGACCCAGTCGTATCCTCATCTTGCAAGGAAGACGGCAAGCTGTTCCACCATGCGTGGATTCGTGCCGTCATGTCGAGAACCTTGTCCAACATGATTGATCTGCTATGTATTGATGAATGAAACAGCCGGAGAGCTGCGCCCAGCAACTGCGAGTACGTGACTACATATCCGAGAACAAGGGTAGGGGCTTCTTCAGGACGGGTTTTGTGAAGATGCGACGGGCTGTGCGCACCAAAGTTTTGGGAATTGGGTGTAGGGGTTGCGCTTGCGGTGCCGCTTTCGCGCAGGAATGATGCATGGTTGCTGGGAAGATGCGCACGAACCTCGTCGCCATCAGTAGTGGTCGAAGCCTGGCGGTCATGCCCGACTGGATTATGAAGTTCTGGCATGCCCGGTATGCAGACATCGACCTCTTCGTCGCTCACAGCCACGGGGTGCCCTAGCGAGAGGCTGAGATGGCGATCCAGTACATACGAGCACCACCATATTCTCTGCCGAATTACAAGCACGTCCTTGGGCAGCTGCAAGTACCGGAACGGACATCGGTGCAGGCCGGCTTGGTAGAGGATCCGGGTCAGCGCGCCGTGGACCGTGGACGCAGCCCGCGACGACATGCGGACGACGAGGTACAGCTCCATCGCCAGGAGGACCTGAAGCGTGTACATGTCCTGCTCGCCGGCGATGATGCCGAGCAGGCTGGTCAGGACAGCAGGCGAGGTGATGCAGCAGCGAGGCTCCAAAAGCTGCTCGTCATCATCGGTGGCTGCAATGTTCCACACGCATTGGAAGCAGACGGCGCGGCAGAGCTTCTCTCTCAACGTTTCAGAGCCTCGACTCGGGTTGCCGGGTGGTTGGGCAGAGTAGAATCGATTGACCTGCTCAAAGAACGTCGGACCATGCAAAAAGGGAAAGATGGGATGCCACTTGCGAAAATACATCATGAGCAGCTTCTTGGCCACGGCCGGCGTCGGCGGCGCGCCGAGTCCCGGGATCTGCACCTCATACGACGGACCGAGCGAGGCGTCCGATGGGATGCTGGTGGGCGAGCTGATCAACTGGAGGAGCACATCGCCGTCGGCCGCCGCCGGCTGCTCGTCGTGCGGCGCGTGCAGGCTGTGGAACGAGCCCGGATCCCGCGTGGACGAGGCGGCAAACGCCCGAAACACCGTGTTGAGGAAGAAGACGCCGCTCGCGCTGCCGATGAACTCGGACTTGTCGCGGCGGCGCGAGACAAACGAGCCCACCTCGATGGGAGGGAATAGGGCCGTGGTGGGCGGCGGCCGAGGTTGGGCAGACATGGATTGGCCCGATGAACGATGAGGGCTGGATATTTCGTTTGTCTGGGTGCACTCATCAAGAGTATGCACAAGGCCAGGTTGGTGGGTCGCTGCGATGGCATGATTCCGTCAACGGCGGTTAAACTTTGTGCCGATGGCGCAACAGATAACAGATCCGCGCCTGAACATGCTAGTTAAATGATTAAAGTACGGACGATGTATTGTGTAATGTGTGTGTAGGATGGGTACGTACCCCGCCTACTAACCTACCTCCCAACTACCCTACACCCCCTACACCCAACGAATTCTTAAATACCACCTTCACCATGAATTACCCCATTGCCCATCAGCTTTGTTTCTATGGTACCGTGCTGACGCATTTTGCCAGGTCCTTTATCCTCATGTCCTTACAACTGCTGGGTGATTTGCAGTTCTTTGATGCTTCTCTGCATTTCTGGAAATATAGTCAGTGCCCATTATCCATGCCACTACCTGTAAACGAGGCGTAGCTTACCGTGCAGTTTGGATCCTTCGAGCCTGGTACTTTGCAGCCTCGCATACATATGTTATCCAGGACGAGACACACGCATTGTAGGTTTGCACCCTCAAAGCTGCCGCATTCGCGCTGGCAATATTCTGCGTTAATTTCGGCTTGCATCTCGCAATCAAATTTTTTCAGTTTGGCGAGGTTCTCCTCTTCGCTGGTGACTGTGGCGACTGCGGCGACTGCGGCGAATATATTCGTCACAAGAATCGCAAAGGTGGGCATGAGTAGGCTCTTCATTGTAGCCAGTGCTGTTTGGCACGTTGCTTGTCTACGGCCATCTTTTAAATTTCTTCTTGGGGACTCAAGACGTTATATGTAAATGAGTCCCGTTCTTTCCGTGACAATTGATGCAATGGCGCATCAACGCTGGCAGGCAGCGCCAAGCTGAGTTGGCCCAGTCGCACACGGCCCTTCTCAGCTTATGCACAGGAGAATACAGATAGTGCCATCAAGCGCAGTGTGGAACTGGGGCTACTCATAGTTGAATGATTATTTCTCAACAAAACCACATTCTATGCTTATGACCAGCCAGAAGAGAGGATGAAACACTCCACAGAAGTCGGCGAATATGTCATTCTCGAAGCCTGTGCTTGAACGCTGCGGTAATATATATATAAGATGCTGCTGAAGCATCTTCAGTCGGCCAAACCATTGAAATTTTGAACGGCCAATAGAAAAATTTCCACCACAAGCACCATGATTAAACTCTACACTTGGCTCGCACTTCTCTATTCAACCGTGGCTCTGCAACAAGGGGACGGCGTCTCGCAGGCAGCTGTACGCGATGCCGGTTCTAAAGTATGTTGTACAACATGGTTGAACTCGAGCCTGCCAATTCTGGACCATTCTTAATAATGTATAGGACCATTCTTCAACGACGGATGCGACGAAAACTAAAAAGGAAAAACTCATCGAGAGCGTCTCCACAGGCTTTGGCCCGTTCCTGAACACCAAAGGATCACGCATTGAGAAGAGCTGGACCAGTAAAGTGTATGGGTGGGCTGAGAAGGACATGATCTTTTCGAACACTGAAACACGGAAATCCGCAACAATGGTTCGAGCCGATATCAAAAACTGTAACGTCACGGTTTCCGATCCGATCGCTCTCGCCCCGGGTATATACTGCTCTCCGGGCTTTCCAGTGTGCAGCCTATCCTACACATTGACGGAAAGTGGTATGTTCGGCATCAAGAACACCGTCAAGATCGGCGCGTCGGCCAAGACAACCTTGCAGGCGGGTATTCCGCTCATCGTCGACGGCAAGGTCGAAGTCGGGGTAACCCTAGACTTGACGCACGAGAGACATACGCAGAACGAGAGCTCGACCGGACAAACCTACCGCTTCGATTTGAAAGAAAATGAGTCTTGCGTGCCTTCTAAGGTGCAACTCCTCTTGCGCTGCCATTCATGGCCGGGAAAGTACCACCTGCAGTTTGATGTGCCCGTCACTGACACTTCGCGACACGGCAGCGCGCTATACAAGTGCAGGATGTACGACGCGGAGGAAGGGCTGCTGAAGAGCCCCACGGGGGAAGGCACCTGGGAGGTGCTCGTGGAGGATCGTGAGACGGAGTACGGCAAGGTCTTCACTGGCAAGGCCGAGGATGTCCTCTCCAAGAGCATAATTAAAAAGTGGCATGACGAGTATTCAAAGGCAGACAGCCCATCTATCCATTGGCTCCCAAAACACAACAGGATAATTCTCTGCGAGCCAGAGCTGGTTGATAAACCAGATACTGTGGACATACCGCTTCGAGGTCCAGACAATCTGCCGCTAGGACACATTGGGTGCGTGTAAGTCAGGGTGTTGTTGATCGGTGTACAGTTTGCGTAAACGCAGATTTAGCATACCAGTTCAGTATATCCAAGTAACGTCAGTACCAGAATAGAGCAATGGCATTCATCCCCTCCTTTGGCAGAGGGGAACATCAAACGCAATTGGAATACCGCGGGTGAGAATGCCTAGGAATAGGAAAGGGGATCCGTCGAGTCGCAAGAATCGCAAAGGTGACTAGACAAGCCAAGCTAGGGTCCAGAGTCTACAAAGGACTCTACAACTTTGTATAGAAAAGATAAAAAAAGATAACGTGTCGTAATCTAGTAACTTAATAAAAAAAAGACAACGAGACAAAAAGTGAAGCAAAAGGGGAAACCAGAGCCAAGACGTGGGTCGCTCATTCAGGACCAAGAACAAAAATTCACATTCAAGGAATAGCCATGATCTGTCCATGTGCCTCCATGCGCCCCCTTGCATTTCTTTACAACCTCGTCGGTTATCAGGAGACATATCTCCTTACTCGGGAACTGGCCGATTTTCGCCAGCTTGCCTACTTCCGCGGAACAATTGTGCCAGGTTGCGTCGGAGAGGTTGTATGTCGCGTCGCACCACGAGCCGCCGCATTTGGTGATTGTGGCCGCGTCAACGCAGTTGGACGTCCTGGCCTGGCTGTAGCACACAGGAGCGGTCTTCTCGACTTGGGATGCAAAGGCCGTTCCGCCGATGAAGGGTCCTAGGAGGAGCGCGGGGGTGTAGATGGAGGAGCCCAGCATTTCTGATGGATTGGTAAGGTAAGCTAGGAGACGCGTGGATCAGGAGGAGGGGGAGGAGGAGGATGGATGGCGCTGATTTACCTCTTTTCTGTTGTGCTGTGCTGGTGATTGCGCAGATGTACCAAGTCATGTTTGTTTCGATGACTACATACCTATATATCTATCTACACACAGATGTAGGGTATGCGGACCATTGCTCTGACATACTTGTCTGATAATTGTTTCGTTGAATTTCTTCAGCAAAATGAAGTGTTATGCTCGTTGCGCTGTCTGAAGCACACCGGCTTTTCGGTCCTGCCACCGACAGATGCGCTGCACGGGATACGTGGCGCCTTTGCCTGTCAAGGCGCAATCTTGTCTACATGATGACTGAGCAAATTGCTAGAGGATTGTCAACTCTTGCTAGCAATGTTGGACGAGAAGGGTGCTCTTTAAAGAGGTTTGTAAAATGGTGGTGTCATTACAGGCAATATGCTGCTGGAATTACAGGTATTGTGCTAACTGACTACCTGTGATATGTAGTATGCTGTAATTATAGTTAATGTGCTGTAATTATAGTTAATGTGCTATAATTATAGTTAATGTGCTATAATTATAGGTCATGTGCTGTAATTCCAGGTCATGTGCTGTAAATACCCGTGTCTAACTGCATTTGCGCCGCTCTACACACTGCTAAACCAACTTTTTCTGCATGGGCGCAGATACCGGAGACATACGCTTCTGTCTATTCAAGCAATGTGCCGTTACTAGCAAATGAAGTCGTTTTCGCAGTCATTTCCGTCAATCCCATGGATAAGAGATTTTGCAGTGCTATTGAACGCTTGCAGCACCTTGGCTGTCTCTGTGTCGGCACAGGACAGCATATCGCCCAATGCTTGGAGATGTTCGCAAGGGACCTTTGTTTTGTTTCTACAAGAAAACTTGTGTTAGCTTTAGCAGGTTCGGGTAGCCATACCAATCGAGGGCTTACACCATGGCAACAAGCTGTGGTGCGCAGAGAAACAAGATGCCTTGTCCTGCCGACCGGGCAAGGATCGACCACCGCTTGCCGTAGCGCTTGCGATCGTGAAACTTTGCGCGCAGCTCCTTCTTGCGCCACAGACTGGCGGCGGCCCATTCATGGCCGTGGATCTGGGCGAGGATGTTGTCGACCAGGATGGACGCGTAGCCCCGACCGCGGCTGGTCTGTCCGGTGGCCTGGTAGGCGGCGGCGGCCGTCTGGATGTTGCGCTCGTAGCGCTCGTGCAGGACGATGATGGCGATCCTGTTCCGAATGGCGTCGTCTTCCATGCGCACGTCGAGCTTGCAGATGCAGTGGTACACGGTGCGCAGACCATGGCAGCCCGGCTCCGCGTTCTCGGGGTTGGGGAACTCGGAGTGGTGCCAGAGCCCGTCCCGCGACCAGCGCTCCGCATTCTCGCGTATGTAGCTGGAGCAGTCGCTCCTGATGTATCGCTGCAGCTCGGTGAGATGCACAGGGCTCTCGGCCGAGCTGCTGCCCAACGGAACGCGCCGGGGGACTGAGAGTGTCCGGGAAGAGAATGCACATCTCCCAGCACTCAGGTCCGGGATGGACAGTGAGTCCTGGATAGGCAGCGTTGACCTGGCTACAGAGGAGAGCGGGCTTGCATCAAAGGTATTATCACACAGATCAATTCCCAACGTTGCGAGACTGTTGCTGTGAAGCTATTTTCAGTGCGGCAACTTGGTCAGACATGGCCAATGGATGCTTGCTTGGATTCATGTCGTTTCAACTCACCCCAAAGTTGTCCATGGTAGTAGTCATGTCCGGAGTAACATTATCACTCCACATGACAGTATTCACATCACCACTGCACATGGCAGCATCACCCTCACCACTCCCAGAGCCCGCCATTTCATTTGGCATAAATAGGTAGTCGTCAGCTGAGGGACTTGAAGTTGACGACGGCGTGATAAGCCACTCGGACCACGTGTCGTCCATCTGAAAACTCAGCGCATTCTCGTCGGTTGAATTATCAGAGACGTCGCCCATGTACACTGTCGTTGGCGGGGTGGATAATGCGGGATCGGCCATTGCCTCCAAGTTCCTGTAGCTTGTTAGCAGGCTGGACCGCTTGTAGTCGGGCACAATTTACCCTGCTGCTAGCCCATCTTCTAGGACGAGCTTTAACCTGCATGCCGCGGTATTGTTGGCGGTTTCGACTCGAAAGGGGCGCAAGCGATTGGCTAGAGACTCAATCTCAAGGCTATCGCCGGCCTCCACCATGTCTAGTATGGCCTGGCGAAACTGTTCCATGCTCGCGGATACTGACGCCCCTGGCGTGCTCACGTTGCTAGGGGATCGCACAGTCGCAGAGAAGCAACCACGGTACAAATTATATTCATCCCGTTCTTAAATGGGCTTAAGCGTTAATTCTTTGCCTCCGACGTCTTGAAACATTTACGTCGCAGCGGATCCTTTGGGTGGCCGCATTCTGGTCATTGCTAGGATCGACCGACAGTTCAGCTGATACTTGATCATTGACTGTGGTTCAGAAAATACATGACGAGCGTGGTTGCAGCTTCGAGGCACGCTGAAAGCTGACTCTTTTACGGCATCTTGCGCAGTTTGGCAGGAATTGCGCGACGACTAGCATGGTAAGAGATTCGGAGATGGTGCTGCACCAACGGCGTTAACAGTTTTTGTGACAGGTCCGCTTCTGGTGGCTGGCTGACTGGAATGCAAGCAAGACAGACAGCACTGCCATTGTGCTTAGACGAGCTAATATTTCCCGACATGGAAATAACTTTCGGGCGGAACGCGCCGGTGGCTGGCGGCGACGGCGTCGGGAGCAGTGTCTACTATCTGCATCAACCAAATAGAATGCCGTTCGCACGGAGACTGTGCTAGGTTCGCGGGGTTTGGCTTTGCCATTTCACCTCGATTCCACGCTGCTTTTTAGTCCTGTCAGGGCTAAAGAAAAGAAAAGGAAGAAAAAAAGACGGGTAGGAACTTGCTCTGAAGATTGAACAAGGACATGTACATGTAATAACTTGTATTCCTAGAAGCCAGCGATACCAGTTTCATGTCGCATATTGACCAATCCACCATCCAATACCCCAAGAACAAAGAGCGACCGCGTCACCAGTCACCAGTCACACATATTAATGTTCAATGAGACACCATGGTCAGTCCACACCCCCCCCGACCAACCGGTGCCGTGGCAGAATTTGACAATATTCTCATATACTTGGGTGCATTCTTTCGTGCTATTGAAAACGAATATTTTCCCAATATTTGCGATGCGCGCGTCCCGTGGATCTTTGAACTCTTCCCAGTCGCCTGTCAGCTTGTCGTATTCGCTCTTGCACCAAATTTCCCCGTGTCGCAGTAATATGTCCTTGCCGATACACTTGGAGGCGACACCCTGAGGCAGGCGGTGAACGTAGCAAACAGGATCGGCGCTTTTCTTAGTCTCAGCCGAACTGAACGTCATCATGTCCGACAAAAGTGTCAGAACGGGCAGGACAGTCCGTGGTCGCATGTTGATCTACTCAGGCGTCCAGACTTGTGTGATTCTTGTGCGAGCGACGTAAACGTTGTGTAGGATAATTTGAAAATATGGTGAGTGACTTCTTGTTGATCAAAGCTGGACACCGTTGTATGCCTGGCTGTCAGAGATTGATATACATTCGTACAGACTTTTAGACTAGGCCAAGCACCCATGACAAGGGTAGCGTCTTCAAGAATACAAAGTACATGGCACAGAATGTATGTCCCGGGCTCTGTGTATACAGATGGCAGAACGTATGTCCCGGGCTCTGTGTATACAGATGGCAGAACGAATGACTCGGATGTGCGTCAAGGGTAGCCCGACAGAATCACCAAGGAAAAAGCAATGCAGCACCCACAGCACATATGCATGTCCACACCTGCAATAATGTTTTGTTGAAGTTTCTCTGCAAAATACAAAGGACATGAGGCTGGCTACTTTCAAGTTGGTCCAATCCTCTGCAAAGGCACATCCCAGCCGCCCGAGTGGTTAATGCAAGCCGCGATCAAAGTCCAAATTCTAGGCATCATCAGCCACACTACACACTACCCCAATAGCAGCGAGTATTATTCGTACAAATTTTCGGAAAGCCACTTGGTATAAAGAAGAGACACCAGATTTGCAGAACAAAGCAAACAGGAAACATCAACTCGAACATTTCTTGGTTTCACTGCCTGTGCTTTTAAATACCCACCCCATCAGATGAGCAAGGCGCTCTGCTCTATTCATCTTCTACACTAGATACCATCCAATATGTCAGCTCAACACAAACCCCTTTATTCACAAGGTCTCAACTTTGGCAGCTACATCAGTGACGGTGTAGATGCTCGGACTGGTCAATTCACCTGCTCCATCGCTCTCTTCAAGGCGCCCGCTGAGGCACGGAACTGCCCCCCTCTCAACCTCACTCTCAGCTACAACCCGCTCAGCCTGTATAATGTCGGGTTTGGTCTTGGATGGTCTCTGAACCTGTCGTCGTACAAACATCGCTTGCAGTCGCCGATGTTGTATCTCTCCACTGGCGAGCACTTTCAGGTGGATTCTCTCGGCACGCTCACCATCAAGGACAAAAGGCTAGACAGCTTCACATTCAGCGGGGGAAGCGGAGGCACAACCCACCAGATCATCTACAAGAGCGGGCTCATCGAGAGACTTTCCAACTTTCACAACACCTATAGCGTGTCTGTTCCTGTCGAGATACAAGCTTCCACTGGCCAGGCTTTGAGGTTGAGCTGGACACAAGACGGCGATGGTACGCCGCTGCTTACGGCAATCAGCCATGGTTCCGAATCGTTGCTCGAGATAAAATATCGAAGCAACCAAGTGCTGGTAACTCGTGCTCCAGGTACAAAAAGTGCTTGTGTTACGACACTTACGTTGCACGACGGTCTCCTGACCGAAATGCAGCTGCCACAGGAGGAGGCGCGGCTACAGCCATGGGAGTTTTTCTACACCGAGTACCTAGTCAAGTCCACGAGTCTGCAACGACTGACGCGCGTGAAAGATCCTGCAAAGCTCGTGAGCGCGGTAGAGTACGAGCCGCGGGGGCACTTGTTGCCGACAGGTGGTCCTATGGAGGCTATCCCGCGCGTTCTTGTACACACAAAGAAGCCGGGGCATGGCCAGCCTGCACTTGTTACCCATTACACCTACTCACCAGAGAACTTCTTTGGCTTTGGAGATGTGCAGAGCTGGCAGGACGGCGTGGATAACTTGTACCGCGCCTCCTCCCACTACAAGTACACGGCAACCATGTCCGTCGATGACGGGCCGAAGACGACGTATACTTACAACAAATTCCACCTTTTGGTTGAGACAAAGCGCGAACAAGGATTGACCGTTGTCAACTATGCCGTTGACTACAAGGTAGATACGGCCGCTGTGTTTGAGCGGCAAAGGAAGAGTTTCCAACTCCCAACAAGGATCACCACGACGTACGAGGACCATGGGGGAAGCAACGCACGGTCGCGCATCGAGACGACAGAGCACGAGTACGATGACTGGGGAAATCCCATATCCGAGACAGACAAGACCGGCGTCTGCACCAAGCGAGAATATTATCCTCCACAGGGTGCTGGAAAAGCCGGCGAGGAACTGTTTTGCCCCGCAGATCCTGGTGGATTCTGTCGATACGTTAAAAAGGAAACAGTGTATCCATCCAAACATAGTGGCTTGGTTCCAGCACCAACGCACACGCGCCAGTACAACTATTTACAGCTGCCCATGGTCACTGGACACGGGAGCTTTGTTGCGGCTCGAGAGATGCAGCTCAAGGATACCGCAAAGAACAAGACGTTGCTATCCAAAACCTACGATTATTATCAGGATGCAAAACTAGGGTACCGGGACCATGGAAGGCTGAAAAGTGAAGCGACTGCCATTGCAGGACATGAACCGACAACGGATGCCTTCACCTACAGCTACAGCCCCTGCAATGGCATGGTCACAAAGTTTACAAATACTAAAACTTGGGATGGTCAATTTACCACGGCACAGAATGTCACATATAGCCTTTTATCGGGGCGGGTGCTCTCGCGAACAAACGCCCAAGGCGTGAGTGATGTGTTCGAGTACGATGGAATGGATCGCCTAGTGAAAGCCACGGCGGCCTCAGAAACTCCGCACAAGGCAACACGGCAGGCAGAGTACCAGATTTCGAAGGAAAAGGCAGGCTCGATAGTACTGATCACGGACTCGAAGGGCATGAGAACGAAGCAGACAACGGATGCCTTGGGGAGACTTTGCCGTGTCGAGGCGCAAGGCGACATTGGCGGACCGTTGCGGCTTATCGAGGAAAGAAGCTATAACAAAATTGGGCAGTGCGTTGAAATCGTCAAATATGACTGGATCGGCGACATAGGTGGCCAAGCAGCAGCACAAAGCCATCAAAGCAAGACAAGAATGGAGTATGACGACTGGGGTCAAGTCTGCAGGACTGTCAAGAGCAGCGCCGGGTCCAATTTGTCCGCTTTCTTGTCCATCAAAGATCCTATCTATCTCACCCAAGTGGAAGGAATCGAGGGTCAAGGACGGACGAGAAGTTCGTCTGACCTCTTCGGAAATGTCACTTGCGTGGAGTTGCTGCGCAAGGAAGGTACCGGGAAACACCAACCTTACAGCACTACAAACTACAAGCATGACGGTTTGGGTCGTCTAGTCCAGAAGACTGACCAGTTTGGTCACTCAAATCATTATGAACTCGACGACTACGGCCGTGTGGCACAGACCACTGGCCCGGACGGCAGCATCATCAAGACCGTGTACGAAGGGCACTCCAGCAGTTCATTGCCAATTGCCGTCGAGGTTGGTCACTCAGCAACCCAAAAGACCAAGAATCAGGTTATGGGCCAGCGATCGCTGGATGGGTTGAGTCGTGTGGTGAAACAGACCGTCGGAGGACGCGTAGAGAGCCAGATATACAATGGAATTGCGCCAGGCCCGAGCACAGTCGTTGCACCGACAGGAGAAAGTAAAACGGCCGTTTACAACGTCGCGCTGGCAAACAGCCTTACCAAACTGCAAAGTCCCGACGAGGTTGCCACGTTTGACTATGATGAGCAATCTGGTTTTCTGCTCAACACCAGCAATTCCGACATTTCTGCCGAGTGCAAGTACCTGGCATCTGGGCTGCCCAAGTCGGAAAGGATCAAGGTCAGAGGGCTCCAGCGGGAGCTATACACCGCCAGGACCTATTCGATGGCTGGCAAATTGGCAGCATACACCAATGTACATGGGAAAGTGGAGGATCGCGTCTATGATGGGTTCGGAAGGCTTACGGGCGTGAAACACGGTAGCGTCACGGTTACGTTGCAGTATGATGCAAGCAATGGGCTGGCCTCCAGCCGCGTCGTTGACGAATTGACCAAGAAAAGCGTCGGTATTAAAAGGGAACGCGATGAGTTTGGCCGTGAGATTAAGCGCACGATCAGTCATGGGAGCTCAGAAAAGACAAGCGTCAGTTGGGTGATGAGCCAATCGTTCAATGAGCTGGGGCTAATGACTGAGCGCGCGATCAAGACTGGGGGAGGTTCAGTGTTGCGCAAGGAATCCTTCGCGTACGATGAACGCGGGAGACTCGTCAGCTACAAATGCACCGGCTCCCGGCCACCAGCGGACGAAAAGGGAAAGCCGATCAAAGCGCAGCAGTTCGTCTTCGATACCTATGACAACATACAACAGATGACGACCATCTCCCAAGACAATTCTCAGAACGTCCGAAGCTACGCCTTTGGCAAAGATGACCCAACGCAACTGGTTGGCATCACCAACACAGATTCCCGCTTCCCAGCCAAGATCGACCTGGTGTATGACAAGAATGGGCGCTTGACACGGGACGAAGAGGGCAGGAGACTTGCATACAACAGCCGGAACGCCTTGGTGGCAGTGACGGATGCGACAGGAAAGTTTATACTCAGCAAGTATCGGTACGACGCCTCGGGCAGATTGATCTGTCAGGAGGCTGGCGGGAAGAGCACTTACTTTTTCTACCGCTCCAACGAGCTCATCGCCATGATCAGAGACGGCTTGAAGATCAGCTTTCTCTCTAATGCGGGGGAGTATTTCGCACAGATCTCTGAGGGAGACGGTGCCAATAGCACATCCGCTGTCCAGCTCTGGGCCACCGACGGGCACTTGTCTGTTCTGGGGTCTGTCGAAACTGCCCTGCCGACCGAGGACGTGCAGTATCAGCATTACAGCCCGTATGGATCTGGCCGTGGCGAGGCCATCATCGGCTACAATGGCCAGTATCGCGACCCCGTCAGCGGCTGGTACCACCTCGGCCACGGGTACCGGGTATACAACCCTGTCCTGATGCGCTTCCACACGCCCGAGCCGCTGAGCCCCTTCACCACTGGCGAGATCAACGCCTACGCCTACTGCCTGGGCGACCCCATCAACCGGACGGACCCCACGGGCCACATGAGCGGCCGGAACTGGGCAATGCTCGGGGTCGGTCTCGTGGTTGGCATCCTGGTCGGCATCGCCACAGCCGGCCTCATCATCGCCCCGACCGGCGCCAGCATCGCGGTCGAGGTGGGCGCCTTTATCGCCTCCGGAACCGCCTCCGACGTGCTCACGGGCGCCGTGTACGACGTGGCCAACGGCAAACAGCCAACGCTCGAGAGCATCGGAGAGGACGCTGCCATGGGCGCCATCGGCGGTGCTGTTGCCGGTGCCGCGGGCGTCGCCCTCCGAGCCGTCGTTGGGCTGGGAGTAGTCCAGCGCGCGCTCCGTCCGATTACAAGCCGCTGGCAGACTTTGCAAGTTGGCTTGCGACTGGCCAAGACGGAGAGAGCCGAGCGCGTGTTTGAACGTCAAGCCATGGGCGGGCAGACGGTGGCCAAAAGTCGGCCCGGTGGCGCCGAGTTCAGGTTTGCTGCCTGGATACGGAGCCTCGGTCGTGGGGAGAGGGGCTACTATAGCTTTGAGGATAACTGGCCGCCCTTCCACGACAACAGACCATTGCTTCGAAGCGCAAGCCAAGTAGTGAGTCTACCACATTTGCCCCCCTCGCTATATTTGCCATGATACTAACAGGCACTCCGGTAGTCGAGAGATTCAGAACTGAAGATGGATTATACGTACTTGAACCTGTACGACAATTGGCTTTACCATGAACCTTGGTAGTAACCTCGGTCCGGATTCTATACCACATGGCCAGAAAATGAGTAGGAATTTGACAGTTAGTTCCAATGTATTGTGCATCAGCATCTGGAAGAACCACCATAGAAATACAAGATGAACCCTACACATTGCACTGTTGCTGTACATACACCAAAGTGTCTCGGAACCAATTAAAGGGTGTTGAAGGCTTCCACTCAACAACACTAGCGTACTGGAGAGAGCACAGAGTGCTGTACCGCACGGGCGCTGTATGGAGCATTGTTAGAGCAACGCATTTACGTTACGTGCAGTACTAAGCGAGCACGGTGTACAGAGTGCCAGTAGAGCGGACATGTCTTGAAAGTTGAAGATTCTTGATCTGTTGACCCTGCGCAAGGAGGCAACTTGAAGCTGGCCTCTCCTTGGCCAGCGTGGGGTGGAAGACCTACTTTCAAGGTCTATAGATCGATATCCTAGCCATCAAGGGAAAGAAGGCTATTGATTATTTAGTTAATTCATCATTAGTAACCTTAACTTAACTATTATTATCCTTGTTTTATTGTATTCGAATACCCCAACATGATCAAACTGCAGCTATGCGCGTAGTCATGTTGGCTCGTCGTTTTTCCTCTTCTGGCTTTGGTTGAGAAACACTCTAGCAAAGGTCTATCGCATCCACAGAGACATGAAAGCCTCTAGGACTGGAGAAGCAGTGGCTGGCTCGACATTCCTCATTGCCTGCTATATCAACAGCGATGTTCCCTCATGCGATGGGACGGACTATCGCCTCGTCTTCAATACACAATCCCAATACCTCAATCAACGACCCATCACCGCGACCATGTTGTTCCTTGCCTTGCTGGTGCTTATGCTCAGCCGGGTTATTGCCGCAACCGAAGGCCTGGACACGCTGTCATCTGAGTACAATGTGAACTGGACCGTCCAGGACGGCTGTGACTGCGACAACTGCACCTACCAGGCGCCGACCGACCATATCAAGGAATGCACAGGCATCAAGGGATTCAAGTACTGCGAGCTCACGAAGCCACGTGTATGGCATTATGCCATTGAGATTGACGTGGAACCCGGCTGGTGCCGCTCGGTGCTTGGGACGACATATTCTTTTACCGACTCGGAGCCGAGCACGTACCATGTGTCCTGCCACAAGCCTGGGCGGCATTACGTCCACTTCAACTCCAAGGACCCGAAAATCAGAAAAGTCGACATCTCAAAGGCCCAGAAGAAATGCGAGGCTTGAGCAGGACGGCGCGTCCATTTCCTGGCCTACTTTACGAACACGAGGCACGTTTCCGTGGTGCTCGGCGCAGACGTAGGTTGAGAGGCGGAACTGGGAGGCTTCACTGCATTGCACATTATTTGGAGAAACCGGAACTTGTATTCTGTCACAACAGCAAAAGCGGGATCCGCATGAATTTGACCTTGAGTACTATTCAACATATTCAGTGTCTTGGGGCTTCCGGTCGTTGTATGGAGTTCTTTCACGAGTTTAACCTCGGCCGACCGCGAAGCGAGTTCCTGTCTCTTCTTCTTCAAGATAGAAAAAAATATTACTGGCAACTGTATCCGGTAGCAGGCCCCGTGACCCCTTATTATTAACGAACCTCAGGAGGTAGCCTCCAGCCTCCATGGTTGCTACTTCGAAATCCTCGCGACGATTCTTGGAAACAAGTTCAAAAAGTTATTTCATTCCGCCTATTTTAGAGAGAAAGAGTAAAATACGCTAAAACATCCAAGCGTCAACATTTTATCCTCTGCATTGAGAGTTCACATTAGCTCTAGAACGGAACAACGTTAGGGACAGCAACTCACTGAAGGTATTTCAAGTCCACTAAAAGATCACCATGAATACCCCATATGGGATTCTTGTACAGGAAAGTGCCATGGCCGGGCAGGGCAAATTGATGGACGCGGGCAATATCCTTGTTGAGCCTTGGAAGGCACCCCTTTCTGAAAACGGGCAAAAACTCGTCCTTTGTCTTGCGAATCGCCTGCTTTAGGTCGTCCGCGATTTCTTTTCCGTCAAAGTTCTTGAAACTTTTAATATAGCCGTCGACTACGTAGGACTCTTCGGGAAGGTCGACGGTGGCGTATAGCTTGCCATCGTCGTCGACATGGAATGCAAAGTTGAGCGTCCATCGCACGCCAAAAATCATTCTGGGAGCAGTCAAGTTAGCGCAAGTTTCATCTTTTACAAGAAGGAAAAGAAAGATTAAGGAAAAGGGCCTGGTTTGTGCATACCTGACGAACGCGTATTCGATTTTGCCGTCTTTGCTAGCGATGTTCATGTCCCACTCGAATCTTGTGTTGCCGTTACACTGAACTATATTTGTGCCTGCTTTAACAGTCATGCTACACCAACTATCATCTGTACAGAGTTAGGCTGTCAATGGTGAGATGGGACGGGTCTCCTTACTCGCAACTTCGAGGGTACCAAACCACTTTTCGGCACAGCTCGCTGTCTTTGTCTCTGTTTTCCTCAAGCGCCAGAACCAGGACGCCTTGTCATTCAGAGGCCAAGCGTAGGAGTCGTCCCCGTGGGCTTCAGACTGGTTGATTCCATAATCGAAGCTGAAATCCGGCCTGAAGCCAACTTTTTCGTCGGGCAATAGCTTGAAATAATTGATCCTCATGTAGCTAGACATCACAACATTCACGTCATTGAGCAAAGCGAGGTCTTTCCGAAGCAAAAATCTGTCCCACATGATATCGTAGCTGATGCCGAGAGTCCCGTCAGAGCCGGCCATTGCCAGGTTTCCCTTCCAGGAGAGACTCGTGGCAGGCTTAGCCACTGCTGTGCTTCCCAGTATGAAAAGAAGCACGTTCCGGTCGCCAGCCGTCGTAAGCCCGTATACGGTGGTTCCAGTCTTTGGTTCTTTGTACGGATATGTATGCACATTCAGAATACCGGTAGGCGCGAATGCATCCGTACCTGGCGATACCTTTTGTGGTTCCTGCGTCTGGAGAGCATATGAAAAGGTCACATTGTCTCGTGCTTTTTCATGTATGGACTGAGCCCAATATTGCATAAGATGCAGGAAAGTTTGCAGTTGGAGACCTCTGAATGAGAACCCAGGTGTCTTAGTTAAAGCATGACTTTTCAGATGTTAGCACGTGTACAGCTACAAGACGGAAACAACAGACCTGTATGAAAAGACTTGGCTCTCTAAAGTAAACGGGTGAGTACATGCTCCGGTACCAAGAGAAACTAGTCTGGCTTACTAGTAAAATCGAGAAACAAAGCAAGGATGTCGAAATCACCAGGCCGATTCAACTCCTGCACGAGGCGATCGCGCGTAGGCCCGCTGCCGAGTTTCATCTTCCCAACTTCCACCGGAAAGACGAGTTCCCAGCCTGAGAGATCAACGCTGACCAACCCAGTGCTAAAAGATAAGGCATGAGCAACCAAACATCGGGAGAGTGTAATTATTGCTTACCCTGTGTGGCTCGGAAGCTTGGCTTCGCCAGAAACGAAAAAGCAGTGGTAGAAAACGATGTTGTTCTCTTTGATACCATCTGCAATGGATATCTGTCCTGCTTTCGTCGTTGCACGGATGTATTTGCCGCCACGAGTAACGTTGATAGTTTTCAAGTCCTTGTTTAGGAAGAACAAGGCCCTGAGGTTGTAGTTGATTGCACCTTGGGTCAAGGCCACAACCTAAACGGACACAGATTTTAGTTGGTCATACATAGGGTGCTATGATGGTTTCATACCTGTGGAACTGTATGCCGCTCATTGACTAGGCACACCTCGTAATGAGATTCCTCTGCACTGGCACTGATACTGGCACCCAGAAACTCCATACTGTAGTTTAATTTTCTTTTCCCGGCAGTCTTGATAACAGATCGTGATTTGCACCCATGAACAACCTAGGGAAGAGGGAGTAGATATATCGACATACAACACATAGCCTAGGAAATATTGCGCTTCTACGATCATAGTACTCGTTATCGGTAAGAAGCACGGGAAATCTCAACTTGTGCTTCTTACCGATAACGAGTACTATGATCACGTAGAAGCGTATGGCGTTGGGTTTCTGGTTGTGGAGATTTCGCTGAGAAGCATCAACGAAACCAACTTCGCATGACACTAAAAGTATCAATCGATTCCCATGCAATTCTTTTTGCCATCTACGAGCTTCTTCAACTCTATTGATGTAACAAGTTGAGTGTGTATCCCGGTCCCTGTTGACAATTGCTAGGGGAGTTGCAGGGTGCCCGGCGGCTCCGTGTAACAGACAGAGGGTCGCAAATGTCAAATCATAGATTTGCAATGCTTTGGAATTTGCGATGGAGATGTTTTAGAGTAATGGTTCAGAACATTTCTTATATAAGGGGACCTACCGCGCTTCCTGTTAATTCTAGTTGCGGCTATCATCGCTCCAACTCCCATCTCATTGCCGGCTTTCTAATACCTGCAGAGCAAAGGTAACCCCGAGTCAATCACATCAAACACGATGGAAAATATCTCTGCAGATACCGAGCTTATGAAGCACTATGTCGCGGCACAAGGCATAGCAGAAACGGCTCGCCTGATCGCGCTGCGAGATGAGCACCACAACCTCATGATACTGGCTCTAGGTCACCTGTGGCGGGATGAAAAAACGCAACTATGTCGCTTCTATTTGCTAAAGAAGGGCACCTCGGGCCTGTACGAGGAGTTCGATCTGGGTGCGCATCTTGCATTACCCAGTGATTACAAGGCGGCGGCCATGCAGGCCGTTCAGGATCCGACAACCAGTCAGGTTTATCTGGCGCTGGCAATTGAAAAGAGTAGCACTGAGGGACAGTTGTTCCTATTGGAGCCTATGAGTCCTCAGGATCTCGTTCTCCCGTTCAGCAACCGAACGATCCCATTGACATCGTCGATGGGCCCATCTGAGAAGACTCAGATTGTGGACATATTCATGGTAAATCACAACCTTGTGCCAGATAAACCGCCGAGAAGAGACTCACGTGTCATAGGGACCGCCTACAAAAGGCATTTATCCTACCTTATTGCTCACTTATAAGCCTTTGAACCAGCTAGGAACAGTCGATGTCATGGCTGTGGTAGTTGACCGTATCGCCGGCTCCACATGGACTTTGCGAGTAGAAAAGCAGCTTTTGCCTTCCAATGCCACCAAGATTTTGGCTCTTCAGCCGCTTACAATCGAATGGATGAGCGATGACAACCCGGAGAAAGCTGTCAACACAGCAGCAATAGCTTTCCTATACGACGAGGGACCAGGCACTTACCTCAATATCAAGGCGCTGAACAAAAGGCGATCGGTATTTGTTCTCGAATGTCCTAAAGATTCGACGACCATGGCTACTATACCGCAGCAAAATGGCTTTGCAGATCTCCTCGTCGGAGGAGCAGATCTGCACTACTTCCCCCACAGCAGTCTGACAAAAAGAAGAGCTGCTGGTCTGTCGCTGTCGAAACATTCGACAACTCCGTTTGACTGCACCAACGGGCTTTTCGTGGCGCATTCGCCCCTTGATCAAAGCATCTCCATCTGGGGCGAGAGCGCGAGACGTGGCATCAGCTACCTGATCCCGGACTCACTCACAAACAATACAAAGTCGCCCGTGTCCTTGATTCCGGACGGGAAAGGTGGTAATTTTACCGCGTTCAAGGCTGCAGAAGGACAATTGGAGCAGTACGTCTACCACAGCGGAGAAAAGGAAGTGTCAGTATTGGAGATGAACGCGGTCAGCGGTTACTGGAACAGCGTGCCGCTTTTGATCCGGAACATGGATCACGCGTCCGAGTTCCAAGCCCATGTCACGCACGTGGTGGTCATGGATGGCAAAAAGATGCCCCTTCCCAATCATCAGCTGCGACTGCACAGCGACAGCCGCACATCCACGCTGGTGAATGGCGTGGCTAGTGAGGTTGGACCCGGTGTCCAGGGGACAGAGGTGAAAACTGACTCAAGAGGATGTCTCAGTATCACGACTCCATGTGACTCGTTATTCTCCGAAGTCTTCACTTTGACAGACGTGAAAACATCCAAAACCTGCACCGTTGACCCGAATGTCAAGGCCAAGGAGGCATTGCGACGGGTATCGGACCCAGACGGGCTGCGAAAAGATCCAATGCTGCTGAAGCACATCGGAAATAGAGAAGATGACATCAAGGAAGTATCGACCGCGATAAAATGTATGATGTCGGTGATTGACGGAAATGTTACCCCGCCAAGCGCTACCTACGTCGGGTCAGTACCACATGACCATCCGATCGTCTTCAACATCATTGACAGTATTACCGAACTGGGACGTGTGAGTTATCAATTTGCTTTAAGTGAACACAGCATTCTAAGTTGGTGAAAACAGCAAGCTTTGCATTGGTTTCATGAGAAATTTGAAGCGGTCAAGAATTGGCTCGTACGAAAGATCAAAGACGGCTATGAGTTTATTCTACACGTCGGAGAGGCGGCATACCGCTGGATCGTGCGCACCGCTTCGGAGGCATGGAACGGCATCAAACTTCTTGTCAACAAGATTCTCAAATTCGGCAAGGAAGTTATCGAGTGGATTGGGTATATATTCGAATGGGGCGACATTGTCAAGACGCACAACTCCGTGGCACACCTGGCGAGATCGGCACTCAAATGCGCACCCGACTACATTGAGACGTTGAAGAAAAAAAGTGACGTTTTTCTAGCCCTGCTGAAAACGAATATAGGGAACTGGGGGCATGAACCGGTCCCTGGCGACTTGCAGTTATCCGCTCTCGACAAGCCTCCGCCGGGTCAGAACAACTCTACCGCGCTCACATCGAGCAAAGTAAACTGGGCTGTCAATCTGGTAACTTTGATATTTTCTCACAGTGATGTTCCAGGTCCCAGTCATTCTCACTAACTTTGATGTCTAGTTTCATCACGGCGGTGCTCAGGGACTCAGCATCGTGGGCGACAGCCGCTCCGTGGGCGATGGGGGCGATGCGAAGCTGCAGCATTTCTTCGATACATTCCTGGCCAAAGCTGCCAAGGATGGGGAGGCGATTATGTTGCATCTCGGAGAGGCGCTCGTCAAGCTCTTTACGGCAGGATCATGGCCGCAGGTGGCGGCGATTTTGAGGACGCTGTCTGCAGCAACCATGATGAGCATCGTGGATATTATCCAAACTTTGATACATGGATTCTTGGATGTGCTGGAGACAGTCATACGCGAGTTTGCCGCGCTGATTGACCACGAGATCAGGATCCCTGTCATCTCTGCTCTCTACAAGTCATGGACCGGATCAACTTTGACAGTTTTGGACGGCTTGGCCCTCCTGGTCGCCTTTCCTACAACGATACTACACAAAATGATCTACAAAAAGGCACCCGTGGATGCGACCCAGGTGGACTACAAGACTATGATTGCTGGCCAGCAGTTCAACGACAGCGCTTACTCTCTGAATTGCCTCATGGGTGTGACACACATGTTCTCGCAAGTCTTTATGCAGATTGTCGATACAGTGAGTACGGTGATCAGCGTGAGCTACGTTGACATGGACGGCTCATCCTCTGGGCGCATAAGCGAGCGCCATGGTCACAAAGGTACGCCGTCCGAGCTCGTGAGCATAGGGCCTGCGGGAGGCAAAGGTCTGCCGTCCAAACTCTGGGACGAGTACGGTCGCCCAGTCAAGAATGTTTTCTCGGTAATTGGTGTAGTCTTCTCCGTTCCATTTGTAAAGGCCTCCCACATGGACCTGCGCTGGGCATCCTGGGGCCTTGGTGTTGGCAAAGCGAGCTTGACGATCCTCCTGCGCTACATCGAGGCCGCCATGAAGGAGAAGATTTTTGCGGTGCTCGAGTGTCTGCTGGGAACGGCCAGCTTCGGCACCATCTTGGCCGTCAAGGTGTTTGAGTACAAGGAGAACACTACGGCAGAGTCCAACATGTGGACCACGCTTGACGTCAATATCGCGGTATTGTCAGAGGCTGGATTGATTGTGGGCGATATCGGGCACTTTCTCCCGCCTGGTATGGACACCAAGTAATTTCCATTCTGTGGTTGAGTTGTCGCTGACGTATTGAACTAGCTTCTCCCAGCCGAGCAACTGCCGAGGGCATATCACTAGGGCTTGACATCGCCAGCTACATTGTCATCGGGTCGCAATTGTGGGGTAAAGCAGCGAAGAAGCATTACTATGGAATCATAAACATTTAGCAGGATAGTAGGAGGTTAGTAGGTAGAGACTCGGAGTACAAGTATATATACTTGGACTACAATTCCATGATGTGCTATCTGACAACAAATAAGATGAGAATTCCTACTATTAGATCTGAAATGGTTGTCTAGTTCTAGCGTATATAAAATTCGAATTCAATGGGGCCTTTACCTATATAAATAGGATGCATGACAGTGGCATGAAGCGACTGGCGCGATTTTCTGGACCTGGTAGAAGATGGAATCATGTGTAATTAGGAGACGGCGCGTCATCATTTACACGGATAACGACAGCTTGGTGGCGTGGTACCCGGGAGATTGCTTCTCACTCGCCTCAGTCGGCCACTTCGGAGATATAAATTCTGTGTCTCATGAAAGTGAGGAGCTGGTTATGGCTGCCAGGTGCCATTTCCCATGTTGTCTGGTTGTTTGCGTGCGTTGCGTCATCAGTTGCTCCCAGTGGTCAAGCCTCGATAGTACAGTGCGCGGGGTCGCCTCGGCGATGTGGGCTTAGCGCCGAAGCCGGCGGCGTGCTTAGATATAAACCACGCTGGCAATCACCATTTCGTGCGCGTTTCAAATTGCAAAACAAGAAAAAACCATCAGGAATCGGAACCATGAAGTCTGCCAATACCAACGCGCTGTACTCCAACGACGCCGTCACCGACAGCGTCGTCGACTACGCGGCGGCGCACTCGGAGGCGCTGCCGACGCACATCAGCGACTACCACGCGCGCATCGTGGCCAGCCATCCGCGCATGGACTACATGATCTCCAACCTGCAGGGGCAGTTCCAGACGTTTATCGCGCGCGCCGTCGGCGCCAAGCGCGTGCTCGAGATTGGCGCCTTTGTCGGCTACTCGGCCATGGTGTGGGCGCACGCGGTCGGCCGCGACGGCAGCGTCACCACGCTCGAGTTCAAGCCCGAGTATGCGGACGCGGCCCGGGCTGCGTTCCAGGAGAATGGCGTGGAGAATGTGGAGGTGATTCAGGGCGACGCCCTCGAGACGTGAGTGTTCCTTTGGCGATGCGTGGGGTTTTGTACTGACAAAACTTTGCTAGCCTGGCCAAGCTCAGCCCCGAGGAGCCGTATGATCTCGTCTTTATTGATGCCCAGAAGACGGGCTACCCGGCGTATCTGCGCACGATTCTCGAAAAGTCGCAGCCGGGCGCCGGCGCGGGACGCCTCCTGCGCAAGGGCGGCGTCATCCTCGCCGACAACATCCTGCGCCGCGGCCTCGTGGCCAACGACAGCGAGGAGAACCCGTGGGCGGCGGCGGGCGCCAAGGACCGCGAGCGCAGCGAGTACGAAAAGGACAATGACGTGGAGGCGCTCCGCGAGTTCAACGACCTGGCGTTCAAGAGCGAGAGGTTGGAAGCGTTTCTGATGCCGCTGTTTGACGGGGTTGGCATGTCGATGCTGCGTGACTAGAGCGTGTAAGAGCCTGGTCCGTTGCAGGTAGCGAGCGGACTTGGCGGAAGTAGTATACAAAGTAGCCACTGGGATTGAGCGCAGACGTGAAAAAAAAACAAGAAAAAAAAACAGAGAGTACTGTCATTGTTCGATGTCAAAGAATAGTGCAGTAGGCGAGGAAATCTGCCTCACCGGTTTTGAGGCGCCCTGGTAGCTCAGGTGAACTTGGCAGGTGTGTGAAATTTGGTGTCTGGCGGCTCGTCGCAAAGACGCCAGGAAACGTGCCGTGATTGATGGGCGGTAGTAATTAATGTGTACATGGCTTGTCATTGTTGCGTGACCTGGCTGTAGAGTGAGATTGCGGGCAACAGGGTGGTGTCTCGAGATAGTCATCGACCTCGTAACTGGAGATGGACAACACGAGCGACGAGGCCCTTCGCAACAAGGTTTGGCGAGCGAAAATGTGGCGGAACCGTTGAAACTACGCCATGGATCTGAAATGCCGCTCGTAGATTGAACTCTAACTAAACCTTCCTCACTATTGAGTCATGATACGCACCTTTCCAGTAACGAGGCGGAATCCGAGCACCATGCTAAAACGGAGCCATCTGATCAAGGGCGCCCAATGACGTTAGCCTAGTAAAAGGAATCTGTCGAGACGAAGCTCCTGATCGGAACATGTCAAACAAGCCGTGCCGCCTTGCAAAAGGAAAAAAAAAAAAAAGATAAAGAATGCTGGTAACAACAATGGCCATTGCAGCACGCCACAACTGGGCTTTAACCATGTCCGGTTAACGACACCGCGAAATGGGAGATGGAGCTGAACCGCTGTTTTGTTCTAGTCTTGTGCTTTTTCGCCTCCAATGCACGGGGTGTGGTGTGCCCATGCATCCGGCGCAGCATCAAAATCCCCGGGCGGCGGATGAAAAGGGGAGGAGGGGGGGGGTGGTCAGAAAGCAAGGGGGCGCGTTACATGGACCGGGCGGGAAAACCATGCCAAGCAAGTCCGCCTCGGAGGTGCATCGAGGGCCTCAGCTGAGGGGATTTGTTTTTAGAAGAAAGAAAAAAATTGGCACGAATTCCGCCGCCTATCGACGTTGGGGGACAACGGCGGAACGGAGCCGATCAGGGGTCCCCCTGGGGATTGTGACGTTTTGCCCCCAAGGAAATCACGTTGAGACGATCGGCTGCCGAAAGCCTCGGGGGTGAAACTAGGTTTCTAGATAACTAGGGGTCTGCCACGATTCAGCACTGATACTGGGTTGTGGTGCGTGATGAGCGAATGACTGACTCTTCAGTGACTCGTCTCCTCCACGCTACGAATCGAGAAACAGAATGGCTTGGGCCGCTGAAATCCTGTCGATGCACGTGGCGGAGTCGATTGCAGCAGCCCAGCCCCGAAGCGAGATTAGCCTTTGAGCGTGCGTTGTTCGAATATAACACCTGTTAGGTACATGATGGACTTGTAAAGGCCGCTCTTGGTCGCAGTTGGGCCCCCGCAGACAAAGGACAATTGGATGCTGTCATCTCGGCCGTGTCTTGGGGAAATACTGGCAACTAGATGGCCGGAGAATCGGCGAATTACGTAGTCATCGACAAAGATGGCCATCTCCGTACTCGTACAGATTTCGCCAACCGAGTATCAAGAAAATAGTTGGACACAGAGAGAGAGAGAAGGAGACCCCTACACAGTTGGCGTGGTCAGCTCCCTTTAACCCGCCAAAAATTACCGCTTCGGGCACTGGGGCTGGTTAGGGTTCCGCGGGGGCTGGAATGAGCAGGGATGTCAGGAATCGCCGGCCGGCAAGTGCTGAATACAATGACTCTGACAAAGTCCAGGTTCATCAAGCTGCGGGATTCGCAGGTTGGTCGGGTGTCTGACAGGTGAACCGTGCAGACGTGTGGCCGATCTATGGAAACAGGGAAACAGGGAAACAAGAGTCAAGGCAAAGGCTTCTCAACGACGAATCATGATACGCTCGCCGGCACTTCAAGCCAGAGATTCAGGTGGCGCGCTCAGCTGCGCTCCAAGCCCAAGGGCCGAGAGCGCGAAATACGACCCGGATTCCTGTGCGCGCCAGATCTGGGCAACGGGAGAGAAAGACGCACTTGCGTATGTAGTCTGTGCAGTTGGGGGTGAGGCTGAATCTTGGTAGAGTTGCTGTGAGCCAATATTGCGGTGGTGGCGCCTGAAGGAACTCGGGAGCGGCAACCCGGAGCTGCTGCCACTCACAGCTGGCAGGGGACGTCATGATCCTCCTTGATGTTTGTGTCCTCTACAAAAGACTTGTGAGCAAGCTTATACGGCACTTTGCAGATGCATTACGCGATGTACTCGGTACACATGGCTAGATGCACATGGCTGATGTGGGGGCCTAGGTATGTAACGTATGTAACTAGTACATAACAGCCGCTTCTGATAATCTAATTCGTACAGTATTCGGATTTAGTATCCGTCACGAGAGCTGCTTTGTCTCAGCAGGGGCCAACAAGACGGGGCGGAAGTGCCTATCTACAAACTATGTACTTCGTACTCCAGTATGTACATCATTCTACACCAATCTGTATACCAGCATCGGCGCAAAAACAAAGTGCGACACACTCCAAAACCATCGTGCCTCATCTTTTCCCTCCCCACAAAGTCGATGGTTCCAGCCCGCCACTCGAGCGCCCAGACATGGGCACCCATGCAACCACCAAGGTTAACGCCTGCAGACGGACAGCGGGCAGACGGACAGACGAAAAAATCCAGAGCGCATGGGCGTGTGTTTCCGCCCTGTCTTTTGTCCATAATAACCTTGTTCAACATTGCCCCCAGGCTGAACAAAAACACCCACCCGTCGGTGCGGAATCTGGCCGCTTACACGAGTGAACTCAACGGGCTTACCCACCACCACAAGAGGATTGTTGACACTATACTCTGTGATTGTAGAAAAACTCAGGGTCGCTCAGCGTTCGAGCTCACCCACGGCCAAGCATGCTGTCTCACCTCAGAAATCGGGGCTTGGTTCCCGCTTTCGGTCATCGAGGGAGCAGAGAATGGCCGCGCAAAGGCTGCACTGGCGTACACGGTCTGTCTATTTTCTCTGTGCCATGACGGATTACATGGGGGGGAGGGGGGTGAAGGGCTGTCTAGTTCGAGCCGCTCTTACACGCCCTTTGACACCAAAACACTCCTCCACCGAGGCTGTTTCCCTGGTCCCAGTCACCATCAACTCCGGTGATCTCGGTTGGCTCCGCGGCGTGCGTCGTGCCCAGTGCTTTTTTCCCTGCGACTGCGCGTTTCCATTAATAGGACTTGGGCGCCTTGGTTTTTTTTTTTTTGCGTCGTAGCCATGAAGCCAGAAATACCATATCAGCGTATTGCGGAAAACGAGGCCATCCGCAGCCGTTCCTTGTCTCTCTTGCCAGCACAGATGCGATAGCAACCCCCCGAGACGAGCTGTATAAAACGATACAGTCTACCCAGTCTACAAAACAGTACGGGTTGACTGCTTTTGCTTGACAGAACAGGAAATCGAAACCCCCCTCCCCCGACTTGTACACGATGAGTCACGCCAAGTTTGTGCTTCTGCAGGAGCCCATTGCGGCCTCGGAAGCGTCCAACCTGCTCTGCCGCGTCGTCGCCTCCAAGACGGCGCCGCTCATGGCCGCCGCGCCCTTCCTCCGCAGCCCCGGCGCCGACAGCAGCCACAGCACCCCCGGCGCCGCGGCGGTCGTGCCCAAGTGCTCGGCGCCGATCCGCCTCGCCGACTTCATGGCCATGGCGCGCAGCCAGGGCGTGGCGGCGCACGTCGCGCGGCTGCTCGACGGTCCGCGGCTGCTGCGCATGGACGACCAGCAGCAGCAGCAGCAGCAGCACGGCGTGCTGCTCGAGTGCCGGCTGGTGCGGCGGTACGTCGTGGCGGACCCGGCGACGGCGTTTTACGCCCTCATGCACGCCCCCGACGACGGCGGCCGCTACGCCCGCGACGTCCGCGCCCTGCTCGAGCAGTGCGCCGACCGCCAGGGCTACTTCCTCACCGGCGTCCTGACCGCCACCGACGACGCCTGGCTCGTCGGCGCCACGCAGCAGGAGCTGCGCCAGTTCGACATGTACGCCGACGGCAGCAGCACCCTGCCCTTTCTCTACCAGGACCTGCTCGGCGGCCCGCCGGAAATGGCCGCGTTCGCGCACCACCAGCAGCCGAAGCAGATGCCGCGCGAACACATCTTTGCCGCATCCTACAGGGTCGCTAGGATCCCGCGCGGAGCGTCGTCCCCCGCCTCGCCCGAGTCCGCCCCGGGACAGCGCTCGCCGGGAAGCACGCCGCCGGGGCGCCCGCGGCGCCCGAAGCGCAGCAACGGATACCACCTCGCGCCGCGACGCGCGGAGGAGCCCTGGCCGACGAGCAACGGCAGCAGCCCGGAGACGGCGCCGTACTACGACGACAGCGTGAGGCTGGACGACGATGACGGCCTGGGGCTGCAGATGGAGGAGGCGCCGTTTATCATGGTGTGAGAACAATGCGCGAAGCATACGAGCTTGAAGGAGACGAATGAAGATGCGATAAATTACTGGCCCTGTCGGGAGGTACGCACGGGCTGGACAGCACCACCGGCGGAAGCAGAGCCGTGCCAGGCAGATTTTTTTTAAATCAGTGAAACCGAACTCGGCGCCGAATCCCAATAACGCTATCCGCCCTCTTTTACGCGGTCATCTTGGAATCAATTTCCCGCCTCTGATTGACAGGCCTACCATTACTTACCCTAGGTATGCCGCGGCTCTCCTCCCGGGCGGACAGGAGAAGGCGACACCAACCACCACATGATGACACTTCTCATCACAAATGGGGCCAGGAATAAGTCTGGACCGTAAGATTGGCCGAGGGGGGCATGTTTACATGCAGAGGATAGAACGGCACACAATTGCGCAGGGACACAGGGGCCCATGTACACCATCTCTTGTAACAAGGCAGAACCATAGATAGACACACAGCACACTATACCCAAGAACCAATAAGATACCAACGACCAGGCGTCACGTTTTACTTGAAGCGCCTGCAGGCCGTCCCAACGCGCATTGACGGGCGGGCGCAAGCTTGCCGAAAACGCCACACGGTTCGCCTCACTTGGCCCTTGGCCGCGTGGGCATCTTCACTGGTGCTGCTACGACTGTGTCGAAAGATTGAAAAAGGCAGAGTCGGGAGTGTTTTCTGTTCTGAAGAAAACATAATCTGTAGCTAGAAAAATACGCAATCAAACCAAATATCAAAAACTTGACAAACTGGCCATGAACCGGTCCCGGTCCGTGTCCCGCCGCCCATCGGTGGTCCGGCACAGAGACGAGAGCCCCTCACCCGCGCGCTCCCGCTCCCGCTCCTTATCCGCTGCCTCGTCGCATCGAGCTGGCCCGCGCTCCCGATCGCAGTCTCGCGGTCCGCAAGCCCGCCAGCCCAACACGAACAACAGCGCCAGCAGCAGCAACCGCCTCTCCACCTCGGCCGGTGTGCTGGCCGGCATCGGTCTCGCTGCGCTGGTCGTACGCAAGCTCTGGCCCAAGGCAGAGAGAGAGGACCGGAGCGGCGGCGGCAGTCGTGCACGACGAGGCAGCAACGCTGTGCAGGACCAGCGGGGCCCGCGTCGACAGCCGAGCAGCGTGGCGAGCCGTGGCTACGGACAGCCGCGGTGGGCGGTGACGGGCGGGGAGTCGAGTCGCGTTCCCCGGGAGACGGAGCGGCCGCTGCGCAGCTGGGCCGGGCACGATGCGAGGAGCCACGTGGAATCGGGCTCGGGCTACCGTCGCAGATACAGCTAGGTATATTTCACTAGATGGATAGAAGGCGCTGGGGGAACACGGTACTCTGACGGTAACTTCTGATGTATACATCATAATACAGTATATTTATTCTCGGTCCTAAATGCTGTTTATTTTTATTTTAAACGGTCAGTCTTGGGGGCTCGTCATGGCGCAGTCGGCTGAATCCGACACCGGACTGCTCGTAGGGGGCTCCTCCGTGTCGATGAACCTTTCCCGAGGCAGAGCTTGTTGCCAGCCTTGCCCAGTGGCCATGACCGCCTCGGTCGACAGACAGTCTCCGAAATATCTCTCCTTCCTGGTCGTGCGACGCTCGCCGCCTTCCAGGGCCGAGTACGCACTGCGCGTGGTGCGCATGCGCTTGCGCCGGCCACCGTCGCCGAGCAGATCGTTGAGGCGCTGCCGATCCTGCATCAGCTGGTCGTCGTAGTGCACGATGCTGCGGACCCACGGCGCCACCTCTACCACGATCATGGTCATTGTGCGGTCAAAGACGGACGGGTCGAGGCTCATGCTGCCAACGGCCTTGGGAGACACGGCGATGGGATCAAACGCAACGGCAACGTCGTATCGTGTCAGCTGGTGATTGTCCTTTTCGTGTTGGGCTTCTAGAATGGCCGTCGTCTTTTGCTCGCCATAGGCCTGGCTGGTACTGTGAGGAGCCGAGGATGCGAGACTGGTAGCCGACGTTTTGAGCTTGCTGAGTGCCAAAGCGGAGAGGGCCGAGGAGACTGCGACGCGCGAGCAGAAATGGGGCTGGAGAGAATCTGCCTGAAGCAAGGCGTGAGCTACCGTAAAGTCGTCTCTCGAAGCAATGGGCATTTCTGGCAACGTTGGGTCAAGCATCTCGTCCAGCTCCAAACCCAGCGCCCCTGCTGCACAAACATCGGCACAGCTCAAAGCATCGTAATACTCAGTGTATGCCTCAAGATTCTTGGCTCGTTGCTGTCGACTCATGGGATCTTGTAAAGTGGCTGCACTGAGGGGGCCCAAATCCTTGGTGCCGTGCCAGTCACTCAGATCCTGACGCCAAAACTGCCAAGCCTGTTCAGCAGCCTCTTGTTCCATGGCTTGTGTGTCTGGGGCAGCGACAATGCGGTCGCGGCTAAGCCAGCCCATACCAGTCTGATATGTATCCCCGCTAATTACACGAACGACTTGACCTTGTTTATCCAGATCAATCCCTTTCGGCCAGCGTAGGTAGAACCAGTCATGGCCGCCTCTCCGGTCCCCGACACCAATCTGACACCAGAACTGCAGGTCTGTAATGGTGCCGCGCAGGTCAAAATTTCGGCATCGATAGAGTGCTTGCACCGCGTGGCGTTTCAAGGCATGACCTTCATTCGCAGCAATGAGGAGGCATGTGTCTACTGCAAGATGCTCTGGCGGCGGTGAGAAGCGAAAAATGCCATGCAAATCAAGTGTGTGTATCGGGACCGCGCTTTCGTCGTTGCAAGTGAAGATGAACGGTCTCTTAGACTGAGCCATCAATGACTGTAGGCTTGCCCAAAATTGCTTATCTTCGTCGAACAAAATGTCGACCTCTTCCACCAGGATTAGTGACTGCTTCTGTGACTTGGACGAAGGGCTTCTGCCCCCGACATCTGCCCTGGCACGAGTTTTGTCCAGATGTTTCTTCTTCTTCTTCTCGGCGTTTGGTTTGAAGAATGATGTCATTGTATTTTGTTTGTTCGAGCTTATTTGTTCTTCGGCTGGAGCTGTTGAGCCCGTGCCTTCAGAACGATGCTGCACGAGATGATTACGTGTCATATCGCCAACTCTTTCCAAGATATCCTTGCCACTGCGGCGAGTGCTAGAGTTGATTTCAAATACTTCGAATCCCAACTCTTTTGCAACTGCATATACAGCGGCCGACTTGCCAGATCCGTGTGGACCGCTGATGAGTAAAGCATTCGCCAGCTTGGATGGATCTTTGCCCGCTAAATTTAATGATCTCGCCACTGAAGGTCGCAATCGTCGTTTCGCGTTTGGCGGTTGATCCTCCAAGTCGGACAGCTCATTCATTTCACCGCTTTCGTCCTCGCTATCCACGACAAAGCCGTCAAGCTTGCTCTTGCGCTTTTTCTGCTTTGTCTCGCCTTTCTGTTTCGCAGAACCATCCTTCGCGCTCTCCACGCCCTGTACTCGGAGCATCTCGAGCCATTGCTTCATTAACGGAACTTCTCTTCCAGGTTGTAGGACTTCTGCCGCTCCGACTGGCGCGTACTTGGAAGCCCATGACATGCTCTCACATGTTGATCGATCAAAGGCAGACAGTTGTCTGGCTAGCGATTGCCAGTGGCGACCTACAATCGGGTGCACCGGGTTTGACGGTTCTCGGGCAAGGTCGTCTTCGTCCATGTCATTTTGCGACGCGGTCAATGAAACTACCTCGGATTGTACTTCCGAGCGTATGCGCCTGGCGAGTTTATACCCGCTCTCAAAATGCCTGGTCGGTAGTCGCAATTCGACCGGAGGAGGTGTAAATAGATTGTCGTTTTTAGGTAGGCTGCGTTTCACGTTCGGTATGTCCAATTGCCCGCTGAGCAGGCCAAGAACTGACTCTTGCGAATTGACCGACACGGTTTGTCCTTTGAATTTCTTTCTGGGTCGATTAATCGGCGCCGCGATACATGGTGAAACCAGCTGCTCGGCTCCACGGGTGTGACTGAAGCCATTCGGTGGCCAGAGAGGGTGTTTTGCGCCAGGTATTCTCATGCCAGTGGGCTTGAGACCATAAGAGGGCACTTTGGCCGACAGGAAGACGTTTTGCGGTTTTCTCGGAGAGACTGGGGTTGACATAAAGACCGTGTCTCGCTTTTTCTCGCTTTTGGGCTGAGCGTCGGGTGGCTTTCCTTTCGCAAAAAACGGGTGCGGGGTTTTCGAAGCCGCCTGAGCTGCTTTCTCCTTGGGTTTATTATTGGCTTTTGACTTGAGCGCTTTCGTGGCAGGTTCGATCCGCAGCTGGCCGGATAATATTTGTACGATCTGGTCACCGATCCGTTTGCGGTCTTCGCCATTCTGGCCATATTTGATTGAGACAATTTTGGAATTGACCTTTGTCGCCTTTGGTTTGGGCGGCGACCCGAGAGTTCCAGTTCGCATGTTGAATCTCAACACCTTCTTAGGCGGTGCACTTTGCTGAGGCGTCGCTACCAACGAAGGCATCTCGTCGGTCGCGAGTCCTCCGGGCAAGGGAGATTCAGTCGCAGATTTCGGATACGCGGGAGCCAGAGATAGCGGCGCTTGAAACTTGGGATCGTTTGCAGAAGAGACTGGTAGATTTAGCCCGCTATGAAAAGTTGAGTTGGGGGTCGCGGGAGAAGATGTCAGAGGTGATTCTCCATCGATTGTCGAAACCATTGGTTGTGAACCTGCGCAGTACGGCGTTGACGCACCGCTGTGTTGAGATACGTTGACATAGTTTCTCATGAATTGCTGTTGGGGCGCAGTATGTTCGTTTGTCTTTATTCGTTTGGAGTCGTGCTCATTGTCTGCCTGCGTCGTGGGGACTGTCATTTGCTCCGGGTTTGCAACAGCCGGCGCTTTGACAAAGAGAGGGTGAAGTTTCCTCGAAGAACTATCACGAACTCCCTCATCAGCCATTGTCATTATCGCAATGTCTCCCATTGAATGGGAGACTCGTACAGCAAATGCCCTGGTTGGCGGTTTCAGGGCTCCTCCACTGCTGCACGTCTATGGCCACAAGTAGCTATCCATGTGGAAATAGGCTGCGATTGCAGGCGCGAGATAAATTCGCCAATAAGTGACGGTAAATAGGGGGTTGCTGGAGGTCCGACGACTCAATGATGTGTTGGGCGATTGGTGCAGAGTCGAACAATGCGGCAAGCAACCCCAGCGTCAAGCTTAACAATTAAAGACTGCAGACGCGTCGAGCTGTGACGCGCCGGTGTTAAAGGTACGTACCGTTGAAGCAATGGCAGACCCCACCTAAGAGTGTCTCACCGCCCGGCAGAGAGCCCCACTTCGACTTTTTTTTGGGGCCTCAGTAAATTTTTTGGTTGGTATTCATTCAGCGGCGGCATCTTGAGAAAAAAGTGTGAATCTGGTAGTGTCTGCGATTGCGGCCGCCTAGAGTAGTTTTTGAGCTTCTTCTACACTCACAATTATAGCCATGGCTGCCGAATACAAGATCCATCGGCCGTTGGTTCTGGCAACATTGCCAAGGCCGCTAGATCACACCAATGGTAGCATCGTTGCCAGAGAGGTCTATGGCCAAAAGGACGGGTCTAAAAAGCGAAAGAGAACTGAGCTTGTCGTTGGCATCGACGGAGAGAATACAAGCATCTACGATGTATGTGGCACGAATATATCCTTGGGGCTGTGTGCTGACTTTTCAAGGTCCCAACCGCTCGGCAAATCACTTCATACCCGATCCCGCCACAAGAATCCTTCACCTGCGCGCCATACTCTGTACGTATCCGTACTGCAGCGTCCAGCGATATTTATCGATACACATACGCGGTGATGAGCGACAATGCGACGCAAAAAATCACGTTGTTCAAGGATGTGGTCAACCTCGATGGCAAAACTATCTCTACGACAACCTCGAAAACCTTGAAAACGTCTCCCGTCAAGTACATTACGTGCTCTTCGCTATCGTCCAAAGACTCCGTGGTTGGTGATGTGATCATTGTCTGCAACGGCGGAGAGGTCTTGTCACTCTCTGCCGAGACTCTGTCTACAAAATGGACTACTACTGCAAAGTCTTCCATGCAAGACGTCGTTGCTACCAAGATTGACAACCTGGAGATCGAACATGTTGCCTCGGGCTGCTTGAGCGAGTTTACAGATGGCTTATTCAAGCATAAGCGTGAAGTACTTGGTGCGCTTCCCAAATCAGTCGAGGGTGGTGAGCCAGAGCTCATTGCGCTGGTTGCGACAAGCAGCACTGGGAAGCAGACGAACAGACACCTTATGATTCTGGCGGCTATGAAAAGTTCGACTACCAATGCAGACCTACAAAAATTGGTACCCCTGGATATCTCCCCCATACCGTCTACCGTCGCCAAAGGGGAAAAGGTTACGTATCAGGTCGATGGCCAGTCTGCTACGCTATTCCAGCTCCAGAATGACACTCTCACAATCTTTGATATTTCGGGGGCAATTCCAAAGGTCAGGTCCTTGTTCCAAAACCAAGGCGCTACGACGTTTGCAAAGCTGTCGCGACCATTCGTCCTCTCGTCGTCGCCCGAAAGCATTACACTATTCAACTACCAATACAGATCAGTGCACGCCACTGTGGAGATGGATCTCTCTGAGCTTCCAGTCGAGAGCCAAAAACCCCGCTCTTGCCATTTTGTGAGCTACCTTCGCAGCCAAGATCTCGCCGTGGCCCTCATCGACAACGTGCTGGTTTCCATCCATGTTGAGCCGCCCAGTAGCCAGGGTAAGCGTCGCAAAGAGGGTCTTTTGATCGACTCCATAGGTCGAGGCACCACTCTCGAGGCTGCGCCGAAGCGGGCGAAGCATTCTGATGGTGTCGAATTCTCTCGTCGCGTTCCCGGAACCATGACGGCATCTTACATGGCCGAATACAGCGCGGAGGTGTTGGCAGCAGATGAGCTGCTGGCGGGTAATGACCTGTACAAGTGGGAGGAACTTCTGCGCACGAAGTTTCACATGAGCCATTCTGATGAGCAGAGCGCGGATCTGGAAGCAAAGGAGGAAGGTGTCGAATGGGGCTGGCATCGCGACGGCAGCAAATACGCTGCTGTTGACAGGCGGTGGGTTATTTACGCCCTTAGCCAGGTGTTTTCTATCGATGCCAACGAATCGGATGATACGCAGCCACACCTGAGGCTTGTGCTCCCCGACGGCAATGTCCTTACGTATCTGATCGTCGCCGGGCACGTAACACTTTCCAACCTGCGATCTGCGTTTGTTGAAGAGCTGAATGGAATCGACGATAGAAGAATTGCGGCAGATCTGATTAATTGCCTCACAAATGCAGAGCCTTCCATGTCGCTGTTGCTCAACTACTTGCAGGCGACCAGGCTGGGAGAAACTGAACTTATCCTGGCGATCCGCGCGCTCATGCTCAGCATGGACCTTCTGCCCGATACGAGGAGAATGAACAGCACAAAGCTCCTCAAGGAGCAGCCACACGACTCGGACGATAAGTTCGAGATGGATCTGGACGACCTAGAGCGGGAGATTGCTGTTACGGAGCACTACTTGGGGGATGATTCTAGTAGCCGCTCGCGCGGGCTAACGCTTGCTTTTACCAAACTCTGGCGTCAACCTGCTATTGCGACGGTCAAGGCCCTTCGTACCGCTGTGCGCACGGAAGAAGTACTGGCCTTTATCTATCTTCTGCGGTTGGAGCTTGTCCGCGGTGCCTGGACGTCGCTGTACGTCGATACGACCAGTTTTGAGTCAGAAGGCAACGATTCTCCTCCGGACGGGGTCATCACGCTCATTGCCGATCTTCTGGGCCGTTGCATGGATGCGATTGGGTCTGGCGGCTGGCTGTTCAACGATGCCATGTCGTGGGCGGACAAGGCAGAGACGGGCGACTTTCTAACGGCACTGCGACTGGAGGTGACGGCGGCTCTCGAGGGCATCGAGGAAGCCGTGCAGATGAACGGCGTGGTGAGCGAGACGGTCCGTTACGGGCAAGCGATGCAAAAGAACGGCGGCGGGCGGCAGGTGTCGCGGAACGGCAGCAAGCCGATGACGGTGCAGCTAGAGACGCGGGAGTCGCGGATGCTGCCGCTGGGCCTTGTGGTGAAGCAGCTGCCGAGCAAGGAGAAGATTGTGTCGGGCGGCGAGGTTGTACAGCGCAGCGCGCGAGAAACGGGGCATCTGATCAGTCAAAAGGTGGCTGCATATTCGCTGGAGAAGCTTGCGATTTAATTCAGGGCAAGAGAGGTCATTTATGGAGGCATGTGGGAATGTTTTGTGTATTCCGGTTGAATCGGGTCAATGTGTATATTCCGCCGCAGGTGGTGACTTGGCGATATGAATATATATGGAACGGCGAACAGGATGGCTTTATTATGTCGCTGTAACCATGCGAAGCGTGTGTGATAAGCACGAGTTAAGAAAAAAGTGCTCATTTCGCAGTGTGACGCCTACTGTCGGGTCATTTTAAGCATGACAGCAAAGTACCTAGGAATATTGTCGGACTGAGTGTCTGTGTTCCGCTTTGCAACAGTCGTGCAGGGCGAGGAGTAAAACATCCGGCGTACCACAGTTTATTAGTGGCAAGCGCTAATAAGAATGGACAGTGCCCTATGTGGCTTGCGTGGCGACAACGGAGGGAGCTAAATTATAGATTAAAACCGAGCGTTTCTTGCTACTTGAAGCCATGTAAGCGCCGTGGTTGGCCCTGGCAATGATTTCTATGGGTTTCGCCTCCAACGTGCCAGTAGTTTGTATTTTGTCTAGAGTTTGACCTACCTACCTAGGTACAAAGTTAACTTATTAGGCCAACAAAACCCCGCTGTTGTGCTCCTAGGCAAGACAGGGTTCCACAGCAAAGGCCACAAAGGCCAGGCCAGGGTCCTGCAAAATGCCCATTCTTGCCAACATGGGATTTTGGGCCAAATCCTGCGTTGTTACACCTGTCCAACTCGTTTTTATCCGTACATTCTTTTCGCCACTCTGCAAGAGGAAAAAAGAATTTACCCAGTGCATATATACAACACAGCGCAGATGCCAAGCAGACCTCGTTTCTGCATCTACAAAGCACCCCAGACTTGATACCCAACCGCTATACTTATCCGCCACTGCTTGGCCCGACCCTGCCCAACTATAGATTGATTTAGCACCAGCTGCTTCTCACGACAAACGTCCGCTGGCCTTCTTTTGATTTTGCCAACGGTTTTCTCATTTATTCCATCTCCAAGAAAACACATAGCGGCCCCGATCAGTACATGTCTATCATCGCCCCCTCTGCTCCGCATGTAGGGCCTGGGTCCCTCTCTCGCCACAGCAGCAGCGGCAGCGACAGTGCGGCCCATGTGCTCGCCACCATCGTCGACATGGACCCGTCGACGGCGCTGCCAGCGCAGCTCTCGCTCAAGGGTCTCTTGCACAGCGAAAACGTGCAGCTTGTGCGTAGTCCCTCCCCTTCCCCTGCCGATGATGAACGCCCCGATGCTAACTCCCCGCCAGATCCAAGAGAACCTAGCCGTCCTCGCCCGGTTCGCCGACCATTTACCGCGCGAGTTGGACGCCGCGGCCCCGCGTGTCACAAACGACGAGCTTTTGATTATGGGCAATTTGGTGCGCGACATCTCGAATAGTCTGGAAAAGATTGAGTCGCTGCGCGAGGACGAGGTCCAGGTGCTGCCGTACGTGGCCGACAAGTACGTGCCAGTGCGGCCTGTCTCGTCTGTCGCCCGGAGACGACGCAAAGAGGAAAAGGTATGTTTTTCTTTTTCTGGCCAACGTCGTAGATGGGATCGAGATGTGCTAACGGAAAACGCTAGAAGCTGCAAACGGCACAGAAATGTCACAACTGTAATCGCCTCGACACGCCGCAGTGGCGAGCTGGCCCCGACGGCCCGCGCACGCTCTGCAATGTCTGCGGTTTGGTGTACACAAAACGCCAGCGACGACAGGCCGAGCAAATGATGCGCCCTCTGAGACGATTAACGACGCTTAAATAGGATTTGTTTGAAAATTACGCGACGACGACACCGCTTTGTTATTGAGATGCTACCGATACCTCCACGCGCATGCCCTATTGGGATTTTTTTGGCTTCAACTATGGTACAGGGAAAATTGGGAACAGGTATATACGGTTCAATCATTCGGATAATGGTTTTATTTATTCAACACATTCAACACATTCAACGCAACTATGCAATGTAGACTGGCGTAGCCACAGTGCGTGGCTGTACGGATAGTTAAGGTATGTATTGGCAGCCCAGCCTCGCTGGCGTGGACCGGATGATTGATGCCTTGGCCGATATGAGCCATGCAATTTCTGACTCTGAAGACTCGAATGATTCAAGAGCCGAGCTGGCGATAGCTGCCCTGTCAATTATACGATGCTGTGTTCTGCAGCTTTCCGGTTCGCTTTTCTCTACGCTTGGAGCGTCGGCTGGTCTACCTCTAGAGTGAGTGGATGGCTTTGTTGGGGTTGGCTGATATTGACCCATGTACTTCATTGCATTTGAAGTACCTTATATTCTACAGGTTGATAAACTTTCGACGTTTTCAGTTCAGTTGGAGCAATGCGTGTACATATGTACCGAAGAGGCTTAGTTACCCTGTAGCAGCTCCAAACATCAGGTCACAGCAGTGAGCTCTAAAAGCAACAAGAAAATGTCATGCAAGAGAAACTCGGGAAAAAAAAAGGAAAAGAAAAAGCACGAACGCGCATTCTACAAAGAGGGGGTCCTGAGGAATAGTTTCCTAGTCATCTTCCGGTTAGCAGCGTTTGACCGTCTCAACTCGGCCGAGGAATCATGCGATGAGTAAGTACAAGACGTCGCTCCATCATCGGCGATAGTTGTGCGACCATTTACGTGCAGCTGACGTGTTTTTGCTCGTACGACCAACTAGTTGGCACCCTCGCTGTCGCATCGCTGATGTCACGAAATAGTACCCTTTGTGCAAGACTGCGGGAGTCACAGCACACGGGCAAGGCATTCGCATACATTGGGACTCTAGATACCATCCCATATGATACATGTACAGATACCCCCACGACCCAAGACATTGCCCGTCTTCATGTCAACGGCGTCCACACCGGCACTTGGTTGGTGTGTGGTGACAAGTGCGAGGAGCGCAGCGTGCGCCCACGAAACCAGAGGCGCAACGCCTCCCTCCCTCTGCAAGCCCGTTCAGCCCAGCCAACGCCGATCCCTACCCGAGCACGACGCTCCGGCAGATCCCACCCATCATCGGCAGGACATGTTCGGTACGGTGTGCGCCGCAGATGAACAAGATGGCGCACACACGTTGTCGCTTTGTGTCTCCAACCCGTGTCTTGGCTTTTGCCGTGCTGTCACGGCTTGGCCTGTCTAGCGGCCTGATAAGTAGTTTGGCCAGTCCGGTCTAGGACGCCGCTCAACACACTCTTTCTTCCCTTCTCGTTCTTTTCTTTTATTCTTTTTATATTCGCTTCACGCTTGTGGTTTTTCATTCTTACGGTGCCCCTTGGGACATAATTGTCTCACGCAAGAGAAGAAAAGAACAAACAAAACTGCACAATACAACACAGAGCAACACCATGGCTGGCCCACGAGCTTCCAGCGGCCTCCTGCGCAGCCGCATCCGCCGCCAGTCGTCCCTCACGCCGCCGTCCGCAAGCCCGACGACGACCGAGGCCCCATCCGGCGCCGGCCCCACGTCCAAGGTCCGGCTCGAGAGCCTCAAGGAGGAATCGCCGTGCAACCCGGCAAATGCTGCATCAGTGCCAGCACGATGAAGGGATTCTTTTTTGTCCCCGTGCGTTTGGGCAAAAATGTCATCGACGATGAGACAACGCTACGAGACGCTAGCGCATGGAAAAGTGAACAATGTATGATACCCCGAGAATGGCTTGAGTGAGAATGGTAATGTGGCATGTGAAGGGGCTCGCCGTGAAAAGTTTGACATGGTATCGGATTCTGATAAAATGTGCTGGTATTATAGCGCGCTAAGCATACGATTTTGTTTCTATTTTGTTTCATTGTCACCTCACACATACTTGGGCAAGCCTCGTTTCCAACCTTCTGAATAATCGCCACGACGATTCACCAACGTACCTAGTTACTTGTTCGTCTTTTGCAGCAAGTACTCGCCACCGACCGCAGCCTTGTAGAACCCGTACAGGCCGCGCACCGGCCAGACCGCCTTGGCCCTGTGCTTCGTCCTCGTGCGCCACGTCGCGCGCACCGCCGCCTCCTCGGCGTCGACGTCGACGCGGACCTTGTCGTACACGCTCGGCAGGTACCCCGCCTGATACCTGTCGCGCAGCGCATCGTACGACGCGCGGTCGTAGTGCGCCCAGAACTCGTCCTCGGGGTAGTACGCGTGCGCGTACAGCCACTTCTTGCCGCCCAGCGCCTGCACCTTGCGCTCCAGGTCGCGGTTCCGCGCCACGATCTCGCGCCGGCTGCTGCTGGACAAGGGGCCCCAGACGCCAAAGTTCATCAGGTTCGGGGCGTCGGGGCGGCCAAAGTCGGCGTGCAGCCCGTGCTGCGCGTCGGCGCCCCCGGCGCGCTGCACCCGCAGCGGGCACAGCCACACCGGGTAGATGGCAAACGTCGTGTCCAGCCAGGCCTGGAACTCGGCGACGGCGGCGTACGGCACGCCCACGTCCTGCACCATGTGCGTGGCGGCGAGGCCGCTCTTGTGCACCGCGCGGTACATGACGCGCGCGTGCATGAAGCGGTCGAGCAGCGCGCGCGTGACGCGGTTGAACGGCGTCAGGAAGTAGCCAAAGGCGTACTGCCCGACCCAGAAGCCGCCGCGGTCGTAGCGGAACAGGTAGTCGACGAGCGGGATGTGGTCGACGACTGTGTTGGTGGCGTCTTGCGCTGGGCGCTTCTGTAGCTGCTTGAGCACGGCGCGCGCGCGGATGTAGAACCACGGGTCGGTCCGCCGCGAGAACCGCTGCGGTGTTGCTCCTGCAGGCAGGTCATCCGTGAGCTTGCCTACACATACCACCGTAGCGTCCTTGCTAAAGACGATGCCGTCAATGTAGTCCGTCTCGTCCCTCGCGGCGGCTGCTTCCATGGCCTTGAGGGTGTCCCTGCTGTTCGTCGTCAGCGCGTACGTCAGCTCAACATACGTCTTTGCCTCGCGCAGCTCGACCTCGAGCAGCGTGACCACGCCGAGGGTGCCAAACGCCGACGCGGCGCCCCAGAAGAGCTGTGGGTTGTCCGTCTTGGACGCGCGCGCGACATCGCCCGTCGGCAGCACAATCTCAATGGAGCGCATGGTGGCGTCAAACGCGCCGTGCCGGAAGGAGCTGCTCTCGCCGGCCATGCCGGAAAAGCCGCCGCCGGCGGTGATGCCGGGGAACTCCATGACGACGGGGGGCAGCAGGCCGTGGGCGCGGGTGGCGGCGACGAGCGCGTCCATGGGCACGTTGGGCTCGACGAGGGCCGTCCTGGAGGCGGCGTCGACGGAGAGCACGTGCGTCAGCCGGCTCGTGTCAATGGTGTTGTCGGCGCGCCGCGCAGAGGAACGCGTGCTGTTGGTCGAGCCGTGGTAGATGCGGAACGGCTTCTGCTGCGCTGAGAAGCGCGCGACTTGCTGCGCGATGAGACGGACCGCGGCGTCGTGGCTCTCCATGGTGGGCGGGGCGGGGCCCCGCGGGGGTCGGCGACTTTGGGGCAAGAGGTTCAATCAGCGGGCGAGGAAGGCTTGAGCTGGGACAGCGGGAGCTGGGGAGCAGTGGCTGTTATGAATAGGTGGAGGTCTTTGGAAATGAGAGAAGAATGCGAGGTATACGATGACGTGGCAGGGTTGAAGTTCAGGCGCCCCGGAGCCGACGGAGGTGGAAGCTGTGCAATCTCCACCCCTGCCGCTAGTTCCCGGCCCGAGGATCTGCGATCGGCAGTCAATCAATCTGTCTCAATGTCTCATTACTCCAGGTGAGCACGGTACAGCTTTCGAATGTAGACCTTTAGAATAAATTATAATGCCCGACCAAAGAGATAGAGTGGCCTACATACAGCACATGGGCTGCCAGGACCACCACCAATATAACCTCGAACAACGGCAGGCACCTGGATAGACCAAATTTTATGTGTCATTCTTTTCATCTAGAGTATCCCCAAGTGCACACCAAAGAATCCTATGTAAACATGCAAAACGTAAACAAAAACCAACAACCATCTTCTAGCGCCGTTTGCCGTTGAACTTTTGACTCGGCTGGCTGCCGTACGCCCGCCGGCCCTGCGTGCGGTCCCTGCTCATGGACCCGCCAAGCGTAATGTCGACGCGCGGCGGCGTGGGGAAGCCGAAGCCCTTGCCGACCTTGGCGAGGTCGAGCTTGTTGACGTCGTAGACGGAGCGCAGGCTGTGGCTGGCGTAGGCGTGCAGGTACGACTTGAAGGCGTCCTTGGCGCTCTGCTGCAGGTAAAAGTTCTTGCCGATGAGCTTCTCGAGCTGCGACTGCACGTTGACAATCTTGCGCGTGGGAAACTCAAACTCGACGACGGGCACGCGCGCCGCCTTGAGGTGCGACAGGAAGCCGACCTCGCTCGGCTGCAGGAAGAGCAGACTGCGGCCCGTCTTGCCGGCGCCGCGCGCCGTGCGGCCCACGCGGTGGATGTAGTCGCGCGTGTTGTCGGGCGGGTCGAACTGGACGATGAAGTCGACGGCGGGGATCTGGGGGTTGTTAGTGGAGCGGTGGGAAATTGGAAGATGTTGCATAGACTCACATCGAGACCACGGGCGGCGACATCTGTGCAGATGAGGATACCGTTGGGGGCGTTGCTGAATTCGAAGAACGTGTTTGTGCGCTTCTGCTGTTTTTGCTTGCCGTGCAGGTCCAGCACGGGGCAGTCAATGTAGTTGAGCAGCTCGGCGTAGTACTTGACCGAGTTGCAGCTGCTGAAGAAGACGATGACTTTCTTCTTCTTCTGGTTCATCTGGCGCAAAAACGAAAATAGCAGGATAAAGCGCCTGTCTGCGTCGCACAAGACGTAGCCCTGCTCCAGGCCGTCGACAGTGCTGAAGCGCTCCTCCTCGTCGACATTAATATACAGAGGGCCAGGCCGCAGCGAGATGCGGGCGAGGTCCTCGACCTTGGTCGTCTGCGTGGCCGAGAAGAGCATCGTCTGGCGGTTGTCGTTGCTCAGGATCTGGACAATCTTGCGGATCTCGTCCTCGAAACCGACCTCGAGAATGCGGTCCGCCTCATCGATGATGAGCGACTTGAGGTTCTTGTACACGAAGGGCGTGCTTGTCAGGTGGTCGAGCAGGCGGCCCGGCGTGGCGACGAGCAGGTTGACGCCCTTGGTCAGCTTCTCACGCTCGGCGTTGCGGTTGGCACCGCCCATGACGATGCCGTACGTCTGCGAGTGGTGCTTCATGAGCTCGCGCGCGACGCCAAAGATTTGCAGCGCAAGTTCGCGCGTCGGCGACACGATGATGACGCCCGTCCCGTTGCGCGGCTTGAAGCGCAGCGAGGACAGGATCTCGATGGCGGGGATCAGAAAGGCGAGCGTTTTGCCGGAGCCCGTCTTGGCGGCGCCGAGCACGTCCTTGCCGGCCATGAGGGGGGGAATAGCCTGTTTTGTGGTTAGCATTGGCATGTATTGTTCGGGTCGGTCGGGAGGGCGTACACTCTTTTGGATGCTGGTCATTTTGGTGAACCCCATCTCCTTGATGGCCTGCATTGTCTTGTCCGACAGCTTCAGCTCTTCGAAGGATTCGAGGTTGGTGGCCAGAGGAAGTACGGGAGCATTGTCGGTCGGGAGATCGGCAACGGTCGTCTCTTGGTCGTCGTCGGCCTGTTCCTCAGCATTTTCAACCTCGTTTTCTGGCTCTTCTTCGTCATCTTCATCGTCTTGACCACCTCCGAAGCCCTCAAAATCGTCCTCGTCCTGCTCCTCCTCCTCCTCGGGCGCAGGCTTCCTTGACTTCTTTGACTTTTTAGGAATAGTGTCGGCGCCGTTGGTCTTGACAGGAGTGGCGTCCTCAGCGTCTTTGCGCTTGCGCTTCTTTATTGAGTGATCCATGTTGAGATGTGTTGTGCTGGTTATGTTCAATTGGGTGTGCAGAGTATTTTGCAATGGCTGGCGATCGGTATGGCGGGCGAAAAAAAGTTCTGGTGACAGTATCGATAAGAAAAAGTTGCGCCGCGCAGAATCCAAAAGCCCCACTAGCGTGGCTGGTACAGTATACACTGTGCGTGATTCGCACGCCGCACGGCGAATTACTCGCCCAAGATAAGACTGACGAGAGTCGGGTTTAAAAAAGACAAATTTCCGAATATACGATTGATGAAATTATACATAGTTACAGCTTGGAAGGTCCAACAAACGTGCTCGCCTTGTGTAGCATCTCGGTAGCCTCTGCAACCATTCCATCCACAATCTCGGCCGCCGGCTGCACCTTTGTGATCGACCCTGCTACCTGGCCCATCAGGTGCGGCAGGTCAATATCCTCTTTGCCATTGTCAAAGTCGTACATGATGGGTGCGATACCCTTGTCACACAGCTCCTTGATATCGTTGGGGCGCGCGTGCCACTGGCGGATGTAATCATTAAGCTTGAGGCGGATGGGACGGCCGGTAGGGACCAGCGACCGCTCCGTCTCGTGGTACTCGCACGAGACGACGGCCTGCTTGTGCTGCTCGCTGCAGTTGGCCTCCGTCGCGGCCACGAACCGCGTGCCGACCCAGACGCCCGTGGCGCCCTGCATTAGCGACGCCGCCAGCCCGCGGCCGTTGGCGATGCCGCCCGCCGCGACGACGAGCGCCGTTGAGCCGCCTAGCATCGGCGGGCGGTACTGCCGCGCCACATCCACGACGGCCGGGATGAGGATCGACGTGGCAATGTCGCCCGTGTGGCCACCGCCCTCGGTGCCCTGGGCGCAGACCATGTCGACGCCCAGGTCCAGGGCCTTTTTTGCGTGCTTGGGGTGCCCGACCATGTTCATGACCAGGATGTTGTTCTTATGCAGCTTCTCAATAATGTACTGCGGCGGCACGCCGACGGCGGAGACAAAGAGCTTGGCGCCGCTCTCAATGGTAAGGTCGATGAGCTCATCGAGCTTACCGTCGGTGTAGTCGTAGTTTGTCTTGCGCGCGCTGCCGCCGACTTGCGGAAGGGCCAGGTCCACGCCAAAGGGCAGGTCTGGGCTTGTGAGGCTGGCCTTGAGCTCTTTGAGAATATCCCGGAGCTGGTCGGGAGTGTACTTGAAGCCGCCGACGACGCCGAGGCCGCCGGCGTTGGAGACGGCGGCGGCGAGGGCACCGCCAGACACGCGCGCCATGCCGGCGAGGAGAATGGGGTGCCTGATGCCGAGCACCTTGGTGAGCTCAGTTGTGATGGGGCCTGTAGGAGCCATTTTGTGTATGATGAGATGAGATTTCTGTTTCAAGATCTGACGGAGGCTAGTGGTCCTGCCTAGTTCAATGAGGAAGCCGTTCCTGTGTGAGCGTTGTTGAGTGGCGATGGGCGTTTGAAGGATAAAAGGAACAATATAGGGGGAAGCAATAGTAGGCGCAATAAGAGTCGGATTCAACGGCTTTTTATATACGTCGTGAAGGTGGACAGTCGGCTATATACTTCCATGATAGCGTTTGCGTTATCCAGGAATCTGTGGGGTAACCGTTGCCGAGGCCTGCGTCAACCCCGGATTATGGCGCGGGGACGGCCGACAATTGGGGAGCCGCTATGACGTGGCACAAATGGTACGAGATTTGATTCAGGGTACGAAATTCCGGGGTAATGTAGCCTATAATCCTCATGAGACATGCACTGTCTTTTGCTCCCGTAGACAACGGTGTGGCCAACGTGGTATTTTGACACGTCAGGCTAGAACAACAGCCAAGATTAGAAAATAGAGCACGAAACAAGTCCCATTCAAAACTCCGTCAAGACGCTGGCCTTGAGACTAAACAATACAATGCTAAATCAACATGTCCTGCGAGACCTTTTCGCAGTGTTCCCATTTTATGTGCCCAAGTACGAGACGCAAACCCAATGCAGCCCGTCACGTCGTAATATGTACAGCAGTAAGCGAAATGTGTCGAAATGAATCATGAGCCAAAGTGTGGCAGTCGTGCAGGGAAAAAGTCCTGATGGCTGGACTGTGAGTCCTGCCTGGGCTGGATTTTCCGCTGCGCTTCGCTCGTCGCATCGTCGACTGTGTCACCAGACTGTGGCAGTTCCTGCGGGGGAGGCGGCATGCCCGCCTCCTCTGCTGATAATGACTGCTGTTCGTCGGTAGAGTATGTATCAGTATGCGCCGGCGACAGTCCAAGCTGTGCGGCCAACTGTGTGGCTGCTTCTTTGTTCCGGACAATCGCTCGGTCTTGCTCGTCTTGAAGCCTCTGCTCCTCCATCTGCAAGTCCTGCAGCGACGGCACGCGCTCTACGGCGGCCGGACTAATTGCCAGGGACGAGACGGAGCGCTGCAGCGGCATCGTGTCGGCGGAGGAGTTGGACGCTATCGTTGTTCTCGAGAGGGTCCTAGATGCAAAGAACCCCCCACCTTGGGCCGGCCGCTTCCCCTTGCTGCTTTTCGTCTTGTCACTCTTTCCGCTGCTGCGATCGTTTCGTACCATGTCATACGTGACGTCGTCGTCTAGCACAATGGCATCTTCTTCGCCTTCTCCGTCGGATGGAAACAAATCGCCACGCGAGCGGTAGGAGTCCGACGTGCCTCCGGTGCCGCCAGATCCTGCGGTGCCGCTTCGCTTGCGGGTTACAATAAGCTGGCCGTAATCCGACTCGTCGTCGCCGCCGAGGAGGGGCGCCATCTCCGGATTCTCCTGTTTGACCGGGTGGTCCTGCAAGTCGGCGGCGCTAGGCTTGTACCGCAGCGTACCGCCCATCTTCCAGGGCAGCTTGCTGAGGAAGCCGATAGGCTGGGTGCTGGGGATGATGGTAGGATCGTGCTCGCTGGCCTTGCGTCGGGTGCCTCTGGTGCCATAGCTCATACCGCGCTTCCGCCTTGGCTGCTCGGCGACGGCGGTGGCGCCCTCCCCGCCGAGGAGTTTGCGCTGGCTGCCGCTGCCGGCGAGCAGACGATCCCAGTCTTCGCCGGCCCAGGCGCCAAAGAAGCCCGGGCCGGTTCCGCCGTTCTGGGGGTCGTTCTGGCCGTACCAGTCGTCGTAAAAGTCAAACGAGTACTCAGCGCCGGGCCCGCCGCGCTCGCGCTCCCGGCGGCGGCGCAGGCGCTCGTCGGCATCGCCCAGGCACACGGCGGTGCACTGCTCGACCGAGCCGGCTACGTATCCGAAGCAGGGGTTAATGTAGTGCTGCTGGAAGGACCAGATGCCGGCAGCCGCGTTCTCGGTGGCGGCCTCGGCGTCGTGGGCAATCTGGTTCCAGCGCTGGCGCAGGCGGGGGTCTTCGAGAAAGGCCATGGCGGGGGTCGGGTCGGGGCGAGGCCGCGGTCGCGAGGGCTCAAGGAGGTGGGTGGTGATGGGGTGGGCATGGGCGATGCGTGGTATAGCGGGTGGTCGGTGTGGGAGAGACGACCATTTGGATGTCGCGGGACTCAAAAGGGCATGTCGGGCTCGGGAGAGTCGGCTCGCACGGAGCAGGATGACAGCGCTGCTGGCGCAAACCAAAGGTGTCTCAGAGTGTGTAGGACGATGGATGGGCAGATGAAGGGAGACGGGAGACGCTTCAGTTGAGTCTGGGTGGGGAGGCTGTGTGGGCATCTCCCCACTGAAGGCTGTCGCCCGCCGCCCGCCTTTTGCCCTTTTGCTCCAGCCCAGGCCCATCAGCCTTGCTATAGCGGGCTTCCAGCGCTTTCTAGTGAGCATAGGCCCAAAGTTAGCGCGCCGTGGCTAGCCAAGTCAGCGCTAAAACAACCATGAACCCCCCACCTCTTGAAGAAGCCACTTTGGAATATATTCGGGGTTTATTAAAAAAAAGAAGAAGAAAAACCCCCCAGAATAAAGGAATAATCAGAAGGTTTCCTTCATTTTTACCCTCTCTCCATTCCGGCCTTGACTTCCAAATCTATTAGACCACCAAATCTCCTAGCCCCGACGAGCACTTTGCCCAGCGCAGCCTAGTGAGCTCTATCCTCTATCGCCCACTGAATACCTCAAGTGGCTTCCACAATGTCATCTGGATACTTCCAGCACCCATATCGTGTTTCATGAAGCTTTCCAAGACGAAAAGGAATTGTGCCGGCTCAGGACATTGTCTTTGTTGTAGCGCCCTGGGTGCGTGAGCTGGACAGCGTCTAAACACGTTGGCGTGTCGCCGCATTTCCCAAGGCAGAACCGCCGGGACAGCTCTGCATCGTCTCTGCAGTTGTTGAAAGTACCTACTATAAAAACCAACCCTGCGATATCGCTTCTTGGGCGAATGTCGCGCACGGAATCTGTACACGAGCTCCAGCTGGTATCTGCTCCTCAACCCTGAAATATGCCATCAGCCCCGCGACTGGTGGTCTACAGAGGCTCGCAAATAATAGCTACAGTATATTTATTCCGCCTTGTATTTCCCTACTTTAGAGCCTACTCCAATACTCTCTAGCGCAGCCATAGCGTCGGCAGCATTATCACAATACTCTTGGAAGAACCGCAACAAGTTTTGCGTTTTCGCCGGTGACTCGGCTTTAAATTTTGCAAAGCTAGCAATAGGCCTGAGGGCGCGCACCGAACGCTCCTCTCGCAGCTGCAAGCAATGCGAGGGACCCGTCTCCTCTCCACAGGCCTCGCTGTCCAATATGCTATAGGCAACCGTCATTGTAAAGCCGCCAATCTTCTCCACGCAAGTAACACCGTCTGCCAGCTTGAGAAGAGCCACGCTGAGATTGTTTTCTGTGAGCACACCCTCCAAACCGGATAAAGTGTGCTGCCTTCTGGACATGACGCTACTCGGCCACAGGATTTGTGGCAAGAGGGTTTCATTGTGCAGGACGTCCAAGATGGACCGAACATCCAGTGACGAAGGCAGCTCGTGTATCGTTGTTGCAGCCGCTTTCGTTGAGTAGAGGACTTGAAGGAGTTTAATTCGATCCTGTCAGACGATTGCGCCGGCATGTGGGAGTTACTTACAAGAGGGCATAACGATGGCGGGTGGGCAGGAAAGAGACTGGTCGAGCCCGGCAATCGATGCCGTATAGGATATATAAAAAATGGAAATTGAAAAATGTCTACCTCGTCTCAGTAGGATCGCTGGCCAGCTTAACTGACGTCATGCCACTAAAATAAATTAGTTCAGAGCCGCTTCTTTCTTATTTCCGCATGTAATCTCTGGTTGGTCAGAGAGCTTGGCGGCGCCCACTTCGTCCACACCCCCGAGCTGGCTTCCTTCAACAAGATCAACAAGCCACAAGAAACACTCAATATGTAAACTGTATCTTGCTTAATGACCTTACGAGCGTATATCGACAAAAGCTTATGTAAATAATAACCTGGAAGATTATGGCGAGTGGCCGGCCTAGTCAGTGCCAGGTAGCGGTCAAATTGTTAGTCCGAGCCGAGAGCCGTTGTGCATCAAAATCAGGACCCATCACCGAGACCCAAGTGCTGGCTTCACAATTGTCAGACCCAGATGGTCATTCACAACGGCAATTCACTCCAACATGGCCATGGAGGCCCGCTCTGCCGATAAGAAATCTGCGTTTGACAGATTCTTTGCGTCCAGCGAAGGGCAGAAGGAGCTCTACGCACGACTAGAAAAAGCCAGGGTGGCAAGAGAAGAGGCAACTCCATCGCCATGCTTTTCCGATCACGGCTCTTTGGAGGAGGATTTCAGATGGCAATGCGACACTCTGCAGGGCGAATTTGTAGGGCGGGAAATGGAAAACGTACGACTCGGAATCACGCACCGGGACTATTGGGAAACGGAATGCCATCACTACGCAAACGCAATACAACAGCTGCTACTGCGAAGCTCGAATAAAGAAGAAAACGCAAAGAAACCAACTTCGCAGCAATGGCGGACGGCAGCATTACGCTACAGACATATCATGCAACTGTACGGGGTATCGCTTGACGAGGTTGATCAGATACGACACTCGATTAGCAATCAAAAATATTGGACAGAGGAGCTTGAGGTTCTTCAACAACGCATCGCTTTACGGGAACATGAAGCTTATGAAGCATATTGGAGGAAAAAAGATGATATCCAGCGACGACGGAACGAACGGGTGAAGCTCTGCCTCCAAGCTATTGGAGAATCGTCACCATCGCGACCGATGCGTTCCTCACCAAAGCGCGCTTTGCGGCAGGATGGTAGTGTCGCGAGTAGGACAAGATCCAAGATGAAAATTGGCGGGATGTTGAAACGTTGAGGCAGTCGTGGTGCACAAAGTAACGCAGGTGGCAAGTAGATGGAAAAGCCGCTCTGGTTTAATATTCATCCCTCCCCTCCCCTCCTACTTTCAATTCTACCACTTTCGATTTTACTACTTTTACTCACGCTCTTCCTGCTTTTTAACGGTAACACATTGACCTGGCCAAATGGCAAGCTCTGGCGTTTTTGATTATTCAAACATCGCATTGATCCTTGGGAACTTTGTTGGTGCAGAGGGAATCTTACTATGGTCCGACAATTCTAGATTTGAATTCACGCCGCCAAGGACTGAATCCTCTTGGAAGGGTGACCAGTCAAAGGAAGAAGAGTTGAAGCCTCCGTTCCTTTGCCTCAAGATTGGAGAGAATGTATTTGACCCTAGAGGATGGATATTGGGCTCTCATGAAGATTCTGACGTGTGCGACCTCCAAATTACGACAACGAATCTGACAGGCATCAGCAGACAAGCCTGTAGGATTGATATCAGTCCTCAAACCCATCAGGCCAGAGTGACACAACTCTCTCATGGAAAGATTCGTATCCATGGGTCATCTCTCGTTCAATGTCAGCGTGGTATACCACGGCTGCTCTCCAGTCCTTCAACGATGGATTTCGGGGCTGTGAAGTTCCGCGTATGGACCCCAAAACGAACGGTTGCAGAAGCTTTTCAGTACAAAGCAAAGGCTCGCCAATATAGCAAAGACATAATGGCCTCCATCCCAAAGCGTTTACCGTCCATTCAAAGCCACGACACGACATCGGCAGAGTCGGTCCGTTACGGTACGAATGGCGCAGTTTACGTCGTTGACGGGCAGGCGATGCAAGGGAGAGGCGCACACGCCTCAGTAATGAAAGTCCAAAATATCGGAACTGGGGAGTACTTCGGAGCCAAGGCGCCGCATTTCAAGGTCAGTGACGATGCCGACACAGCACGACAGCGGTTTGAGGCTTTGCAAATGGAGTATACTCATATCAAGCATCTTGATCATGTAAGTGGTTTCAATTTTGCTACTCCTCTGCCCTAAATACTAACAACTTGTGCCAGCCACACATATTGAAGGCGTTTGACTTGGTTATGGCCGAAGACTTGACTCTGCCGCCGTGGATGATTGTTGAATACATTCCGCTAAATCTCCGAGAAGCCCTGCCTTCCTTAGACGAACGCGATCGCTTAGCAGCAATGACTCATATTGCGAGTGCGTTGACGTATTTGCATGCGAACGGCATCACTCACCGGGACATTAAACCGGACAATGTCCTCATTTCTAGACAAGACGGTTTACTAGTAGCAAAAGTTGCCGACTTTGGCACCTCGAAACAAAACAATTCCGCCAAAATGGACACATTTACGGGGACGCAGATTTACATGGCTCCTGAGGTGTTTGTCCAGCCGCGTTACTACTCGAGTAAGGTGGATATGTGGGCTGTTGGGATGATCGGCATGCAGTTGTTTACTAGCTGGGACCCCGAAAACGACGATCAGTGGGATCCTAGGGATCGTGCAACCTGGGTCTGTACAGTTGCTCTTCAGACTATTCCCGAGGCACCAAAGTTTCTGCGGCCCATGATTAAAGGACTATTGCGAAAACACGCGGGGAGACGATGGAGCTCTTGGAAGTGCCTTAGTTGGCTCTGGAAACACGAGTCGCTCAACTCCCCTCCTTTCTCTGAATCTGGCGCAGGCAGAGCCAACGCACATGAGAGACCGGTCGGGAGGGACCTGCTACGTTTTAATATTAGCGGCGACTACTATAGTAGACACCGCCGCAGCCCAAACCCTTCCCTTTCGACTGCCCGGGTGCGAGTTTCTGAAAACCCCGATGGCCTGCCCGATACGGCGTCTCCATGTGCTGGGGCACCGGATATACTGTCGGCAGCCTCAACGCCTCGGGCCGATGAAGTAATGTCCGATATGGAGAAATCGGACGAGGAATCGTCTGGTTGCGACACAGACCTGGAAGATTGGCGGTTGGCCCTAACAGAACCCCAGTAGGTAGGCATACAGGTGACAAGAAAAAAGGACGGACACATGAGTCTACCCTGAATGAAAAGAAGTATAGTATAAGTAAGAAAAGAGGGGTGAAAAATCACCCAAAAAATTATCGGAAGACAAATAAGTTGAAAATAGTAAGAAAATAGTGAGAAGAAGGAAGGTAGTAGTATTCCTAATAATCTAGCGGGTTGTGTATCTCCCTAGCAGTGACACCTGCTTAGGGTGATAAAACAACCCACGGCTGGTAGTATTATTATTTATTGATTCTCTTTACTATGATTCTTTTCATTTTAATTCTCTTATGAATCTTTTTCAATCTTGGCCACACACCACCTTTGATCCGGGCAATGGCGGGCCTCGGAATCTATCGTGGATGACCGGTGCCGGGAATGGCCAGCCGCGTCACCCGAGGCAGCTCCGCTCTCCGGCACCTTCGGCAACGCGTCATAGCAGTCTGCTTAAAAATCCCCAGAACCTTTCGCAATCTCCCCTCCTCTCCTTTTCCCATCTACGATTTAATTTACTGATCCTTGCGGCGTGTTGCCTGCCTGCTCTCGAGTTCCTTTTGGTGTGCATCGACTTCATACTGTGACCAGCCTGTGCTGCTGCCCTTACCATGCAAAAGATTACGTCCTATCTCCCGTCCTGGGACACGACCAAAAAAGAAAGCAAAAAGGGCTTCGACAAGGCCTTCAAGGTTGTCGACAAGCTGGGCGCGCCCATCAACAGACTCTCCAATCGCGTCGGCAGCGAAGCCTTTTGGCCGACGACGCTCGACAAGGAAAGCGACAAGGCCGCGAGAATTCTCAAATCATTTTGCAGTACGTGACTCTGTACCCTCTTGCAGCTAAGCAGAAATGCTGGCTCTCGCGACCTGCCAATGTTCGTTCTAACATGGGCGCACAGAGGATGGCTTCTACATCGAGGAGGAGTCGGCGAGCGACGACGGCCCGAAGCAGAAGCAGCGGGTCCTCAAAAAAATCCCCCAGAGCGTGATTGAAAACGCCGTCGGCCTCGCCATCTTCACCACCATGCGCACCGGCCTGTGGATCTCGGGCGCGGGCGGCTCCGGCGTGCTGGTGGCGCGGCAAGCCGACGGGGAGTGGTCGCCGCCGTCGGGTATCCTGCTGCACACGGCGGGCCTCGGGTTCCTCATCGGCGTCGACATTTACGACTGCGTGCTCGTCATCAACAACCGCAAAGCCCTCGAGGCATTCACCAAGATCCGCGCCACGATTGGCGGCGAGGTCAGCGCGGTCGCGGGACCGGTCGGCGTCGGCGGCGTGCTGGAGAATGACGGCAAGTGGAAGCAGGCGAACCGGCCCGTGTTCACGTACCTCAAGTCGCGCGGCTTCTACGCGGGCGTGCAGGTGGACGGCACGATTGTGATTGAGCGCGGGGACGAGAATGCGCGCTTCTACAACGAGACCAAGATTGGCGTCGCGGACATCCTGGCGGGCAAGGTGCGCCACCCGCCGCGCGGCACGCGCAAGCTGATGGAGACGCTCAAGGCGGCGGAAGGGCGCGCGGACGTGGACGGCGATGTGATGGAGGAGCTGGCGCGCGAGCTTGCTCCCGGCGATGTCGACATTGCATCGCCCACGGCGGCGTTTGGCTTTCCGGACGACGACGACCCGGATCCGTACGGCGTGGCGGCGCTCGAGAAGGAAGGGCTGGGTCTTGTCGAGGCTGGGACGCACGCGCGGGTGTCGAGCGACCAGTTTGAGTTTCGTCCGCGCAGCGGCTACCGCGGCCGGGCCAGCACCGTCTCGACGCCGACGTACCGATCGAGCATGGGCGCGGCGCTGGCGCAGCAGCACAAGCGCTGGAGCCACGGCAGCGCGTCCCCGACGTCGGACGCGGCCACGCAGACGGGCAGTGACGAGACGCCAATGACGAGTCCGGCGACGACGAGCAGCAGTAGCCTCCGGGTGTTGACGACGCACACGGCTGTAAGTGGGCAGGAGGACCTGCCACCGCGCTACGGCGACACAGGCTACGACGGCGCCGGTGAAAAGGAGCAAAGTCCGTATACCAGTGGTGAGACTGGGTTAGAAGATGGATGGAATGGGGATGGTCATGACAGTAGCGAGTTTCTGGATGCAGAGGAGACGGCGCCAAAGACGATGGTGCTGCCCAAGGGCCCGCCGCCTGCGCTCCCCCCTCGGCAAGTGGCAGGGACGAAGCCGATAGACGCTGGTTTCGAAGATTTGGATTTGAATGATGGAAAGAATTGAAGACTTTGACTTGATAGAGCGAGGAACTGGCGCATGTACTTTATTTGGATGGGGGAGCTGGGACACAGGATACCACATAGGAGACGCTGAGCTGTTTGATTAGAGCATGGTAGAATTTAGTCTGTATTTATTGTCAACCACAGGTTTCGTCAAATTTGGCTGCATCCCCATCTAAACAGAGAGACCCAGCTCTTCCCCAATAATCTCCGCAGCCCTCTCGCCGACAATGAGCGCCGTATTATACGTGTTTGCGCCCACATTCTCCGGCACGATGCTCAGATCCGCGACCTTGAGCCCCTGCGTCCCGTACACATTCAGATGCTTGTCGACCACGCCGCCCTGCTCGCGCGGCGCCATCCTGCACGTGCCGACCGCGTGCCACGCCGTCTCGAGATGCGCCCTGATCCAGTCCTCAATCGCGGCGTCGTCGGCCGCGCTGTACTCGAGCAGCGGCAGGCGCGCGCGGTCCGCTGCGCTCCGAAACCCGCCCTCGACCGCCGGCCCGTCGCGGCAGGCCGCCTTGCTTCCTGCGGGAAACGCCGGGTGGCTCGCGCGCTGCTCGCCGGCGTACACGTCGCTGCGGCGCATGATCTCGCGCTGCTTCTTGTACGCCCACAGCTGCGCGGCCAGGTCGGCGGGGTGCTGCAGGAAGCCGGTGGTGAAGGCGGGCTTGGCGCGCGGCTCGGGGGAGGTGCTGTGGATGCGGCCGCGCGCGTACGGGTACGCCGTGTAGGCGCCGGCGGTCATGTAGTGCGTCGGGTTGGCGGCGGGCTCGTTGAGCGCCGCGTGGTCGCCAAAGTAGCCGTTGAAGTAGGCGAGGAGCGCGAGCGGGCGCGATGGCTGGGCCGCAAAGTCGCGCTCCCAGCAGGCCTGGAAGGCGGGGCCGAGCTGCGCGACCTCGGCCGCGGACGGGCGCAGCTTGCCGCCGACGTCGAGCCCGTTCCAGCCCATCTTGGAGGAGCCCGCGGCCAGGGCCTGCTCGACGTCCTCGCGGCCGCTGAGGAGCCCGTCAAAGGACGTGGCGGGCGTCAGGGAGGCCTTGTAGCTGTACGTGATGAGGTTGTGGTCCTGGTAGTGCTCGCCGACGCCGGGCAGGTCCGCGACGACGGCGATGCCGAGGGTGCGCAGCAGCGCCGACTGCCCCACGCCGGACCGCTCGAGGACGAGCGGCGTGTTGAGGGCGCCGGCGCTCAGGACTACCTGCTTCTTGGCGGCGATGAAGGTCGGTGCTGTCTTCTTGGGGTTGGACGTCGGCTCGTAGGCGACGCCGACGGCGCGCGTGCCGTCGAATTGGACGCGCGTGACGATCGAACCGGGCAGGATATGGAGGTTGGGGTAGTTGCCGGACTTGATCAGTGGGTGGATATAGCAGTGCGCCGTGTCCTGCCGCTTGCCGTCGGGGCTGATGTACTTGGCCCAGCGCTCAAAGCCGTGGCCGGCTTCAAAGTCTTGCAGGTCAGCCACGCGCGGGATCCCAAGAGACTCGGCGGCGTCGAAAATGTCGTCATGGTTGAGATTCCGGTGGTGTGTTCCGTAGCTGACCTGGACAGGCCCGGCATGGCCGTGAGCACTCTTGTCGATGTCGGGGTTGTCCAGCAGGTGGGTTTCGGCCTTGTTCGCCAGAGCCAGCATACTTTTTCCATCCCAGCCGTCCGTTTTCCAAGAGTCGAAGTCGACAGCAGATGCTGCCTCGCCGTATTAGCCTGGATGAGAAGGCGCACAAAAGGTACTCACCTCGTGTATACATGAGAAAGTTGATCGAGGAGCCACCGCCGAGTATGCCTCCGGAAGGCACCGATAATGAACGATTGGCAAGGCTCGCCTCGTTCTCAGCGGAGCGAAACATGAGCGTTTCGCTCCCCAAGAACATGTGGCTCAGGAACATGGCTGGGGTGGTTACTGTGGGATCGTCGAGGTTATTGCGCCCCTGCTCAACCAACAGAATGGACAGGCTCGGATCGGCCCGTGCCAGGCGACCAGCGGTAACGCAGGCCGCGGTGCCGCCTAGCAATGTGTTAGGATAAATCCATGGCGACAGCTGTTCTGGGAAGACAGACCTCCTACGAATATGACATCATATTCCGTTTTCAGACCGCTCGAAGCCATTGTGCGACGAAATTCGGTGAGTTGAATGAGGGGAAGGAATGGAGAGACGACAAGGTACCCCGCGTCTTATATCGTATCACTTTCACGGTCGGAAGATTTGCTTCCTGTCGCGGAAATTCAGTGGGTATTATTGATTATTGCTTATTGGTCCCCAACCCTTCCTATTGCAGCTAGTCCTTGGATCTGCAAAACCGTGCGTTGTGAGGCTTATTTACACACCACATATGCGGCGTCGACTGAGGGCTTGCGCTTTTAAAGCTCTGGTACTTGACTGGTAAAACGAAAGTGAAAAAAGCGACTTAAATAGAAAATTTTAGAAAGATAAGAAATTAATTAGAAAGTCCTGAGTCAATAAATACTAACAAGATAGTACGAACCAGGAAGATAAGAAGGGGCTCCTTTTAAACTCCCCACATCGTGCACTTCCAACTTCCAAACATCCATCCATCATCAATCCTGCTAGGGGTAGCAGAAGATATTCGCAGCATGGCAGCCAACCTTCGCATTGAAGCCGTTGAGCAATTCCATAAAATCGTCCCGCGCTTCGACGGCGCAGCTTCCACTTACTACAATCGACCGAAGCTCGTCAACCGAGTGTATCAATGTGCCAAGTCGAGCAAGTAAAGAAATGTCTTGTGGGCTTTGTTTACTGCAATTAATCTGACATCGGAAGCTCAGCTTCTCCTCTTATTCATCAGTTATGCAGGCCCGGAACAGGACAGTCGGCACAAGTGTAGGAAACCCGGCTATCCAGCGCTTTACGAGCGCGTTATCGTAGTTGGGGACAAAACATCCTGATGATATGGCTGCGTATAGTTGTGAGCCCAAAAAGTCGTGTGGCTCAACATAGCGGTCCCAAGGCTCTGCACAGCAAGCCCGCATCCAAAACGTGTCCAGATAGGGCGCCTCTTGCGCTGAAATCGGGCCATTGCAGGCCGAGGCCAGTAGCATGCTCTGCGCTCTTCGCATCCATTTCCGGTGCGACTTTCGAAATGGAGACGACGGCGACAGCAGAGCAAAACGGGCGCGGTCATCCTCGAACTGTGTCTGGGACAGGCAAAAGAGACGGTGGTATTTCTTGAGTACGTCAAAAGCATCAAGATCGACGCGCTGGATGAGTTCGTCGCCCAGGTGACCAAAGAGGCCGGAGCTCGTCACCTGGGCTGTGGTGAGGTGGATTGAAATGCCCACAAAGACCACGCGAAACGACTCCCCGGTGCGTGCCGCCAGCGTGGCATAGTCTGCCACCTTGTGCAGGTTCTCAAGATCCGGGTCCTCATAATAGTGAAAAAGCTCGCGCGTAAACGACAACGAGTCGGCCATGTTCCAGCAGTTGCCGAGGGCGCGTGAAAGCGGTGTCAGCCCGTCGCTGCCGGGCGAGGGCGAAAAGGTCGTGTGCAGGTTCAGGTGCACCGAGTCCAGCTTCAGCTGATGCCAGAACCTGGTCCTGGCCTCTGCGAGCGGGCTCGGTGTCACGGGCAGGCGGTAGAACCCTCCGTGCCTCTGCGCGACGCGCCTCGCTTCCCGGCAGACGCGGGTCAGCACGGGCGGGCGGCCGTTCTGCCACGTGGCATACTCGGACCAGGCGGGCCCAAGAACGGGATAGTCGATCTCCAGGACGCGCCGCGGGAGGCACAGTTGCCAGATTTCGTCGCGGATCTCTGGCGGAAGCCTGCAGAAGGAAGGAAATTGTGCCATGATTGGAGGTGGTGGAGGAGTGAGAGAGCCATGGCCGTGTTGGCTCGAGGTCAAGCTTTTGTTGGCGAGACGCTGGCGACGACTGGCGCTGATTAGCGGGAGCGTCAACACCAGCGAGACCCGTGTACGATCTTGCCACGTATCCAAAGCATGGTGCAGAAGAAGATTAGACATGAGTGGGTTGGAATGCAAGAAATATAGTAACTATAACGTAAAGTCAGCTAGGGGTATCTCTAAATCAGCAACGCCATATACAAAATAGCTCCCAACTCGCTCTGTCCTACCCCGTGTAAACCTCTGCTATTCCTTTCACCATTTCCCGCAGCCACGGCCAGTGTACTTCCCTTGCCCACTTCTCCAGATACTGCAACGTGCGGACAATTTGGTACACGCCCCTCGGCTTCCTCGTGGAACCGATAGCCACATGCTCCCAGAGGACCGTCTTGTCCCCCTCCATCGTTGTAATGACAAGGTACCAATCATGACCTTGCACAATGATGCCCGGCAAAAATTCCGGCAGCTTCACTTCCGGTCTGTCGTTGGCATCTGCACCTGTTGCGTTTGGTGGGCCGGACCGTAGCTCCGCCAGACGCCGCAGAAAAGCCCAGCGCGCCATATCCCAGATGGCTAACTGTAGCTCCGCCGCGTCAAAGTGGTCGCTCGGCTTCATGGTCGCGATACTTAGCGTTATAAAGCGACCGTCCAGGGGGGGAAAGTCGGTGAAGCCGAGCACTTCCTGTGGCATGATGCGTCGTACAAAAGAAGCTGCTATCTGGAAAGCTGGGGATATTGAGGGGTCGTTTTCTGGCTCGACGTATATGCAAAAGTCAACCTTGTTAAATGGCGTTGAGTTGCCGTATTCGCGTATGATGGATGCGGTGGTGCTGAGTACTATCAGTTATCCAGTTGGACATCGACGGCAGAGGGGTGGGCCTTACCATCCCATAAAGTCAATAAGATTCTCGAAGTCCGTCTCTTTTTGTGGGCGGAACGCCATGTCGAGGATACGCTGATGTACCTCGAGATTCCAGTTGGCTTCTGGGTGCCGCCTCGTGTTGCACTGGCACGCCGCCTTCATGACCTTGCGAACCGCGCTGGGCGGCGGAGTCCTGCCAAGCAGCTCCTTGTTGTCGGAGAGGTTTACAGCACCTGCTCGCAAAGCCCACGTAAACATATCATCCGTGTCCGCAGCCTTTGCAAGCGCGTCCTGCGCGTCCTTGGCTACTATCCCCTGGCCGTCAGAGAAGGCCTCAATGTCGAGGAGCAGCATCCGCAGTATCTGCGGCCGGGCTTTGATGTATTTGACATCGTACATGTCGCGCACGTCAAGACCCCGCGGATTGTGCGCCAGTATACGCAGGTGCTTCTTGGGCGATGAGGTGCGACGTGATGATGAAGTGGACTGCTCCGAGGCGCTGGGGAAAGAGGGAGAGCTCAAATCTGACATGATGCCCATCTGCACGTTCTGGCGTCGAGGTGGTTCGCCATCGAGCGGTCGCTTGGGCGGCGAAGCTATTTGATTGTAGTTGGGATTTTTGGGGCTAGAGGAAGGCGGCGTGTTTGGGTTGAGTCGTCGTCGCTTAACTGCGTGATCGCTGTTGTCGCAATTGTCGCGGTCGTTTGGCTGATTTTTCTTAGTGGCGTTGTCGTCGTCGTCGTTCTTTACTTCAGTGGCATCCAACCAACACTGGATTTGACCAAGTTGCATGTTCGCTGCCGAAGCCGTTGCTGGTAACACATTTGCGTCGCCTGCCTGCAGTTCGTGGTCATTTTCATTTCCGTGAGTGCGTCGGTCGACTGCCAGTTGTCCAGGCAACCAGGGACGAGGCTGTAACAGTCACGTTGACGCATTGCCGAGATGGCGCTTAATAAACCAATACCTAGGTACCTACCTGTAGTCCTTTATTCGCTATTTTCTTACTATTTGTGAACTTTCAAAAGATTCCAAGTATACGTATATTTCATCGTTCTTATCTAGTCAATATTGTAATTCTGAATAACTTTCTCCCTCTTCCCAGTCATGAGTATGCGACTTTTTAGAATAAAATAGTTGAGAACGGCGGTGCCTGACTCTTGCTTGTGGCTTGGCTCACCCGCTTCATGCCACCATCCATGGCACCCACCATGCTACCATACCACCACGTTGAAAACGGCAACGTGAAAGCCACTGCGCCTGTACAAATCTAATTTACCTTCACACATGTAATTCACCTGCACAAATATCAATTCACCTGCGCGAATCTGATTCAACTGCACATGCACTTGCCCACATTCAATCAAGGTCGAGTCTTCAAGCTAGCCGATCAGTCCAGTGGGGTAACTAGAAGCACATGCTGTAGGCAAATGCAATGACGCAAGGTCATTCTTGCTTGCTCTTAGCAGCTGCGGAAGCTCTACTTCCCACCTCCACAATATTCGTCCTCGAAATTCTCAACACACTCAACTACATCTGTCTTGACAATCACTAGTACCAACAAGATGGCGGATAACAACAAAGATAGTCTCGTTAGCGAGTTCTGCTCCATCACTGGCGCGAGCCCCGAAAAGGTGCGCTTTGTCCCTTCCCCGCCAAGCACCGCCACGGCACATGTTAACCCTCGCTGAACAGGCGACACAATATCTCGAGGCCAATGACTGGCAAGTATCTGCTGCCTCCAACTCGTTCTACCAAGACGAAGATGAAGACACCCAGGTAGGCTCTTCCAACGCCGCCGGTGCCAACTACACAGGTCCCCGGACCCTCGATGGTCGCCCTGCACCATCATCTGCCTCGCGACCTGCACCATCGACGACTTCGCAGCCAAAGCGCAAAGGCGTGGCTACCCTAGGCTCTCTGCACAGTTCCAAACAAGAGTCGTCTCACAGGGACGACGATGACGACGATGATCACACCGACGACGATGACGACGAGAGCCGCGGCAACCTGTTTGCGGGCGGAGAAAAGTCGGCTCTGGCGGTGCAAGACCCCAGTCAAGAGAACGGCCCTAGAAAAATCATCAGCGACATCCTGGCCAAGGCGAAAGAGTGAGCGCCCCAACAGGCCGCAAGAATCGCGCTTCACATGACTTGCTGACATTGACGAAAGAAACGCCGGCCAGCCCGATTCCGAAGACGAATCGACCAACGCGGCGTCATCGCACCAGTTTCGCGGCACTGGTATGACGCTAGGTGGCGACGGGGTTGAGAGCCGCACCATCCCTGACCCCAGTGGCGTTGCTCGGCCTCGCGGCGAGGTCCTTGAGCGCGTGCTGCACATTTGGCAAGACGGATTCAGCATCGACGACGGCGAGCTGCGACGCTACGACGACCCCGCCAATCAGCAAGATCTTAGCATGATCCGCTCCGGCCGCGCTCCTCTCCACCTCATGAATGTCCAACACGACCAAGCCGTCGATGTGAAGCTCGAACAGCACGACACCCCATACAAGGCGCTGCCGAAGAAGTGGAAGGCCTTTTCCGGCTCGGGCCAGCGTCTGGGAAGCCCCGTGCCCGGCGGCCCAGTCGCCACGCCTGCGCCGGCCGTATCACGATCCGCGGCTGCCTCTAGCACTGCCGCTCCCAGCAGTCCCATTCCCGACATTGACGCGTCTCAGCCCACTGTGACGATCCGGCTACAACTCCCCGACGGGACGAGACTACCTGCTCGATTCAACACTACTAGCACCCTCGGCGACGTCTACAGCTTCATCGGTAGAGCATCGGCAGAGACACAAGCGCGCCCGTGGGTGCTGGTCACGACATTTCCCAACAAGGAGCACACGGACAAGAGCCTGGTGCTTGGAGAAATGCCCGAGTTTAAGAAGGGAGGCACCGCGGTTGTCAAGTGGAAATAGATTTCTGGTAATCGGGGTGGGGGAGCATGGATTCATGGGAATCGAGGTGGAGGAGCATGAAACTTGGGATCGAGGCGTAGGAGCATAGACGCTCGGGAACAGAGGTGGAACAGGAGCACTTGGCTGTGAGACGAGACAGCCGTGGCCTAAGAAAACTAAAAGATATTACGAAAAGATATTTTGCTAGACGTGAAAACAGCCAGGTTCAGGTCATGTTGGTCTAGTGGCGACTAACTTTGCTAATAAAATGGTATCCGTTGTCGCGCCCCCAACGCCAAAAAGTGCGAGCAAATAAAGGAGGTATACAGAATAGAAAAGTGTCCAAGAGATGAACTGTGGCACAATTCTACAGCGAGAGTGACAGTCCACCGGGAGCATCAAGAAACTTGAAATGCTCAATGGCAATCTGGCAATTGAGCATGGCAGAGTTGAAGCGGCCCTCGCCGGGCGGCAGCACCACCATGAGATAGGTATTGGTTGTAAACTTGAGGATGAAGAGGCTGAAGCGGGTGCCGGCCTTGTGCTCCATGCGGGTAAACTGCTCGGCGTTGCGCGGGGTGCCGGTGAAGCGGGAGATGCTCTGCTTGAAGTGCTTCATGATGTTGGACATGCGCTCGAGGCGGTCCTCTGTGGGGTTGCGCGTGGCCTCGTGGGAGGTCCAGGACGAGACGGCGAGGAAGGAGGTGCGCTCAAAGAGCAGAATCTCCTCGGCCTCGATGGCGAGGCCGAGGTTGGCGAGGTTGCGCTCGATGACGGCGAGGTTGGGGACGAGGTCGTGGATGATGCTGGCCCAGGCCTTGTAGAGGCTCTGGTCCCAGATGGACGTGGCAAAGGGGGCGACGTCGATGCGGGCGGCGTCGCCGCCGATGGAGCCGACGTACTCGGCGGAGCGCTGGCGGACGATGCGGACGCGCTCGTCGTAGACGGCCTCGCGCGAGGCGGGCACGACGAGGTCCATCTTGTGCACGAGGATGTAGATGCGCGCGGCGGGCGAGTACTGCAGCAGCGCCGACAGAATGGACACGTACGTGGCCAGGTCCCGGTCCACGTCGCGCGACTCAATGTCGAAGACGTAGATGAGCACGCCCACGTTGGAGAAGACGTGCACGCGCTGCTGCGCGAGGTAGTTTTCCATAAACGCCTCCTGCCCGCCGCAGTCCCACAGGTTCAGCGTGAGGTTGCCGAGGAACTTGACGTGCGAGAGGTCAATGTCAATGGTTGCGCCGCTGGAGGAATGGGGTTTCTTGTCAGCGGACGGTTGCGGAGGAGGAGGAGGGGAGGGACGCACAGTCGGCGCGTGTCGCGCGCAATGTAGTTGCTGAAGATGATGCTCCGCATGCTCGACTTGCCAGAGCCCGACTTGCCCATCAGCAGCACCTTTTTCTTCTTGGGCTTCTTAACCTCCAAGCGTGGTTCGGCGGCTGAGGCCTCGGCCGGGGCCTTGCCCTCGTTCTTGGGCGCCATTGGGGGAACGCGTCGGGCCGGCGAGGGGAGAGGCGGGGACGGGGGACAGAGAAGCGTATGGGTTCGGCTCGGGCCGCAGCAATGTCGCGCTCGTGGTTATGGTATTCTTTCGGGGAGATGGGGAGTCGAAATGGGGGTTGTCAGTCGGCGCTGCACGCCGTTGCTGAGGCGGAAGCTTGGGCGAGACGCACGCTGGAGGTTTGACAAGGTGGGGGTATTGTGCCACACGCATTAGTTAGCTTTGGCCTACCTAGTTACGGAATGGCAGCGTTTGCGCTTCAGCATCATCGCATGTCCTGTAACGATGGGCTCTGGAACATGAGAACGGGTCGCTCTTTTATAGAGACTACCTTTGCAGTGCAATATTCCTATCCGGCGCCTCCTCACCCGCCCTGTACACCCAGCGACGAGACTACCACCTGGGTGATAGGATATTCCTTACTCTTGTCATTTTTTCCAAGTATTATTATTTTCATCTTCATAATCATATTCACCCTTTTTATCTGACCAGCGAGTGTGCTGCTGTCAGAGCCCGAGAGGCAACGAACCACTATCATGATTATGTATGTATTAGTTAGTAGGAGGCAGTTAGAGGCACTAGAGGATTATTCGGCGACGCCCTCTCCACCTGCGACCGAGCTCTACAAATATAATATTAAATAGAACTACATTTCGAATCGGCTTTCTTTTCTTGCTTTTGATTGCCTAAGGCTTTTTAGCTGCATTTCACGATGCAATTTTGTTCATAAGAAATATATCTCCCAAGAAATGCCCGCGCACGTGATATGCACAGAATTGATGCCCACTTCTCCTCGCCAGAACTGCGTAATCTCCTCCCCGCGTCCATCTACCTTCGCCGGTACCGAGACAAGTGCTCAGGGATGAAGATGTTTAGAGCTAGATTGAATACTCCAGTATCAGCACTTCTTCATCAACCCTTACCTCGGTGTTTCCGACATGTATCTTTCCGCAACAATCTTACGCTCCCGACCGGCCGGCTTGCCTCCAACATGTCCGAGCAATCTATCATCAAATACAACTGGATCCCTGAAGTTGAGACGTTGTCGAGCTATCGGCCAGGGGGTTACCATCCGGTCATGATCGGTGATATTCTCCATGATCGATACGTAATTGCAGATAAGCTTGGCTTCGGCGGCTACTCAACAGTATGGCTGGCTCGCGATACCCATCAGAACCAATACGTGGCGCTCAAGATCAATATGTCGAGTACACATACACGCGAAGCGCAGATCCTGAGAGCTGTAGCTGCTCCGACAAAGGTCCCGTTAGCCACTACGAGTGGCGTGAGCTGGATTCCACAGTTTTTGGATGAGTTTTTCGTTGAGGGGCCGAACGGCAAGCACAGTTGCTACGCAGTCAACCCTGCGCGCTCTGACCTCAGAGAAACGTCTTTCAGTCGTCTTTTCTCACTCGAAGTTTCCCATGCAATAGCATATGAGCTTGTGCTGGCGGTTGCTTACTTGCACTCTCGGGGCGTTGTCCATGGAGGTATTCACAATCTAGCATTTACATCACTACCGAATGCATCTGTTAACCTGTTTTCTATAGATATTCATTTAGGCAATGTGCTGGTGAGACCCCCTTCCGACTTTGACAACCTTTCGATAGATGAGCTGCATGCGGAATACGGAGAACCGGAGACTGTTCCCATCACGCGCTGTGACGGAGAGCCTTTGCCACCTAACTGCCCAGCAGAAGCAGTTGTTCCGCTTTATCTGGGCAAGCATGCTGCCGACTTTGATTTAAACGATGCAAAAATAACCCTAAGCGATTTCGGAGAAGCCTTTTCACCAGATACAGAGGAACGCCTCGGCAAGGACTGCCACACACCACTACCGTTTCGAGCTCCCGAGGCCAGATTCGAGCCCGACAAGCCTCTGGCGGCTTCTTCCGATATCTGGAGCTTGGCAACTGCGCTGTGGGAAATAATAGGGATGAAAGCGGTTTTTAGTACCGATTTTGTTAGTCCAGACGAAATCATAGCGCAGCATAACGATGTGCTAGGTCCCATGCCTAAAGAGTGGTTGGAAAAATGGCAGGCCAGACCTGAATTTTTTGATGACTCCGGCGCCCCCACTGAGGGTTACCGAAGAAAACAGTGGTCAACTCTGGATGAATCCCTCGAAACCAGCATTCAACAATATCGACGAGAAGATGGAAACGAGATGGGTCCAGGGGAGGCCAGAGCCTTTATAGAGTTGATGCGATGGATGCTCTCATATCGGCCTAGCGATAGGCCAACGGCAGAACAAGTCCTGGGCTCAGAGTGGCTGAGTAAATGGGCACGGCCCGACTTGATGAAAGTATAAGGCCTGTACATCTAGGGCAGAAGATGTACGCGCCCAAGCTAAGAAGAACACGTAATTAAGTCCGGGGATGCGATGCCGATTACACTCGATTGGTGCCGTTGACTTGTTCATACTTGGTACTTGGTGTAGTGGGTATGTCACCATTACAGAAGGCGCGCACCCGCGTCCAGAAACAGTTCAAATCTGCTTGCTCCAGGTTCCTGGCCCATTCCCACTCAATTTTGCGGCTCAAGTTAGATTTTCTAACATTGATTGGCGTTGATGGATGGCATTCGGAAACCACCCGCATCGTGTACATACATAGTGGGTTGTCCCACTAATTGTGCGCGGCAAAGTAGACTTAGCTGATTGGTGTACTGGTTGAAAGCCTGGCAAGAAGCTGGGCGGCATCGCACGCTCATCTACCAACAAAATGGAGTTCGACGATCCTGATGAATGTAAGAAAATCGTGCTCCAAGTTGCAGCAGCATTTGTAGCTCACGGTATGATGTTCATTAGATGATATTACCTTCCCAAGGCGCCAGATTGCGTGGCAGCTCGGCAGTGAAGTCATCCAGGTGCAGCCCACCCTCATCCTGAAGAAGGGTGCCAAGGTTCGACCTTCAGAAATGGCTGCTATGAACCTCATCCATAAACACGCCCCGAGCATTCCGGTCCCCTCCATTGAAGGCTACGACTTCAGATACAGAGACGGTGACGCCTACTACGGCGAGCTTCTCATGGACTACATCCCCGGAGAGACCCTCATGACCGCATGGGCCAAGCTCGACGACCAAGGCAAGGGCCGCATCTGCCAGAATATCTGGGACATTGTCGCTACGATGCGGTCCTCTGTTCCTCGTCCCGAAGACCTGGCGCCGGGTCTCTACCGCACCGTCGACGGTCATCCGTCGTACGACCCGCTGCTCGGCGACAACAACGATGTCGCGCCACGAGAGATGGACGACGAGACCCTGCGAACGCGCATCTGGAGGCGCTATGTAGCAACCAACGGCCTCTCGTACAAGGACGGCGCCAGCGTCAAGGACGAGCTGCCGCACAGTGACAAGTCGGTGTTTACGCACGGGGACCTTGCTCCCCGGAATATCATGGTGGATGATGCAGGCCGCATCACGGCGGTGCTGGACTGGGAGTATGCGGGCTGGTACCCAGACTACTGGGAGTACATGCAGATGATGAAGTTTTGTGATCCGCTCGAGTACGAGTGGCAACGGTGGATGACGCAGACGAAACCTGAGCCGTGGGATATCAGCGCGTTCCGGAAGGCGTGGCGCGTGCTGTTTTGAAAATGGTTCCTCAAGGAGAGATCTTATATGGAAGAGGAGAAATATGAACGCAGCACATCAGTACGATCACCACGGGGGCGTCTTGGCTAGCTGTAGCTCTAAAGCCTAAAGTTCAACAAGGGATGAACTGGGACAAATACCGATAGCTACTTTGGTCATGCTCAGTATTATCTGGATGGCCCTACAAGAAGTAAAGTTCCAGCGCCGTGGTAGTACCCTCGCCGAAAGCTGTTGGTGACCAAGTGGGCGGCAAGTACCCAGAGCCTTACTGCATCTGCCAGGGAGGGAAGAGAAAAAATACATCTCTTCCAGGGTAGATGATAGCTGCAGACAGGATTCTCGAAGCAGCCTCCGCATGTAAAATGAGTCACAACTCAGAATCACAGGCCTATGGACAGATTTGGATGGTAGAATATACGGCCGAGTACAATGCCAAAATCAACGCGTCCATGCACTCGGTCAGTTATATTGTGATCTGCGTCTGGTTCTTTGTTTGTGTCAGTAAAAGCCAAAAACGCATGGCAAACATTGACAAATTCACGCTGTCCCGGAAATGAGACGGGCGGCACCAGCTCCGGGATACCCTGGCCCTGCAAAGGCTATCTATAATTTCCAAGATAGGAAACGCAGACGAGCAAAAAAGACTTTACGCGTCGCCGCTGGCTGTCGGACTTCCAGATTGAGCCGGGACGAGAGACAAGGCTGTGGGCGGAGCGTGCAGTCGTGCAGCGTGCAGACGTGCACCGTGAATTTTCCAGACACATCTTCTCCCTCCCTATCTGTCCTTGCCATTGGGCAGGGTATCCAGCGGCTCGCCTTTATCTTCCAACATATGCAGCCCAGGCGGCGACTTCGTACTTCTGTGAGCCTTACAGTTGCCTCCTTCGCGTGATACACTTGTTGCTTTTAGCCCTCCCACCTAACCGCTAGTCATGGAGCAAGCTCCCCCCATCGTCAATCGTGCCGACAAGGAATACCCCAAAGGCTTGAAGCTGTTCCTCCTTACCATTGCCATTTGCTTGACCATCTTTCTAATCTCTCTCGAGTATGCAACATTCAATCACCTGGGCCGTGACATGGCTATGCCACACCTCGCTGCTGTAATAACGGACACTGACTTTGCATAGCTTCTCCATCATTGCTACTGCAATCCCTGCCATTACTAGCGAATTCCATAGCCTCAACGATGTAGGCTGGTATGGAAGTTGTCAGTCTACTCTGCCCCCCAGCCAAGTGATGATCGGTCAAGTTAACATGCAGCTAGCCTACCTCCTGACCACGGCGTCCTCGCAGCTGCTTATTGGAAAATTCTACACCATCTTCAACATCAAATATGTTTTTCTGATTGCTCTTCTCGTGTTTGGCATTGGCAGTGCCATCTGCGGTGCCGCACCAAACTCCATTGGCCTCATCTTGGGTCGTGCCATTGCGGGATGCGGTAACGCAGGCCTTCTCTCCGGGGCACTGCTCATCATGGCCCATAGCGTGCCCCTGGCGCGCCGACCTCTATTCACGTAGGTGGCCTACAAGTGCTGGATCAATTTGAAGAGCTAACTCGCAGAAGCGCCATCACTGGTGGTGTGTATGGAGTCGCCGCCATCGCTGGCCCGCCGTTGGGTGGTGTTTTTACTGACAAAATTGTAAGATGGCCTCTTGGTCTGCTCGTGTCCGCCGAAGCCAAGCTTATCTGCAAGTTTGCTGACCTTTCTTCTCAAGTCGTGGCGTTGGTGCTTTTATATCAACCTCCCCATTGGAGCCGTTGTTCTCCTCGTCGTCGCCGTTTTCTTCCCTACGCCCGAGGTGCCGCAACGACCGAAACCAACATCGTTTTGGGCCCGCATCAAACGCTTCGACCCGATTGGCACAGTCGTCTTCATGCCAGCCATTGTCTGTATCCTCCTCGCCCTCCAGTGGGGAGGCACAACCTATGCTTGGAAGGATGGCAGAATCATTGCCCTGTTTGTGCTTTTCGGTCTTCTCATTCTGGCCTTTCTCGCCGTGCAGCGTTGGGCACAAGACGACGCCACAGTGCCTCCGCGCGTCTTCAAACTGCGCACCATCTGGTCATGCGCGCTGTACCAGTTTTGCCTGGGTGCGAGCTTCTTCATCTTCATCTACTACCTCCCAATATGGTTTCAGGCCGTCCAGGGCGTGAGCGCCATCGAGTCTGGCAAGCGGACACTGCCTATGCTCATCGGGAACATGGTCGGAACTACGCTCGCCGGCGTGGCCGTGACCATCATCGGCTATTACGCGCCGTTCATGATTGCGGCTACCGTATTGACGTCAATTGGTGGCGGGCTTCTGACACTGCTCAATCCGTCCGCGTCATCGGCTGTCTGGATCGGGTTTCAGGTGCTCGTCGGCTTTGGCATCGGCGTCGGGTGGCAACAGCCCATTGTGGCAGTGCAGGCGGCCGTCGACATGGAGGACGTGCCCATCACCACGGCCATCCTATCCTTTACGCAGACTATCGGCGGGTCGCTGTTCGTCAGCGTCGCGCAGACGGCCTTTTCGAACAAGTTGGTGCACGACATCCACGCAACGCTGCCCGACTTGGACCCTGGTACAATTCTGGACAACGGAGCCGCAGATTTGGCAAGTCATGTTCCAAGCAAGTATCTGACGCAGGTTCTGCAGGCATATTCGAACGGACTTGTGCAGACTTTTATCGTGGCGACAGTCATGGCCGCGTTGTCGATTGTGGGCGCGTGCTTCGTGGAGTGGAGGTCAATCAAGAGCAGCAAACAAGGCGGGGAAGAGGTGGGAATTAAGGCAGGCTAATACAATAGACCCCTTGAAATAATGTAGCCAAGGTACGCGGATCCCATTTTACGCCGCCAAAGTCACTAGAGCTTCCCTTCTATACTGCCTTAACAGCAGATTATTATTGATCTAGGCTACTGGCCTCTAATTAGCCTAAAAAAATTAACTACAAAGCCTACTATAATTACTATAAATACCTATAAATATATCACCTTTGCTAGCTCTCATATTCTAGATTGCAACCTTTACTCGAGTCCAAGTTCAATTTAACATTGGCCATCTATTCACTACAACCTGCAACCTTTTGATGCTCGGTTGCCCCAGAGCGTGATGAAGTTTCTGTGGAACACAAAGGTAGAGTAGAGTCTGCATCTTCCAGCGAAGAAAAATAAAAGAAAAGGGCCAGCTGAATACCCGAGCGAGTCGATCACGACAATGAGCGGGCCTCGCACCAACCTGGGAGGCAGCTGATCACGTCCGTGCCGCTGCCACACCGACATCTTGTTCAGGCAACATCCCCGACGGCGGCCTCCCGAGTCCGGTCGTCATGATGCGATGCGCGTATCCCGTCTTGATGCACATTCAAGAGGCTCAGCACCAGACTCTCGGGAGAAAATGACTGACATGATCCAGACTGAGATACATTTTTGACAGCTTTTGTCTGCCGACTACAGGCTTCAACTGATGACGTACTGGTGGCAACGATCTCATGTCACATTGAATCAAATGGCGCTGCTGAACAAGTGTGGATATCGCTATATACTATTCATCTCGATGCTTCCCGTAGACAGTACAATCTCAAAGGCCGCTTTCCAGAACCAGGCCATCAAGGCCTTTCAAGGTGACCCAAAACAAAACCCTGACCGTGACATGTAATCATAAAAAAAAATCATCTACTTCTTCTCCTCAGCCAGCACAACTGTGGCCTTTTCCTCGTCGGCGTCGTCGGCGCTCAGCTTCTCCGATGCAGACGTCTCTACACCGGCGACGGCGTTTTCAAAGGAACGGCCGCGACGCTCGGGACCGAACATGGTGGTGAAGACGATGCCGAGGGCGATGATGGCCGTGGCGATTCCCATGACGGGACCGTAGGCCTCGACCTTGTGGCCGCTCTTGAGGGTGATGAAGGTCTTCTCGGCAATGGCATTGACAATCTGGGCAGAGGGGGACGAAATCATGTTGCCAATCTGGTACGTGACGCCGGGGAAGGTGGAGCGGTAGGCAGGGGGCGACAGCTCGTTGAGGTGGATGGGGATGACGCCCCAGGCACCCTGGACGAAGAACTGCATGAAGAAGCCGCTCGCGCTGAGAGAAGACTCGCCACGGGGGAGAATCCAGGCGGGAATGAGGAGGGCAGACATGAGGGCGGAGCCGATGATGGTGCGGCGACGGCCGAGGAACTGGCTCGCGTAGCCGATGATGGTGCCGCCAACACAGGCGCCAACCTTCATCATGATGGAGGCGCGCGAGGCACCCTGGTTGGTGAGCTCCTTCTGGGTCAGCATAAAGGTAGTATACGAGTCCTGCGATGTGTGCGAGTAGAAGTTGAACCAGGTCATGAGGAAGATGCAGTAGATGCACATCTTCCACTCCTTGCCAATCATCAGCTTGGTCTCGCGCCAAAACGCGCCAGGCGTAGCAGACTGCTTGCCCAGCTTCTTGGCCTCGATAAATTGCTGCGACTCGGGGAAGGCCATGCGAATGAGACCAACAGCGATGGAAAGGCCAGCTATGAAAATGTCAGCATCAATTCCAAGCGCGGGTGGCGGCGCTGCCAAGAGATCATACCTCCGATCCAAAAGACAATTTTCCAGGTGTCGACGGCGCCACCAACGCCAAGGTTGGCGCAGGCCGCCAAGACGTAGCCGAAGGAGTAGCCTTGCTGCAGAATTCCAGACATGAGACCGCGAGCGTTGGCACTGTGAAGCATTAGTCAATACGCTGGCCAGGGAATATATATATATATATAGGTATGTTTGTCATAAACTTACGGGCACTGCTCAAGAGCCATGGCAATGGCATTGCCGTAGACACCGCCCATGAAGAGACCAAAGAGACTGCGCACAGCGAGAAAGTGGGTGAACTTCCCGGCATAGATGGTGGCAATCTGCAGGAGGCCAAGGATCAACATGTTGAGAACCATGGGCCACTTGCGGCCCCATTTGTCACCGGCCAGACCAAAGAAGGCGGCGCCGACGGATCGCAGGAGCAGGGTGAGGGTGATGGCAGCGGTAATGTCCGACTTGGAGCGGCCATAGTACTTGGCGAGCTTGACGGTCTGGATGGAGAGGGCGTGGAAGTCAAAGGCATCGGCGACCCAGGCGAGCCAGCCGACGATGAAGAAGAGCCAGGCCTTGGCAGTGAGCTGGCGGAAGAGGCTAAAGGGGTTCATGAACTCGTCGGGCTGGCGCCACTCGCAGCGCGTCTCGCCGTAGGCATTGCTCACGACGACACGCTGCTTCCAGATGAAGAGGTCGCGCAGGGACTGCTTGGCCGTGGGGATGATACCCTGGGCCAGATCGTCGGCAGGCTCGCCGTCCACGGGACGGGTAGAGGGAGTAGCCATTGTTGTAGAGGCTATACCAGCTTGTGGAAGAGTGTGTGTTGTTAGGATGTGCTAGGATGAAGTCGACGGGAGGGGGGCTTGTTGATGAGGCGGGCTGCAGCGAGGCTGTCAGATAGAAGTAGATGGCCTGGTTGACTCGGTATCCTGCTATGAAGAGAATGGAGCCAGAGGGCGTGAGAGAAATCTAAGACAAACTATGCCGTGCACCACGACAGAAAAAAGGATGCGGCGGGCTGATCTATATTAATACTCGCGGTGTGAGGGGTGATGGGGTACCCAACATTACCTGGTCATCATGGGGACAGACTACCCCGACTTTGACTTTGCAGCTCGCGGGGAGGCCAGCGTGGATCTGTCGCGTCTCTCTAAACACTGACTAAGTAGGGCTTTTACTTTTTTCTCATCACATGCGAGATGTTAATTTTTCTGCGCTGTCACTGCTCCGTTTTTCCATCTGCAGCCCGTGTCCATGACTCCATAAGCTACAGTACCCAGAGGCTCAGGTTCCGTTGGACCGGGACATTCTTACAGGACCATCTGCTCGACATGTTGAAGCATCTAGCAACCATTGATGACTTGGAGGCCAGGTTTGGGCTTCCGTGGAATGTCTCGAAGATTCGGGCCACGCCGTCGCCGGCGTGAGCACGACGAAAATATGTCGTGTACCAGAAGCAGCGGCTAAGGTTGCACCATCAGAGTTGTCGTGGCTTTTTCATGCACCCGTAAATTGAGCCGGAGCGGAGCATTTGGAGAAGCGAATGAGCCAGGAATGCGTCCGGCTCGACACCATCCCACGACCAACCGGACGCCACGAGACCTCCAGCCCCAGTCAGTGCATGTAAGCCCGCCGCTTCAACTTGCAGCCCTGCGAGTGGTGTGGGGGGCGCGTCAAAGGGGTGCGGACGTGCAGCTGAGTGGCTTCGTAGTGGGAGTAGCGCGCAGTCGATGTGTCGTAGAGTCGATTTCCATGTTTGGTTGATACCTGTTGTCCTGCTTTACACTGGGAACCGTCCGTCATGGTAGCGAGCACGTCGAGACAAAGTTAGATGGGACGAAGGCGAGAACCCCAGACCAAGGTCGTATCAAGGGGTCCGGGGTATGTTGCATTGGGCACCGGGCGGCCTGTTGGTACCGAAATTCCCTTCGTTTTGCGGAGAAGAACGAAGAACCGTAATGCGAAGGTCTGGGGAATTGGCCAATGCGCCAGAGAAAATACACTCTGCATGAGAGCCACTGTTTCCATGCTAGCAAGAGCCCACCTGGGGTGCAAGGCTAGAGCTGGCCGTAAACGAGGCGAGTGGGAGGTTGTGTGTCAAAGTGTCAACAGCCTCCTGTGTTGTTTGGAGTTTTCGCAGCTGGCGTGGGAAACTCTATTTGGAAATCTGTACAGATCACTACCTAAGCATTGACCAATGCTAGCGTCTCTTTTCGCGCTGACAAACAATTGGCCTGACCACCGTTACAGCATTCTGCCTTGTTACTTGCTCGGAACTTGGACTCTTTGTCAATTCCCCCAAAAAAACCTCGACAATGTGCCGCTATGAAGCACAGTCAGGACAGGCTTCATTTTTTAAGCTTACAACAAACTACAACAACAGAGTTTTAGCGTCCGAGTCCCAATGCAGAGCCAGTCAGCGAAGATCCTCGATGACCTTTTTCCCCGCTTCCATTGTCCCCTCCCCGCCATAATTTCGAGTCGAACGTGGGGGAAATACGCACGTTTTTTCTTCCCTTTCCCACAAAACTCTATAACGACTGATACAAACTATGTACGGGAAATTGCATTCTAGATTCTAGCTCGGGCTCAGCTCGCAACCGGCGGAAGTCTACGGGATCGGGGCCTCTGGCGTCTTCGTTCCATTCCCAACGCGGCCTTGCCCCCAAGAATGACAGCCCCTGCATCACACAACCACGCCCGTACCATGTACCGACAGCCGCGCTATCTCGCGAGAGCAGGGTGCATCCTGGAGGACCTTTTGTCTGGAGGCTCCGTCCTAGGCACCAGAGATAAGAAGTAAAAATGACGAATCACAGCACGTCGTCCATGTGGCACGTTCCCCATCATCGGCCCACGAGAATGAATCGCCAGTCCAGTGCTAGTCGCAAACTAGAAGCCCGACGACGCCACGGCCCACGCGATGGCCGGACATCTAGCGAATAGCCTCGAGCCGCAATACCTGGATCGACTCGCGGTGGCGCGCGCCTCTCTTCATATATTCGTGTTTGGACTCTGGGGTCGGCATATCAAAATGCCCACGTTTCTACTCTAGTAGTGAACTACTCCGTCGCTACGGATGAATTCGTACTGGTTCGCCGGTTGCCCTGTTGTGCTCGTTCTCAGCTGAAGAGCTGGAACAGGCCAGGCGTGATCCGAAACACGAACCCCGGAATTTCCCTTCCGTTCACGAAGCGTTGCCAACGAGGGAGAACAGAAGCACACCAAACACCCCCACGCCAAGACGCGACCGGAGCAGCCAGACTGAGAAATTACTGCCGAGTAATATGAAGTAGGAAAATTGTGAATTTGCTGTACAGATATGGAGAAAGCGCTGATAGTTGTTCGCCCGCAGTAGTCGAAGCCATTTGATCTTGGCAATGCTGCTGCCATCGTCGAAGCCGCGCATGCCCAGAGATGGGCTCAAGCCACTGGTTTCTCTTGCACCAGCATATTTGCCTTTTTGGAACAAGGTGATTCATCACCCCAACCCACGCCACAGCGCTCTCCTCCGCCGCCACCGCCACAATGCAGGGCTTCCTCGCCTGCTAGCGCCATGGCACAACCTGTGTCCGTATCCGTACATACAACATCTCGCTCCCTCGCCGCGCCCCCAATCGAACCAATTCTTCCGTAGCCGGATCGCTGTTGGCCACTTGGCACCAAGACTTGCGGCTATTGATATCCCGAATTGTTCCAGGCCTTGGCCCCCTTCGCCAAGACGTGTCAGCCCATGAGAGCATACCGTCGTCTCCACACGCCCAGCCCTCGACACATAACGGATGGGCTCACAAACCACTTTCAGTAACAACGGCGGCAATGCAAAAATCTCTGAATATCCCTCACAGTCGGCCTTGATTATTTATCAACCACAAGACCAAGAAATGTCAACCAAAAGTGGGGTTATACCTATAGCTACGCGCCGATCCTATGTCGGCCACTAAAATTTAAACGGGGAGTGATCAATGTACGGAGTGAATCGCAATACTAGCGATGGCGTAGTATAACCAAATGAGGCCAACAAGGCGTGAAGCCTCGTCAGACAGCTGCTCCGAGTTATTTTCTTCATTATGGATCTCTCGACGCCAAACATTTGGGATGCTGACCACTCACACAACCGGAGTTATTCTCCAGAGTATTATGATCCAGTTCAGATGGGCATGAATGAGTGGGTGGATAGAAACATGGAGAAGGGTTTCTGGGGAATCGCTTTTAAAATATTGGAGGAGGGGCACCTACCGCGACGATATCAACCAGCAGCGCCATCCATGGGCATGTGCTGGCGTGGGTAGGCTATCAGGCCTGGACGACGGGACAACTTATTAGCTGGTGGATAACCACCGCAGGCCCCGTCCATGATAGTGACATGCCATCCTCTGGTGCTTCCATGGCTGTCACTGTTGATGGATGCCAACAGGAGGTCAACCTCTAGTTAGCGCTGTCCAGTCTGCCGTGCGTATATAAGCTGTTATAAACGCCGTTCTCGGGGGAAGTGGTTCGTGTCTGTCGACAAAAGTCACGCCCATTTTTCGAAGATGCCCGAGTCGACGGCGGCCGTAGAATTTCCACCATAGCAGTATGGTTTGTTGTCAAACTACCCATACGCTTCTTCTACCGCTATTGGCAGGGACGACGATGGCGTACCGGTAGACGAGGGGAGTTCGGAGGCTGTTGAGGTACTGTTCGGTGCGGTTGCGACGCTGGCTAACGTTCTGCTTCCAATACAGGGGAGGCTCAAAAATTGAGCACCACTTCATTTTTGTAGTTTGTGAGAAGAAAGCAATTGAATTTCTCAACTTCAACTGCTGCAATCGTAATTTAACTGATGTTTTATATAGGATCCGTGGACGTAATCGCTCTAGTAGATGACGGTATGGCTTGAGGCCTGTTGCGATGCAGGAGGGCGGTCTGACTTCGCCAAAAGACGACTAACAGACCGATGTTGACTCAACAGGAAATATAAATGTTGGAAACAGGGAGGGATACATTTTTATCAAGCATCAATTCTTGTCATCCTCTTACTTCGTCACTTCACAATACAGACAGGCAGGGCGATAGACACTGTCATATGGATGATGTAACATAGACACACCCTGCTCAGTCAAGTTTCACGCTCGCTATCTGATTTATAGAATAGCCTGCAACACCTTTGATGCCTCCAATCTCATTGTCTCCCGCTCCCGAGGTTTGTGCCGCCTTCGGCCTGCTGGGCTAAAATTGTGTTTTTCTGACTGGCTAAGTGTGTCAAAATCCGTCCAATCTGACGAAGGCGATTTTCTGCATCGCGGACTTCTCCAGCAAAACATGTGCTTCGTCGCCGTTGCTGATGCATACAATGCGCGTTTTTCATTCGGTTTTATTGTCGTGTAAGTTTCATAGAACTTGCTCTCATGCGGTCATCTGATCTGGCCCGCAAAGGTCGTGGCGCTTTATACGTGGTTGTCATTATGACTATTCCATGCCCTCATATACCGAGCCAAGACTTCCTCAAGCGCCCTTACAATTTCGACGAAATTAGACCAAGCTTGTTGTTTCGTATTCTTCTAGGTAGCCTCTATAGAACTGAGCCACAAGAATCCAAACGCACCACTTTATAAAAAGGCTTTACTTTTATATGAAGGCTTTATTTAGTATTTATACTAATCAGCTGCTGCCAAATAGAGGGCGCGCCCACCTATAAGACTCTGGGGCTGCGTGGAGGTTCCCCTGCGGGAAGAACTGCATGAACTACAGGAGGGGAAAAGACAACGAACCGACCGTGTTCCGCAAGAGGTCTAACAAAGCCGTTCGAAGCAGATGGATGAGCTCTCCCCTCACTGCGCCCGACGACAGCGAAAAGTCATCTAAACATGCAGACTTCCCGCTTCAGCCTCGGCAATTGCGTAGTTTAGGGCTTCGGCTTCTCCCAGTAGATCTTCTTCTCATCCTCCCACTTATAGTTCTTGTCCGTCAACTTGTTTTGGTCAATCCAGACAATCTTGTTGACCTTTTTATTTTCAATGATCTCGGGTAGCTCGATACTGTAGAAGATACCATCCTTGGACGGTTGCTTGTCGTGGGGGAAGATCAGGTAAGCCTTGCCCTCGCTGCGCTTGGCGTAGAACTTGGAGAAGGCCTTCTGGAACTCCCTAAAGGTATGTTCGTCGACCTCTTTGTACTGGCCGCGGTTGTAGAAGTTTGGGTTCTTCCAGAGGTTGCGGATGCTGGTGAGCTTGTGGTCCTGGGCCGCCTTGACGATCTTGGCAATGTCCTGCGGGCTCTGGCCGGTGAAGAAGATGGACTTGTCCTTGCCGGGCTCGTCCTTCTTGGCGTACTTGGAGAAACCGTCGAGGTTCTCGGGCTTTATCAGCTTCTCGACCTCGGCCTTGTCCGGGATGTCCTTGTCCCGGATGAAGAGAGTCTCGAAGCCGTCAATGGGGGCGGCCAAGGCGGTGCTCGCCTGGGAGGAGAAGAGGAGTAGGGAGCTCAAGAGAGAGAAGAGGAAGAGCAGGGCACCGCCCTTGCGGTTGGAAGCGGAGAACAACATATCGTGTGCAGCTTTGGTTGGACAGTCGCAGGCAGTGTTGTGGATGTAGAACAGAAAAATGGCATCTGCTGCGGAACTGGGCTCTTTTTGTAGTCGAATATAATCTATGGTGATGGCTACAGACAGGAAGAGTCCCACAGACGAGGCTCTTGACGACGGCCTGTTGTCTCTTCTCGTCTCGATGAGACCAAAGAGAACCCGGAAAGGTGATTCACGGCAAGTGTCCGCATGGTTCGGCCTTCTGCGGTGTGAATATTCATCGAACGGCAGCCCAAGCCACAGAATCTCACGTCAGCACGCAACCGTTGCAGATCAGAGGGAAAAGCGGCCGTGGGTAGCTCGGCCACCCCGGGCCGAGCCGAACGAAGATCGCTGATCGACGATGTGGACAGTTGCTCCAATCAGTAAAATAAGGCTCTCTTGGAGTAGAAATGAGACCAAAAAAAAAAGAGAACCGACTGAAGGATGCTGTAGACGGGAAACACAAACCCATTTTGAGTTGATACCAGCCACCGACGGAATGTGATACCTACATGAACGAGCGATCGTCCCTCCATACTGATGTTAATATTATTAAGAGACGGCACATGCCGTTGCATGTAGGTTTCTACGAAACAACGTCTCAGGTCAGCCAGCCAGCCAGAGCCAGCCAGCCAGCTAGCCAGCAAGGAAGCCAGCCAGCAAGGAAGCCAGCCAGCCAGCTAGGTGGCTAGCTACCTAGGTAGTTAGTAAGCTTCTCTAATAAGCGCCCTACTACTTCCTCGCTAGCTAGCTGGCTGGCTGGCTGGCTGGCTTCCTGGCTGGCTGATTGCTTCCTGGCTGGCTGGCTGGCTTCCTGGCTGGCTGGTTGCTTCCTGGCTAGCTGGCTTCCTTGCTGGTTCTAAGCACTTAAACAGAAATATCGATATACTGAAAAGAATTACACACGCTCTCGGCGTGTGCCTAGTGCGTACACCCCGATACAAGAATGCAAAATGGGATTTGGCGACAACTTACCTATAGGCTGCCATAGCCACACCTGGCCGCGGGCTGTGTCTTCATGTGCAGATTAATACCTGATGGCCCAACGTCGATCCGCCAACTGCATCACGTAACAGTACGTGTCGCCCGTTTTCTATTCACCGAGACACTGGCAGCCTGTGAGATTACGTAGCTAGGCCTATTTCTCATGGAGTGATCGCCAGGCTGACTCACAGCGCGGGCGCCGAGACCGAAACGACGAGTTGGCCGGAGCTTTTGACCTTTGGGCAACAGTTCCCCTTTTTCTTCACGCAAATTCTGCAGCCAGACTGAACAGTGATCTTTCCAAATATTCGTTTGCAGAGATAAGACCATCAGTTGCATCGTCTGAGCAGCCCAATTCCCCGTCTTTTTCTTGACTCTCGGCGACTACGGACCAATCCCTCTTCTCCATGGCGTACGCTAGAGATCGCCTGCCAGAGCAGTTGGTTGCAGAGATTGACAGCAACAATGTCGAGGGCGTCGAGGCAATCTACGCCTTAGCAGAGGATGAGTCCAAGCAAGCGGCCCTGCTTGAGGGCATCGCCGAGCGCGCCATACAAAAGTCGCAGTTGGAGATAATCGGCTGGGTCTTTGGCACCAAGGCCCTCCGCGTTGCCCCCGACTCGTTGAACAACGAGATTTACCACCAGGCCTGCTTTGCACACTCCCTCGACGTGTGGAAGGCGCTGGTCCGGAACGGCTTCGACCTCAACGCCCACCACAGCGAGTTTGTCGGCGACGCGTTGAGCTTGGAGGCGTACCACGGCAACGTCGATATTGTCCGCTTCGTCCTGGAGAACGGACAGGACCCCAACAAGGCGTGGGGCTACGACGACCAGGAGCCGGCCCTCCTGGCCATGACGGGCGAGAAGCCCTCGCTCGATATCATTCGCTTGATGCTCCGGCACGGGTGGAAGCAGCGGGATAGCACCGCGCTCATCGCGGCCGCCGAACTGGGCAACTTGGAGGCGGTGCAGTTGCTGGTGGAGAACGGCGCCGACCTCGAGCATGTCGAGCAGTGGTGGTTCACCCATACCAATGTCGACGAGGACGAATGGGGGACGGCCCTATACCGTGCCGCCTTCAAGGGCCAGGCAAAGCCCGTCTCGTATCTGTTGGACAAGGGCGCCAGTACTGCCTTTAGGGACAAGAAGGGGCGTTCTGCCCTCTGGGCGGCGAAGCAGGGAGGCAACGAGAAGGTCGTTGAGCTCCTGAGGGGGGCAGGGCTTGAGGCATGAGGATGAAGCGTATCGAATTAGCAGGTATTTTTCGACAGAATTCAAAAAGAATATCTCTATATAACGAATGCGCCCGTGTTCTTGCCCCTTGACCGTGCGTAATTGGGAAAATTGGATGCTGAGTAGGTATTGGGTTACCTCTTTCAGCTTGAGTCACGCACTGCCTCTGAGAAATTGGATGTGTAAACAGTCCCAAAAATAGCAAAAAGTTGTATACTTACTAAGTATGTTTTTTTATTAGTTTTTTTCAAGATATATTTTTCATAATTATAATAAATATAAATAATATAATAATAAACCTAATTACTAAAATAACAATATCAGTAGTAAATAAAGAACTGGTTAGAGAGTATAATAGTTTGATTTTTATATTTTTATGATTTTTTTCTTGATAATATGAAGTTTTATTTATAGTATTAGTGTAATTCTAGTGTTGCTTCGTCTCTCGACGACGGGGAGTATCCGTTCGTGTAGAGTTTTCTATTAACTCGTGGAGCAAGCGAGGATCCCCCGGGAACGCGTATTCACGGAGCCTCATATGTAGTTATGGGGTATCGAATTATTCTAGCTTCTACCAACACAGTCATGTTCACAGCAACGTCCTTCCTGCAATGTTCCTCCCAAAGTCGTCCAATCTGAAACTATGCATGTAGAGCAGTAGCTTCGTCAAACCGTCTTTGCACTAAGTCTCGGCGTCATCAACAGGTACATCAACAGGTACTGTCTGGTGCCTTTCATTCTGTTCCTCATCGTTTAGTCCAGTCGATTCTTGGTTCGAGGTCGCTCTCGTTCCAGCTCCGGTATTGTGATTGAAGATCCAACTGGCATATCTGCCACTCCGATAGCTTTTACAGCACCGTCCATGTTGACAGAAAATGATCTTCCACGCCAGCTTACCGTCGTACCGAGTAACACAGCGACAACCCAAATAGGCAGCGCCAGGGCCTCGCGGCCGATCCAGGCCGGTAGCCATTCTGAAAACGGTCGTTTGGCCATGCCGCCGCTTCTCAGCGTGCCCCTTGCAAACTTTGGCGTGTTCTGATCTGTCTTTGTCGAGTTCCCAGCCTGGAGATGCTGAAAGGTAAACCAGTCCACGAGCATCCATGCAGCCATGGCAAGCAACCAAATACAACCAGCAGCAGCCCACGTTTGCGGAATGCCCAAGTTGCGATTTATCCAGGGCAGAGTCGTCAGCGCAAAGGTAAAATGTGCACAGCAAAGAACAGACTCGACACCCGGTTCCACAAGGGTCGCAGCCAGTACCGTAAATTTGCGTGCGCGTAACCATCGAACTCGTCGCGCCGCGTACGAAGCGACGCCCATACCAGCCATGGGCTGGATAACAAGGTCGCCCCAGACGATGCCGTGGTTGAGGAAGCCTGGGATTTTGGATTTCCACAGTAAATCACCAATTAGGTGGTCCTCGCAAATGTTGAAGGAGAAGTGGTCAATGCCTGTTGGCCTAGACACAACGCCTGGAGCTGGTGGGCCTGAAGCTGCCGTTACCTGATCTAGATGAGATTTGCGGAACATGTTGCTCTTTCCCACAATACATGGAGCAACTCCGACAGAGTTGATGGCACCGTAAAACTTGACGTGCGTTGTCGCCATGAACATTTCGTCGAGGCGGCCGCCTCCTTGGTTCCATGCTTTGGTGCCGAGGTTCTCCATCGTGCCGATGTCATTCGCAGGGTCGGTTGACGTCGAGAGACTTTCCTTAGTCGCCGTATCTCTGCCATAGTCCTCTGTGTCGATAACAAGCGGCATATGATGCACGAACTTGTACGGCTGCACCACCTTGCCCTGCGGTGCAAAGCCTGATAGCCTGTCCACCATGCGTCCGAGCACCCCCGTCGACACCCAAACGTTGCAGTCAATGATCCATATAATGTCATTCTTGGCTTCTCGGTAGGCTCTGCTAATGTTTCGTATCTTGGGATTCGGGCCTAGATTCTCAATGTGGCCATCGGGCCCGTGGAGGACCGGGTCCTGCGCCTCGACGAGGATGCGGACATCGAACTGGGGGAAGTCGTCGACGAGCTGCTCCAGGATTGGGTACGCGGGGTCGCTGATATCCTCCACGCAAAGGCGGATCGAACAGCGGTCAGCCGGGTAGTCTTGGCGGAATGTCGAGGCAATGCAGTCGTAGAGGTTGGGCTCGAGACCCTTAACGGGGCGGATGATGGTGACGCCAGGCGCGTCGCTGGCGAGCTTGGCCGAGACGGAGGCTTGCGGCACGCGCGAAAAGTAACGGTAGCTTCATAAAACGTCAGCGGAGTCACTCGGTTCGTTGAGGCAGCCCTATGCATCTTTAGCTTGGGCGGGCATACATTGCGCTAATGCCCACAGCTTGCACGAAGATGACGAAGAGCACCCAAATTAGGCTGATGGCGGCAACTGTCTCGACGAACGCAGCCATTGCTGCCTTGGGTGACAGTTTCGAGGTCAATATTCAGGAAAGATGGTTGAAATAATTTCAAACATCCGCAACGAGCGCCAGAGACTCCCTGGCCAAGGAGCCTTTTCTGCTTCCGTGGTGTCCGGGCGAAGTGAAGTGTAAAGAATGTCGAGTTGTGGTAGATTGTGGAGCAAGTCAATATGGCTCTCCGCGATGCGGGCGTCGCAATTTTGGGTTAGATGCCACGCGAGGCTTACATAATGGTATTGGTTGATGCGAAATTTCAAGATTGGGTACGACTCGAGCTCTATTAGCCCATGAACGGTCTTTTCTTCCTAGTTTTCTCAAGTGGCCTCTTTCCTGATCACCGGTGCAATGTCGGAGCAGCTTCACGAATACGGCTAAAATACCTTACCAAAGGTGGAGACTTGACCACTCGTGATCCCCACCTAAAACTCCGTAACCTGGAAATTTCGCTGCCAACAATTTCCTCACTTCTTCTTCTTCTTCCTTCATCTCACTGCACTGGAAGCACATTCGTCGACGCGCAGGCTGCCAAACCCAGGCTACCAAACTCCGGCTCGATCGCTCGACTGTCAATATCGTTATCATCCTAGACATGACTCTGTCTCGTCTCTGGTCGATGACAATGCTGTAAAGGTAAGCGGGAATTCTTTTCGCGTAACTCAAGCGAGCCTTGCTCCTTCTGTCATGCACATTTTTGCACACCACCTATTTCCCCTACCAACCCCTAGAAGCGATTTGCTTCTTTCCCCTGCTATGGTGATGACACGAAATTTTAGTGCTTAGAGAATCCATTCATTTGGTCTCTGTGAAGGCAACTGAATAGACTACAACGGTATCTGATATAGCACACTCAATTTTGCCTTCCTTCTTTCACCAACTCGTATTGGAGCCATTGCTAACTGAGGAAAAGACACAATCAGAGCCAATAATGACTGAAATAAAAATCTCGCTCCCGTTGACGGCGGTGCCAGAAGACTCTGCGCCGCCAAAGCCCAACGGCAAAACAGTGCCTAAACGCAGAGGTTTGCCTTTGCATCAGATCTATTCCCTGCCCGTACCGATTCGGACTTTTCCGCTACCAGCATTCTATCCCAACAATCCCATATCCATAATCCACGTAGCGTACGCATGGCTAAAACAGACTGTGCGCCCACCGCCTGCGGAACCCTCCATCGTCTACCACGGCGTGTGGTCGGAAGGCACCAACTCTGTCCACATAACCGATGAAACATTCATGAGGGGCTTGTGGGAACAAGGCTTTTTTGGTAAAGGTAGTCTAAGTCGAAGTGAACCGAGCTGGCTACGTCGCGAGCTCGTCCGCAAGGGTCTCGAAGCGACGCACGTCAGTGAAATACACACAACCCAAAGACGACAAGAACGTGCCGATGCAAAATGGGAACGCGCTAAGCTCGAGCAAGAGGCCATTCGTCAAACAAAACTCAGCGAGACGCAAACTGTGGCTGTCGCGGCAGACGCGGTAACAAAGATTAAGCCTCCTGTTGGCCCGGCAGAGCTTCTGGCACTTCCTAACTCTATGTCAGAAATCAAAGTGGCGAGGCCGAAGCTGGCGACGACGTCGATTCTCGTAAATGGCGATTACATGGCGCCACCCTCTGAGCTTTCGCTCATGGAGAAGCTCGCTGGTATCACTACTGAAACCGGGATCAATGGTTCTACGACAACTCCCCAGACGCCAGCATCGCGCTCTCGCGGCAGTTCAACAAATTCCCGAGACGGTTCCGAGAAGCCTCAAAAGAGTGTTCGATTTTCACCGCAAGTGGAATCCACTACATTTGAATTCTCCGATCCGCCAAGTTCCAAAACCACTCCTGACGGGCGTGCCGAGCTGACAACCCCCCATGACGATGACTCACCCGTGACGGCGACAGAGTCCCCCAAAGACACTCTTGTCAACAAGGAGCATCTTCAGCTCACCCCAGAAGAGGCTTTCTTCCTCAACTTTGGTCTAGGGGCGCTTTCCATCACGGATCCATACTCTGGGCTTGACATGTCTACCATGGAGCTACTGCGCTTATTCCGCGAACACTCCTATTCACCCCCGCGAAATGGACCCGACGCAGACGACTTGCAACCAGACGATAGCTTTTTGGTACATTATGTCGTGTACCATCACTTTCGCTCGCTCGGTTGGGTTCCTCGCGCGGGCATCAAATTTGGCGTCGACTGGCTTCTATACGCTCGCGGCCCCGTGTTCGACCACGCTGAATTTGGCCTCATCATCGTTCCATCCTACTCGCATTCCTGGTGGAAAGCGCATTGGAAAAGAGCGGAAACAAAATCTTGGGCCTGGCTTCATAGCGTGGTGCGAGTGCTGTCACATGTCACCAAGAGCCTGGTGCTCGTGTACGTGGACGTCCCGCCCCCGCCGATTTTTGACGCGGCCATCACAGCTGGCTTAACAGATGCGTTGAAACTGTACAAAGTAAGAGAAATCATGGTCAAGCGCTGGGCTGCCAACAGGAATCGGTAGCGGAGGATACTAGTATATGATAGATACCCCTTCCCTTCCCTTGTAACTTTAGCGATTTCCCCTCAGAAGGAGGATGTACATGCATGAGCAGATTGGTGCATTCGCACTGTCCTTGATGATTCTGTTTTTCATTGAATCCTTTTCTTGGATCAAACAAAAAAACATGTTCGGGCTTCGGGGCGAAACGCGGAGATTGGCCGCGCCTGGATGGGCATGGAGATGGCGCAGATGGCGCAACCGCCGAGGCAGCTCCCCAGATTTCGGCCTTCCTCCACCTTGTCGGCAACTACCACAACCCACAAACCTCAATATATCAGCATAGCCCCTCCCGCTCGTCCGAGTGTCTCATTACCACGTGTGTTTTCCCCGAAACGCAATCGTCTATAAGCATCAACAGATTTCGAAGACAAAAAAAATATTACGTCGGAAAAGAGGTTCTCGCTTGTTGCCGAAAATGCTCTCACCCGGGCGAGCTTTTATACGTCGGGCGCCTCGGCTGCGCGTAGGCTTGACCATTCCCCGATACAACTCAAACAGTACGGCAGCACAGCAGAATGAGCAACCGGCAGCAACCGGGGCCCAGAAAGGCGGCCCAAATGGCCTCAAGAGCAGTGGAACAGTGCCCTGGCGACTCAAGGAGCTCCGCGAGCAGCAGGGACATCACAAGCAGACGCTCATCACGCACGCCGGCCTGTCCACGGGACCGTTATCGTACGTGCAGCACAGTGACCGCGTGGTTGTGCGGTGCGAGGACGGCGGCGCGACCGTCACGCTCGACGCGGCCGCGCTCCGGGACGGCTGTCAGTGCGCCGCCTGCAAGGACCCGTCGTCGGGGCAAAAGACGTTCGCGTCGGTGGAGATCCCGCGCGGCCTCGGCATCGCCCACGTCCGCGAGACAGCCGACGGCCTGGGCGTGAGTTTTCGTAAGGATATTGCGCGTTTTACAGAGCACGAGACAACGGTGTCGTGGGAGAGCCTCGAAGTGGCGCTCGGCGCGCGTGCGGCGGTCGACACGGCGGCGATCCCACCCGTCTTCAACTCGGTGCGGGCGCGCGCGGGCATAACCCTATGGGACCGGGCGACGATTGCGGAGCGCGTGCGCGGCGTCGACTACGCCGAGTTCATAGCCGGCGGCGACGCGCTGTGGAAGGTGGTGCTGGACCTGGTCCGCCTCGGGCTGGTGTACCTGACCGACGTGCCGCGCGACGAGGACTCTGTCGTGCGCATCGCGACGCGCATCGCCAACATCCGCGAGACCTTTTACGGCCGCACCTTTGACGTGCGCGCCAAGCCCAATGCCGAAAACGTCGCGTACACGACCGGCTACCTCGGCCTCCACCAGGACCTGCTCTACCTCGCGCCGCCGCCCAAGATCCAGATCCTGCACTGCCTCGACAACTCGTGCGCCGGCGGCGAGTCGCTCTTCAGCGACGGCGAGCGCGCCGCCCGCCTGCTGCTCCACGCCCACCCGACCCTCGCCGCGCCCCTGCGGCACCACCCGGTCCCGTACGCGTACACCCGCAACGGCTACAGCTACGCGCAGCAGCGCCCGCTGCTGCACTACGACCGCGACGGCCGCTTCGAAAACGTCTTCTGGTCGCCGCCGTTTCAAGGCGCGCGCGCCGCGGACGAGCCCCCGCTGCGGCCGTGGCTCGCCGGCGCCCGCGTCTTTGAGAGTCTCATCAACGGCGACGCCGCCATGTACCAGAAGAAGATGCGGCCGGGCGAGTGCGTGCTGTTTGATAATCTGAGAGTGATGCACGGCCGCACGGCGTTTGATGCCGGAGGCGGCGGCAGCAGGTGGCTGCGCGGCGCGTATCTAGCCCAAGAGGACTTTGTGAGCGTCGCGACGCAAATTCCGGAAGAGTTGCTCGCGAGGGACAGGGCGGGGGAGGGGGTGTGGTATGATGGATATGAGGACAAGATTCGCGCCAACGAGGCGTGGACGGCGGAGGCGCAGGCGCTGGTCGACAAGGAGGTGTAAGAAAGATACGGTGATGGATTACCCCGTTTGCGTTGGACGCGAAAGGATTCCGTGGTGATGGATTATGATAGATGAACATGGTGGTATATTGAGCTATGATTTAATTTCAGCAATTTGCCGTCACGAGAACTGTGTCTCTCTCCCCTTCTTCTTCATTTCCTCCTGCAATAATTGCATGCTACTGTTATGCTAACCGTCTTTCCCTACCGCCGCCACTTTCCTGTGATACACGAGGCCCGCGACGCGACTAATTCCACTTCTTCGGCTCGACGCCGCTGGGCGGGACCGTCTCGACCGTCCTGTCCTTGACGTCGCTCCAGTCGGTGCTCAGGCTGGTGCCGTTGCTCTCGGTGAAGCTCTTTTGCATGGCCCGCTGCTGCTCGGGCGTCGCATTTTTGAAGAGCTTCTTGAAGAAGATGTTGACGTCGCCGCCGTCCTCGTCGTCCTTGCCGTCGTCGCCGACGTCGAGCGTGTCCCAGTTCTTGGGGCCGGTGCGCGATGAGGTCGGGTAGGCGGGGGTCGCTGCCTTTGTGGTATCGGCGGTGGCAGCGACGACTGGCTTGGACGCCTTCGTGACCCCCGTCGCTGCCTCCTCGAGAGCCGCATCGGCCTGCGCGATGGGGTTGCCGTCGGACTTTAGCTGGGCCCATTTCCCGGGCGTCTTCTTGACGAGGCTGAGCTCGACCTTGTTCGGGGTGACGGTGTACTTGGAAGCGGTTGTGTCGATTTCACCCCACAGGTCCAGCTGGAAGGCCTTTTCGTCGCCGCTCGGGTAGATGACGCGGTCCAGATGGACCGAGCGAGGCTGGAAATCGACCTTGAGCGTCTCCTTGTTGACGCCCTTGGAGAAGATGGAGACGGACATGTTGGTGTTGCTTTGGAACTCTTGCAGTCGAAGGGGTGTGTCGCTGGGCACGGTTGGCTTGGCAGCAGCAGGTGGCTGTGTCAAAGCAGGTGCCTGCGTGGAAGCCGGTTCGTCAGCCGGCTTCCCTGCTTCCGTGGTTCCTGACAAATCTGCGAGCTTCTTTTCTTCTGGCTTGGCTGTTGCCGTCGCCGTCCGCGCGGGGTCATCCGCGGGCAGCTTCTGCATGGCTGAGAGGATCTGGATCCGCAGCGTGCTCGCCATGCGCCATTCCTTTACCTGCGGCTGCCCCGATCCGGCGCTACCCATGGCCAGGGCGGCCAAACCGCCGCCGGAGCGCCCTCCGGCGCTTTCATCGTCTTTGCGCGCCTCTTGAATGGCGTCCGCGGCCGTGGCGGTCCAACGGCCCGTGACCGGGTCCCTGAGGTGCGCGACGGGATCCTCGCCGCTGTCCGTCGCGGCGGCACCTTTGATGAGCCGCATGGCGTACACGCAGCACGCGTCGGCGTCGGCGAGGCGGCCCAGGCGAAAGTAGGCGACGGCGCGGCGGTAGTTGGCCTCGATCATGAGCGGCCGCTTACCGCGGGCAAACGCGGTGTGCCAGGCGAGGTTGGCGTCGTCGAGCCCCTCGGCGAAGCGGCCCAGGTTGATGAGCACCTTGGAGCGCGCAATCAGCCAAGCCGGGTTGGGGGACGACTGCAGCGCCGCGGAGAGCTTGGTGATGGCGCCGTCCCAGTCCTTGGCCTCGGCGGCGGCCAGGCCCTGTTGGGCGAGGGTGATGTGGGACATTCCTGGAACGACTTGCAGTTCGTTTCGGACGATGAGGTGGCTGAAGATGACGGGGGATCGCCTCGTAGGCGGAATTGGTTTTGGAGGGACAGATGAAGAAGAAGTGAGAAACTCGCGTTGGCAGAGTTGGTTGGTTGTAACTAGAGCGACAGCAGGACGCCATGCAGCTATGGTAGAGTCGAGATGCTTCTTCATAGTGGGGCAATGTAGCACCTGGCGTCAATGGCCAGCCGAAAAACGAGACGAAGCAACTATCGAACAAATCCATAATCAGTCAATATCGCCGACTAGTACATATGAACTGCTGAGCAAGAAGCATTTATCAAATGACATGAAGTTGCAAAAGTCTAAAACTACCAAAGGATACATGGTAAGATATCTGTACCTTAGCGCCGACATACAGCGTGCATGATCTGTGAATACCGTGAATGGATGCAATGCGAATTATGCGGCGAATAGTCGCCGCGATATAGGCTGTCTTGCCGCCCTTTTCCATTTTCTCTCCAGTTCGTCATTTCCCACGTTGTGTACTCGTACACTTTGCCAGGTACTCCCTTCCCGTAACTAGCCATTTCCAACCAAAGACAGCTCCCTCCCCCCCCCTCCCCCCACCTAGAAAAAGCCGCCACCGAAACCCCGCCAAAGATCCCATCTGCCCTGGCCTGAACCCGACACCGGGGCCGCCGTGCTTCTCCTCTTCTCCTTCTCTCTCACCATCTCCCCAACCCCGGTTCTCCTTCATATACCGGTTCAATTGACAGTCACCATGGCGCCGAAAGCCATTATTGCGCCCTCGGTGCTGAGCGCCGACTTTGCCGAGTTTGGCCATGCGTGTGCCCGCACCATGGAGCAGGGCGCCGACTGGCTTCACGTCGACATCATGTCAGCATGCATTCCGGACCACCCACCTACCGCGTCGCTAATCTCGCAATCAGGGACGGCCACTTTGTGCCCAACATGACGTTTGGCGCGCCCGTTGTCGCCAAGATTCGCGGCTTCGTCGACAGACCGACCGAGAACCACGGCCGCGGCACCTTTGACTGCCATATGATGATTGCGGAGGTGCGCATCCCGTCCCCCGGCTCCCCCGGCTCCCCCGGCTGATATGCCGATATGCTGACGTGATTTCTTCTGTTAGCCCAAGAAATGGGTCAAGTCTTTCAAGGACGTCGGCTGCGATCTATACTGCTTCCACTACGAAGCTGCCTTTTCGACCGACGCCACCGACCCCGAACATTCCTCCGAGGGCAAGACGAATCCCCGCGACCTCATCCGCTATATTCACGACAATGGCATGCTTGCCGGTATTGCCATTAAACCCGGCACCTCTGTCGATGTGCTGTGGGAGTACCTCGACAATTCCGACCCCAAAGAGCTACCTGATGTGTGTTCACCCTCCGCTAACTCCCCGGACCTCTGGCCAAGCCGCTTCAGGCCATGCTAACCGCATCTCCCTTGTCGCAGATGGTTCTTGTCATGACAGTCAACCCCGGCTTTGGCGGCCAAAAGTTCATGGCGTCGGAGCTTCCCAAGGTGCAGGCCCTGCGCCAACGGTATCCCGACCTCAATATCGAAGTCGACGGCGGTCTCGGACCCACCACCATTGACCAGGCAGCCGATGCGGGCGCCAACGTCATTGTCGCCGGCAGCGCCGTGTTTGGTGCCAAGGACCCGGCCGAGATGATTGCGCTGTTACGGAAAGCCGTCCAGGACAGGAGCGGCAAGCTCTAAGACAACGAGTCCTGAAATGGCACATACTTTTAAAACGGATACAATCTGGAGGATTTCACGAAGTACATAAATGGAGGTGTTTTTCGTTCTTCTTTATTAAGAGTATTGCCATTGGTAATTATGTACGCAACGTACCCGTCAAGGTGCTGCGACAGCTAAAATTTCTCGTTGGGATATCTCTTGGCAAACATCCCGAGAGCCTTGATGGTAAAGGTAAACTTGTAATTCGGGTACGAGATCATGCACGACTTGTTGAACACGCCCTCGATGGCCTCTTGCAGCCACTCGCCGTTGGCTTGCTGGCGGTCCATGATGAGCTTGATGCCCTTCTTGAGCGGCTCGACGTTCGGGTATTCGGCCTCCATGAGACCGATGAGGGCCCAGGCTGTCTGCACCACCAGCGAGCCCGTCGGATGCTCAACGTACGTCATGGTCTCGCAGGCCTTGTAGCTCTCGGACCAGCCACCGTCGGCACGCTGCTTGGACAGCAAAAACTCGCAGCCCTTTCTGGAAACGTAGCTGTTGGCGTACGTTTCGCCGACGTGCGCCATGCTCTCAAGTGCAAACATGGTCGCGTACGTGAAGCAGATGGCCCAGCTGCCGTACCAGCTGCCATCGGGGCGCTGATTGGTGCGGATCCAATTGGTGGCGCGCCGGATAAAGGTGGTAATCTCGGCGCCGCGGTAGTCGGGCCTATGCTTGTGGAAAAGTGAGAGCGCGGTGACGCACGCCGTCGTGCACTCGGGGTAGTCGTACTCGATCATGATTCTGCCGAATACCTCGGCGCCGTTGAGCAGCTCCATGTACTCGCCGCCGCGGCGCGCCTCGTACGACGAACAGGCACCGTTGCTGTTCTGGTACAGCAGAAGCGTATCCACGGCGTCAAAGAGGCGCTGGTCTTCGAGCACGGCCGGGTAGCCCTCAGTTTCTTGGAGCAGGATGATGGCCTTGAGCGCTTCGGCGATGCAGTCGCTGACGCCGTAGCCCTGGTCGCGGTTGCTGAACGGCCACCCGCCCTTGCGCGGCTGCCGGTAGCACATTTCCTGGTCGACACAGTCGTCGCGGATCTGCTGCCGGTCGAGGTAGTGGAGCGCCTTGAGTAGCATAGGTCGCCAGCGCTCATCCGTATGCAGACCAGACTCGACCACGGCCTGGATGGAGAACGACGTGTCCCAGCACTGCACGCCGTTGGTGCCGTTGGCAAGCATGCCTTCGTCCTTAACCCACAGAAACTCTTCCAGTCGTTCGATGTGTCGTTTGAATGAGAATGACTCGGGGCCATCTCGGATGTAACACACAACCGTGTTTAAGGGCGCATTAACGGGCGCGAGATCTGCGTAGTCTGTGTTGTGGTCCTCCATATCCAGAAGCTGGCTGACCCACGCTTCTGCTTTGTTTTTGATGAAGTTGGGTCGAAGGTAGGGATTGTATATATTCACAATAACCCAGTTGACGCTGTTGAGCAGCCAAGATTTGGGGTGATAGTTGTCCTGCGGCGCAATGCTGTTGCGGTGGCTGGCCCAACTGATCTCCGCGTGCGCATCGACAAAGAGCTCGTCTCTCAACCCACGGATAATGTCATCCTCGGGGCAGCTCCATTTCTTCGAGTAAATGTATCCCATGGGCAGGAAAACTTGGCGAATGTGAATCCACCAGCGCCAAGGAGCAATTGGGACCCAATCTGGCAGGAGCCAGATCTCGGGCGGGATGGGGTTGACAGTGTCCCAGCTCATGACGCCAAGCGTGGCAAACCAAAACTTGGCCCAGTGAGGGGCATAGAGAGCACCGCCGAGCTTGTGTAGTGTGCCTCGCGCCTTGACCATGATTGGATCCTCGGGGTCAACGCCGACAAGGCGTAGGACGGTATAGTTGAGACTGGTGCCAAAGACGGTGCTCTCGCCTTCGATATGCAGGCCCCATCCTCCGTCGTCGGGGTGCGCTCGCGCGGCAAGGTAATTCTTGATCTCGATGGCATATGCTTCTGGGATGGGTGTCTTGGTGGCATACCAAGCGCAGACCACACAGGGCAGTAGAAACATGGGGCCGCCATACTCGCAGCCCCAGTGGCCCGACGGCAACTGGAGCTTCTCGAAGAAGTTGAGTCCGTTATTCGCTGCCTCGATGGCACTCGTCGCTTTGGGGTAATCGGGGAAACCCTGGAACAAAGCTCGTTAACATTGTGCGAGTGGTAAATCAATGAGAAAGGGGTACTGAGTCAAGGGGTTTTTGGGACGTACCAACGGCAAGCCCAGATAGTACTTTTCTGCATTGCTCTGTGGCCATTTCTCCAGCTCACTATCCTCGGTCAGATAGTGCCAGGTGTGTCGACTATCGTCGTCTTTGAGACGCCATCGGGTATGGTCTGTCTTGCCCTCAATCTTGGGCTTCTCTGTGTTGGTGTCTCTGTCACCAGTGCGTTTGTGCGCAGAGCGCGTTTCTCGGCCAGTCGTTGTCGCCATGGCAAAAAATGTTCTGAACAAGTCAATGGCTCTTCACAAGTATGATGTCCCAATTCCCCAGCCCTTTGCAACTTTATAAGCTTCGGCGACTCTGCATCTGCAATGGAGCAGCGGCGCAATATCTGCCGTGATTGTGTGTCGGCAGCTTTTTTCGCGATTGTACATACGAGTACGTAGAGGAGGTGTGGGGCATCTCGAATTCGGACCATTCCGTCGGCTGGCATCCGGCACCTAACTACCTATGTACCTTAGGTAGGTAGGTACCAGCCGTGGCCGTTTGCTTGGCAAACAACGTCAAATATCATTTTTGCGTCAGTTACTAGCAAAGCTCCCAGATCAACTGCATTATTAACAGAATGAGTGGTAGCATGTCTGTGGGATCGCGGCTTGCATCGGCAGTTGTCATAAGTCGTATTGAATCGACGCTAGAGGGTGTCGCAGATTCCCTCGCTACCGCGAATCAGCTGAAAATACCGTTTTCTTCGCGCCGGCGACGCTCCCGACCTGACAACCGGGAAGAGAGTTTTGTACGATTTCCTGGGTCGTCGGCTGTGGAAGCGCGCAAGTTTGGTCAGTATTCGGCTTCGCGAAGCGGCGAAGCAATTTGTACCTACTTACCAGAGCAGCTCGCGTCCTGTTGATTATGCAGCTAGCCCATCAGGCAATGACGACCGGGACAATTTTGACCAAAAGGTGAATTTTCTCTGCGTTTAAGAATTCATTTCCTCATTTCTGCAGACACATTTATTATCAACATCAGGAGCTATTCGAGACACAAAGGGTTGTCGATGAACTAGTCGATGATCTGGCTTACACGCTCGACACTGACCGGGACAACTTGCACATTGTAAGCTTGCAGATCCCTCGCATAACATGAGCTGACAGAACAGACTTCGTCTTCCAAAGGCTCGGTCTCGGGCTGTATGATCATCCATCTACGTAGCGGGGAAGTCGTAGATGCCTCGGAAAATGAACTAGTGAGCAGGCAGTTACCGCTGCTAAGTCACTTCTAACTTTGGCAGGGCACCGCGGTTCCGTTTAGCAGATCCGTCTCACGGATAGAAGCTCGCGATGCCAGGTGGCTGCTTGTAGTCGAAAAAGATGTACGAGTACGGAACGGCCAGGGAGATATTCGACTGACAAGTTGCAGGCGGTGTTTCGGTCCCTCGTCGCGGTCCGTTTCTGGGAAACTTCTCTCGCCGGTAGTGGAATACTAGTGACGGTAAGACTAAAATTGAAGCAACAACTTCAGTCTTGGCTCTAATTACCCTAGGCCAGGGGTTATCCTGATTTGATGACAAGGAGCTTTCTGACCAAAATCGAAGCGGAATGCCCGCATCTGCCAATGCTTGTCTTGTCCGATTTCGACCCTGATGGGCTCAGTATCTTCTCATGCTACCGTTATGGGACCACAAACTTCTCTCACGAATCCAGTAACGTCAGAATCAATTTCGGCTGGCTTGGAATACAGTCTGGTCATCTAGGAACCCTCCACAACAACAGACTGGCGTCGGGAGCTGGCAGTAGTGCGCAAACAGGAGTGTGGTCTGATAATTGTTTAGTAAACCTGACAATCCGTGATAGACTGTGCGCTTTCCGAATGTTGCGCAAAAGCTTTGACGCTGGCGATGGGGACTTTGAGCAAATACTAATGCGCCGCGAACTTCAAATCATGTTAATGTTGGGCACCAAAGCCGAGATTCAGTTTCTCGACGACAGCGGTGATATCACGCATTGGTTGAACAATGCCCTGCAGAAAGTGCTTGATATTATATACTAGCTACAATAACTGTAAAATGCTTTCGAAGATATTTCCCCTCTATTCCTCGCCGGTTTGATTTAATCTTGTCGTGTTTACAGTAGTACATACCCTGTACCTTTCTGGGCGCACGGTGCGAAAATTGCGGGGTACTCAATTCACACAGTCCCCTCAGTCCCAAATTTTTTGTATCAACGGCTCACTCGACGAGTAGATAAGCATACCAACATAAAGACCTCTAAAAGATGGCGCCACAACTCACAGAAGATGAGATCGATGATCTCATTTATTTTGCCCGCATCGGAGAGGGCGCCGACCTCATGGACAGTGTGACCGCGCTGGCTGATCGTGAAAAGGTTGCGCCCGCTGTCATTCTCATGGCAAGCAAGGATGAGGGCAAATCCACAGTACTGCACATGGCGACCGGCAACGGACATTTAGGTATGACTTTTTGAGCTGCTTTCACTGAAATATGGGACGATTTCTTTGTCATATTTCGCGGGCTGAGGGCTGATCAACACCAGAAACCGTTCGCAAAGTCATTGAGTGCTTTGACGCAAGACCAAAGGAGGAGAAGCAGGCATTCCTAGACGAGCCGAATGAGCACGGAAATACTGGCATGCACTGGGCGGCGCTCGGCGGTCACCTGGATACGGTGAAGCTTCTCATGGAGCACGGCGCTTCGCCGGCCCTGGCCAACGAGCGCGACTACGTGCCTCTGGATCTGGCCAACCAGAACGAAAAGACTGACGTGTCGGCATATTTCCTATCTTTCCTCAAGGAGCTGGAGAGCAAAAACACCGACGAGGGCCTCAACAACGCCACTGCCTCAATCGAGGTGGAAGAGACGATCGAGGATAGCAAGCCTGGGGCTAGTTCATGAGAAATAATACGACAAAGTGAACGATCAAAGGGACTTGGGGGATGCTGCTGACAAACAAGAGGAAAAGCACGAAATCGACAGAGCGGTACAAGCGGCACACGGCACTAGGGGTAGCAGGAGGGCACATTCCATTGGATCGCAAAAGTGCGAAGCTACTTTTCTCAAAATTATCCTTCTAGTCAGTTTGTATATATTCTGTCGACTAGATACATGTGTGCCTCGGTTTTTCGTCACCGCATGAACCGGTACTGATGACAAGATGCCACCCCCGCTGATAGGAATAGACCAGGGCAGGGCCAGGCGGTGCACTATCTGGTCAAGCCTTAATGCCGCTCATACACATTCATTTCTTCATCACCTAGGCCCGCCGGTAATCATCTCCTTGCACACGCGCAGTCTGTTTCGCGCCTCGACGAGAAGCTCCGTGTCGACCTCGTCTAGGATCCCCACCATGACGTCTAGCAGGTCCGGCAGCCCGTCGTGCAGCCTGCTCGCCGACCGCTCGTCGAGCTCCGGCAGCGCCGCGACGCGGGACAGGTACTCGGCCATGCGTGCGTGCGTGGTGCTCGCCATGGTGGGCGACTGGAGCGCCAGCGGCTTGCCCGTCGAGCGGCCCAGCGCCTGCACAAACGTCCAAATCGTCAGCACAGCAAAGTACATGATCCACGGCCGGTGGGGGTCCGGCTCGTCCTTGATCGAGTAGCAGCCACCGCCTCCTGCGGCAGCGCCGGGCACGGGCGGCTGCCGCCGCTGCTGCTGCTGCGGCTCTACCAGCACGCGGTGCAGCAGCCGAAATGCGTGGTAGATGGCGTGCCGCGTCGACCCGAGCTTTGCCCAGGCCACCATGCGCTTCGTGGCGTTGGCGCAGTCGCGCGCCGAGACCTTGCGGCCCAGGATCCGCTTCGCCCCCGCGAACACCTGGCAGTCGATGATGTCGACGTTGGGCGTCATGTGCGCGAGGTGGAACAGCAACTGCGCGCTGTGGATGGGACCGTTGGAGCGGCCGCGCTTTGGGCCGCCACCGCCGCGGTGGGAGCCGCCACCCGGCGACCCGGACATGGACCCGGACATGGCCACGTCAAAGCTCCCCTTCCAGTTGTCAAAGGCGAGCAAGAGCATCTTGCGCCAGTTGTCCTGCACTTCGGTCGATGGTGTGCGCAGGTCGAGCCACTTGAGGTGCGTCTCCCGGTGGCTGAGATGCCACCCCACGCTCAGCAGACCAGAAATAATAATCATGCGTCCAAAGGAGTGCGTCTTGACTTCCTTGCCGTGCAGCGCACTCTTGAGGCCGTCTAGAAAGGAGACCTGCTTGAAGCCGTACATGCGGAAGTTGGCGTCCAGCTGGCGCACCTCGTCAGGGCTGTTTGCCACCCAGAGATTGTCATCGCAGGGCAGAGGCAGGCGGATTTCGTGCGCTGCCATGTCTGCTGCGTGGCCGAAAATGGCGGCGTGGATAATGTCGAGCATAAAGGCGGCAAAGACGACGCGATGCATCGACTCTGTTTCCGCCCACCGCGTCCACCATGTATGCGAATCTAGATGCATCCCGGGCAGGCCCCGTTCGTTGTGTGTCTCTGGTTCGGCCGGGGATTCGCTGCCTGTTCTGCCGATCAAGGGGCTGCCTCTGCGCAGCAGCGTGAGAAACGAGGGGTGGTAGATGTGCGCTCTCTCGTGGAATCGCCTGGACGAGTACAGTTTCTCGTAGAACTCTACCAGCAAAAGAGCCTGTGCTACCCAAAGATTCGCAGGAGGTGCTGAGTCGTCCGAAGTCAAGATTTCCCACCGAACGGAGTGAATAATGACATCCGCAAAGGCCCCGTATTCTGATTGCTGGCCTGTTCTATCCCGGTTCTTCAGTGAAGCAGCACCGAGAGCGATCATGACCAGAAGTAGAAAGACCGAGCAGCGATTGGCAGAGAACGTGTGCTGATGTACAATGGGGAGCCGTGGAGACACACTGCCAAAGAATTCGTAGAGACAATCTCGGAGCATCTCGACATTCAGCGCCGGCAAGTCACCAGCACTCTCGTGCGTCAGCGTAGTCATGAGAGTGTCGTATTTTGGCTGCTTTTTGCGAAAGATTTGGAACCATTGCAGGAGCTCTGCGCGCTTTGCTTCCGTTATCCATTCGTCCGGCGCATCCGAGTACCGGGGTGGTGTAGGCGCGATGGGGGAGAGACTGTTGAGCGATTCGTAGTCGTACTGTATCGTGTTGTTAAACGTCGACTCCAGACCACCGTCTAGAAACGGGAGACTGGAAACACTGAAGCCACCATAGGTGGTCTGGGGATCAAACAGCCAGGCGGCAAAGTTGCTCTGGTTCATCTGGCTGTCGGGAGGGTAGGACGCAGCGGGAAAGGATATCAAACTGGCGGGTTCTGGTATCGACGTTGGGTCGCTAGCATAGAAGCTGTTCCGGTGGCGCATCATAGGAGGATGTGATTGCTCATCCATTGGCGGCCAGACGCTGCTTTGGTGACTATGCCGGCCGTGCAACGCGTGCCTAAGCGACGACGACGGAGTCGGCTCCGTGTGGGACTCTGGTGTCAGCAGAATGGCCGCATCATGCGGGCCACTCAAGTGCGGATGTGTATGATGGTCATACGATGGCCGTGACGCCGTCACTTCAGCATGTTGCTGCCTCGGCGACGCGTCGAGCAGGGTGCTTCGGTCCTCGGACGTGTCGAAGCTGGGGATGCGGTTACGTGGGGTGTAGGACGCCGTGTGACGCTTCTTGTGCCTGGCAAGTAGATCGGGCCTGACAAACTTTTGGTCGCAGTCTCCTAGGTCGCAACGAAAGATCTCTTTGGGGTTGTCTGATCAGATTGGGGGGTCGCGAGTTAGCCGGGCTGTGGGGGTCTGGCGTTGCATGGGGAACATGTGCATCGGCGTCTGCGGGTGGGCGTGTCTCACGGTTTAGCTGATGCCGCAGCAGGTGCTCGGCTCTGGAGTAGACCTTGTCGCAGCCGGGATGCTCGCAGACGAACTTGCGCGGCGCTCCCTTGCGACTTGCGCGCTTATACCCGACCCCGTTGACGGACATGGGGACGGTCAGGCAATTGAGGGTACGGGCAAACGCCCTCGGCATGTGAAGCTACCCAAGATGACTCTGCTTTTGCCCGCGGTATATCTGATGGGGTAGGGGTATGAATTGGGTCCCCTTGGCGGCGGATATAACGGTCGAAACTAGGATACAGATAAAATTGTGAAAGTTGCAAAGTACAGATGGCTGCTTCTGGTCTTCGCGGGGAAGTCCCACGCCGCAACTCCGGGGTGACCCCCACCCAATGCATGCTCCCCACAATCTGATCCCGACGGAATTCCGTGGGGGCACTTCATTTGAGTCGTCACATGCCGGCAGATGGCAAGGTGCAATTGCTCAAGCGACGGTTTGGATTTAAATTCGTGGCTGTGGTACCTTGAAGCTTGTAAAGCTACACTGTTCTTGTAACTGAAGAGTTTGTGGAACTGTCTGCACCACACTACAGATACAATACCTGCTAAATTAAGTTTATCGACATGCATTAATTTTAGTACACCAATAACAGATAGTGGGGAGCTAAAGCGCCCCTACTTGTTAGTATGTACTGAACTAATAATGGCAAACATTTGGTCTCATCTATTAGGGTTCACTAGATAAAAGCCATTTCCCAGTCATAAACACATCTTCCCCCTTGAAAACTTGGCAACTTTACGCGATTCATCTACACCATGATCGCGAATCGACTTAACTGGGCTGTAGCTTTGGTCACTCTCGCCATCGGAACCCTTTGGACGTTGCCGCCGACCAACACTTGTCTGCCGCACTCCGTAAATCTCCTCACGGCCACGGTCAGCGACCTAACAGCCCACTTGAGCTCTGGACGGTTCACTAGCGTTCAACTAGTCCAGGAGTGTATTGCTCGTATTCAGCACCACGACAAGAATGGCCTGCGTCTGAATTCTGTCCTCAGCCTGGTTTCGCGCGACCAGCTGCGGTCCACTGCCACACGCATTGACAGTGAGCGACAGAAAGCAACTCGTCTAAGTGCTTTATTTGGCGTTCCGGTCCTCGTCAAGGACAACTTTGCGACAGAGCCGTCGCTTGGGCTGCCTACCACTGGCGGCGTCGTCGCATTTGCTAATGTCACGGCCAAGCATGATGCCGCTGCAGTTCTGCAACTTCGCCGAGCCGGTGCCATTATCCTAGGCAAGACGAATCTTGATGAGTTAGCTGGCTTCAAAGGCGACAATCTAGGCTCAGGGTGGTCCAAACTGGGTGGCAAGACGCGGTCAGCATACACTTTCGAGTCACCATGTGGCTCTTCGGGTGGCTCCGCTGTTGCCGTCTCTGCTGGTTTCGTACCAGTTGCTCTGGGTAGTGAGATTGCTGGTTCAATCACTTGTCCTGCGTCCCATGCGGCGCTCTTTGGCTTTGTTGCCTCGAGAGGCCTCGTTTCAAGTCATGGGCTCCTCCCAGGCTCAGCATCTTTCGACAGACCCGGCATTTTAGCCAAGTCAACAGTCGATGTAGCTAGTGTACTCGGCATTATTGCCCAGGCCAACGTTCCGTTGGCTTAAGATATTGCAAGCTCAAACTACAGCATTTCTGACGATGCTGTTTGGGCCGACTTTCGCATTGGTCGGGCTGACCCAGATTTCTTCGGCAAGATTCACGGTACATACCATGAAAAGAATGGTGAGATGGAGGTAGGAATTGCATCATCTTTGAAGCAGCCCTTTCCTCACGCGCTTGTAGATGTACCGGGCCGTATCAGAGGCCATGAACCGGATGGAAGCACTCGGAGCGGTTGTCAACATGAATGCGAGTTCGAGCGCCAGACTCATCCCGCAAGCATGGGAAGAAATGCTACGCATAATCCGTAAGTGGCGCGGCACTCCCAATAGGCTCCACATGATGCAAGTCGATTCGAAGCTCATCATCACAAAGGCCACGAAATGAAGTCTAATTTTCCCGAATTTTTCGTCGATACTAGCGACGCCGTTGCTAAAAGTCTGCCAGAGCTGGTCAAGTACAATAAGGAGCACTGGTCCGACGCCCTTCAGAAAGGCAAGTAACAGAACGTAGATGACTGAAAGAGCTATTGAATAATAGTTATTGCTCCCCGCAGACGGCCTTCACTTCCCTCAGGGCCAAGAAGTCTTGGAAAGGAGTATTGAAGAAAGCCTTGATGACGCGCAATATACGGAAATTATGGGCAAGCTACATGCATTGGCTGTCACAGAAGGTATTGAGCATGCATTCAAAACACACAAGGTCGACTTCCTTGTGACGCCAGGTTGGTCTTGGATGAGTGTATACTCGGCAATTGCAGGTGTGTGACAACTGCGCCTTTTACCTTTTCAAGAAAACTGACTGTATATTCATCTCAGGAGCGCTCATGGGAACTGTTCCACTTGGCACGTACCCCAACGGTCGACCCTTTGGTCTGACATTTGTCGCCCCCAAGGGACAAGATGCCAAGCTGCTCCAATTGATGCAGTTTTACGAAAAGGCATTTCCTCCCAGGCGCGTACCCAGCTCGATGAGCTCGATATTCGCGAATTTGTATTTTACATTCCGCAATGATTTCCCACCATACGACTCTTAGTAGAGATGACAAATTTATGTAGTCACACATTCTTTCTTTAAATTTACTCCTATACTTCTTTAGTATATTTTAACAAGAACCATCATGTTTGAGTTCGTGCAAGGCGTTGTCACAGGACGACCAATCATGTGCCGCTCTTGCGTCTCCACACGCGCAACCAAGGCCAGCAGCTCCTGCGTCACAGCCAAAGGCCAAAGGCCTCCATCACCAACTCAATCATCCCTTCGATTGCTTTTTTATCCCAACCGACGAAGCAAACACCCGCGCGGCACGACACCGACAACCTCAATCCCTTCCAAGCGACCCTCAAATCGCGCTCACGCCACCATGAAGCCCGTCGTCAGCGCCGGCCACGCCTGGTCCTGGTACGTCGAGCAGAGCTCCCCTGCGAAGCCAGCAGCCGGGCCGCCTTGAGGGCTTTTCGCAGAGCTAACATGTGCATGCGCGTCTAGCACAGTCGTGTCTGTCTTCGCCATCATCATCCTGTCTGTCCTGGCGATTGTGTTCCGGAGCGGCCATGAGGAGTTTGTTGGCGGCAACGACGATCCTACGCCCGAGCAAGGTGTCGCCATGTCGGGTACTATCCTTACGGCCGTTTTCGTCTATCTGGTACATCTCATATCCAGCCGGCACATGACAGTTCTCAGTACCTGCTTGCTAACCTATCGTTCAGGGCTTCTTCGTCTTTTGCGGCTGCCAAGGCATGCTCCACGTGCGGGAGAATCGACGAGGCTCCATTGCTCTATAAATACTAGCATCGAGACGACGAGCCATGGTGGACGGACGACGACGGCTCTGTGTACACATGGATGGGATACAACTTGACGGCGTTACTTGGGAGCATTTTTTTCTTGGCCTGATTTTTTGGACGTCCTGGGGAGAAGCTGTAGCTGATGTCGGCGCTTGCGCGTTGCGTCTTCATTGTCAAGGCACATGGTCGACGGCATTTCTTTGGCTGAGGTATATGAATAGAAAATGGATAGTGAATAGCTTGCCCTGGATCCAGGGTCGTGATTTTTCCTGCATTTTACATGATTGAGAAACACACATAGGCGGGAACTGGGCTAGCCTGGCAACCTGGTAATGCAGCTAATACAGTAGGTAGCTTAGCCCAGCTCCACCGGTAATACAGCACCATTTCCGCTCACTAACAATAAGCTAGACTTGACATCAACAAGTGCATCGCCGTTGAATACCACCCAGCATTGCATTGCCCTGGAGACTAGGCATGCAGGTCATTGTCCAACATAGCCAGAGGGAATGCGGCTACTCAACACCCGCAGCCTAGAGCTCGAGTTTTTTACCAGCGGGGTTATACCGCCGTACGCCATCCTGTCTCACACGTGGGAAGCCGGTGAAGTCACCTTTCAAGAGCTCCAAGGCAACTCTTACAATGCCTCTTCACAAGGATGGGTCAAAATCCAACGGAGTGCCCAGCTTGCTGTAGTGCAGGAGCTTGCCTACATCTGGATCGACACCTGTTGCATCGACAAGTCCAGCAGCGCGGAGCTGTCCGAGGCCATCAATTCCATGTTTCAGTGGTATGAGCAAGCCGTCGTCTGCTACATCTACCTGGCCGATGTGGTAGCCGGGCCAGATGCCGTTGCTTTCGCGTCCAGCAGCGGCGAGGGGCAGCACAGTCGCTGGTTCAGCCGAGGCTGGACTTTGCAGGAGCTCATCGCGCCGCGCTGCGCCGAGTTTTACGACTGCGACTGGCAGCCCATGGGGACGCGGGCCGCTCTCAGCGATGCCATCCGCGCCGTGACGGGCATCCCGACGGACGTGCTGTCATTCGAACCCACGGCCGGCACCGCGAGCGTCTCACGCCTTTTGGAACACACGTCCGTCGCGGAGCGCATGAGCTGGGCCGCCCAGCGGAGAACGACGCGCGAAGAGGACACGGCCTACAGCCTTCTCGGCCTCTTTGATATTAACATGCCCTTGCTCTACGGCGAAGGCCGGGCAAAGGCATTTCGCCGCCTCCAAGAGGAAATCATCCGCTCCACCGACGACGAGTCCATCTTTGTGTGGCGCCTCGACGAGGCGCCGCCCGCGAGCGATCCCTTTTGCGGGCTCCTCGCCGACGGGCCGGAGCGCTTCGGGCTCTTCACAGACTTCGTGCCGCGACGCTCGCGGTACCTTGCCACCCGGGCGTCGCGCAGCAGCACGCGCAGCGCGTCCCGTCTCGGCGTGCAGGTCGACCTGCCGCTGGCGCCGTTTCCGTGCGACGAGTCGGGCACCCTGTTCCTGGCACTGCTGGCGTGCGACATGCGGCGGGCGGACGCCGAGGCCATATTCACACCGGCGCTGCTGCTGCAGCGCGCCGCACACGAGGACGAGACGCGGTTTGTGCGCGTGCGCGCCGATCTCGTCCCGCTGTGCATGATGAACCGCGTCGTGGCGCCGTACCGGCTGACGCGCCTCATTGCGGACCTGCAGCGCCGGCAGATGCCCGATGACGGCATCCACGCCGAAGACTACTACGTCGGCAACGTGGCCTTTAAGACGGTGCGGCCCGTGTCCGTCTTTGTGCCCTCGACCGTCGCACCGGCGCTCACGCCCAACGGTATCCTGCTGTTCCCGGAGCTGCATGACGAGGGCGCGGGGCGGGCGTCGTCCCCCTTGCGGGTCGTCTCGCGGTCGCCGACCTGGCAAATTTTCTCGGACAAGATTGACTGCTACGAGGTCAATTTCCGCGTGAACCCCGTGCCGCCGGTCGAGAGCATGACGGGACCGGTGGTATGCGGGGCGCTGGAGCTGCTGCTGGACAGAGACGCGCCGTTGGCGAGTTTCGGCATGGGACGGCCGAGGACAACACGCGTGTGTCTGGTGGCCGGGCTGGAGCCGCTGCCGGCGAACCCGTTTGGGACCCCGGGGTTGTATGCGGTGCCGTGGTATGCCTTTGAGGAGCCAGACCGGGTCGAGGCCGGGGATCTGGACGGCGTCAAGGACAGGAGCAGGAGGGTCCTGGAGCTGGTGCAGCCGTTTGCGGTCAAAGCTGAGTTTGAGTTTATAGTGCGGTACTCGTGGTTGTTTTATCACTTGCAACTGATACGGTGCTAGCCAGACGCTGCAGCTAGCTATGGTTGCGTGAAGGTTGAAGGCATTCAATTCCTTCTTCTTTTCTTTCTATTATGGGACAAAAACAAGGGGTATAATTGATGATACAACTAAGATGCCTGCTCTGGCAGCGTCATGTCCAGCTTGGCCATGATGCTCTCCGGGACGGGAAAGAACTTCTCCACCGGGACGAGGCCACGATTGACCAGCTCCTGCAGCTCCACGTCTGGGTTCTCGTCGAGCGTCCTCTTGAGCTCCCTCGCCGTATCAGTTACGTCCTCGATGGAAATGATCCAATCTGCCACCCACTGCGCGCTCAGGCTGCCCGGGATACCAATCTGGATGCTGCGGTATGGCAGGCGATGGAGAGCGGGCGTGCGCTCCGGGTCCCACTGGATGCGGACCTCGGCGTTCTTGTCAAGCCGGTCCGGGGCAAGGTTGCCACCGTGAGAGAGGACGCCGCGGTTGAGCAGGCCGAGAAAGTGGGCGTGCGTCATGCGCAGGGCGAGGATACGGGCCTGGCGGGCGTCCTTGTACGAGTAGCCGGCGCGGTACATGATCCAGGCCCAGCTGGGCTTGATCCAGGTCATGCGGCCGGGGCGGAAGTCGGGGGAGGCGTCCAGGCGCTGGGCGGCGACGGCAGCGTCGGCGATGGACGGGGAGTAGGCCTGGTAGACGGTGATGGTGCTGTCGTCGTAGAGGGCCCTGATTTGGCGGTAGGGGACGGTGGGAGTGGCTTGGGACATGTTGAGGTAATTGCATTCGTGACATGTAAGTATTGTTGAATGAGTATATGGAGTGACTGATTTTTTGCAGTAAGTAGAATGGGATTTATATACTCTTCAACGGATATAGGCGGCACGTTGTGACTGTGCGGCTAAACCGCCGGCGTGTGAGCCATCGGTACTCCGTAGACGTTGGGACGATGCCGATGCTGGATGTGAGCTGCGTGAGAGAAGCCGTGGAATGAGTCAGCCATTTCACCAGGCCCTTGAGTGCGAAACGCATAGTTATGCATGAGACACTCAAAACGCATGAGAAACACCACCTTTCCTACGTCTTTATATTTTATGAAATACACGTGCCACGCACGCAGAGCTTCGTTGTAGGTGGAAAGTAATGATGCCCGCCAAGGCTACCTCAAGCCGCTGCAGCAACCCCGCTTGCCCACTGTAAATTGCTGAAAAGCCCTTGTGTTTTACAGCCTATTACCACTGTACACTGCAGCCACTAAATCTCTTCCGTCATCCACTAACGTCGCTATAACCACAGCACCTTGAGTACCTTAGTACCTATCATGCACAAGTGGTGTCACAAGACTTTGACAGCTTCTCTTGTCTGTCTTGACGCCGGACGAATTGTGAAGCTCTGTTGCTTGAAACAAATTCCACCAATACCTACCTGTAGGAATACAATATCCAACATACTTGCACATGCCCACTGAACCACCCTGTCTTGGCCTAGTTACAGCTCCTCCTCTACTCCGCCGCGCGCCGCCTACGTACCTGGCCCAAATTGAACCCCCCCGCGCGCAGCCTTCCATCAAATCATCCAAGGTAGGCTCCCGCTGCATCTGCAACCTGCATCCGTCGTCATTGACACTTCTTCCTACCCCGTGCCTTGTCCCTTGCCGACCGCTGTGATTTTTATGACGATCCTGTCTCGTCCCTACGAGTCTCCGTCGATTTTGCTGCCGCATCCACATTACTGCAGTATTCGCAAACGCCCATCTCCCGAGCTGCCAGTACACAGCACTCAACAAGGACCTCCACCACAGCTCAAGCTACACAAGCTCGCTCTTGCATCACGAGCCACACCCCTCGCCACTACGACCGCCTCCGACCAACCGATCCAACAACACCATACTATCCGTCCTATACCAGGGGATGACTGCCCCGGAGCAGCCCGCTGGGGGACCAGAGCCGCCATCCCAGTCTCCCAGCGAGGCCCAAGCCCAACAAACTGAGGCTGATGTTGAGCCCAGAGCAGGGGACGCCGCTGCGCTTATAGACCCTTCCACAGTACAGCATGGAATGGAACCGTCTCAGACAATACAGTCAGCTCAGAACCAAACATCCTCGACCGATAATACGCCTTCCGACACCGCACACGTGGTCGAGTCCGCACCCGAAACACCAACCCCGACCACACCGCCTGCGCAGACGGGCTCCAAAATGTCACAGCAGCTCGCTGCCGCCACTACCAAGAAGCAAAACGACGATGCCTCGGCCAGCGCACAGGATCGCGACACCATGTCTTCCTCAGCCATCACCATCCGGCCGGCCAAGTCCGACGCCGACCCTGCCAGACAGTTCCTTTCACCAGAGCCCTCGAGCTACGTCGACCCCACACCAGCGACGCCCATGACCTCCCAGCCGACGTCACGGTCACCCTCCAATGCCGCCAGGTCCCATCGTTCCGACTCCATCTCGCCGATTAGGTCGGCCGAGAGCGAGGACAAGAGATATGCCAGCGAAGAGGAGCCCGACGGCGGGTCGCGGTCCGAGATTCAGAGCATCATGGAGCAGTTTAGCGAGTACGGAGGCGGCCCCGGCGCTGACGAGGTCATGAGCCCGAGACTGGAGATTACTTCTCCCATGTTCGCCGGCGCATCTCTTCAGCACCAGCACCCGCCCAGAAAGTCGAGCCTCGAGCCGCTTTCCACCAATACGGGCAGCCAGGCGTTGGATGCGGATGCGCTCGGCGCTCCCACCCCATCGCCCACCAAAGAGCAGCAAGCGACCGATGACCACGGCCCCCCAGTACCTCCCAAGGACGGATCGTTTGGCACGCCGCCCCGGAACAGGGAAACCCGGGCATCGGCTAGTCTTGCTTCCCCGACGTCTCCTCAGCTGTCCATCCACCGCCCGCCCCCTCCCGCCCCCGAGCCCGAGCCAACACTGCCGTTTGACTTTCACAGGTTCCTCGAACAGCTCCGCAACAAAAAGGCCGACCCGGTCGCACGCTACCTCAAGTCCTTCCTGACCGAGTTCGCCAAGCGCCAGTGGATGGTGCACGAGCAGGTCAAAATCATTAGCGACTTTTTGGCCTTCATTGCCAACAAGATGATGCTCTGCGAGGTCTGGCGTGACGTCTCCGACGCCGAATTTGACAATGCGCGCGAGGGCATGGAGAAGCTCGTCATGAACCGCCTGTACTCGCAGACATTTTCGCCCGCCATCCCGCCCCCGAAGCCCGTCCCTGGCGCCCGCCCCAAGAAGCGCGGTGGTGAGCTGCCGCTCGGGCCGGGCCGTCGCGGGCAGCACCAAGAGGACGTGGAGCGCGACGACATTGTTGCGCAAAAGATTAACATTTACGGCTGGATAAAGCCCGAACATCTGGATATTCCCATTGTCCAAGACAGCGGACGAAAGTTTCTGAAGCTGGCCCAGCAAGGTTCGTCCGCCCGGGGTCGTAGGCAGCTGCCAAGCTAACACCTGCAGAATTATTGAAGATCAAGTCGTATCGTGCCCCACGCGACAAGATCATTTGTGTTTTGAATTGTTGCAAAGTCATTTTTGGTGCGCTGCAGACTGCCGATTATACACGTGCCCGTACTGACACTCACAGGACTGCTTAAACATAACAAATCCGACTCATCAGCAGACTCCTTTATGCCCCTACTCATATACGTCGTTCTTCAATCCAACCCCGAGCATTTAGTATCTAATGTCCAATACATTTTGCGCTTCCGCAACCAAGATCGTCTCGGTGGCGAGGCTGGTTACTATCTCTCATCCCTGGTCCGTCCCCCGCCCCCGACCTCCCCCAGCAGCTTATACTGACGGCCTTGTGTATGCAGATGGGAGCGGTGCAGTTTGTTGAAAACATGGACCGCACTTCCCTCACCATCAGTGACGACGAATTCGAAAAGAGCGTCGAGGCCGCCGTCTCCGCCATTGCCGAGCGCAACGCGGCTCTGTCACCTACCATCCGCCAGCAGGCCACCTTCTCCGAGAAGCCCGCTTGGGGTCACACCGACGGCACTGGCAGTACCGCCCCGGAGCGTGCGTCTCCATCGACGACGGCTCGGCCCAGCTACGATGGCGAGTCAGAACCTGGCGATGGTGCCGCCATCTCGGGCCTGTTGCGCACCTTTCAGAGGCCGCTCACCACCATTGGGCGCATCTTCTCCGACGAGCCCGTATCGTCGTCTCCCTCCTCGTCATCCACCAGCGGACGGCCCATGCACCCACCTCGATCGTCGCAGGACAGCGGCTCCCTGCGGCCCAGCACGGAAGATATACGCCCGTCTGCCCGGCCCCAGACGACACAACAACAGCCGCCGACGCACGCGCTCTCGGCCGAGGAAGCTGCCGCGCGCCAGGCAAGCGCCGAGACGGCCGAAGCGCAGCGTCTGCAGCGCGCCGAGCATGCCAACGTTGTCGAGACGCTGGCTGGCATGTTTCCCGACCTTGACAAGGATGTCATCAGCGACGTCGTGTACGAGAAGCAGGGAAGGCAAGTTACCCCGGAGTATTTGCTGCAGGGTATTTGTGTGCTGTATTACTAACCTTTGTCCTATTGCAGAGTCGGGTTGGCTGTCGATGCATGCCTAGCGCTGTCTAGCTAGACTCGTTGAAATTTCTTCCACCCCAATTGCATGGCGGCGGCGGCGGTCGTTTATATAGTACCCGTGATGACTATTCCCTTTTCTTCTATTCGGGCACTTACTTATATCTTCATGGTACACCAACGTACAAAAAAAAAGGCATATACGACATGTATTTTCCATGCTTGCGAGTCCTCACAATATTTCACCACCTGCCCAAATGAACAAAGAAAGTTCCACTCGGTGCACGTCATGAATCGTAACCAGTCTCAAGATGCACATTTACTTTCTCCGTTCGCTATTGCCCTGAGGGCACAGCCGAGCCATGCAAAAAAAAAAAAAAAAAAAAAAAAAAAAACTGTTTTTGTTGAATGCTTTACTATTGCAAATTAAAGGAATGTCTGGAATATCGCTCTATGTCCTTGTCATCTTCTTTGCGGCAATTCCAATTACACTAATCTCTCTCGCGAAAGATGCGAAGAAAAAAAACAAAAGATGCGGCTGTGCAAAAAAAAAAGAAAAGAGATAGGAAACGGGTATACCTAGTCCGGCCAATTCTCCCTCAATATACAAAACATCCGACCAATTACAAATAATTGTCCTTTATATAAAAGATACAGTCAGAGGCAAACCTTGAAGAGACGCCTTCCAACTTGGGCTCCAAGTATGGCGCGGTGTTTGGTGAGGATCCGTCTGCTGCTGGACTCGCTTCATGTTTCATGGTAGGTTGATATATACAGGTGCGAAATGGCGGGTGGTGATATGTACAGTGTGGTCAAGGAGTGGATGTTGAACAAAGAACCGTCGTGTTCAGTGCGTCTGAGCCTCACAAGCGGTAGTAGCCCGGGTTGGTCCGAGGTAAGCCGCGATAGCTGCGACTCTCCAGGTCAGGAACCGTGGCCTGCCGGGAGTGGCCATATGTGCCTGGTTCGCTGGGCGTCAAGTCTCTTCTCGGTTCATCGCGGTAGGGCTCCGAGATGACGCCATGACGCTCGATATCATCGGGTTGGCGGTTGTATTGAGAGTACGGGTTAGAAATTTGCCCTTGGGCGCCATGGCCTTCTCGTTTGTCTATTTCCATGGGTGATGCGGAGTAGAACGACTTTTCACTGCCTGGGCGGATCAAGAGCGAGTTGTGGGCATCCAGCGGCGTCAAGGTATCAAGCTCGCGATTGCGTTTTTCTACCATTGTCAGCAGTGTTGTTTGGCTCTTGGGAACATTGACTTACCCATCTCCTTTCTGCGCGCACGGTGGGGGTTGGCAGTGATGCACGCGTTGATGGCATTCCAGGCGATGAGGATAGCAAGGACGCCGGTGAGAGTGGATTGGACAGCAATCAAGACGACACCTGTGACGGTCTTGGTAGTTTGAGCGATGCCGAATTCTTCGACAAAGATGAGAATACAGCCGACGGAAAGCACACGAATCGTCTGGATGATGATATTGAGAACGTTCCCGGAGCGGCGCTCGAAAGGACGGCTCCAGAGAAGTAAAATGAGCATGCAAGCCTCAATGACGAGCTGGGCAATGCTCTGCTGCATGCCATGACCGTCACCAAGAGCAATACAAGCCCCCTTGGCAAACATGTAGAAAATGACGGGAATAAACAGCCACCAGTAATTCTTGCGGTAAGCATCGTAGAAGAGCGAGTACTTTGTCCAGAGCGCCTTGTCTTCATAAAGACCACTGACGTCACCCTCGGCATTCTTGAGCTTCTGGACGGTGCTGTAAATTTTCCAGGTAAAGAAGGCGAGAACGCCGGTAAAGAGGGCGAGAGTGACACCTGCGAGTGTCTTGGCTGCCCATGAAGAGTCGGCACGAGAGAACTGAAAGATGCAGTAGAGAACCCAGATTCCATACAGAAGAAGAATCAAGTTGGTGATAGTGCGAGCAATGGAACCCCAGTAGTGCTCGCGGAAACCCTTGAGCGACTGAGGAAAGGTGCCCCAAATGGCCCAAGCCTCGAGAATGACCTTGACCAGCAGAATGACGACCACAATGGCGGCAATGATAATGGCGACGACGAGGAGAGCAGTTATGAATATGTCAGACTTGGGAACAGAAAGCCTGCGGGCATAACCCTCGATGCCCTGGACCGTTTTCTGGAAGTTGGTGCCGCCATGAGCGTCGTCTGTAGCGTTGACGGACGTTTCAATGTCACGGAGGACAATGGCAGCGGCAGCGCCAACGGCACGTTTTAAGTGAAGGGCGCCGCCCTGACCGGCGGTAGCGTTGGCAATGTATGCGGCATTGTCGTTGGTTAAATTGCCTCCCGTACTCTCACGGAACTTGTCAATCGAGGTTAGCATACCGGACCAGGGGACCAAGCCGACGGAAAAAGCAAAGTTCTTGGTGAAGCTTTCGTAGATAGGAGGATATTGGACGGAAAGCATGCCGTTCATGGCCATGCCCTGGAACCAGCCGACGACTTCGCTAAAGCTGGGACTCACGGTTCCGGCGCCACCAGATGTACCGCCTCCCAGGGCCGCGCCAACAGCAGAGACGCCACTGCCGAGGAGAGCAACACCAGCGATGCCAACAGCGACGTAGGAAACAGCGGCTACGTTGACAGTCTTGCCATTGGTGACGGTGGACTGGATACAGGCAACCTTTTTCTTGGTATCGGCAGCCTCGAGCTCGAGCTTGGCATTGGCGGCAATATCAGGGACCTGAAAAGCGATGGCCGGGACCATGCTAGCAAACTGTTCAGGAATTTTTTGGGAGCCACGGGCGGCAAAGTTGCCGACGGGAAGAGGGCAGAGCTGCTGAACAAAGGTGGCATCATCGCAAGGGTTGAAGGATCGCTCGTATATCTGGTTTCCGTAGGCGCTGACGCTGAGATGGGCGGTGACGTTTTGCTCTCTCGTGCTGGTTCCCGAGACGTCGAATACGACTGTCTTGTCGGCGTTGTTGTACGTGATATCAACCTTGTCAACCTTTATGGTAGCATCGGAGCCGCAGTCGCTAAATCCAGACGTGGTGAGTATGTCGGCGGCCATGGCGCCAGTGGCTAGAAGGACGCTGGTGAAGAGGGCGGCCCATCGTGTCGATGGTCGAGCCATGTTGCCGGAAAAATTAGTACGGGTTATGACTTGGCAAGGGTTAAAGTTCCGACAGCCTCGTTGAATGGTTCGAAAACGCAGTCGGAAGTGAATCGGCCGTTGGCGAGGTGCACTGAAATCGATGGGGGAATGACCGATGATCGACGGCGTCCAGGCCTTCGATCAGGTGATCAAGGACACAAAAGTGTAAAGAACAATGATGAGTGAATACCGCCGGGGTACCCAAACAAATACCGTTGAGAAAGCGAGAAAACAAAGGCAGAAGAGGACGTGGAGGAGACGGACAGCCAGCAAGCCGGGAGGGAGGCTGCTGTGTGATGCTGTCTATAGCAAACGTATTATTCAAAAAGTCGGGCCAGATGCTTTGCTCGTGGGGAAAACATTGGCCGTGTTTGGCAAGAAATGATTGTACAGGTCGGTACGGTGTATGGAAAGCACCTTTGTTGCAGTCGGCGATGGGACAAGATGTGTGTGGGCAGAGACGAGAAGAGGCGAGAAGAGGCAGAGAGAGGTGGTTAAGCGCCAGGAGTCAACCGGGGCATGGGAACCAAACCAGGAGACTAGCTTGGAACCTGGTTCGGGTATTATTCTTGAAGCCTGGTTCGTTCTCGAATCGTGGAAGAGGGAGCCGGCGGACCACAAAAAAGAAAAAAGAAGTCGAGTCTGGACAGGATTCGTCGAGGGCGAATGGCTGGAGAAGCTCGTGTTGGGTGGAATGGGGGGTGAAACGACCCAGGGGACTGGGATCGGCCGAACCACCAGCCAGTGGCGTTTCTTTTCTGCTGAAGGATACTGTCGAAGAAGGAGGCAAAGACAGACATAAACGAGTGACGGGTTAACGATAGTGAATGACGGGAAGAGATGAAAAAAAAGGGTAGATAGAAAGAGGAGATGGTGATGGTGATGGCGATGAGTCGAGTTGAATTACAGGATGGTTCGCTATGGGAAAGGAGAGGGGCTTGGTGGAGGGGTACTTGGAGCCGGGTGCAAGCAACGGCGCAAGAGCAAGTACCTGCCCGCAAAAGTCTACAAGAAAGGATTACAGGGGGGGTGAAAGAAGAACAGCAAGGGGACGCACATCAGATCTTGGCCTCGTCAAGTTGAGGTTGTGAACCAAGGAACCACCCATGCGACTGGTCGTGTTTCGAGATGACGGATGTAGCCAGCGCCAGGATTGCCAGTTCGCCTGGTCTAGCTCGACGCTAAAGTAGAGATAGCTGGGGACAATGGGATGAAGAAGAAATGGCTTTTGATTGCATGTTCCAGACCAAGGGCAACATGGAATGCTCTGTCGGTAAATATAAGATAGATTAAAATGTCATTCTTCTCTTAAGCATTATGAAGTACCTACCTGGTGGTGGTTGACAATGTTCTTTTGGGGTTTGGCCCGATGATGGCCAGCATTGTTCTACGTTGTGAACCCCTGGCTGGTGGGGCCGGCGCCGGGGTCCACAACGATTGCCGTCAAGAGCCTCCGTTGGTGCCTGGCAGCTGGCCGACAGACTGCTCGCAGCTGGCAGTCAACTTAGCCCCACATGCACTCCCCTAGCTCAGGTACAGGGTCAAGGTTATTCGTACAACTACAGATTAGGTATGAATTTCATATTACCTGTGCAGAAACGGCACCCATCACCGCTTCCGTCCAGCTGCCGAATATTTCAATCTGCTCAACGCATCTCTACCCGACAGCCACCATCACCCACCTCAGAAACCCAACGCCTACAGGTATTTACCCGCAGTCCTTGTCCGGGTCCGGGTCCGGGTCACGCCATCACCAGAATTCATCACCAGCCACCGCCCCCCGTCTGAAACAGCACCCAAAACACCACGCAAAACCTTGTCATTCATCAACTCTCGACCGCCGCCCGAGTTTACTACTACCAACCCTGCCGTACATCAACCAGGTACATATCAACAAACCACTGTGATTCACGAACCATCAAACTTTTTATGCAAAAGAAACCCAACCCTGAATATCCGTACTTGACCCCTTTTTTTCTCACCAGCTAAGAAGAAGAAGAAGCAACTTGAACGGCACAAAAGCAATCCGTCACCGACCTTCCAAACAAGCCCGCCAGGAATCGCCCTGCATAAAACATGCCCGTAATCCGTCACCCCTTAAGGGGTGGCCAATAGACGCCCCCAATTCCGTTACCTACTAATATGTATCAAGATTTAACAATGCTCTCCCTCCAACTCAGGTGAACCCATTACGCATACCCATTCCAAACGCCTCAAGTCTGCACTACTATTGCCGTTTTCATGGTGGCAATGGTACTTAAATACATTTCTCGTCTTTGAAAACATTGAGCGAGATGAGTCAAGAGTAGTTAGCACACGCTGCTATGCTGATCCATTTCTATTTTTATTCAGCTTCGTATTCCGCCAGACCGTACCTGCATAATAACACTGGCACAGCCTCTGCATGACATGACATCCAACAAAAAATAGCCTTCGCAGTTACTGATTTTGCTCCGTAAACTATTCACTACTAATTCACCTACCTATGTAGTAGGGCGGCCTCCCCTCACGCGTGCCGCCCAGCTGTAGTCATCGCAGACCCAGACCTTGCATACGACAAGCTCACGAGTAAGCCGCCTCTTCGTCCGTCTGTACTCTACCAACGGCATCAATATCCGCCGTAGAAGTCTAGTCGCGCGACTTTTTATCCATAACCTTGCACTAATAGTAGGTATTAATTAATTGGCTACTGGTGACCACTTTGGTGATCCTGGATAAGTACCTACCTACCGTAGGCACACTCCCCGCCGTCGTATCAAGGCCTTGCTCTTGCTAAATTACAGATGGGGACAGTCTAACAACCCCCGCCAAATAATAACCAAATCCCCGACTTCACATTTATTAGTTACCAGTAATTGGTACTTGTTAGTCGCTACCACTTCCCAACACCGTGCCAGCGGCCGATTCCCTTGCACCCAGCTGCATTGTAGAATCCATGCGACCTTTAGTGAACCAAATATATATTTCACCATCACGTCGTACGGAAGATTCCTCTTCTGGTCTCAAACTTGATTGACTATTCTCTCTTTTTTTCTAGTCTTTTATTGCAGTCCCATGCATATGTTCCCAACAACTCCTTTCATCATGTCCTTCATTAATACCCGAGGCAAACAAACGATCCCACCAGGTTCAAAATATCCGCAAATGCTCAGCAAAACAAGCAAAAAATGATATCAAACAGGCTTTCAATCTAGATCTGAAATCATCCGGGAAACATGCCCTGGTTGTCCCACGCCGTATGCTCCTGGTTAGTCGCTCTCATGTGTGGCGAATGAGAATATGTCGACAACGTCTCGTGCCCGCTAAATGGACTTCCATTGAGGCTCGTCCTTGACTGCGTCGTCATTCCATTCTCGTACATCATCTGTCTTACCATGCCGTCTCCTTGTATCCCCTGCACACCGAGGCCTTCCAAAGTTGGGAACGGCTCCAGCCCGCCGCTGTTGAGATGGCTGTTGAGATTGCCATCCAGGTTGCTGTTCAGGCCCATGTAGGATTGATGTGCTTGCCCAAACTGCCCAGCGGCAGCCGTCATAGTATTCATACCGCCATCTGCGTGGTAGCCATTGATTTCTGCCATGCCATTCATCGTGTTGAAACCATTGACGCCATTCATCTCCATAGTGTTCGTCATGCCGTTCAAACCGGGGCTCATGTCCGCCGTCGATGTCTGCATCGTCTGACCCATGCTTCCATACGGCGTCTGGTAAAACTGCGAGTTGTCTTGTCCCAGTGCATACCCAAATCCACCACCCATGCCCTGCCCGTATCCCATTTGTGCATGGTTTGGATGTAGCGCGTGGCTGACAAAGGCCATGCCTCTGGTTCCCGACTGGTCGCTGGGCACCGGTAGCATCTGCCGCACTGGAGGATCCTGCACAGGACTGATGATGGAGTCAGCTCCCAGCTCCTTGGCCTTCATATCCACCAGTCGCAGCACCGGCAGCGAGATTTGCTCCATGTGTTTAGCTAAATGCACCGTGAGCTTCTTCCAGGTCGGAAAGGTGCGTCCACAAAACTTGCAAGGCTCGTCCTGCGCTCTCTTTGGCGTCTCCATGTGGCACTCTTCCACCTTTTGCCATGTCGGCTCGACTCCCCCTGCCCGCTTCATAGCTGCCTTGGTCTTGACCTTTGGTTCCACAAACTTGTGCTCGCGCACCAGGTGCTGCAAAAAATTGTCTTTGCGATAGCATGTGTGGCGACAGTCTTCCACATCGCATGTCCACCACTCTAGATGCCGGTGGCCTTCATTTTCATGCCGTACCCAATCAGCCTTGCGTTTAAACGTCTTCGGGTCTTTGCACTTGTCCCATGTGCAGGTAAAGGGGCCAACATCCTCGTGGACGTGCTTGGTCCAGTCCGAGGGCTTCTGGAACTTCTTCTTCTGGTAGCACAGCTGGCATTCGAATTCGGCTGGGAGATACTGCGTAGGTGGCATGGGTATATCGGGCGGGAAGCTCTCGCTGCTTATAATGCCTTCTGCGGGGCTATCGTCGTCATCAAAGCGAGCTGCTAAAGGGCCGATGCGATCCTTGTCGCCTTTTTGATCGCCCAAAACCTTGGCTGAGCCGCCGAGCGCCATGCACAATGACCCACAGGAGCAATTGGCGCCTTGCTGCATGTGAGCAACTTTGAGGTTCAGAAGGTGCTTGTATCGAACGACTTGCTGATGTGCAATACGATCGACGAGATAAAGGCCACCATTCCCGAGCCCAGGATTTATCTTCAGGGTATGCTCTTGGAATCCTGCAAATGTGTGTGGGATATTATCAATTTCGTTTGGGTTCTTTTTCATGACGGAGTCTTCGAGCAGGTCGTCGTCATCTTCATCATCCTCATCCTCCGCCTCGGGCGCACCTGTGGTGGATACTGGTTTGCTGCTTGCTACAACAACGGGGGGGCCTCCAGACCTTTTCCACAGGTCAGCCAGAGATGCGTGCGGGCCCTCGGTAGCCACGGTGAGCTGCGTTGTTCTCGGAAGTTCAGATTTGCTGCGAGGCCGTCGCAGCACTTTGTCGACAGCCAAGGAGAAGCCGCTCTTGGGAGAAACGATGGGGGTAACGCCGCTGATTGATCCGCTTCGAGCGTGCGTTGATCCAATCGAGGCTAATGGTGTTGCCATGGTAGCAAATACTGAGTTGATGCTGGGCGTCGGCTGCTTCCCCCAGCTAGAGGTCCGGGAGGTGGGAGACAGATGCGGGGAGCTATCTCTTCGTTCGTCCGATTGCTGGCTGTTTTTTCGATGTAAATCGTCATCTTGGGCACTCTTGGAGCGACTTCTTGATCTCTTGCGCATAGATGAGCTGCTCGTTCGACGGACCAGCCCGCGAAGCTCGGCGAATAGGCCAGTGGATCTGATATTCTTCTTGGGCTCTGCCTTGCTGATAGATAGCTTCTTGAGAAAGTTGCCGCTGATAACACCCTCGGCATCAACCACACTGGGAAGACTGCGCCGACGGGTTCCCCAGGTGGCAGAACGGGAGAGGATAGAGTCGTTGTCGCGGAGCAGACGTTCAAATCTTTCAATGGCAGCTTGTGACGTTTCCGGTTGAAATCGACCCTGATCTTCAGATATGATTGGGTGCGATACTGGCGCAGGCTCCCAATGATGGGCGGCATGGATGATGTTGTAGTCGACGTCATTGAGGGGACCGCCGTTGGGGTCAATGTAAATTTGTCCCTCGACGTGTCTATTTTCGGTATTGCTGCCTAGTGGGATACCGTCATCGTCATCGCGCGGTTGGTCGAGCGCCTGTAACTCTTCAGTGGTCTTTTCTGTTGGTGCCGTCATGTCATAAAGGCCCTCTTGCAGCCAGCGGCCAACTTCTTGGTTTCGCTCTTGGCGAGTGTTTTGCGCAGCCAAGTCATTGATCGAGGGAACTTGTTCGGAGGAACGGTTTCGTGGTTCAACGCCGCAATGGCCAGTTGTCGTATTTGGTTCCCATCGCCCAAGAGAATCTCGCCTAGTAGTGTTGGGTGTGCCGGACCGACTGTTGGCGATCAACTCGCCGACAGAATGAACCCCTCGAACGGTACTATTGTCGTCAAATGTACGTTCGACAGCGAGTGGCGGGGTCAGGCCATTATCATTGTCCCAGTTAGAGACGGTAACCCTGGGGCTCTGGACAGGCATGGGCACAGGTGCGGGGACTAGACCGTCCTCGCTGGAACGGCCGCTGCCGGTAGGCGCTGGAGTCAGCTGTGAGGATTCACCAGAAAGCGTGGCGCCCTTGAAATTCCGTTGAAGGTCCCGTGGAGAAACAGAGGCGGGTAGGTTGGCGGGGCGGTTGGCTGTGGGCGAGGCTATATGCAGCGAGGAGGATCGGTCAGGAGTCAATGGACATGACGGGGTATAGCTGTCGTCCGATTGTATTTGTTCGGTAGTAGGCTCAGTCGGCAGAATGGACTGCTCCCATATGCCAGCCTCGGTCAGGAAGCTGGGGCCGCCGGCGTGGGGGTTTGTAAAGTCGACACCAAAGAAGGGATCCTCGTCGGCGTCGAGGTCAGTGTAGTCGCTGGGCTGATAGTGGCCTGGTGTGGAGTGAGAGGCGTCGGGGGTATCGAGGTGGATGATGGAGGGAGAGAGTGATTCACTGTCGATGCGCGACAGCAGAGGCGAGACGTCGGCGGTAGAGAATTGGTGGTTGAGAGATTGGGTTTGGTACGACGAGTTGCGGGGTTCGCGGTCAGTGTCTTGGATGGAGTCGGGTAGATCGCTTTGCGACAAGGTAAATGCGGAAGCCATGGCTCGCGGGTGTTGAGTGTGGCCGGGCCACGCCGGGTATATGTAGTCGGCCAACAAGAAAAATAGACAAGTTGTGGGAGGCCTAGAGCGATGTGCGAAGGTGACTATAGCGAGGACTCTGGGGGCATGTTCGCACGAGCTTGCCCTATCAGTAGCGGTACCTTGTCGTGGGTGGCTTGGTGAATAAGCCTAAATGCAAGTGAGGGGCGCCGAGGGAAATTGAGAAACGGCGCGTCGGCCAAAAGTAACGAGGTGATGAAGAGGGGGGGAGAAAGGCGAGCGCGCAGGAGGAGCGAGGATGGGCTGCCGTGCGCTCGCGCTGGGCGGAGAAGACTGATGGAGATAGATGGAGGCGAGCTGTGGGTGGAAGGTCGATCAGATTGGTTTGGTGGTAGGTAACATAGGTGTAGAAAGTACCTAGAGGACGGTAACCATTATTGGAGGACAAGGTACCTAAGGACGGGAGCGGAACAGCAGAAGCGCTTAGAATGTGACCCCTGCTAGCTGGAAAGCGCGAGCGGTGGCGGGTGGGTGATGCGTGATGCTGGGTCGAGGTGCGACGGGTCGATGAGTCGTTGACTGAGATGCAAGTGCGCCTGGAGAGAGGAGAGCAGAGCAGCGATGGCGAGGCGAATGAGGGCTGGCGAGAGACGAGAGACGAGAGTTGGGCGGTGGGGATTGTGAGCCCGGCGGACAATAAAGCCAATCAAGCTGGCAGCTTAGTGGTTGCAGCCGGAGTTTGAGCTGAAGGACTGGGCAGGCACCCATGACAGCAAGTGCGTCAGTTGGCCAGCCCAATGAACTGCCTGATTGGGACGCCGCCTCGGATGGGTCCATGATAACTAACTTAGCCTGCCAGCTGGCCGCAGCTGAACGCCCGTTTTGCGAGTTGGCACGAACTAACGTTGATGTATAATGAGACTGGTGTATGTAACTAGTGCTTTGAGATTCCATGTATTCCGAGAAATGGGCAGCGTCGGAGGACCATTGCTGTCATTACTGCCGGGCCGACACCGCTGCCGGACCATTCGCCAGTCTCCGTTTGCTGTCACTAGAGTACTAATCTATTAGTTAGTAGTTACTTGACAAAACTCCCGAATTGATTGACCCTTGACAGCATTCAACCGCTATGAATTAACATTTCTCTACTCGGTGTGTACTGAGTACCGGACGTTTTCTTCATTGGGCGCCCTCCCCCCAACCCAGTTTCCCCATGGGTGCCCACGCCAGGCACTGTTAAACCCTATTAACAAGTAATGAGCCCTTACCTTCATCTATGGAAAGGCTTGAACAACAAAACCTCGATGAAAATGTCATGCCATCGCCCACAATCTTCACAGGCACTAATAATAAACCACTATCAGCCTTGCCTCACCCACTTGTCTCACTCACTGGTCCCCGACCGAGACTAGAAACAGACTAACAGCCCGGCCGTGGGGCTGAACAGCGTGAGTGAGCCTTAAGCTTTGTGCCGAAAACGCCTCACGGCCTCCAATGCACACCCATCGTCGCCCTGCCTCGCCCTGCCTCGCCTAGACGCTGCGGGAATTGCTCGGTTCTGCGCGGCAGGGACCAGACAAATGTGCCTTGCGTTTGTTTGCATTGCCTTGTACAAATTACTGGACGCACCACCCTTGATCCCGATCCGAGGCAGTGACCTTGCGCCGCACCATAAGGCCTCCAAGGCAGTCTTGTCCGCCCCCGGGCCCTACAGTGGCTCGAGGCTGTCCACTCTGTCCCGAAACAGATCAATGAGGACCGAATTCAGTCCGCGCGGTCAAGGCTGCCAGATCCAAAGGCCTTATTATTATTATGAATAGCGCGAGGCCCTTGTATTGGGGGCTTACCTACATAAAAAAAATCGCAGTCATGAGAGCCCAAGGTCATGAAATGTATCATTTGTCAAGCATCAACGACTAAGCCATGGCTAGTCCTTGGTCAATAGCAGGGTCAGCACAAGCAAGGTCGCATATGCCAACAGACTCAGAATTGTCATGAGCGTTACAGTATCGCCCGAGGTTCGAAACTTGCGCGTCAACAGCCCATCGGCAGACTCCTTGGTGAAGAACTGCCGCTGGCCCTCATACCGTCGATACACGGCAACCATCAGGATAGCAGTGCCGTAGACGGCAAACAGCGCGCCTATTGGGTAAAATTCATGCGTGAAAATTTTGAGAATCACGAGCGAAAACGAAAACTGGCCCAGCGCAGTGCGCATGTACGCGCCTTCAAATGTCCGCTGCGCCGCGCGAATCTCGACTAACCTATCGTGTGTCAGCGGGTGAGTCGTATCGTGACACGGTCGGTGTCTGGTCTCTGATGGGCTCGCTTACTCGGCATTGGTAAGAACGACGGACTGGGCGCGGTGCAAACGCAAGTGGAATTGCTGTTCTGGATGTGGCTGTTCATCGTGTGAGCTGCGGCTCCAAGTCTTGTGTGCAGCACCTTTCCCATGTTCCCACGGCTTACCTCCCACATGGTGCTGGTGGCTTATCACAGGGGGGGGCCTCACGCGCCAACCCTGGGCATGTCGATGGCTCAGCAATAGAAATGGATGCCGACTGGCCACGCTCGTGCTCAATACCCAAATTGTATGAGCAGTGGTAGTTGCTTTTGTGGCAATTTAGATGCGGTCCTGCTCAAGCCGGCGATGCAATGGCAAAGACGCTGTGCGAAAAGCGGAAGCCAGTGACGCGATACGCCCAGCCCGAGGTCGTGCCTGTTCCATCCATCACGTGGACTCGTACAGGAAAGTTAAAAAATCTTCAACATGTTTTTTACATCTCTTATACATGGCTATCTTGGCGCAGTGTCCCCCCACGGCATTCCTATAAAAGTCTACATCTATCAATTAAATTCTACTTGTAACAAGATCCTGTCTCGCCAGTTCCGCCCCGAACGAGATCAATGCGGTTGCTTCTCCCGTAGTCTGCCATCAAGGCCCCCCTGCAGGCCGCCCACAACCAGATTTATCCCAGGTTTATTAGGGTTGGATCGCGGCCTTTGCCATCCGTGACGTCTAATCCGTCTAATCCGTCCCTACCTTTTCGTCCTCGGGCCCTCTGCTACCCGGCAGCGCGCCCATGACAGCCCAGTCACCCTGCGACCACACACTCTTGAGCCTCCACGTCTTGGCCTTCCACAGCGTCCGCTTCCCGCCCTCCTCATCTTCTTCCTCCACCTTGACCAGATCAATCGAGTACAGGCTGCCGACCACCAGGCGCTCCGTGTGACCCCCCTGTTCCATCGAGAGGCCGCGGCCGGCGCGGTAGTGGTGTGCGACACCCGTCGCCGTCGTTGTCGCCGCGCGCCCGCCCTCGGCAAACGTCGTCCGCACGTTGCTGGTCATGTGCGTCGTGTCGAGTTTCGACACGATATCAAAGCTCAATGCCGTAATCTCGTCGAGCCCGTGCAGCAGCGTGCCGTTGAGCTCAAAGACGGCGTCGGCGGTAAAGGCTGATTGAAACAGCGCGCGGTCGGCCGTGTCCAGCCCACAGACGCAACGTGCGATGGCGTCGACAATGGCCTCCCGATCGCTGGGGGTAGGCGAGAGGTTCGTCGATATTGAAAAGCTCATGTTTTCGCTAGTTTTGTTCTTTGGCGTTTTTCTTGAACAAGGAAGATAGCAGTTTCTTCTTAAATGAGCATCAGAGATGTTACCCCTCCTGCGACGTAACTAACCTAGTATCGCGGGGCTAAATCGGCGGGGCAGTGGACAGACATGATCAAAATCACTTTGATGAGAATAGTCAGCAATCGCATCATGTAATCGTGCCCGAGAGTGAATTGTGATTTATGACATATTTTGCACCGGATTCTGGGCCGATTCCCGGCCCGGAAACGCCCCGTCCACTCGCCCGTATAGCCTGTGGCTCACGCTTGGAGGAACTGTGACTCTACTCTAGGGTGGCATCTAGTGAGCAAAATGGTGACTGCAAGTCAACTTCAACAACATTTTCCATAGCCCTATCTATTATTTAGACTATATCCTAAGCTAAAAAAATGTATTACATTTCAGCCATCTTCTCTACCAACCCCTTTTCTGTGCGCATTTCTCGCTCCTAGAGTCGTGTTCTCGGGCGGAGTCCTGTCCTTCAAAACACTCCAATAATTAAAAACGATGTCCATTTTGTTGTTGATGGAGAATGTGCTGCTGTTGAGGCTCCCAGATAACGCTCGGCTCACCTCTATGACTATTTAGAAGCGTTGGTCCCGGGACCAGGCTCATTGAAGACGGGAATGCGTTGTCCAGAGTTGCGCCTCCCCCATCATACATTGCATTACTTGAACCCGACACAAACTCTTGCTGTGGCAGCCCAATGAGATCGTTGCTGAATGACAAAGATCTCGCCTGTGCAGTTGGGTTAACACCGCTGTTCCAGTTCCAGTCATTGGGCTGCGCTGTTTCGCATGTTGCTGTCATCCAAGTCGGCTGAGTGGCCGCTTCGAGCCCAAACGATGATGCTTGTTCGGTAGAGCTGCATTCACTACCATAAGAATGCCAACCATAGCTCATATCCATAGATCCGGACAGTGTTACTGGACTTTGCTCAGTGGGCAACCCCCAGAAGCTCTGTTCGTCGGGATTCGTCATACTCAATCCTATTTTGACCAACATTTAGTATAAATATATCCGTACTCTACCGAGTCCTCATGTAGAACAAACCTTCACCAGGAACGCTGACATAGCCAATAGAGGGCATGAGACCGGGTGTTGCAAGTGTAATGGTGTTCTGTGCCGACCTTCTTCCAAATATAGATCTCGATAATGTCCCAGAGGTGTTCCCGGGCCCAAGGACCAGAGAGGAGGTTTGCGAATGTGCTGTCGAGCCGCCATTTCCCGGGCCAGTAAGATTGCCTTGCGGGTCCACCACCGGCGGTTGTTGGTCAACCGGACAAAAGCTGCAGTCTTTCTTAAGTCGTATACAGTTTATACATCGGTTCTGAATCTCCGAAGACACGATACAGCGAATTTTCCGGCGGCGGCAATGACCTGTTGTTACGTAGCGGGGTTCGTTAGCAGTCATACTTCTGGTAAAGCTCTTGCGGCCCAGAGCTACCAAAGAATTATCAACAACCCATGAGCCGCGACAACGAAAGAAATGCCCGACTTACTGCATGCTATCGATGTTCTGTGGTATCCCAGCTTGTTCCTCTTCTTTTCCACAGCCGTTGTCGTGGCTTCTTGCGCCATGGTGTGCACCGTCGGTGTAGAAAAGGACCGCTTGAGAGTCGGAGTCGACCCCTGATGAATTGAAGTCATGCCGTCTGCCCCAGGTTTGCTTAGCTCCCAAGGTTTGTGTTGGCGAAATTTATCCTGTACAACGTGTCCCAGGGCGGGGACCTTGTCCATCTCGCGACTGTTGCCGGGCTGTAGATGGAGTTGAGATCTTTGTCGAGATCTATCACCGACACAGATTGCTCTCTTGTTGTTAAGGCTGCTGTAAGATGCAAATGGAATGTTCCTGCCTGGCGCGGGTGATCTATTCTGTCCTGTATTCCACGTCCGCAGTGTAAAATGGGGAGGCGAGGAGCAAGCAACAGCCATGGAGATGCTATGCGCCAACACCTGTCGAACCCGACTAACCGGAACCGCGCGCCGGACGAGTTCGCCTCTGCTGATTTGTGTGTTGACGGACGAGTAAGAAATGTTGGCAAGGCGGCATCGGCGAGTAGGATCGTATCCTCTCTCAGGCGATGAACAACCGAAAAGCAAAGCGATGGCAAAATAAAGAAATCGAGAAAAGGGCCTGGGGATTGAAATGCGATTCTGACTTTTGGCCGAAGCACCGCTCTAAAGGAGAGGGAAGAGGACTGATCTGGAGGAGGGGAGGGAAGGACGAATAAATTGGGCAGCTGCCTGTGCCTGATTGCCAACAAGACCAGGCTTTCGAGAAGCTTTCTTCTTTCGCAAAGGTGCAATAAAATGGATAACTCATGGGCGTAGTCGGGACCCTTGTACTTTTTGAGTAATCAGAGCTGGAGGAATGCTAAATTATCGAGATCAGGCCCCATAACTGCCCGCGCAAAGTCAAGCTGCCACTGCGTTTAAAGTTTCGTGATGTCTTGGGCGTAAGTATCGGAACAAGGAGCACGGAGCTGGCCCAGGGGTCAAGGATAATATGCTGTCACTGTGGCCGGGGTTTCCTGGATAGGTCTGAGGCACCAGACCAGATGATTGAAGTGCAAAGACGCGAATGGTGTTGATGACGACAGAGAAGTGCCCAAATATGTGAAGGCCTCGTTGGCCAGAGTGTGCGTCAGCAGCTCCTGTCTGCTAGGCCCCTGGCCTCTTGCATCCCTGGCTTTATTTACAGCTTGGGAATGCATAATGCCATGGCTAGTTTGTCATTTGGCATTGCTGATTGGCGTACCGAACGGCTGTCTGATCGTCTACTTCGTCCATGTCCTCGTACACTGGGGCTGCCCACCACACCCGGCGAGCCTGACAACGGACTGACCACTCCCAGCTGGCCTAGTTTGAATGTGGGCGAGGCTTTTGGGCTGCGCGGTGTGTATCGGATTCAGCGCGACCCCCCATGTGTCGATATTAAAAAGCGCGAGCTCGTATGTATATCGCTGGCGCGCCACCATGTCACTGTTAGCTTCGCGCGCCCTCTTCTGTTGCTTAATTAATGTCTCTCTCTATCCTCGCTCGGTGGAGCGACAAAAGGAGCTAGACCATCAGCCAGCCCAGAGACAAAATGGATGTCCGTACGGGCAACCAGTCTTTACGATGCAGGAAGTGAAATCATGGGTGGCGATACCCTGTCTAGCCGAGCTGAATTGAGGATCAGATGTGGCGTTTAGACTTCAGAAGAAATCAGCAGCACGAGGCGGGGAAAAACGCCGATTCGCAGGCCAAAGCGTGAGAGGTGGAGGTGGAGGTGAATGAGAGAGCAGGGGAGGGGGTAAGGAGATTCAGCAGAGAGACGGATCTCAGCTTTGTTAGGCAGAAGCAGGGACGCACGTGAAAGGCTGTCAAAAGATGCAATGCATGGTCAATTAATCAGACCTTCAGCCATACAGGGACCTTGGCCCGATTGCCCATTCCCATCCTCCAATATGGAAGGCTGGTGCAGACAGTTGAGCTCTTATAGGCAGCCCCTGGCCCTGAGACGAACAAGTTGTTGCTTATCGACTCCGTACCTAGTACTACTACCACGCCAACCTTGAGCACTCCAAAGATTTCCCGCGTCTGTGTGTGTTTTTGGACGAGCCCGACAGGGGTAGACAATGATCCAAGAGACCGGTTCCTGGGCCGGAGAATCTCTCCGGACCGATTCGGCCTGCAACGATTGCTCCGTCTCGCCTTCTCGCCTGCTCCGCCCGCAATGTGGGCTTCAGCTACCTTGACTGGGCCGACATACATTGGGAGGTAGCCATGGTCGCATGGGGGACTTGGTTTATTAGCCGCAGATGACGAAGTCGAAAACCATATTCCTGAACTTGAAGCAGCACTTTCCCGCGAAAAGCCAGCAGTTGAATGGGGTGCAAATTGGGCCAAGGCTCGGGACGATTTCATACCGAGATTGCCGAAGTGTACCGAAAAGAGGCCGAAAGGCCAGCAAAGACAAAAGCACATTTGTAACTGTTGTAACCACTAGGATCCCTGTACCAACAATGGGCAAAAGTCTACATACTCCCTCGGCTCGTCTTTATTAGTTAGGCTTACAACTCAGTGACAATTATTCCGTGCTAGCTTATAAGTTGTTTTCTCAACCCGCGTTGGGTAGGCGCCACCAACGCCACCATCATTTCCGTTCGATAACAATATAGTATTAGTGTGATGAATGAAGGGCGGGGCAGGACAAGAATGTGACATTGCTAATTATCCCAAAGTCAAGGGATCGGCTTCAACTATGTAGACCAGTGGTAATCAACTGCTCCGCCGTAACAACAAACTACCTGTATGCAACGCGAAAGGTTGTGTAGTAACGAGCAGTAAAATGATCCGGTAGCTAGCCTATCATGAGCTATAGCTTATTATACGTGCAGCTGAGGTTAGGCTAGACGCTGGACAGGACTAGTTCTGATCAACGCACGGCGTCTTTACTCGTGTCCCCCTCTTTCCCAAGACTCTTGTCAGTGGACTGGACTAGTTATGTAGCTCGCGTGGGCGCTACGCTACTGGCTACTACTGCGGACCGGACGGTTCCCTCCCGCAGTTAAGTTAACCAGCTGGTGGGCCAGTGGAGTTTGATAAATTAATTAAAGCAGTCAGCAGGAATTGGTGCTAAATCAGTGCGGAAATGGTAATATTATACACGGAAGACAGAGGAAGTCCGGGCTTCACGAAACAGTCATGTCCGTAACGATTTGTGGATTCGCGGGATCTGTCTCACTGTCTTCCTACGCCGGCCAACCTCGGGCAGCGGAGCGCGGGCAGGGCAATGGGTCGGGCCGCATAAGAAGACCCATATGACCAATTGCATTTTCTCCCAAAAGCGTCGTATCACTGACACATTCAACAAAAAGCATCTGTCGCTGGACACAACGTGTGGGTGGCCGGTTGACTGCCAACTCAACTTGCACGTTGACTAGCAACTCTACCCGTTGACACCTAGCCTCCTTGAGTCTTTGCTGCATATTTCCCTAGAATTTTTCGACGCCACTCTTCCGTCTTTTTGTTTGGCAACTGCAATGTGAGGGAATGGATTGCATGGCGACAGGTGGAATTGTGTGTTTCAAGGCTGTGCTTGATGAGAGTGGAGAGACCTGTCAATAAAGACCCGAGACCCGAACGGCGCATGAATCTTGGCGGAACTTGAAGGCCTCTTTCTCCATGTCTCAGCATCTGCAGATGGACTCGACGAATCCTGCGAAAGAAAGCTAGTATCAATTGTGGCCAGTAAACAGGTCAGGCCCGAATCGTAGACACTAGTTCGCTATGCGTGCAGTGTGCTGGTGCACCAGGCCCTTCCGCGGTCCACTACGTTGTCTGCACAAGATGATGGGAGACACGGCTTGCGTAGTGCTAAGAGAGTGTTACTGTGGCAAGAGGGGAATACAACGCTAAATTGGCGTCGATCAACATGAATCCATCTTTATCAGCCAAGCATGCTCAAAGAGGAAACGTCCGGGGTATTTCAAGACACCGATGCGTCAGGAAGATGCTGCACAGGAGAGCCACCCACACACACGCAAGGGAGAGCACAGGATCGCCATAAACAGGGCATCTCGGACAATTGCCACGCGCTTGAGTGAATGACAAGCAGATCTTTCCCGAGGTGGCCGGCAAACATGTTCGGCCGGTGCGGGGATCTTGTAGTGGCCTGATTCTGATTGTGAGATCATTACAGGGATGTTCGTATTTGGTAAAAGGGCAACAACTTCGAAGCTTCATTGGCGCATTCTTGCCGCATCAATCGTCTCGTGTAACTATAGAGCGTTGGTCTCGCCACGCGTGATTCTAACAACAACGACGAAATGATATGGTGTTTTGGTGCTGATCTCTCATCCAGTAGCCAAGGGACTGTACTGACCCGACCCGGGCCAGAAGCCTGGTTGCCTTGATACCCTGTGTATGTGACGTTGACTGGGCTGCTTGGAGTGAACCAAGTTGCAAAGCGTCTCACAACTTCTGAGCACAGGACCGGACCGAGTAGTCCGGAAGTTACAAAAGAAGAAATAAAAGCGAGAAAACGGCACGCAGAGCGAGTGAAACATATCGATGGCCGAGACTCACTCACATAAAGATGGCTTCCCAACAGAAAGAGTTAGAGGCCAAAGAAAAGAAAAACACTAGTGTCTTTGAACACATGACGAAAATAGCCCAATGTATACGATGCCATTTGAGACATACATACACTGATGTACAAGCAGCCCCCTTCCCCCACCTCCTCCCGCACCTGCATTCCGACTCACGGCTCTCCACCACCACCGGGTTTCCTCGCACTCACCGACACGTAGCGCCAGTACTCGCGCGCATTGTACGCGTACGCTCCGCCCACGGTGTTGATAAAGTATTTCTGCAGACCCAGCAGCTGAATGAAGAAGTTGGGGACAAGGGCGAGCAGCCAAAACAGGCGGAGCATTGGTCGCACGTTCTCCGAGTAGTCGTGAACCTGCACGTCCACGAAGCCGGCATCAGCGAGCAGCCTCTCAAAGTACCCCTTCCTGGCAACGTCCCAGGTCGGCATCGCGCCATGCGCCGACATCTGCCTCATCGCCTTGGCAAATTCGGGCCCAATCTCGTCCTCGGACGAAAAGTTGTAGTCGTACTCGTTTAGGACGATGTGGCCGCCGGGACGCAGGACACGGTACAACTCGGCCGCAACCTTGGCGGCGTCGTCGGCGTGGACCAGTGTCTCCATGGTAAAGGCACCGTCAAATGAACCGGGTTCAAACGTTTGCAGATCATGATAGTCCATCTTTTGGATAGACACTCGGCTGGAGAGAGGCGCAGACTTGGCAATGTTTCGTCGAGCCTTTTCTAGGTGGTGATCTGTAATATCGATACCCGTCATCTGCAGGCCGCGGCCCGCTAGGTACAGAGAGACGTGACCGACGCCACATCCCGCATCTAGGACGCGCGATCCCGGGGGTAGATCCAAGCTTTCGAATAGCTTCTCCTCCATGCGCCGGAGCGGTCCACCGACTGGCAGCATCCGCCACGTATCCCTCTCCCAGTACCCAAAGTGCCGAGTGCCACCCAGGACCAGACGATAGCCGATTCTCGACTCCAGCGACTGGTACAAGGTCTGCACAGCTGGATGATGGCCGATGACGGCATCTTTTTGAGACGCTGCTGCAGCGGTGGTTGTTGTTGTCATTTTGACTTGTCTTTGTCAGGACGGGCGCTTAGCGACAGGTGCAGACGAGCTGTTGTCGTGGTAAGTAGTTGTGCCGCGGGGCTTAGGTCTCTCTTTTGTACAATAAAGCCGCGACTTACCTAAAAAATTATTAGCAAGCTACTTGAGTCTCTCTGTCGGCCTCGCAGTGTTTTTGAACTTTGGACGCGATGCAGCCGCTGGGATTGGAAGTGGGCTATATTAATAGAAAAGCCATCCGTGTCTTAAGCGAATGCACCCTGTACCATGTCACATGTGACATCTGTTGCCTAGCTACTATTATTAGCCCAATTTACTAAGGCCGCATCGCAACAGATAGTACGGATATTGGAAGTGATATTAAAACAGATAATGAATAGATGTAACTAGAACGAAGTTCCCTCGGCGGGTTCGTCCGATCACAGCATCCTGAGATGGCAGCACTGTTAAGAAGCTTTTAGTGAGCCTCTTGCGCTGAAAGTGAATTGAGCATTGAGCAATTCCCCATGTGAAATGGTAGCAAGCGCCTTGAATACTTGGTCTTCGTGTGCGTACTCGGCACATCTTGGTTGCCTCACGGCCTCCCCATTTCAGCGCTCCTGGCGAGGAAATGGACTGGGTGCAAGGCATGTTTTGCCGAGCGGTGTACCTAATAAAATAAGGTACCTAGGTTCCGATTTTAGTGCAAAGAATGGAAGGGCCGTTGGCAACTTGCCGCCACAATTCCACTTACAACTTTTAGGTGACGAAGCAATAACCAGATTATACTGAATCGGGCATAACTATACCATCTCGGAGGTTATTTTATTGTGCAAAGAGGTTTCTTACGTATTCGAAACGTCATGCGCACTGTGCTCCCACGCAGGTACGCGTTGGACCCCACAGTGCGCCGCGACCCCGCCACTGATTATGACTGACTGCAAGTCTTCGAAAGAAACCTGCGCATCAAACGAGGATTGACGGCGGGACCCTTTCCTCGTGCCTGCAATGAGCGACCTTCAAAGGGCATGGGCCAAGGCAAAGCTCGGAATATCACACGATGCGTTTGATGAGGGCGAGGAGGATTACGCGATAGCCGAAACCGCCGAGACAGCAGACGACGACTCATCATCGGCATCCTCAGCGTCTTCGGTGTCTTCGACCGGTACCATTGTCCCAACCGCCAACCAACGACTCTTTGCACGTCCAAATGGGTAAGTTGGTGATTTGCATCTCAAGAGCGCGCACAGGCGACATGCTTGCTGACACGCCGCTCAGGGTTTCTCGGGGGCGGACGCTGGAGCCCACCCCATGGACGACATATTTCGAAAGGGAATTATTCATGGAGTCGGGGGATCAGTCGGTCAAATTCCACGCTTATCTCAGCTCACCTATTGAAAAGGGACCTCTATTCGTCATGCACCACGGAGCGGGTTCCTCGGGGCTGACGTTTGCTGTTGTTGGGTTCGAAATTCGAAAGCGAATGCCCAACGCGGGCATCCTCGCCGTGGATTGCCGTGGCCATGGCTCGACAATTACCCAAAACGAAGGCGAAGTGGACCTGAATCTACAAACTCTTTCGTCTGACCTTTTTTTTATGATTGAAGCGGTCCAAAAACAAATGAACTGGGCTTGTCTACCACCACTTGTGCTCGTGGGGCACTCACTCGGCGGCGCGGTGGTAACAGACTTGGCCAGCACGCGAAAACTCGGGTCATCGCTACTCGCCTATGCTGTGCTCGACGTTGTCGAAGGGTCTGCCATTGACGCCCTGCAGAGTATGCAGACCTACCTCTCGACGCGCCCCGGCGGCTTCGCGAGTGTCGAGTCGGGTATCGACTGGCACATCCGCACGCGAACGGTTCGCAACTCGAAATCCGCTCGCGCGTCGGTGCCGGCGCTCCTGCGAAATGACGGTAACGGCGGCGTGTTGCCCGAGCCAGCGTCACGGTCGTGGCGGTGGCGGACGGACCTCGCGGCGACGCAGCCATTCTGGGAGGGCTGGTTTGCGGGGCTGAGCGACAAGTTTCTGGCGGCGCCGGGTGGCAAGCTACTCCTGCTGGCTGGGACGGACCGCCTGGACACGGCGCTGACGATTGGCCAGATGCAAGGGAAGTACAACCTGCAGGTGTTCCCGGAGGCGGGCCACTTTATCCACGAGGACCTGCCGGAGCAGACGGCGGTCAGCCTGGTTGACTTTTACAAGCGAAATGATAGGAGCCAGCTCGTGCTACCGCCCAAGGTTTCGGATCTTCTGAAGCAGGGAAAAAAGGTATAGCTTAGATAGGGGGGGACGGAAACATGTGAGCTTCGTTTTCTGCACTGGTGACGGACATGGCTGAATTTCGGGAACCTGTCTCAATTGATGCCACATTCCAGTAGTGGACAGCTCACAATGTACCAATACAGAGATTATCTATTGCAGGGAAATACATCTGCGAACCCTAGCTGAGAACTACATCGTTGCTAGTGTGTGATTGCTGTTGCTGTCACATTGTACTGGATGGTACATCCACTGTTCGTCCTGCGACTCTATTGTCTTGCTGTTTGGGACCTACTGTTACTGATCCAGGAGGTTCTATAAAAGAGCTGGCGAGAATGCCTCTTAAGAATAGTTAATACTTCTCGACGAGCTGGACTCATTCTCGCTTGACCACTCAATCTGACTGTTTTGGAGCATGGCGTTGGAGCAGCCATGGTGAAGACAGCGAGCTAGCGATTTAGCAGCTGGACGCTAGGCTGCCTTTTCAGCCCAAATTGAGGATTAGCTTGTAGCACTGATTGTGCCGCCTACAAAAACAAGCTGTATTTGTGTCTGAAGAGTACGTGTCTCAAGCGCATGAAAAAAAAAGCGCGAAGACGAAAACGAGAGGGCTGAATCCAGCACTGACTACCTTACGCCTGTTTTCTGACAGGGCACTGGACACGTTTTCCGCTTAACATGGTTTTTTTCCCTATCACAACGCTGTCAACGTATCTAACACGGCTTATAAAAAACATAAAGGTTTTTTAATACGTAATAGCAGCCTAACAGCGTTGTGACAAGGGAAAAAAACGTGTTGAAAAAGAGACCTGTCCACCTAGTAGTACCCTGTCCAAAAACAGGCCTCACTCGCTCATGTACCTATGGGGCGCTGTTGTAGGGATTAAAGACCCCGCCGATCCAAGTCGCTAACGTAACTACAAGGTACCTAACTTAGTACAGTGGGGTTCCAAAAGATGTATGTACCTACCGGAACAAGCCACAGCAAATGTACTGGTAGGTAAAACTGATTGATTCGAAGTTTGAACAGCTCTAGTTTACTCACACAGAACCCTATGATTGGCCGAATGGCTAATGAGGTACCTGGGTACCTGCTTGTAACTAGAGTGAACATCCATGATTGGAGATGCGGTGGCGAGGATACAGCAACTGGGGCAGCCTTGAGTTCCCCACCTAAGCTCTGGGCGTCTCTGCACCTGCCACCTGCCTCGGCGCCTCGGACCTCCCCAGAATCAACGCCAGCGTGCCATGTCTCGCCCTGGTTAGCTTCTTCCCTTTCCCTCTTTTTTGCTTCCTCATTGCCATTGATTACCATTGACCTTTTCATCCTATCCTCGTCATCTCTGATACACTCATCGAATCCTACACCCAGCGAAGCCTACAGCCACGATGAAGTTCACCGTTCCTCTCCTCGCCGCCGCCTCGCTGGTCGTCGCACAGAGCAACCCCCTCAACAGCATTCCCCAGTGCGCTGTAAGTAACACCGCGATGATGGGCGCTGCTCGTTCCCGACGCGCGGAAACCTGTCGCATATGTACACGCTCGCGGCTAACAGTCGGTCTCCCTTGTAGCAAGACTGCGTCGGCAAGTTCTTGAGCGGCAGCAATATCGCTGGCTGCAGCTTGGTCGACTATGGCTGCATCTGCCGCAACAAAGACTTTATCAATAATATTGCCTGCTGCCTAGCCCCCGTGTGCGACGACCAGGGCAAGGCCGACACCATTTCCCTTGCCAACAAGCTCTGCAAGGCATTCAACGTCGACTTGCCCACCGCCGTCACCTGCAACACGGCCGCCAGCGCCTCCTCCACGGCCGCCTCGTCCGGCTCGGCCTCGTCCTCGTCGGGTGCTAGTCAGACTACCACCGCTACCTCGTCTGCCGCACAAAGTAACAGTGCGACAAACAGCGGTGCCGCCGCCTCGACCACCAAACCCAACGCCGCTCCCACCAATGTCGCTGGCCTAGTCGGTGCTGCCGCCGCTCTTGCCTTTGCATTGTAAAGAGGGAGCCGCAATGTCGCAAACCCAGATCTCGATACCGGATGGAACCTCGAAGCAAACCTTTGCAGTTACGAGATTGCGGCGACCCCCACGCAGGGTTACAGATTTCGTTGATTCCTCCCTTGCAAAGCTACGACTGGAAAAAGGGCGGCCGTCTTTAGTTCGGATTGGCCCCTCTCCACGGTGCTGGTGTTAATGTAAGGCTTGCTTGTGACCAGTGCTGATCATTGGCCGATACATTTTAGTGATACGATAATATACATGATAACCTCGTGCTCTTTGCCATCCTGAGATTTTCGGCTCGTCGGCCTCTGACTCGATATCCCCATGAGCCCCGCGCGTGAATGCGACTTTGCCCACTTCCCCAGTTTCAACTACATTGTGGCTGACGTTTACACACCCTCGCATTTTCACAATTGGCAAAACTTCAACGCGATGGCGGTGAAAGAAAGCTTAGGGATTCATTCGTTTAACGTTGGGAGCACCTCCTTTAGAACTTTGATCAGGCCAAGTACCTCCTCCACTGCGGTACAGCGTCAGCAAAATGGGAGACAAACCTACGAACACTGCCGCTAGACTTACTCGTATTGTAATGCGCCAGGCTCACGCGCACGACGCCGTCCTGCTTGAGAAGCAACGTCTCACGGACCAGCCGATTTGAGTAGAAGGCGCCCCAGCGCAAGCCAAAGTTGGACTGCTTCTCGATAGCCTCGACGAGCGCCTGCGAGTTCCACCCCTCGACGGTGAAGCTCACAATCGGCAACCGGGCGTCCTGTACACCGCGCTTGCCGTAAATCGTGATTCCTGTCACCCCACGGAGGTACTCGAGCAGCGCCTCAGTGAGGGCCTCCTCGTGCTCCTCCATGGCGCTCCACGACCCGTACTCGCGCCCCCCGAGGTACGATACTACAGCCGACACGGCCTGGCACAGCTCGTAGCTGCCGGCCGCGAGTCCCATCTTATCGACCAGGCTGGTGTGGGCGTTGAAGAAGTGACCGAGCGAGCGCATGTGCGTCTGCGCGCCCCAGCTAGCGTACAAGGTCGCCACATGCGGCCCGTACACCTTGTACCACGAGAAAACATAAAAGTCAGCACCGAGCTCGCACACGTTGACGAGCCGGTGCGGTGCGTAAGACACGCCATCGACGCACACCAGCGCGCCGACGCCATGTGCGAGCTCGGCCACTGCACGCACGTCCGTGACGGTGCCTAGCACGTTGCTCGCGTGCGTGCAACACACGAGCCGCGTCCGGTGTGTCAGCAGCGCCGCCAGGTCGAGCGGGTGCAGCTCCGGGTCGAGCGGGTCTTTCGGCCGCCACCACTTGACAACCAGCCCCTGCCGCTCGGCCAGGTCGACCCACGGCGCAATGTTGGCCTCGTGGTCAATGGCCGAGATGACAACCTCGTCACCAGGTCGAAATTGAAGAGTCCAAGAGAGTGTCCGCAGCAGCTGCGTCGTTGACGCGCCAAAGACGACCTCGTCGACATTGGCCTGGATGAAATCGGCGGCGTCGGCGAAAGCCCGCTGGTAGCTAGTGGTCGCGCGCCGTCCGACGACGTAGGACGCGCCGAGCTGCACATTTTGATGACTCAGGTACTCGCGGATCGAGTCGATGACGGTGTCAAGCGTCTGGCTGCCGCCGGCGTTGTCGAAGAAGACTTGGTTGTTGGATTGGAGTGCGGGGAAGCGCTTGCGGGCCTCGGGGTAAAAGTCGGCCATGGCGGGCAGCAGACACGACATTAAAGCTCAAATGCCACAGTATTGCGATTTACTGGTATATGAGAGCCTAGGTATGTATGATGAACTAGAAGGGTAGGAGGAGCAATTACGTGGATGGTGAGCGAGCCTTGTTGACTACATCTCGCTGGTCCTGGCTTCCCCCGCATGCAACCATGTGCGGGGTAAGCTTTACGGCATCGCTTCGAGTGGCGCCAAAATAAAGCCATTAAGCATCCTATCGAGGAATGGATTGCCAATTCTGACTCGTGGAAGTGAAGCCTAGCACGGGGCCTTTAGCCAGCACAAAGGTCTTGCCTGGGTAACCGCTCGAGCCCGACAACGTGATCAGCGGAGTTGTACCCCGGGTTTTGCTTCCCTGGCGGCCGCCCCTCTCCACCGGTCTTTTATGGACGGTGGCCGGGGCCGGAGGCGGCATGCAAAAGATTCTCCAGTACCCCGGAGAACAAAGCAAGCGACGCGATTCAAACTTGGCACCATCTGCAGAGTGTTGGAACTGTTATTAGAAGACGAGTTGTGGCTACAAATACAATTGGAGACGAGCCATTGGTATGCTAACTACCTAGGCTTAGGAAGTAAAGACGTCATCCAATCCAGGGTGCGAAAAGTCCGACCAGCTAACCCCACAAATCGGTGATTGAAAAAGTCTCCGGGCAGGGCACCGGCCAGTCCCGGGAGCGAAGACCCCCGTGCCCGATTCTACTACAGCTACAGTGGGTTGGGTTCCGCAGTTCCTGGTACATAGTTCAGCCAGCCGAGCCAATGAAATAAACCTAAAGTCCGCTGTTGTCGATCTCGATTCACAGTGTCACACCCCAGTTCGTTCGGCCGGCCGAGGCATAGACCGCGCCTTATCCTACCGTTAATAATACCGCTTTAATAGAGAAAGGTAACGCGGAGTATCTCGCGGATTCATGCGGCTTCGGGCTTTTGTTGTTCGCCGCAAACCCACGGCGCGACGCCTACAGACGGCCTCTCCCTCGGCACCCGCATCCAACGCCGTTATATATCTGACCCGCAGTGCTCTCATCGAAACGCAACATAAATAATGCTCGCTCCTACACCATCGATGGATACACTCTACACTCTTCATCAACCCTAGTAGCACCCAGGCCGCACTAGCAAACATGCCAAACTGCCAAAACGCTAACACAGGCGCCATTGACTACGATGTCGTCATTGTCGGCGCAGGAATATCCGGCATTGGCTTCGCCCACAGGCTGCAGCAGACTAATCCGAACTTGACGTATGTGATTATCGAGGCCCGACATGAGATTGGAGGCACATGGAGCTTATTCAAATATCCAGGTACGCTCAATCTTGCAATTGGATGCCGCTTGCTGTCACTGACTCTGATCCCATCCAGGAATTCGATCTGATTCTGATCTATACACATTTAGCTTCCCATGGAAGCCGTGGACCAAGGGCCACGCTATTGCAGAAGGACCCTTGATCCAAGAATACCTGCATGAGGCGGTCGAAGAGCAAGGCATCACCCCACACATCAAATTCAACCACAAGGTGAACTCGTTGGATTGGTCGAGTAACACAAATACCTGGACAATCGACGTCACCGCCGAGGTTGGCGCGCGGAAGCATTTACGCAGCCGATTTGTCTGTCTTGGGTCGGGCTACTACGACTACGACGAGCCGCTGCAAGCAGTCATCCCTGGGATTGACCAGTTCCAAGGGCCAGTTATTCATCCCCAATTCTGGCCTGAGGATTTTGAATATACTGGCAAAGATGTCGTCATCATCGGGTCCGGCGCCACAGCAGTAACCCTCCTGCCCAGTATGACAGACAAGGCCGCGCATGTGACCATGCTGCAGCGCTCGCCCAGCTGGATTATTCCCGTCAAGAATCGCACCGGGGGGATCGAGGCTTTCACACAAAAGTGGTTTCCCACCCGGCTCGGGGCCGCCCTGGTGCGCTTCCGCCGCACGCTGCTCGGCTTCCTGTTCGTCAACTACTGTCTCTGGCGGCCAGCGTCGGCGCGTAAGCTGCTGCTCGGAGCGACGGAAAAGGAGCTTCCTGCCGGTACAGACATGGCGCCCAACTTTGTGCCCGCCTACGACCCCTGGTCGCAGCGGCTGTGCGCGACGCCCGACGCCGACTTTTACCACGCGCTACGGGCAGGTCAGGCAAGCGTCGTGACAGGCAGCATTGCGTCGGTGACGGAGAAGAGCATCAAACTCGTCTCAGGCGAGGAGCTCCACCCCGACATCATCGTCACAGCCACAGGGCTGAAGACCATAGTAGGCGGCAACGCGCGCATCTCTGTAGATGGCGCGCCTATGCACATTCCAGACTTGTACTCGTGGAAGGGTGCTATGCTGGAGGGCTTGCCGAACCTGTTTTACGCGTTTGGCTATGTTGATGCGAGCTGGACACCGGGCGCTGACGCCACTGCGCAATTGGCTGGACGTATGATTAGGCAGCTCGACCGAGAGGGCAAGCATGCTCTTATCCCAACAAGGACGGAAAAGGAGAAGCACACAATGCAAGACGTGCCGTTTATGCGTCTTACCTCCACATATGTCAAATCCGGACTAAGCAACTTGCCCAAATCCGGCGATGCCAAGCAATGGCGCCCGCGATCTTACTATTTCAAGGATGTCTTAAATGCCTGGTGGGGGGACATACGATCCAGTATTGAGTGGCGATAGATCTGTTGATAGTGTAGGTGCCATGTACTTACCCTAGAGGTGTAAGCTGAAGTAATGTAGCGAGAGAGAATTGGATTCAATTAACTACCGTATAGTATGACAAGTAATACTGTATTATACTGGTTCACATCGTTCTATTATTCAAAGTGTTGGCGCTTCTGATGGAGTCTCGCCGTTCGCTCTACCCGCTGTGTGGCTATTCTCCTGGGCCATGTCGTTGTGCTCCGAGGACGTGGCAGGGCTGGCTAGAGCAATCTTTTCATGCCGAAGCTCATGTTTCTCGAAAACAATGGCCATGTCTTCCAGTTCGATGTGTTTCGTCTCTGGAACCGCAAAAACGCTAAAAATGAGGGCTAAGAAGGCTATTGATCCATAGATGAAGCCCAGCCTTCCTCCGAGATGGCCCTTGTTCACATCCTCCAAGTATGGATAGGTAAATGAGATGACAAACTCCATTATGAGCTTGACAGAGTATGCCAGACGCAACGTGTATTCACGCAAGAATGGCGAAGGCAGCTCGGCCGCCACGACGTATGCCAACGGTGCGTATCCAAAGCTCCATCCAAAAGAGTAGAGCATGAGCATGGCAACGATGCCAGCCTTGGCGCCCGTCGACGCCGATGCGGCGCCTTGAGCCGTGTCAGACGCATGAGCGACAACGCCAAGACCACCCATGATGATTAGGGAGGCGGTCTGCAGAACAGCAGAGGAAATGAGTAGGCTGCGCCGACCGACGCGATCGACGAGGGCCATACAGATGATGATGGCGCCAATATCAATGGCGTTTATACCGAGCGCCACACTAAATGGATTGATGGTGTGCAGAGCCTTGACAAAGAGTGTTCCGTACTGCGACGCAAAAGATTGGCCAGTGGATTGCTGGAAGAAGAGTAGACCAACACAGACGGCCGTGCACTCGCGATGCTGGCGCGAGAACATGGCCACGAACTGTCCGAGGTGGGATCGTGTGGCAACGGAGCTCGATACATTTTGATCCGGGGGTGATTCGGCAATTTCTCGTCGCAGGCGCTCTATAGCTTCAGACAGGTCACTCAGCTCTTGGATGATGGACGCAGAGGGGGGCAGTTTCGCGCGATGTTCGGCGCGCGATTGTCGCAAACGCGTGAGAGAAGAAAGCGCAGCGTCTCTCTTGCCACGAAGAAGCAGCCAGCGAGGAGACTATGAAGAAAGAAAATGGCCAGATGGAAAATCAGCGGACCTGTCGTTTGCCGAGTTTTGGTGCTTGAGGGATGAGAAATAGACGGGGGCTTTCTGTACCTCTGGGATGAACCACACAAGACCAATGAGAATGGTAGGTATGACGAGGATCAAACTAATGGGTATCCGCCATGAAGAATTCCCTTTGATTGTAGACGTTGCTCGCACAATGGATGTGACAACAAGGCCACCAAACTTGATGGCGAGCCAGTAAGACGCGCCGGTAGTGCCTCGCAACTGCGGGGGCGAAATTTCGGCTAAGAAGGTAGGTATGACAGCTAGTTGCATTCCAAGATAAATATCTGGATTTTTCATGAAGAAACAAAGGAATCCTCGTTAGTGCCATTTTTGTATTCAATTTGCGTGAAAGGGTGGTTGAGATGGCCCAATTGCAACCACAAAGGAGAGAGTGTGGAGAGAAGAGGAAGAGGGCGTACAGTGAATACTTCTGCCGGCCAGCATTTGCGCGCGGCCTGAGGATGAGACAATGACGGTTGTACTGCCGAGGGCGTACACGCTCATGGCGCAGATGCACGCCCGCCGACCATATTTGTTGCTGATCCAGCTGCCGATGAAGACGCCCACGAGCTGCGTACCGGCCTTGATGCTGTTGAGCAGACTCAAGTACACCGTTGTCAGCGCATACTTGTGCGTCTTTGCATTGTATTCGCCGAATTGCCTGGTAAAGGCCGTCGTGGCCTGCGTCGATGCAAAGGACTGGTCACTGAAGCCGTAGTTGAAGGCAGAGAAGAAGACGAGGGTGAGAGAAAACAGCGCGGCTGGTGTCGTTAGGCGGGAGCGCGCGATGCTCGGGTTCAGTTGCATCGTGGAGGGAAACAATGGGAGAGAGACGGGAGGAGGAAAAAAACGCGCCGAGTTTTTTGTACTTGTGTCTTGGAATTGGGTTGAATCGGGGGATTTATATCTGATTAGATTTATTAAAACATGGAAATCAGATCCGAGGCCGGTCACCATTACTGGCGGCCGGAAGAGACGAACCAAAGTTTTTTGGCTGCGGCTTTCGTCCTCTTCCTTGCTTACATCCGGCGCTATTCGGTCACCGAACCAGGGTATGCACGCCAAGGTACGCCCTGCGGGGTGGTGGCGATCGGAACACCCAAGCCCTCGTATGACCAATTTGTCTGAAAGCATAATAGTAGAAAAAGAACACACACACACAAAAAAAAGCGAAGAGGTATGGGACGCCTTACCTACCTGTACCTAGTTACAAAAGGCCACAACGGTGCGGGGCCGATTAGTGGCCGTGGACGCCAAACACTGCCCGGCGTCTTCCGGCCGTGACCTACCTCAGAGGGAAGGTTTAACTTCCATGGCACCTAGTCAAGCGTTGTCTTGGTGTTGCCTTGCTGTGCCGACGATTCCCGAAGTGCTGATAAATTTTAGGGTTACAACGTTTGCTTGTCTCCTCTTTACATTTGCATTGATGATATCGTCTTACTACCTTGAAAGTCATGCTGACTGACTGACTAGTTAGGTACTTAGGTATCTACGGTAGTGAGTGAGACAGAGCTACTGGGGGAACAAGATAAATCATCGTGTAGTATTATGCCATCATGTTCTTCACCTGCATAATTTATTCCCCCTTTCTTTCTATTCTCAATCATTATTTCTATCCTTTATATCTTATCCTGTATGAATTGAACTTTGCCCGAATCTCCTTTCCTCTTTGTTCCGTTTCCTTGTCTGTTGTACGTTATTTGAACTTTGCCCTAATCTCTTCCTCTGAAAACCTCATCGTATGTCTTTTGAGTAGGTTTACTCGTTCATCTAGTGTCAGCTGGATCTGATCTCCGATAGGAACCATACATTTCGCCAGTGTGTGATAGTCCTTCATAAGTAGCCGGACAGTGATCATAAGGTAGTCAATATTATGAAAAACGAGGGCTTGCTGAGCTGCATAGAGACCCTTGTCTTTGATAAAGGACACAGGATGCTCGCGCCAATGTCGAAGCGGATTCAAATGGTGCGAGGTATGATAGCCGTCGTTGAAGGAGTAGCGGTTGCTCTATAAGGCGTGGCGGTTAGACAGACGGCAAAGACGCCACCCCAAGTCCAGAGGGACGTGGCGTGGGAGGAAGACGGAGAAAGTGCCACTCACGGGTACATCAATCAATGTAATACTTGAACGGTAATCCGAGTTTGGCTCATCATGGTCGACAAAAGCATGCTGCCCCCAGTTGCCCAGCATCAGGCCAGATCGGAGTAGCAACAGAGGCAGTATAAACACAACCAGCGTGGCCCGATGGTTGAGCTGGTACATGCCATATAGCACCCCATAGTATCCAATCTCCCAAAACGTCATCTTGGCAGCAAGATACGTCCTTCCCTTGCGTAAAAAATACAAGGGCAAGTCAAGCCAGATGAGGAAAAAGAATCGCGCAAAGTAGTGTAGAAAATGGACAAGACTGTCGCGCTGGTAACGGACAGTGGAAGAAAGATCGTTGGGTCCATTGCCCTCAACGTGATGATGCTTCACGTGGTGGTAATAGTACGAGTTCCAGGAATGGCCCATCAGCGGATCGGTAATGTACGGAAACAGCATGTCGAAAGCCCACAACTGCCGACAGAGAATGCCACGCATGTGTATGTGCTGGTGCATCATAAGTGTGTAGGAGCCGATGTAGCTGACCTGCATGATGAAGTGAAGGAAGCCATGGACCCAGGTGAAGTGCCAGTAGAGAAACGCAGCGCTTGGGACAGAAGTGGTAAAGTAGAGCAAGAGATGTGTGATCATGACTACATCCGTCTCAACGCGGGCAAATGAGCGCGCCATGCGAATATATGGGCGCAAGATCCAACTATCGAGAAATTCGGGCAGCCGAATATCGTTGATGTCGGTACCACTGAAGACGGTCGGCTCAAACCGAGCATCCTTTGGGTCGTTCATGGCGCTAAGCGTGGCCAGCGTGTCCGCATCGCCCAATTCTAGATGTTATGGTAAAGTATTAGCCGTAATGAGATGGTCATGACCCGATAGGAAAGGGATCGGCATTCGGTACCGTCTTGCGAGGCCACCTTTTCGGTAGCCGCCTGGGCTGAGCCATTGGTCGCAGGCGGACAGACATGATGGCGACGTGGTGTTATTCCCTGCCTTGTAGCCGACGCAGCTCGAATATCGGCAGCTAGATTGCGAAGTATCAGACTGTCGGGCTTTGTGAGACCCGGGGAAAATACTAAGCCGTCCATGGTGACAATGGGGGGCATCCCGTCGCTGCGGCTGTAGGGTGATGGATGAGAGTGTCCAAGGCAGTCGACGCCTGATATGTGTGTATGTTGGTTGATAGGCGGGAAGTGTTGTACCTGGACTGTCGGGTCTAGCCAAATATGGCCTGTTTAACAGCCTAAAGGACAATATTGTTTGAGGGGTAAAATATGTGCAGAATAGGGAATGAAAAGAATAAACCCCTTTTAAATTCCAGCGTGGCGTGGGCCTGCGCCGCGAGGGCTGCAAGCGGCAGTTGTTGTGGGGGTTCACTTATTTGTGCGACAATGATGCGGGTGGATGCGGCTCATTTTGTTAGCGACAAGTAACTTGACCATGAAGAAAGACGTATTATCTCTGGTCACCTGGCTAGCGATGTGAAACCATCTTTAAGCAGACAATAGGACACGTTCTTATTTTCTCTCCACGCCATAAGAGCTAGTTATAAGACGACCGTTAAAGAAAGCTACGCGGGCCGCCTGTGCCACTTGACTGCTCGTCCCAAGCTAGCCCACACGCCGTTCTGGAAAATGACACTACAGCACTATTTCCGCATTGACAGGGATGCTCTCCACCGAGGGGTGTTTCGCCTTGGTTGTACGCCACGCGACGCCGCTCGCCTTGGCATAACCGTGGGCACCACAACAAACGCTCGCTGCCAAACGTGCCCTTTGTGCCCGTACTCTTTGTGCCCGTACTCTTTGTGCCCGTACCCTTTGTGCCCGTACAAACATTGACACGGCGATGCCTCCATCAGGAGGGCGAGGGCGGCACCTCCGACCTCGCCAAGTGGGTCGCCCGTGGGCATGACGATCCGCCGCGGGCGCTGGAACTCGCGGGCCAGCTCAGCAACGCAGAGTGCAGCGGCGCTCATGAGCCTGCTGCCCACAGCTGGCGCCCAGCTAGGCGCGCCAACCCGCCAGCTGTGTTGAAGAGTACGTAAGGTCTAATTCTTGGTGAGGTGTGGATCTACCATTTGCTGCTCCGCGACAAAATAGGTATGGATCGTCTACAAGCTGGTGCCTCTGGCCAGCATCTAAGTTACAGCATGTTGCTTAGCCTGGGCGGGTCCATCTCGTCATCCAATGTCGGCGAGTACCTACATAGGTATGTAGGCAAGGTACGATCCGTCCGAACCCTTTTCCTACGGCGGCTACATGCCCACCACCGGCGTCACGCCACGCGACACCTGCCCCGCTCGTCGTCCACCAACACCAACGCGTGGCCGGCGGCGTCGGGCTATCGCAAAGGCCCAGAAGCGCCCTCCAGGTCGAGCGGCGTGCCGAGGACGACAACAGAGGCGGTATGCGGCTCTGCATCCTCACCCGCCATGACACTCCAATTTCTTCTCATGGTCTGCCTGCTCGTCCCCATGTGATATCCTCAAAGGGAGCCGTCGTCACGAATGACAAACGGCCGGAAGCCAGAGGAACAATCCCCCGTCAACCACAGTAGTATATCTGCCACACGTGTGTGTGCCATCCAGGCAGAACTTCAATCAATCCACTACATCTCTCATCCTATGTTTTCCCTGGTGGTCCCAATACCACGTCCGCCATTTTGGGTGCTGAGCCTTAATAGTAGACGATTCTGGTACGGTGGCATCATGTAATTCTATAACGTGACAAAGAACAGAGGAAAATTCTAGTCGGCAAGGTTCAAACTTGCCAGTAGTCGGCGGGATGGGGTTGCCACGAGGCCGGGTAAGCACGAGACGCGGCATGATCGATGTTGAGGTTGCGTGCTACTGACGCGCTTCAAGAATAGCAGGCATGTTGTGTTGAAATTTGATATTCTTCGCAATATATATTGTCTTGATTAAGAAGCTAGTTGGCAATCAGGGTGCTGTGCTGGTAGGCAGTGCCTTACATCAACATGGCTAGTAGCTACAGCAAGGATAACAGCCACAGACGGACAACAGTAACAACAAAAATATTAGGAAACTTAAGCTAAAATAGTCTTCTAGTTGCTGAAGTGCTCACGCTTGATTCGGCAGTCCGAAGGAAACTATCTGTTGTCAATCGCCAGTATTTCCAGCCAAATCCACCAGGGTAAATAATATCTGACATGTCAATCAGAACTGACCGCTTCCAATTGCACGCCAGGGAAATGTAGGTGTGGGAGAAGCCAGCGTCGCGGAAAAACCCTAGTGACTTTTCAATAACCTCCTTGTCGTTCTCGCCCTCTTCGATATATTCGTAAACAAGGGCCGTGTAGTCCATCTCTCGGTATATCTGCCGTCGTTTCTTTTCCAGCGTGCGACATGACGGCCACCACTTGGGCGGCAACTCTTCGAATATGCGGGCTCCGGTGATCTTCACCCAGCCGTAGCACTGTCTTGTTCGCGGCATCCAAGTAATCCTTGACAATGGGGAAAAAACGCCACGCTCCTCCTCTAGTTTCTCTTCTAGCCTTGCCTCGTTGGAAAACGCCAACATGTTCTCAAAAGCATCGGCCCTGCTCCATGGATGTGGGTGAACGAGGATAGGCCCCATGGCATGGTCGTCTTGCAACATGGCTGCCCGCATTAGCTGCAAGACGGCTGCATTGTGGCACTCTCGCTGCAGGGCGTACTGATACGGCGGTCTCTGCGGTTCCTGATCCCAGAACTAAGGCGCGGCCGACGGAGAGAACGAGTAGGTTAGCTATGACATTTCCGCCAAACGTTCGGGGGAGCAATGGTGTTCGGGGGAGCAAGGGTCCTCACCACTTTCAAGACAAACAGGCGGGGGTCATGACCGAATCGAACTTTCCAGTTGTATCCATCAAGGCCACCATCTTGTTCTTCTCCCTGTCTTGGTCGTCGATTGATCGGCCCGACAAACACCATGGTACTGGTATCAAATCCACACCTGCGTAGGCGAGGCCGCTTGAGTGCTTGCAATGAGCACTCGGGCTCATTTTCGTAGTCCATCAGATTCTCATCTAGAAATTCTTGCCTCATAAGCTTGGCGCCATCGAGTGTGCATCTGGGCGGCCTGGGGTTGAGCCGAGCCTGCGTAGCAACCTGCCGCACTATGTCCAGGTTTCCATTGCCAGACGAAGCCGCGCTCTCATGTGCTCATTGGTAGTGGGTCAGAGTACTATTGATAGAAAAAAGTGTATTAATGGAATCAGCCGTATCTCGATGGATGTAATGAATAAATGGATAAATGAATGGAAGAGTTGGTAGAACAGATGGCGCTACGCAGGGGGTGACAGACGGTCCGGAAGTCGGTGGAACGATCCACCGCCATCCAGTATATCTGGCACATGTGTGCACTATCCCACCAGACAGAACTTCAATCCGACCACTACATCTCTCATCCTATGTGTGCCCTGTTGGACCCAATAGTTTGAAGACTGCAAAATGGCAGCATGTCAGCGAATCCATTCTCTAAAGTCAACCCCTGAGTTGGAGTCACAACTTACCCATTTGGCCATGTCGTTGCTGTCGGGGTGCCGGGAATTCCAACACAGTAGTAGTATCCTAAAAACAGCCCGGTGCACTGCTCACCAACAGCAGGATTCCATTTAATAAATTCACTAAACGGGAAAGAGCTATATTTGTTGACAATCCCTTGGCAAGTGTCGCCTGCCACAGCCTTGTAAAACACCTTGCAAGTCGCGATGATGCCGTCCTGCATCCGAGTTGGACCGGATGGGCTCCCCGTCGTGGTTGTCGAGCTACTTGGCGAAGTCGTTGTAAGTGCCAATGCCTTGCCCCTCTCTATGGGTGCAGTATGCCTGGCCAACCCAGAAGTTGCTTGTGCAATCCTTGCTGACGGCAGGGTTCCATTCAAAGAAGGTGTCCAGGGATATGCCGGCGCCGTCTGCGACGGACTGGCAAGACTCACCACCGGAAACGACATGCCAAACATCGCAATCTGCCGGTTGACCAGAGTGTGTGGCCGCGGGGGGATGGGGCTTGCCACCGTCGGGCGTTTGAGTGACAGTGGGTGTAGGCATCAAGCCCCAGGAACCACAGTAGCGCTTGCCAACTTGGAACACACAGGCAGGGTCCGTGACGTTTGTCTTGAGCGAGTTCCAAGCAGCAAAGCTGTCGAAATCGACATTGTACATGGCTGCTGCAATTTCACAGTTGCTGTTCCAGAAACCAAATTTGTCCGAGTTGTACTGGTATTCCTCACCCAGAAAGTAGAAAGCGCAATCGTCCCGGACACCCGCGGCCATAGGGGCTTGAGAAGGCCTTGAGGCAAGTGTCATGGTGGCATTGGGGAGCATGGTGAACGGAACGCCAGTAAATGGGGCATTAGGGTCGACCGTGAATGAGACATGTCCAGGACGCCCTAGATAAGTGTTGATATCTCCAACTGGCTGTACGCAATAGCTACTGGCAGCGAAAAGATTTGTGCAGTTTGAATTGATTCCCGTGTTGAGAAACAAAAAGTCTGCAAGGGAAATAGCAAACTTGAGAGTCACAAGATTACAATAATCGCCCGCCTTGACCTCGTACCAGCGGCCACAAGGCTTGTTGGACCCGACAGCAGTGTTTGAGGGGATCGGAGCAGCAGTGGTAGGCGTCGATGGAGGAAGATTTGTCGTGGCGGGTGGTGGTAGCTTGGGTCCAGGGGGCTCGATGCAGAGAGTTGTACCGTTCATCATACTCAGGTTAGAGCACACGGGGTTGATGACCGGATTCCAAGCCAGCAGCTGTGTCTCAGTGATATTCGCAGCCGCAGCTATGGCTACACATGTTGTGTTGACTGCCACAGTGGTAGTCTTGCATGTGTTGGTGATTCAGAGACTACCAGATGTGGGAAAGTCGGAACAATAAGCACCAAGATTGTTATCAGCTAGCATCCAGGCGGTACCTACACTCTGAGCTCTGGAGATACCATAGCAGTTGTCATTACCCTGAATCTCATATGTGGTGCCGCTGCAGGTTGCCTGTGTAGGCTCCGGCTGGCCGGTGAAGTAGTCAATAGTAGATGTGGTAGCAGGTTTACCAGTGATGCCACAACTGGATGTCATGCTTTGGTAAAGAGACTCACTGGCTACAACGGGGCCGTCAAAGTAGGGCGAGCCAGATCGCATGTGCAGCCTGGCTGCGAGACATGGATCACAATCCGCCGGCTTTGTGGCGCCTTCTGGGAGCGCGTTGATATAGTTGAAGATGGAAACTACGAGCTGTCAGTGAACAGTACTCCACGGTTGACCCCCGTCACCTCGACGGAAAGGAACTCACCTCCCTGGTCACTGAAAAATGCGGTCAATGCAGCAACAGGGCCGCAGAAGACGTCGTTCTCCTTGAGACACGTGAAGCTATAAATGTGCCGACGGGTGGCCGGAAGTACTATTGGTGATGCGGGAAGATTATGATGGGCAGGAATGACAATTTCCTTTCCACACGCCGACCGAACCGAGCTCTCCCACGACTGCAGTGCTGCAGCGCAGCCAGTGGTGCAAATGCGGCTCAGCGAAGAAGGAGGGTAGTAGAAGTCTGGACGAAGGGCCGGCACAAGAGGATCGCACGACACATCAGCCATGAGTGCTGCGGCGCATGGGGAGTTGAGATCCTTGGGAAGACTGTCGTCGTAGAGCATCTTGACTGCGGCGACGGTGTCGAGACTCAGGAGAGCCCCAAGTCCAACAAAACAACGCTGAAGAACTACCATGATGAATAGTATTTCCTTTGCCACTAGGAATGAAAGAGTGAACAGTTGCAAGGCTAGCACATCTGAAAAAGAAATAAAAAACAGAGAGGAAGGGAGTGTCTGCAAGAGACAAAGAGCGACAGGCGACTCCAGTGAGATATATAGGCGCCAAATTGCATAGGTAGTGCAGAACAGCTATCAGGCCTGATGTGAAATTTGTTCGATGGCACACTTGTCATTGTCCTGTCCAGAGACGTATCTATCCGCCCGATTCAAGCCTCGAGGGCCCGCTTTTCTTACATGCCAAGGATCAACATCCCAGTTTATAGAATGTATACGGAGTAGCTACTATTGAACTACGGAAAGGGACTGGGACCCAAAACGGCGATACCGCCAGCGACTAGGGGACTGCACCCCTACCAAGGCTTAGCTAGTCACACTGCATCCGAAGACGGTCGTTCTTGGCGGATGAGGGCCATATCTCATTTCAAGCTATAGGTTAGAACTTGGCAGTGAGACTGCAAACTCTTAGCCATAGGGCTTAACTAGAGATAAACAGCTTCTCCCTAGGAATTACACTATTTGTTTCGCAATTCCATAGCTATTTCTCAATGAATGTCTCTATTTCCCCCTACCTTCCTCTTGGTGGCTATTATGTTCTTGAAACTGATAATCTAGATGATCCCGCGAGCAGTCAAGGAAAACGATCAAGTAAGTAAGAGTCAGGCTACCGGAGCACAGGCCGCCCCGAGGTCCAGCGGGCTTGCAGGCGTTGCCAAGCAGCGAAGGATGCGATGCCCAGGATGGGCATTATGGGCCGCCACTTGCTTGCTATTTGAAACGTTCATGTAGTTCGGGCCGTCCCGTCATGGCCTGAGCTGAAAAGTGCTAAGTGATAGCCTGGTATTTAGCGGCGTTACTATTTTTATCCGTAAGATTTATCCGAGGTATTGAGTCCCTTACTGGTCTCCTGCAGCGCGCACGAGTCGGTGCCTCTAGCTGAAGAAACGGCCTCTGGCTGTGAACCAGACCTCGTACCGAGTGACTGAGTTCTCAGGTTCGAAACAACTCGGCATTTGTTTGACGAGTCGTGGGACTGTCCCGGATCGGTAGAGGGCGTCAAGTAGACGGCCATTTGCTCGGCCAGGCCGTCCTCGACATCGAGGTCGAATCCAGCTTCGGCTTTACCCTTTTCGTGGAGAGTCTCACCCTGCCGCTTAATCTTGACCAGAGCTACCTGACTTTCTACAACAAGGGTAAAATCACTGGTGTGGTCACCCTCGAAGCCCTCGCCCGCGTGACGTACGAGAAGAAGAAGGTCATTCTCAACTTGCCATTCCCCGGTGCCTCGTTCAAGATTCCGGGAATCGCCACCATAGGTCCTCAGCTCACTGTCGAGGGCAGTATCGATGCCTCACTCGGCATGGCAGGTGTGATTGAGACCAAGCTTGAGATTGCCAAGTGGGAAGTAAGTAGCAATGTCTCTGTTTGAATTAACTAGCCCCCTTTTTCCCCTTTTCTGTCAATACCCAGTAACAAAACACTTGCTAACCACTCATGCTTCTTTCTAGGTCCGCCAAGTCATGCCCGACACCGATTCCTACAAGCCCGAGCTTATCGACAACAGCAAGCCAAGCCTCGATCGGACAGGCGACTTCGGGGGGATCCAAAAGCCTGAATTCTATGCAGGTGTCACTGCCTCTGGAGACGTCACATTTAAGTTGTCGGCCGCTGCTGAGTTTGGCGTTCGCTTTGCCGAGAAGTGGGAGATTGACCCGGCGGCCGCCGCAGTCGTTGGCGAGGTCAGCCTCACGACCAAGTTCGAAGCGGGCATCTCGACCATGGGAACTTGCCCCTTCACATACGGCCTCGATGTTGGGGCTCGCTTGTTCGCGAGAGCATCGGCGCCCAAGATGTTCGGCTGGTCTGGTGGAGAGGTTGACCTGATGGACAAGTGGGAAAAAAACATTATCAAGGGCGGCACTTGTCCCGAACTGGGTCCGATACCTTCCAAGAGAAGCCTACAAGGTATCGACCACCTCCTCATCGATGGCCGCGCCGAAGACAAGGACATGACCTGGAACAGGTCGAGGTTGGGAGCTGCCGAGTCCGGTGCCTACAGCGCCTCGGATGTGGAGTCCACAACCCTGTGCACGAGGGATATCTCCGGCGGGCACAAGTCATCCGTAGTCAAGAGAGGTGGTGTATACGGTCCAGCGTTCAGCCTCCCCGTCGGCCAGTTCTTCTGCCCTTCTCTAGACGGTGAAAAGGGGATCACATGCGAGCAAGCATATCATGCCCTAGAAACGAGCAACGAGGGCAGCACCTGGAGCGACAAGCGTAGGAGGGGGCAGGGTGAGAAGAGAGAGAAACAGATGCCAACGCCTACCATTGATGAAAACGCCATCGCTGCACATTTCCATGCTCATCGGCAGCGAAGCCATGGCCATGGCCATAACAGAGGAGCAGAGGTTCTGCACATGTTTGACAGCAGGGCAGGCAAGGAAAAGCCTATCCAGGTCTGTACGCGGATATGCGATATTTCCGACGACTTCCCCTCGGGTGGCCAGCTGAAGGGCGATGATTGAGGCTGGACCAATCCCATGGACTGTGGCAACTTTGACTTTGGCAGCCCCCTGACGGCACGCGCCGCCAACATCGAGTATCACACGGAGCACATCCTCGAGGCCCAGATGATCCGCCTGTTCTTCGACCACTTAGACAATAAGAAGTCCAAGCTACCCGACCCGAGGCCAAGTGCTAACCCGGCAGCCACCGTCTCCTTCTGTGCATATGTTGACCTGCTGTGGGAGGTGCCCCCTTTCGTGTGGCCCAACCAGGACACGACCGGCGGTGTCGGCAAAGCTTGGAACCCCATTATGCACATTGCGGCGCAGTTCCCAACAAAGACGTTCAAGAAGTCGGAATTTGTCGCTCTCGAGTCCGCCATCAACACGCCTTCTAAGACTAGAGCCTGGGCATCCGATGACCCGTGGACAACTAAAACCTGGACTAAGGACCTTTCCGACTATGCAAAGGCCAGGGTGATTCTCCAGAAGATGCGCAGCACAATGGGCTCTCGCATGTACCAGAGCCACTCTACCATCAGTAAGATCATGAAGACCCAGACGGAACGGATCGGCAACGTGCTCGACGCCCTCGACTCAACCCTGCTGCCCGCCAATCCGCGCGCTGGTGGATACCAGAAATGGTCAAAGCAGAACCTCGAGTCCGAATGGCTCAGTTACATGAAGGGCCAGTACACCACCATGCAGTCCAAGACCAACGGCCTTGTCAATAATTTCCTTCCAAAGATGAAAGCTGCGTGGGTAACGCAAGCCGAGAAGGAGAAATGGAAGGACGCCGCGGGTGACAACAAGGCGGTATTAGACGAGAAAAGGGAACATCGAGATTTTATAAAGTCTATTGAAGATTTTGAAACGAAATGGAATGGGCTACCTACGTGGACCAACCCGCTCTAATAACAATAAGATCGCAATAATAGCATCAGGGTTATCATCATATAATAAATATATTATTTTTTATTATTAATCTCTACCGCTATTAATATAGTAGATTACGCTATTATTAACATAAGATGGACTGTGGGTAAAAATTGGCGACGCTGGCTAGATTCGAACTAACCGCCTCTGTAATATAGAGGCTAGATAATCGCTCTGCTACTCGCTATTAGTAAGAGGTAGGGGTGCAAGTTAGTAGGGTTAATGCGAGCCTAACAATGTGGAGCCCCTCCACTCCACGTCCCTCCAGTACCAAGCAAAGTACCAACCCAAACACTGATCCAATCACTCAACATGTCGCTTCGCGTGACCGACCCAGACTTCGAGAGTGAACTCTCTGAAAAGGTCAAGGCAGCGGTGAAGGCAAAACTTGGGATTATTCAATATGATCTCCCGCTGCCGCTCCTCGTCCTCGATCCCGATGAGAACGCGGAGAAGGAACTGCCATGCCATGAACCTGCCGAGGAGACAACCATCATCAGCGCCCACCTGTCGGCGCGCATCCATGCATTTTATGAGCAGATTGCCGCCGCTTATAACGGGATCGAGGATCTGTCAGCTGGGCTGGACTTGGAGGTCCAAATCCAGCGTCAGAAGTTTGACCCAAAACCGCCATTTTGTCATCATCGCAGGTACCACTCACGCCGCCTGCAGCTGCACGACCCCGAGACGCTGCCAGATCTGCCCTTTATAAGCAGCCTGTCCCTCAGCTCGTACGGCCACGGCTCCAACGCCGTAAACGCTACAGACATGCGCCCTCTGTCTCCGCTCGTGCCGCTGCACTGCCTCGTCCACCTGCCGGCTGTCCAAGAGTGGAAAGCCAGCTGGTTGTGGGAGCGGGCCATGCCCATCCCACTTATGAGTAGAGTGATGCGCGAGTACTACACCTGGCCGTGGGAAGGCCCCCTGCGAGACGCCCGACACGAGTTCGGCGCGGCTATCATGGACCAGGAGAAGCACCTCTGCGGGAAAAGGATCCCCGCTAGTCTGACCAAGGCCGCACTTCACTTCTGGCCCATCTTTTCGCTCACCAGCCATGACGAGTCCGTCGCGCGGCCAAACCTAATCCATCCTGCGGAGAAAGACCCGGTGTCTGTCGGCCTGCGCAAGCTCGGTTCGCAGCTGACCCTGTTCGACGTGCGTGCCATGGTCACTCCAGACCTGTTCCCCAGTGCCAAGGCCTCAACCGGCCAGCAGTGGTCACAGATGCGGCGATTCCGGCTTGAGTTCCATTCCCTCCGCCCAGACGGGCGGTGGTACTTTGTCGGCCCCGGCGGCGAGGATCCGCACGACTCTGAACAAGGAGGGTACAAGATCTCAGACACAGAACACTACCCCCGCGAAACCGACACGGACGAGGACGTGGAGGTCGACGCCGAGTACGACGACAACCCGGATGATGAGTATGATTACTATCTAGACATGTTCCGCATCAAGCCCTGCAGGGACCGGATCGAGCCCCTGCTTGCGGCATTTGCGAAGTCTCTGACTCGCGACAATATGCCGAGCCTCGAGGACGCCGAGATGTTCACGCACCTGCGGTGGGCCCCTTCAGAGGACAGAGAATTGGAGGAATATAGTTTGCTGATGAAAAAGGGCCACAGATGGGGTGTCAAGTTCATTGCTGGGCGTGAGAGTCGGCAACAGAAGGATGGCGATGCTGCGGCAGCGCCAACCCTACCGGTGGTGCAGTGGCAGGTCGGCGACTGGAGACCCAGCGAGGAGGTCATGAGTTTATTCGAAAACCTAGGACGACAGGAGTGGCTCGATCTCGAGTGGGACAGGTATAGATCTAACATCGGTCAAGACATGCTAGGAAACTACTAGTAATTAGTCTACAAGCAATATTATCATATTATTAAGGTGTAAAGGCATAATAGCTAGGCGGTATGGTTGTGGAAGCAAGACCAGCCGATGAAGATTGTACATACATAGACGAGCCAAGAAACTCCGCCTTATCTACTGGGGCTCCAGGGCTGACGGCGGGGATCGTGGGAAGACGGGCCGCTCGGCGAGCTTCCGCTGCGCACAGTGCATAAAAATATATTTTACAAATACAAATTGCTTAGTAACCTGCAGGCATATTTGGTTTCTCAGCGCCTTACTGCGAAAAATTAGTGCGTGGGCCTTGAAAGAGCGATAACTCAGCTCAGGGCCTTCTTTCCCGCGATAATGAACTGCATGGACCGTGAAGGATGACGAGCTCTTTACATTCATAAGGTTTCACGCCGACTCGTTTGGTCAACTCCAAGGCAAACGTTTTTTGTAGACAAGTTAGCCAGGCATTAAGACGAAATCGCAAGCGCATTGAGAATGCATTGCCCGCGTCAAAATTCGTGATAGTATGGCTATTTACCCTTTCTTATTCGTGTGTCCGCTCACAATAGTTGGAATTTGTGCTGCCCGATCGCACGCAATGTAGGCAAAGCCCAATACGCTCCATGAGGAGCTCTACACGCCCACCGCGATCACGGTTATATTGCGGTACAGTATGATAGCGCTCATATTGGCAAGCAACACTCGGTTCCGTTGGAATCGATTGAGGCATATTCCCAGCCTGCTCTATTGCCTTGGAGATGTTGCGGATGCTGGTTGGCCAGAGATTTGCCTTCTCGAGTGACTGCAGGTATGCATATGCGTATTTGCTTGACCAGCCGCAGCGGTGGCAGCACGATCCACTGTTGAATCCCTGGATAAGAATCTCTGCTAGTTCCAGTCTGGCACGGTTTCTTTGCTCTTCCAGAAAGTCTCGCTCAGTTAGCAACGTTCTGCGGTGCAGCAACTCGTATGACCTACAAACTACCCTCCAGTCCAAACCGGACTCAAGCTCTTGATTGACGAGGTCGAGATAGGAACCACCGTAGTCGAGAATCAGCGCCTTTGTAGTTGCTTTGAAGGATTGCGCATTCCGGAAAAGAGCCGCCGCAGCTGCGAGGACCACCAAGTCATTGGCTTTTCTGTCACCAGGAAGAAGCCACGCAGTACTTGTGAATGTGAAAGCATCCACAAAATCGTACTTATCAGCCATGACCCCAATGCTCAGAATGTCGTGCACGGGCAGTGCTGTAGGTATCATATGGTTTTGATGGTGCAGAACTGCACAGAGGTACTTCATGCCCACTGCATTGTCGTCAGGAAGTGGTAGTTCCTTCAGTACACTCGTTGTAAGTTGTTGATGACCCTCCTTCCAGTTCGGGCCTAGCATGACAGAGAATGGTTTCGAGACTGCCTTGAGGATCAGCGACTGGACCTTGATCTTCAACTTTTCTGGTCCGACAACTAGGAGGATGTCACCATCCGCAGCAATGTTTATGGCCGTGCGGACATCTTCTCCCTTCCTTTCTGTAATGCCAGCCATACTAAAAAGTTTTTCGGATAATCGTCCTTAATGCCCGGAGGATAATATTTGGCAAGGAAAGAATGTTATAGAAGTCTTAGTATATTAAACAGAAGCGTTAAGGCATTGACCCAGTCATGTAAAGAATCAGAATACGGGGGGCGGGCTGCGTCTGGCCATACCTCCCGCACTGTTTGGTGGCACCTAGATATGCACTCCACTTAAATCACAACAAAGTGATACCAGAACTTGGAAAACACCTCAACTGTTCGACCGTGCTTGAACAGAAGAATCCCCGAGGATCGTATTAGGATCCAAGTTCTCGCAAGGGGTAGGAAGCACGCCAGAAGCACGTCCAGCCTCGTCCGCTTCCTCCCGCTCCAGACGCTCCAAATCGTCCACATTGTCGAGACCACGTGCAACCGCACGCACCATTTTTTCCAACCACAATTTCTTTTGTTTCCGCAGACGTTGAATCTTGGCATCCACGACACGGCGCTCCTCTTCGGCAGACTCGAGCTCGAGCTCGAAATGCATGTGTAGCTGCTGTATGCGACGGAGCTCATTTGGCGAAACGCCCTGTAGATCGCAACGGGGCTGATGGTGAATCACGCACTGAGCGCACCGAGAAGAATCGGATGAAGAAGGTTGACAAGAAGCAAGGCCCCTGCGCTGGCAGTAGGAACAGGGCCCCATCTCCGTGACCTGTGGATTGGAAAGATGCGAATATTCACACTGACTAGGTTTTTGCGAGCGAACCTTTTACTAGTGCTTGATGACAGTGAAGGAGGCAAATACACCTCAACACTCTGGCAGCCTGTTTCGATGGAGGGGGTTACAAGGCTTACAAAGGTGGGCTGGTGTGGTGGTGGGATAATCGTTTTGGCGGTGCCGTGAGTCCAATCGAATCGAGCACTCAAGCCACCTAGTCCAGACCTGTTGTTCACCGCGTAGTTACTCTCCGGCAGCGACTCGTCAAACCTTCATTATTCATATCGCCGGAAATGTCTTGGTCCCAGAAAAGCCAGCCTAACCCTCCCCCTCCCCCTCCCCCTCCTCTTCTATCAAAAACGTTGAACTTTCCAGACTCGCCTGACGGTCGAACGGCCTCAAACAATGGCCATGGTACGGACGACACGCTTAGAGTTACACAGATCCTTGAGGAGCACGGCATTCCGTGCTGCCTCGTGGGAATCTCCGCCCTTATTTTCTATGGTGCTGCGAGATGTCGACCGGTATGATTCCTCATTTCATCCTACTAGTAGCGTCGTCACTTCTAGGGTCCATTCTCTTCTAACCTCTTAATATAGGATTGGGAAATCTGCGTTGCAACAGACTCTGTCGACAAAGCAAAGAATCTACTCCAGTCCGAGCCCTATTCTGAAAACTACTGCCTAGTCGAACCTTGGCCCTATGCAGACGCGTCTTTAATACCTACTTACAACCGCTTTAAGAGCAGAGGTGTGAACCATTACTTCTTGCTGGTGCCTTCTGTTGACGTGCATCTTGAATGCGGGGCTGATAATATCGTCCGGAGCAAGAGGGGACTGCCATATCCATCTTTATCCGCCTTTATACAGAGCTGTTTAGATAGGAGAAGCATGGTTGAACTTGTCGACGTTGTGGATGGAACCGATATAGACGAGCAATGGGGGGAAACGAATCTTCAACTAGACGGGACGAATGATGTGCAATGGGCACGAGATCTAAACCGAAGAGGAGAGGAGCTTGACGGGGGTAAATATGCCGATAAGCTCATTGGTGTTCCGGATAGGCCGATGAGCAGACGAATCATGTGGCAAGAGGCGGTACGTACCAAGGAGAAGAGGCTTGACTGGACCAAGCCCAAGTCCGTTTTTGTAACCCAGTATCGCATAGTGGATGACCCAAACTCCTGGGAAGTGCTCTCGGATATGTACTAGTGAGATAATATACGTTTTTTTATCACTGCAAATTTTACAAACGAGACAGCTCGAGATAACTTCCGGCGGGCTGCGCTGCAACACGAGTCCTCGCATGTTGTCTCATGGGCGAAGGAGCGTGACTAGGTGCCCGCCTTCCGAAACAAAATAAATACTATCAAGGCAATCAGGTATCTTTCTACATAGATAGTAATTTTATAGACTTTTTTACTCTTCCGAACATCTTTTTATTCTGACATATATTATGTGAGTGTTGATTTATTTAATCAGAGGCGGTGACAGACTTTGGACCCCACTGTAGTAACACCTGGTGTAAGCTTTTGGGCACCCGCTGAAAATTGTCCATTCTCAGACTCCGTTATGCACAGCTTTGCGCAGACGCGCAGACACGTACTCAACCCAATCCGACGCGGTGAAATACCATGGACATGACTGATTCGGCGCCGGGAAGGCCACCATCGCCTCTCAGATCACTGCCGACCGCTGAGTGTGAGGTATTCGGCAGCGAAGTGCTTCTCGATGAGGAAACGTTCTCGTGGTATAACCCAGAGAACTGGTATTCCGTTCGGATCGGCGAAGTATTCAGATCCAGATATCAAGTCCTGTTGAAACTGGGATTCGGCTCTGTCTCGACAGTTTGGCTTTGCCGTGATTTACAGTCTGAGTTCCTCCCCTTCTCCAGCATACATTGTCCTCACTAGTAGTTCTAATCACCAGTCCCGCAGAGGACACCGATACGTCACCTTAAAGGTTTACGAGACGGGACATCGCCAAGCGATGAATGAGACGAGTGTTCTAAAGTACCTAGAGTCGATTGAGACGTCTCACGAGGGCGCGAAGCTCGTACGCTTGATGCTGGATTCGTTCGAGGTACAAGGTAGGAAAGGGCCGCACGTCGTTATCGTTCACGAGCCTCTCAGCTTATCTCTTGGGGGTATTCGCGGAATCGCTGGAGGGAAGCTGCCAGACAATGTCTTAAAGCCCATGATCCTTGGCATACTTCTCGGACTCGACTTCCTTCACTCGGTTGGTCATGTCGTCCACACAGGTATGCTAGAAATGTGCTCACTGTATTAATTCAATGTTTGCTTACAGTGGGGGCCCAGATATCCAAGAAGGTAATATAATGCTAGCAATTACGGATCAAACATTTTTCGATGAAGTAGTCGCCTCAGAATGGGCATCGCCATCGGCCCGCAAGATTGATGGCGACAGAGTAATTTATGCCTCTACCGGTCTCGAAATACCTGACGATCCCGGCTTTCCAATCATTTCGGACTTTGGAGATGCTCAATTTGGCGAAATGCCTTTTATAGGCGAAGTTATGCCCGATTTGTACAGAGCTCCTGAGATTATTCTGAAAGTGCCCTGGGACGAGAAGATTGATATCTGGGCGCTTGGCTTGATGGTTCGTAAAACGTGCCTTGCCTCTACTTGCTGCCGTTTTTGTAGCCCCGTTGCTGATCCAGTTCAAAAGATCTGGGACCTGTATGAAGGGAAACACCTTTTCCACAAGAGACTTCCCAGTAGAGAAGAATCCAGCATTGCCCACATGGCGAGGATGGTGTCGTTGTTGGGAGCGCCGTCACCCGACCTACTTGAACGGAGTGCTGTCGCAGCGGAAATTTTCGACGATAGCGGTACGTTGTTACGATTCTCTCTGGTGCAGGCATAATGCAAGTTGTTGACTTCTTCTAGGCATGTTGAGGGGTAACGATGGGACACCCAACAGTACCCTTGAAGATGAGGAAGAGAATCTACAGGGAGACGAAAAGGCGGAATTTCTGAGCTTCCTAAGAAAGATGTTACAATGGAGGCCAGAAGACCGAGCGTCGGCCGCCGACTTGATGAAAGATCCGTGGCTGCGACGGATGTGATGGCCTATCCTCCAGTAACCGTCACCACATGGACAAGGCACAGATTTCTGGCCATTCCACCACATCGGCTTCTACTAGTACAACTTTTAACTGGTCGGTTGGTAAGGCTTGTAGCTATTTTAAGTTTGCGTTATCGTTTAATAACTCGCAGTTTTAGTGCGCGATGGCGACACGATTGGCTAGCTAACAACCGCCTCGTATCCACGTGGGTGGGTGCCACGAGTCTATGCCGTCATCCATTCTTCAACGGGCGGTTCAACCGTTGAGAATCTTTCTAGGAAACATTGTCAAAAATTACATCATTTCTAAGCAACATAGGCAGCTTGACGACTGCCCGCGGATCATCATGGCGGAACAAGAGGCAACGCCGGAGAACATGACCATGATGCAGGGGTTCGAGTGGTATGTTCCCGCAGACCAGAAGCACTGGAAACGCCTGAAAGATCATGTCCCGCAGCTCAAGTCCTGGGGCATCGACAATATCTGGGTGCCGCCGGGATGCAAAGCCTCGAGCAAGGAGGGCAACGGGTACGATATCTACGACCTGTACGACATTGGCGAGTTTGACCAAAAGGGCTCCGTCGCCACGAAATGGGGTACTCGGGAAGAGCTTGAGGAGCTCTGCAAGGTCGCCAACGACCACGGTGTTGGCATTTACTGGGACGCGGTCCTGAACCACCGTCTCGGCTCCGACCACAAGGAAAAGTGCCAGGCCATCGAGGTTGACCAAGAGGACCGCAACAAGACAGTCAGTGACCAGTACGAGATTGATGCCTGGGTAGGCTTCGACTTCTCCGGCAGGCAGGACAAGTACAGCAAGCAAAAGTATCACTGGTACCATTTCAGCGGCGTCGACTACAACGCCGCCAACAAGAAAACGGCCATTTACAAGATTGTGGGCGAAAAGTCGGACGCCCTCTGGGCCGAAGTGCCGGACGTGGACGATGAAAAGGGCAACTACGACTACCTCATGGGCTCGGACCTCGACTACGACCATCCAGAGGTGCAGGACGACGTGCTCGCCTGGGGCACCTGGATCGCGAAGACGCTTCCCCTCAAGGGCATGCGCTTCGACGCCATCAAGCACTTTAGCGCCGACTTTTTGCATCGCTTCGTCAAGCAAATGGACGACACGTACGGCAGCGGGTGGTTCTTTGTCGGCGAGTTCTGGAAGGACAGCCTCGAGGACATGAACAACTACCTGGACCGGATGGAGGAGAAGTTTTCGCTCTTTGACGCGCCGCTGGTGCACAACTTCAGCGCCCTCAGCCAGACCGAGTCGGCCGACCTGCGCAAGGTCTTTGACGACACGCTCGTGCGGTGCCGGCCCGTCAACGCCGTGACGCTCGTCATGAACCACGACACGCAGCCGTACCAGGCCCTCGAGGCCCCCATCGCCGACTGGTTCAAGCCGCTGGCCTACGCGCTCATCCTGCTGCGCGGCGAGGGCTACCCGTGCGTCTGGTACGGCGACCTGTACGGCATCCAGGGCGAGCACCCGTTCCCGCCCGCGTGCAGCGGCAAGCTCCCGCACCTGGCCCTCGCGCGCAAGCTGTACGCCTACGGCAAGCAGGCCGACTACTTTGACCTCGCTACCTGCCTTGGCTGGGTCCGCTACGGCACGCACGATCGGCCCGCCGGCGTGGCTGTCGTGCTGAGCAATGCCGGGCCCGGCACGAAGCGCATGCACGTCGGGGAGATGCATGCCGGTGAGCGCTGGACGGATGTCCTCGGCTGGTCCGAGGGGGCCGTCACCATCGGCCAAGATGGCTTCGGGGACTTTACCTGCGGGCAGTGCAGTGTGAGCGTGTGGGTGAGGGAAGGTGCAGAAGGGAGAGACAGGTTTAGTGAGAAGTTTGACAGTGACATTTACAAGACAGAATAGAAGGAAAGCCGTAGGCTGGATATATATTGGTTAGGTTAAGCGAGAAAGAAGAATACAGTAGACCGAGATACTCATCCGCAATAGCTTGTCCCTCTGCCGCTTGCCAACCCGTCAGTGTGTGCTTTATCAAGTAAACGTGGATTCAAAAGAAAAATATAGCAGACCAAGCATTCATGGCAATAGCTTCTCGCCCTCTACCTCTTGCCAACCTGTCAGTCTGTACTTGTTCAAGTCCACGGGAATACCCCCACTGTACCCTATATCCCCATCAACCACTTCCAGCTTCTTGAGTGCCTTTCCAGCCAGCTTTGCAAGCCACTGATCACCGCCCATAACTGCCTTTTTGACACTGGCCTTGACCTTGGTATTGATGGCGTCGGTAAATTCACCAAAGCCTTTCACATCGTCATCCATCGGACTCGGTGACTGGTCCAGTTCCAAAAGTTTGCTATGCTTGACTATTAGTGCGATGAAGTTGAGAAGATCTTGGTCGAGTGTGGCCGGGAGATGACCTCGCACAGCCATCTTCACAGTCGTTGTATCGCTTTCCGTCTCATCGTTGGCAACAACGGGGGCTCCGCACTTCGCAGAGTCAGCCTCCGAGTTGATCTTGTCGGGGATGATGTGCTCGTGATGAGGGAGAAGGAACGTCGGCACGACAAAACTGGCATCCACGCCGCGCAGTTTCAAAATCTCATAGATGCTCGACTCCTTCAGTGCTCGATGAGCCACGACACCGTCAAATTCCATGCGGCAGAGAATGCTGAAAGTAGAAATGAGCGGGACGTGCGCGTGGCCAGTCATTGATCCCAGTCCGAGGGTGAAGTGGGCGTCTGTGACCCAAGACGAGACGCTTTCTTGCAAGCGCTCCAATTCCATCTCCGAACTATCGTAGCGCTTGAAAACCTTTTGCACCAAGAGCGATTTGATCCAGTCTCCCGATGCCGTCACAGTCGTCGAGCGTATGGTGACGGGATGAAAGTACGAAAGCGGGTTGAGGAGCAGGCGCAAAAGCATCGGGAGGCGGTGCATAAAGCGCCGCATTCTTGGAGATGATAACTCACGCAGTGCAGTGACTTTGACGGATCGCTGCGGCGGATTGGGCACAGATGGTTTCGAATGAAGCTGTGAGCAGATTGCTGCCCGGAGTGCGGATTCATCGGGATGATCAGTGCTCGCGGTCGAGGTCAGACGCTGTCGCAAATCTGCTCTTGCTTGGCTGATAGTGTTGCTGGCGTCGAGTAATTCGAGAGTGCTGTGATATCGTTGGACGGCAATGTCGCTGTGTAGTGGCTGCTTCTTGATGGCCTTGTATGCCGCAGCATTGGACGAGTCCTGTGGGGGATTACCGGCCGTCATTTTTGCCTTGGTCTCGGACACTTGAGGCATGTTTCTGTCCGTAACGGCACCGATGCTAGAGGCTCCTTCGTCCATTGACATTGATCGAGATTGCCCCAACGTCAGCGGTTGTTTCCCGCCCTTGATATTCGCAAAGCAATCGTCAACTTCAATGCTTCGAAACATCGAGACAGTGACGCGCTCAGTCTGAATGGCAAGTTCCAAGTCATTGGAAAGCTTGATGCCGACCTCGACACCGTGGACGGTGAAGCTCAGTGTCGACAAAGAAAGAGAGATGCCACGCAGCACCAGAAGACCATCGACTTCTGTGTCGATTTCCAGCGCCGGAATGTCAAACAGCGCAATCTTGTCGTCAACGAAATGCAGCTGCTTCAAGAATCCTCGCAGAATCCATCTCGTCGTGTTACCAACGGTTCTGTATTGGAAGAGGCAGGTGATGTAGATGGCTGGGTAGCAGAGGGCTGCAAAAACCCAGTACAGCAGCCACGATGTCGAGGCGACGGCGTACGCCAGGTTGACTGTGGTAAACAGTGTCCATATGTGACAAAAGGGCAAGACGCGGTTGCCGCTGTTATCTCCATGCAGCAGGAAGAGAGTCAGAACTGGCGCTCCTGACAAGGTCCACCGCCAGGGCCATTGGAAAACGGCCAACTGGACTATCGTGGCACCAAGGAAGAAGGTTGGTGTGAGGCGCCTCCACAGCGACTTTCCAGTATCAGTGGTGTAGCTTCGGGGTTTCACTGGTGGGGTGGCCGTTTGCGCTGCCACAGCAGGGTTCATCCTGAAAATATTACAGATGCCAAGAATCGAAAAAGCTTCTATTCATGCTCAGCCAGATTGCATTAAAATAGTCCAGGGCGTCCAAGTGAAATCGGACGATGTGTTTACAACGTCAATTTACTTGAACGTCACAATGTGGTTTGCCACAGGAGCGGGACAGCTGATGAAGTAGGCTGGTGAAACGCGACCAAGTCAATGACGCTGCCAGACCAAATTTTCTGGTTTAATTGATCAGCAAAATAGCAACCAAGTCACTGTAATTATTATTATCAAGGCCTTGACAAGAGTACTGTAAATAAATGCAAGCAGAGTAAAATGAGAATTCTTGAGAACTAGGACTTTATTCAATATGCTTCAATTTTCTGATTTAGACTGCGTTTTATCTCGCAATGCGTCGAGCCAAGGGTGTCTCAGGATTTGTTCAGCATCTGGCCGCTGGCTGGGATCCAGTTTCATTACAAATCGTAAAAACGACGCAAATTCCTCCCGGGCTTCCTGGTTTAGCCCCTCCATGATCTCCTCAGAGGCCAACTCCGGCCGACGAAGTTGTGGGAAGGCAGATACTGTGCCATCTTCACTAAAGACATCCTTGACCAACTTCGGGTCCCCTTTAGCGAGGAGTGTTCTTGGGAATGGTCCAAAAAAGTCGACCATCTCAGCAAGATGCATCCGAACATCATAGTGACTTGACTTTTCTGCAGGCTTGCTAACCATTCCGGAGAACATGCGAATGGCGCAATAGACTTCCAAGACGACGGCACCGAGATTCCACCAGTCAGTTGTCTCGTCCCAGGGGGCTTTGATGAGCACCTCTGGTGCTCGAAGGGCTACTGGCTGAATATTCTCACTCAAGTGCTTGGTTTTCCAGCTCGCCACGCCCCAATCTCCTAAGACTACGCTAAAACCGTTGATGCTATCACTTTCATGCCTTGTGAAATAGTAATTTTGCAGCGGGCACGAGGGTATAGGCCTGTAAGGGACTTCCCGGTCTTGGTCTGGCGGCTTTTGCTCTTGCAAGTAGCGTTCCACCAGAGTACGGTCGCGAATCTGGACAAATATGTTGTTTGGTTGAATATCTATTAGATGTAGTCATGTATTAGAAGTAGAAAAGCAAGTGGCATGTGGAAAGCGTTTACCTGTGTGTATAACGCCTTGGTTATGGGCATAATGAAGCGCTAGGGCAATCTCAATAGTAAACCGGCGCATAGTAACATATGGCACAAGAGATCGTTGGAACAACGCTCCAAAGCTACGCAGTGTCTCTCCCATCAGAGGAAATACAAGACAGACGTGCTTTCCGTAGGGGCCTGTGATTTCAAAGTCGTCTAGCAGATGGCAGATAAAAGGGTAGCCTGGCATAGTGGGCTTGCCATTGTCGCGAAGGTGCCTTAGGATTTCTCGCTCGAATATATCCACATCTGTATAATAGCACTCGCCACTTAACACTTTAAGGGCGACATACTGGTGTTCGTGGCCGTGTCTATGGCTAATTAGACCTGTGGTGTATCCTCGTTTCCTCGACTGTACCTACTCACGGTTGGTGTCCCGCGCCAACCAAACTGTGGAATAGGCACCATAGCCGAGCTTGTTACAGACAATATAGTGGTCATTGAAAATGTCATCGATGTAAACAGGATGAAACCCTCCAGTACGGTAGGCACTATGACCCTCTTCATTTTTCTGATCATCCATACTTGATGTTTGTTAAAAACAGGGTACTGTGTTTGGCTGACAACATGGTTACGCGAGACCTGATAACGTAATCAGGATTCCTGCACGTGTTCGTTCCAAATCAGATTGCTCAGACTGAATAAACGGTCCAAGAAGCATCATTTGGGAGAATGCAGCATAAAGTGGATAGATGTTAGAATTTTCTGCTTATTAGAATTAACGTCGAATACGGGGTAACCGCACACAACCCCCTAACAACTACATAGCTAAGAAAGGTATAGTAGAAAAATTAGTATATATTAGTATATATTAGTATATATAAAGCTAAACTAGATCTAGAACTCTATCTCTATAGATTATAAATCCCCTACCTCTTATTTAAGATATAATTAGTTATCTTTATCTTTATTTATATTATACTTTAACTTTTATACCTTAAACCTATTATTAAATTTAGCTAATTATATATTAAAAAGCCTTAAAGGTAGGTTAAAAGCTATTATTAAAAGAGGCTTAGCCTTAATAATATCTATTACCTTAGTAAATTTCTAATTAAGGTTAATATAGACTTACTTTTATTTAATTAGTTAATATACCTTAAGGCTATTATATAAGTATTTTACTTTTTTTTTAAGCTAATTACCTTTTTTAAAGTTATATTATATACTTTTTAAGCTTTTAAAAGAAGCTAGTTAGGGTAAGTTTTTATTTATATATATATACTACTTATTAAAAGTCTTTATATAATTTTAAGGTTTTAATAAGAATATTAATACTTTTTTAGCTATTAAGTAATATAATTAGCTTATTATAAAGTATATATAAGTTAAATATAAGTATATAGGAAAGGGGTATTAATATATTAATTAGTTAAATTCCTATTCTTTATTACCTACTTTATATATTTTTTAAGGTAAATATACTAGTATATATAATTATATATATATTAATAAATAATACCTTTTAATTAGCTAGTTTTATACTTTAAGCTAAGCTTAAATAGGTAGAATAGTATTTTTACTTAAAGGGTATAAATAACCTTATATTATAATAAACTAGCCTAAAAGGCTCTAATAGCAACTAGTACTTCTACTATTAGTAGGCTTTATAGTATATAACCCTCTTAACTATAAGGCTAAAAGGATTTATAATAATAATACTAACTTATTATTATCTAGTTATACCTATAAGGGGCCCCCTAGGGGCTCTATACTAGCTACTCTAGAAGGACTAGGGTAGGCTCTATAGCCTAGCCCTTAATATACCCTCTCTCTCCCTAGCGTACCTATAGATAGGCTATAAACCCCCTAGGCTCTAATCTACTAGCCTATAAGCCTAGGCTAAAATATATACGCTAGCCCCTTTTATATAACTATATACACTATAGTTTAAACCTATAACCCTAGGTTAGTATTATTATATATAATAGACTAGCCCTATAGGGGCTTTAGTAGTAA